CATGATTGCAACAGATGGGAAAGTCATAGAAAAACAAAAATGCTCTTGTTATAGTGTGGGAAGGGAGCCCCCCAGAGAAGGCAATATTAAAAGGGCAGGAAAATATGTTTCCTCAAAGGATCTTAAAGAGGCAGAAAAGCATGCCCAGTTTTTTTAATAGCCCCAAGTCTCCCTTCCCCAAGCAGAAACCAGCTCTGTAGAAATGCAGATGTAAACCATCCAGGAAGGTTGGAGGCCCCCAGCTAGAAGATTAAGAAGACAAAGACACCTAAAATCTACATACCCCACCCAAACTCTAAGACAGGACATAATAGGATTAACCCACAGATGCCAAAGGGCACACCCAGACTCAGGTCAGAATACATGACACAGGAAATAGCCTCAAACAGGAACAGGAAACAACTCCAAACAAAAGGCTGAAGAGGATATTAAAAACTCACTCCCTACATGTGCTCTCGCTCTTTTCTGCCAGAGCCATCTTTCTGTCTGGCTCTCCTCTTCAATAAACTGCAACCCAATCTTCTTTCTAAAGCAGTCGCCATGTTTATTCCCAGCTTGGACTGAACCACGATGAAGACTTTTCTTTCAACCATAGAAAAGAGCTTTATGGGGTATTCTTTCCTCTTCCCATTTTTTACTCTTCTTAAAGCTGGCTGTGGAATTCTGGGAGTTGAAGTCCACATGCCTTAAAATTGTCAAGGTTGAGAAACACTGTCTTAAAGTCTTGTGTTGATGTTTATATGGTCTCATTTTAGTTCACCCTATGAGATAAGTATGGAACAAAACGTAAACTTAATTTTTACATGTTAATTTCAACTTCAAAGCATTGGCCAGTTCGCACAACTTTAGGGATTTCTATAGGACGTGGTCAAAAAAGATTGTGGGAGTGGAAGAAAAATTGCGACAAAACTGAGTGTCTCTGTGTTTTTTAGCTTCCCAACCAGAGGGACTTTCCAACACTAGACTTGGATAGGATAGTGTTTCCCCATTGTATACATAGTGCACAATCGGGATTTCTTGGACTCACAGTTCCTATTTGTAGAGGAGGAGTAGTCCATCAAGTGAACCAGTCCCTGTTTCTACATTGGGAGAGCCTCCAAACAGTCATTCACTGCCCTAGCGTCAGTCCCGATAGGTAGACCAGACCAAGAAAGCAATGCCACAAGAAGGTTAAAATTACAGTACTTTTATTGAGACTGGCTAGAATGTAGTGGAGTGGAGTGGAGTGGAGTGGAGAGGAGAGGAATAGAGTAGAGTAGAGTAGAGTAGAGTAGAGTAGAGTAGAGTAGAGTAGAGTAGAGTAGAGTAGAGTAGAGTAGAGTAGAGTAGAGTAGAGTTCTTTATTGGCCAAGTGTGATTAGACACACAAGGAATTTGTCTCCAGGAAATAAGCTTTCAGTATACATACAAACCACAAGGTGATAAGTCATATATCATAAATCATACTTACAATCATTAATCATAAGATACAACAACTGCTAAATCATAGATACCAATAATAGTAGAACCTAGCAAGTATGATTATGCTGAACAATCTCCTCCTCCTCCTCCTCCTCCTCCTCCTCTTTATGGCACACAAAATGATAATATAAGCAGGCAAGGCTCTATTTTTATCAGATGTTTGAATATTTCCAGAAGTTAAAAAGAATCTATTTTCTCCTTAATTTTTAAATACCATTCTATATTTGTTCCATCTTTTCCAGGGACCTTTTCAGATTTCATAATATCAGTATCATCAATATCTCATGCAGTTATTTCTGCAAGCCAGCTCACTTGAGTATACATCTGAAATGTTAAATTTAGATTTTAAAAAGCATCTGTCTGTTCACTTGCTATATCTACAGGTGTAGAGTAAGGGCTTTTTGTTCTAGCATTCTAAAACCTGGATATGAATTTCATTAAATTGTTATGCTTTGTTCCTGAGAACGAGTTCATTAAAGGTATGATTTTACTTTATTGCAAAAATTTCAAAAGGGAAGCCAACAGTTTCCCTGCTTTTGTTTCCTTATTCCCAAAACTTTTGTTTCACTTATTTTGAAAAAAAATATTGCATATCCAAAGTACAGACTTGGCCCAGCTTCAACTTGGTAGCTCCAAAAATGTAAGTGATATGTTTCTAAGCAACTTCTAACCCAATCGTCTCCTTCCAGCTATATCTGCTAGCAAATAAAATAAGTATTTGCCAATCTATTCAGAACTGAATAGATTTGGTTGAAAGAGGCACTAAAAAGAAGAAAAAAGTACTTGAAAGAAGTATTTGATTTGGGCCATATATACTGTATCCTTGAATTCAGAGAATTCTGAAAATAATCTTACAATTAAAACCAGACATTTTCCTTTTAGGCTTGATGAACAAACAAGCTAGAATAAAATATGGACCTTTGTTTTTATTGATTATAACAGCAGCATGACTCTAGTATGCACAGAGATGAAAGGATTTACACATTCTGACAGCAGAAGAATGGATAGTGAATTTGATGGAACAGCAGAGGTGGCAAAACTGACTGTTTTGATCAAAGAAAATACAACTTAGCTTCTATTTGGAAACCACTTTAAAAAATTTTGCTTGCAACTGAAAGAAATCAGATTTTAAACTTGGGATTTGACAATTACAATTATTTATAATTATATAATTATAAAATCATCAAATCCCAAAGTTAAGGATTAATTTCAGAGTGTGAAGGGCTACTGTATTTTATATTTGTATCTGTGCTGAAGAAAGTCAGAAGTTATTCTTTTCTATTTTTTTCCTGTGCTCTCTCTCTCCCTTCCTTCCTTCCTTCCTTCCTCCCTCCCTCCCTCCCTCCCTCCCTCCCTCCCTCCCTCCCTCTCTCTCTCTCTCTCTTTCTTTCTTTCTTTCTTTCTTTCTTTCTTTCTTTCTTTCTTTCTTTCTTTCTTTCTTTCTTTCTTTCTTCATCTGTTTGGTTGGAAGTCTGTTTCAAAGGATTGTTACCATAGCAGTTGATAACAAGAAACGACTGATTCTTGTTTGCACAAAGATTTCCAATAGAAATCTTTTGTAATAGAATTCTTTTGCAAACCGTAACTTGAGTGTGACTGCTGCCAATATTAAACTAATGAGGGCTTAGAAGAGTGAACTCTAGAGAACAAATAGATGTAGCAAAGGGGCTCTAGTCAATGAAAAGGAGGACTAGGGGTGACATGATAACAATGGTCGAATAGCTGAGGGGCTGCCACAAAGAAGAGGGAGACAACCTATTCTCCAAGGCGCCTGAAGGCAGGACAAGAAGCAACAAATGGAAACTAATCAAGGAGAGAAGCAACCAGGAATTAAGGAGAAACTTCCTGACAGTAAGAATAATCAACCAGTGGGACTCCTTGCCTTCAGAAGTTGTAGGTGCTCCATAACTTTTGAGAAGAGACTGGACAACCTTTTGTCTAAAACGATATAGGGTCTCCTGCTTGAGCAGGGGGTTGGACTAGAAGACATCCAAGGTCCCTTCCAATTCAGGCAACTGATTCATATTTATGACGGTTGCAGTCCCGGGGTCATGTGATCACCTTTTGTGACCTTCTGACAAGCAAAGTCAATGGGGAAGCAGATTCCCTTCACAACCGTGTCACTAACTTAACAACTGCAGTGATTCACTTAACAACTGTGGCAAGAAAGGGTGTAAAATGGGGCAAAACTCACTTAACAAATGTTGTGTCATGAGGACTACTGGTACAGGTACTCCTTAACTTACAACCGTTCGTTTAGTGACCTTTTGAAGTTACAACAACACTGAAAAAGGTGGCTTATAACCGACCCTCACACTTTCAACTGTCACAGCATTCCAACATTCAGATCTGGGTGGCTGGCAACCAGCATGCATTTGCAACAGTTGCAGAGTCCCATCTGTGACCTTCCCAGCAGGTTCCCAACATGCAAAGCCAATGCGGTGAGGTGGGTTCATTTAATGATTGCATGATTCACTGAACAACCACAGCGATTCACTCAACAACCGTGGCCAAAAAGGGTCATAAAATTGGGCACGATTCACTTAACGACTGCCTTGCTTAACAATGGAAATTGTGGTCCCAATTGTGGCTGCACATCGAGCACACAAGAGAAAAGAAACAACATTCTTTACTTTTGATTGAAGTCTCTGGTCTGATTGGTAACAATCTTTGTTTTTATAATAAAAACCCCAATTGCACAAAAATAGTGGCAAGTCCCCCTGCCTTTGACCCGTGCCAATCGCACAAAGGAAACCTACCATAGCAAAATTTTGTAAGAGCATTACAACCAGATTTGAGTGCGGGATGGTGTCAGTGAGGTTTGCCTAGCCTGGCAGAACTGTGTAAGGCCAATGAAAGGATGGTGATGATGATGATGGTGATGATGATGATAAAAATAATAAAAATTGGAAGGACCTTGGAGGTCATTTAGTCCAACCCCCTGCTCAGGCAGGAAACCCTATATCATTTCAGACAAATGGCTGTCCAGTCTCTTCTTAAAAACTTTCCAGTGTTGGAGCATTCACCACTTCTGGAGGCAGGTTGTTCCACTGATTAATTGTTCTAACTGTCAGGAAGTTTCTCCTTAGTTCTAGGTTGCTTCTCTCCTTGATTAGTTTCCATCCCTTGCTTCTTGTTCTGCCTTCAGGAGCTTTGGAAAATAGCTTGACTCCCTCTTCTTTGGGGCAGCCCCTGAGATATTGGAACACTGCTATCATGTCCCCCCTCAGCCTTCTCTTCATTAAACTAGACATACCCAATTCCAGCAGCCATTCCTTATATGTTTTAGCCTCCAGTCCAGGAGTTTGTGGGTTTAAAGGTTAAAATGTCTGCTTGACCCCCAGCCTTTGGCCCATCTAACTAGAATTTCAAACAATTTAAAATAAGCAAGATTTCAGCTCTTGGCTGACCCTTTGTCACCTGAGATAAGTATCAGTGGATTTATCTTACCATTTCCCACAACTCAGCTGCTTTCACAGGGAGGGCCCAGTCCATCACATGATGGGAAGAAGGCCAAAAAGCTTTTATAAGTACGGTAGCGCAGAACTGCAGTCCACCTGCAATAACGAAAGCAGGAGTGGAAAGTAAAGAGAACAGGAGCGGGAATGCAGCACCTCGGCTCATTTGTCCACTTTCTCCTCTTCCTGGTGGCGTCCTCTGCAGGTAGGGTGTGATATTCCAGACCCAGTTGCAAAATTGCCCCCAAACCTTATATTATTGCCCCTGCTTATAGACTGCTAAGCTTTTTGGCTAAAAGAGCAGAAGTTTCACTTCTAGCCTCCTTAAACGTGTTGTTGCCTACTGAAAGGGTTTGCTTTCACCACGCTTTAAAAAAAAAAAAAAGTCGATGCAAAAGGTCCCAGAAGTGAATTTCCCCTTCTACAATATTCCATATTCCTGTTATATTCCCTTTTGGCCATTGTTTGGTATTTCGTGAGGAAGAAGCAACAGAGGTTTAGATTTGGTTGCATGGCAGTAGGTAGAGTTGTGGGTCAAGGACTGGGGGGGAAACAGGGTCGGGTCTACTTCAGTTGGGGAGACTCATTCAGACATATGGAGCTGAGGTATTCTTTCAGCCCAGCCTGCCTTACAGGGTTGTTTTCCGGGAATAAGGTGAAGAGAGATGTCCACAGAAGTTACTGTATGCTACTGAAAGAAAGGGAAAGAGGAGGAGAAGAAAGAGGAAGGAGGAAGGAGGGGGAGGGGGAGGAAGGAGGAGGAGGAGGAGGAGGAGAAGAAGGAGGAGGAGGAGGAGGAGGAGAAGGAGGAGGAGGAGGAGGAGGAGGAGAAGGAAGGAGGAAGGAGGAGGAGGAGGAGGAGAAGGAGAAGGAGAAGGAGAAGGAGAAGGAGAAGGAGAAGGAGAAGGAGAAGGACAGGCAGTCAGAGTCCCAAGTCCCAAGGTCCTGCTATTTGTCTCCCTGCAGAAATCTATTTTTTAAAAGTTGATGGAAGAGTATTTTATCATGAGCATCTAGATCACTGATTCTCAACTTTCATTACTTTAAGACAGGGGTCTTCAAACTTGGCCCTTTGATGACTTTTGGACTTCAACTCCCAGAATTCCTCAGCCAGCAGGCCTGGCTGAGGAATTCTGGGAGTTGAAGTCCACAAGTCATAAAAGGACCAGGTTTGAAGACCCCTGCTTTAAGATGTGTGGACTTCAACGCCCTGAATTCCCCAGCCAGCATGGCTGGCTGGCTGGGGAATTCTGGGCATTGAAGTCCACACATCTTGAAATGCCAAGGTTGAGAAACACTGGTCTAGATTTTAAAAGTTGACTGAAAATAAAGGACCCTGACCCTTCTAACTGATTATCTCTCTCTGGTTGGGGAATTTCCCCATCTGAAAATTATGTCAACATTGTGACATTTGTCCTGGCAGAGAAGTGTGAGACAAGTCAGTACCTGCCCAAGAAGAAAAAGCTGCCAGCTTGGATTGGGTGGCTTGTTCTAAAACATTTGCTATGTAATCAGATATGATTTGATCCATACAATTTCTTTTTTCCTTCTTTTTTTTTATAGTTAGTCCCCGACTTAACAGTCATTTGTTTAGTAACTGTTTGAAGTTACAACAGATGTATGACCGTTTTTTCACATTTACAACTGTTGCAGCATCTCATGGTCACATGATCAAAATTCGAACACTTGATGGTTGCGGTGTCCCGGGTGGTCACACAATCCCCTTTTGCTACCTTCTGATACGCAAAGCCAGATTCACTACATTTTATACTTATCAATAGTCACCAGTTTATTAATGAATTCATTACAACAACAACAGCAATAATAATACAGTTGGAAGGGACCTTGGAGGTCATCTAGTCCAACCCCCTGCTCAGGCAGGAAACCCTATACCATTTCAGATAAATGGCTGTCCAGTCTCTTCTTAGAAAGTTCCAGTGTTGGAACATTCACCGCTTCTGGAGGCAGGTTGTTCCACTGGTTCATTGTTCTAACTGTCAGGAAGTTTCTCCTTAGTTCTAGGTTGCTTCTCTCCTTGATTACTTTCCATCCGTTGTTTCTTGTCCTTCCTTCAGGGGCTTTGGAGAATAGCTTGACTCCCTCCTCTTTGTGGCACCCCCTGAGATATTGGAACACTGCTATCGTGTCCCCCCTCGTCCTTCTCTTCGTTAAACTAGACATACCCAATTCCAGCAACCGTTCCTTATATGTTTTAGCCTCCAGTCCCCTAATCATCTTTGTTGCTCTTCTCTGTACTCTTTCTAGAGTCTCAACATCTTTTTTACACCATGGTGATCAAAACTGGATGCAATATTCCAAGTGTGGCCTTACCAAGGCATTGTAAAGTGGTGCTAACACTTGATTCTATCCCTCTGTTAATGCAGTCCAACTCTGCGTTGGCTTTTTGGGCAGCTGCAGCACACTGCTGGTGGTACTAAATATTATTGTAAAGTACTATCCCATCTCTGCTGCAGTAACACACATTGCTGCATCTTTTGATCAAACATAAAATCTTCCCTTTTCCAAAACAAAGAAATCGCTCATTTCTGACAATGGTTTCTTGATTTCTGAAATAGTATCGTATTTCCAACTTTTCAATACGATTCCTTCAGCCATCTGCTCTGCTCCAGACAGGTGATCCTCGGCTTAACGATGGCAATAGGAGTTAGGATTTTCTAAGCCATGCGGTCATAAAACAGCCCTGCCTTGCCTAATGATGGCAATCCCTCCAGCCCCATTTGCTGTCATTTAACTCCATCCCACAGCTTCCCCCTTAACTTACGGAGGAAGCTGGCAGTGAAACTTGCAAGCACCAGTCATGTAATTGTGGGGCACTGCAACAGGTCATCACTGTAACCAGTTGCCAAGTGCCCAAATAACAATCAGGTGATCACACGGGTGCCAGACTATTGACCAAAATACCAAGGACTGGTTGTAACCACCTTTCATTCAGTCCTGTCATAACTTTGATCACCAAACAAATGATCCATACATTGATTGCTGTACAATCATAGTCCCTGATAAACCATCAGATTTCAAAGCTTTAGTGTGCAGCTTGATTCAGGAACAGTATAAATTCTCCCAATCTTTTCCAATTCTGAAACATGCTTTGTTTGATTCAGGTTAAGTCCTTAACTTACAACAACGCTTGAACCCAAAATTTCTGTTACCGAGACATTCATTAAGTAAGTTTTGCCCCATTTGATGACCTTGCGTGCCCCCGCTATTAAATGAATCACTGCAGTTGGTAAGCTAGGCACACGGTTGTTAAGTGAATCTGGCTTCCCCGTTGACTTTGTTTGTCAGAAGGTCGCAAAAGGGGATCACATGACCCGCGGGGACACTGCAACTGTCATAAATATGAGTCAGTTGCCAAGTCTCTGAATATTGATCACATGGCCATAGGGATGCTGCAATGGTCATAAGTGTGACAAATGGTCATAAATCTCTTTTTTCAGTAACTTTGAATGGTCACTAAATGAACAGTTGTAAGTCAAGGACTGCCTGCATTTTGTTTATTTATTCAGCAAAATTATATGGTTGTCCATTGCAGTATGTGTCATGCCCTCAAGTTGAGTTCAATGGCAATACAGACTGCTTCAGGCACTCACTTGCTGTCTCCCCCCCCCCAGTAATTCCCCCCCAGCAATTCCTCCTAGGATCTTGGTACCCCACTGAAGTGTGTGACTTGTGAGCAAGCAGCAAGACACTGAACTAATCAACAAAGCTTAAGACAAGATTCCCAGCAGCTGTGCATGCTAAACAGACTCACAGAAACAGTTTTCCTTTGCTAGAGGCAACTTAAGCATTTGGCTTACTATGATTCTTGTTTTGAATCCAATTATTTATGATCCCAAGGATCATAAATCAACTTAAGACCTTGTCTCTTCCTTGGAATTCTTTGGCTTGGCTTTGGACTTCTTCACCGGAATTCACCTTTAAAGTTCTTATCTATGATTAATTGCTTGTTATGATTGTTGTTGTTATGATTAACAACTCTTCCTTTTAACACTACAGTATGTGTGCCTAGGAACTGTATCTGGCTGCTGAATGGGTGCCAAGAAAGCCAGGATGCAAAAAATGGGATTCTGGGGAGCATATAACAACAATCAAAACAATATCACAATCATAAAAACACTTTAAATATAATAAAAATAAATAAAAGGCAAGATTCCCAGTATTCTTCCAGGACTAGACTAGACTAGACTAGACTAGACTAGACTAGACTAGACTAGACTAGACTAGAATAGAATAGAATAGAATAGAATAGAATAGAATAGAATAGAATAGACCTTGGAGATCTTCTAGTCCCACCCACTGCTCAGGCAGGAAACCCTATACCTATACCATTTCAGACAAATAATTCTCCAAACTCTTTTAATTTACGTCTATAGGCTACACGAGTCATTCTCAGTTCCTTTAAAAAATCTTCTGTCTCAAGAGACTGCTGCAAAGGTTCAGCCTATTTGTCTCCCACATCCAATAGCATAGCACTTTCAACTAGCTGCTCTTCCAACTTTTCTTCTATTATCTCAGGTCGTAAAGATAATGGAGAACCCACCTTCAAAACCGAAATGTAAAGATCTTTCGCCTTTGACATTGTATTAAGTCTATAATATATCCCCGCATAATTCAGGACTATTCCAACCGGTATATCCTATCTGAATCGAACCTGGCATTTTTTGAGCTCATCAACCAAAAAAGCAAAATCCTTTCTTTTTCTAAGAATTTTTGAAGGTATTTCTTTTAAAATTATAACATCTTGAGCTGCAGTTTGAAATCTCTGCTTATAAAAAGCCTGTAAAATTTCATTATGATCTAGAAAAATAGATAACCACATCTCGTGGCAAATTCCTTTGTCTCACAACCCTAGAATTAACCCTAAAAACTTTTTCCATCTCTCTCAATATTTCTTCAGGCTCAGCCCCCAAAATAAGAGCTATATCTTTTACCACCACTTGTCTCAAATCCTCTTGAATATTTTCCTTCATTCCCCTTATTCTTAAAGCAAATTCCATGTTTTTGTATTGTAACATAGTAACTTCATCCTGTATTATTTCCACATTATTTTCCACTTTGTCAATTCGATCTTCCAGTTTTTCAAAATTTTCCACATCATCAATACGCTCATCCAGAAGATCTATGTGACCAACAAACTTTTGAAACGCAAACGCTATGTCCTCTGTCAATTTCATGAATTTATTTTCAATAAAAACCTCCATCTCTTCTTTAATCTGTCGTGCCTTTTTTTCCAAGGCATCCTGTAAATCTTTAAGTATACATGCTGGAGACAATGGAGAAGGTGGTGGAAACTTAGACTTCGCTTGCTGAGCTGTCTGCATTACCGGGAAGATCGAGGCTTTAGAAGCAACAGAAACAAAATTTCACGTGATCTTGATTCTCTCCCTCTGTTAATGCAGCCTAGCAGTGTGCTGGCTTTTTGGGCAGCTGCAGTGTGCCTGCAGCACAAATTCAGAGGCATCGTCTCCATTATTTCCAGTTTCTGTATTGCTTCTTTATTTCATATAAAAAAGTAAACACAAGAAGTCCTTGACTTACAACAGTTCATTTAGTGACTGTTCAAAGTTACAACAGCATTGAAAAAAGGGACTTAGAACCGTGTTTCACACTTACGACCATTGAAGTATCCCCATGGTCACGTGATCAAAATTCAGGTGCTTGGCAGCTGGCTCATATTGAAACCGGCTGATATCCCGAGATCCTGTGATCTCCTTTTGCGACCTTCTTACAAGCAAAGTCAATGGGGAAGCCAGATCCACTTAACAATTGTGTTACTAAACTGCAGTGATTCACTTAACAGCTATGGCAAGAAAGTTTGTAAAATTGGGCGAAAACTCACTTAAATGTCTCGCTTAGCAACAGAAATGTTGGGGCTCAATTTTGGTCATAAGCCAAGGACCACCTATGTCACAAAGAGCTCCGTGATCAAGGGTGGAGCTGAATCTGGGTTTTATGCAGGGCCAATTTAACTCCTTCGCCCTGTGCTCCCCTCTCAACTTTCCACTCTGCTTCCTTCTCTAGATACAGTTGCTGATTCGTGTGATCCTAAAGCTGCTGAGATTGTAGGAGGCAACTATACTCTCCTGGAAGATGGAACCACATTGCTCTATGAGTGTCCTCAGGGGCAGTATCCACATCCGACACAATTCCGGTTTTGTAAGGATGGCAACCAGTGGAGCCCCTTGACCGGCAGGGATGGCAGGATTGTCGAGCAGGCTGTGTGTCAAGGTACGTTGGTTCATTTCTCAACAGAAAGGCATTGTATGACATCCCCCCTCTTTCTCTTGTACTTTATCGCCAACCAAGTCCTGGGTTTTCCACCAAAGACCTTTTGTAAGTGTATAAAAAACTGTAGGAGTCGCTAGCAGCTCAAGGTTTATTCAAAGTGCAAAAGTATGTTTATTTTTCTTTTATCTATTGAAAAAAACCACTCTGGAAGGCTTATAACCAATAAAACAAGAATAAAAAGAACAAGAATAACACTAAAAGCGGGGAAAGCAGCCTGCAACCCCGAAGCATTCCCACCACCGTTTAATTTTTAACTTATTCTATCTGTGTTTTTATTTGGCTCCCATTTTCCTCAACTTGATATGTATTGTGTTTTTATGTGGTTGTCATACTTTTATCTGCAAGCCGCCCAGAGTCACTCTAAGAGTGAGAGGGGCAGAATCTATGTTTGATAAATAAAAAGAAGTCTGGGTGGCACAGTGGTTAAATGTAATGCTGTAGACAAACTCTGTCTACAGTCCGGAGTTCGATCTTGACAAGCCCAAGGTTAATGCAGATTTCCATCCTTCTGAGGTCAGTAAAATGAGGGCCTGGATTGTTGGGGGCAATATGCAAATAAGGGTTACTTCGTAAACCACCCAGAGAGTGCTGTGTAGGGGGCAGTATATAAGTCTAAATCAGGGGTCCTCAAATTTGGCCCTTTTATGATTTGTGGACTTCAACTCCCAGAATTCCTCAGCCAGCGTGCCTGGCTGAGGAATTCTGGGAGTTGAAGTCCACAAGTCATAAAAGGGCCAAGTGTGAAAACCCCTGGGATAAGTGAATATAAATGGCTACTTGGTTGTGTGTTGAGGTGCCACTAGTGCAGGAGTCTTCAAACTTGGCCCTTTTATGACTTGTGGACTTCCTCAGGCTGACTGAAGAATTCTGGGAGTTGAAGTCCACAAGTCATAAAAGGGCCAAGTTTGAAGACCCCTGGTCTAAATGCTATTGCTATTGTTTTGCTAGAGTCACACTTCTCTGCTGCACCCATGCTATCATCATCGCTTGACTTCGCCTTGTCCCAATTTTCCCGAGATGGGTAGGGTGTTCCGGAGGGCAGGGGAAAGTCATGCTTCCAAAGACCTACAAATAGTCCTTGACTTACAACCACAACTGAGCCCAAAACTTCTGTTGCTAAGCGAGATATTTGTTAAGTGAGTTTTGTCCCATTTGATGACCAGTCTTGCCATAGTTCTTAAGTGAATCTCTGCGACGGTTAAGTTGCTAACACAATTGTTAAGTGAATCTGGCTTCCCCATGGCCATTCTTTGTCAGAAAGTTGCAAAAGTGGCCACCTGACCTTGGGACACTACAACCGTCATAAATATGAGTCAGTTGCCAAGCATTTGAATTTTGATCACGTGACCCTGGGGATGCCATAATGGTCATAAGTATGAAAAATGGTCATAAGTCACTTCAGTGCCCTTGTAACTTTGAACAATCTCTAGCAATAGCACTTAGATTTGTATACCACTTCATAGTGCTTTATAGCACTCTGTAAGCAGTTTACAGAGTCCGCATATTGCCCCCCACAAATCTGGGTCCTCGTTTTACTGACCTCAGAAGGATGAAAGGCTGAGTCAACCTTGAGCTGGACAGGATCAAACTTCTGGCAGTGGGCAGAGTTTGCCTGCAATACTGTATTCTAACCACTGCACCACCACGGCTCTCTAAACAAATGGTTGTAAGTTGAGGATAACCTGTAGTGATATTTGTTCCTTCCTCTCATTACTTCCTTCACTGTTGCTTCTAGGCATGTCATAGTCTATGGAATTAATGGTGGTTTCACAATTGTCTCAGATAAGCAGGGCCAGAATGATTGTAAATGATGGAACTGGAAGGAGAGGGAGCTGGGATTGGATAAGATATGGAGAAAAATTTACTGATATTTTCTCTTCCATCCAGCCATCCGATGTGTCAGGCCTCTGGAATTTGAGAATGGTGTTTTCGAGACCTTCCAGCAATTTTACGACATAAACCAGGAGCTGAGGTTCGCTTGCTATGATGGATACCAGCTGCGGGGCTCCCAGATTCGTACCTGTCTCCCCAGTGGGAAATGGAGTGGAGAAACAGCCATATGTGATGATGGAAGTGAGTCTGACGATCATTTGTGATCAAGGCCTACCATTTCTTCCCTTTGGGGAAATGGCTATCTAAATGTAAATTCTCAATCATCCAGGTCATGGTTGTACCAAAAGTGCTTCTGAACGGAACTAAAGAAGCTTCTTGGATGAGAAGCAAAATGTTTCCAAAGAAGCATTTTGGGGGTATAGCTCAGTGGTAGAGCATTTGACTGCAGATCAAGAGGTCCCTGGTTCAAGTCCGGGTGCCCCCTCCTTTTAGAAAGAGTACAGAGAAGAGCAACAAAGATGATTACTGGAGGCTAAAACATATAAGGAACGGCTGCTGGAATTGGTATGTCTAGTTTAATGAAGAGAAGGACAAAGGGGGACATGATAGCAGTGTTCCAATATCTCAAGGGCTGCCACAAAGAAGAGGGAGTCAAGCTATTCTCCAAAGCACCAGAAATGTCCAAAATGGTATAGGGTTTCCTGCCTGAGCAGGGGGTTGGACTAGATGACCTCCAAGGTCCCTTTCAACATTATTATTATTATTATTATTAAAACATGAGGTACTAATACCACTCTATAAAGCCTTAGTAAGACCACATCTTGAATACTGCAACCAGTTTTGATCTCCACACTATAAAAAAGATGTTGAGAGAATGCAGAGAAGAGCAACAAAGATGATTAGGGGACTGGAGGCTAAAAAACACATAAAGAACGGTTACTAGAATTGGGTATGTCTAGTTTAATTAAAAGAAGGACTAGAGGTGACATAATAGCAGTGTTCCAATATTGGAGGGGCTCTCATAGAGAGGAGGGGGTCAACCTATTTTCCAAAGCACCTGAAGGCTAGACAAGGAATAATGGATGGAAAATGATCAAGGAGAGATTTAACCTGGAAATAAGGAGAAATTTTCTGACAGTGAGAACAATCAACCAATGGACATAGGCTGCCTTCAGTTGTTGTTGGTGCTTCATTACCGGAGGCTTTCAGGAAGAGACTGGACTGCCATCTGTCAGAAATGGTGTAGGGACTCCTGCTTAGGCAAGAGGTTGGACTAGATGACCTACAACAGTGATGGCGAACCTTTTAGAGACCGAGTGCCCAAAAACTGGCCCCGCCCCTGCTCCAACCCTTGCTCCGCCCCCACCCCGTCCCCCACCCCGCCTGCCCGCAGGGCCACTCACCGCCTCCAGGGCCCACCGCAGATCGCCCAGGCGGCCCAGCAGCACCATGGCGGCCACGGCTTCTGCCCACGCCCCACAACATCAACTGTGCGGGATGGGGCACGAGGGCAGAGTCTTGTCTACGCTGCCTGATTGCCATGTCCTTGGCTGCAATGTTCTGTGTGGGCCACGCTTGGGGGCGACTCTCCTCCAGGGTGGCTGCTGGTGAGGAGGGGGTCGTGGAGGGAAGGCGAGGCTGGGGCAATGGCACGTGTGCCCACAGAGAAGGCTCTGAGTGCCGCCTCTGGCACGTGTGCCATAGGTTCGCCACCACTGACCTACAAGGTCCCTTCCAACTCTGTTATTCTGTAAAAAAGCCAAGAAAGTTCATTGCCTTTTGGAAAAGCACCTTTGGGATTCCCTTTGGAGAACGTATTCATGATCTGAACATAGTTTTCCTTGGCCTGCTGCATCCTTCTTGGCAGATTCTAACAGACTTTTTTGCTACTGGATAAGCCAGCGGGTCAGGGCTTGCATCACTGTCCGCCATCTTGTCCTTACCCTCAGAGGTCTATGAAGATAAGCTTTCCTTCCTCACTTTGTGCCCTTCAAATGAACATGCTAGCTCAGGAGGATGTGCCTTGTAGTCTTCTTTAGGGATAGAGGAGGTTGCAGCTAAGAAGCAGCTGCCAATAGCCTATCAAAGTCCAAAGACTTAAATTCACATCGGAATACCAACTGATTTTTCATACTACTTATCCTGTTTCAGACTGACCTTGAAATAGAGTGGGAAGCAATTCACAGGTAGTCCTCAGATTTATGACCGCAATGAAGCCTGGAATATGAAGCTGCATTTGTAAATCGTGGCATCACCTGAGTAGACCTGATTTTTCTACATTTTGCCACTGTTGTTAAGTGAAAGCTATAGTCATTAAGCAAACACTGCGGTCATTAAACAAATAAATTTTCCCCAATGGGTATTTTTTTGCCAGAAATTGGAAGTAAATGCTGAAACTGGCAAAAAACAGTCCCAGTTGTGGCTACATAACCACAGGATGCTACAAACAGCCATAAAGGTGAGCCAGTTGCCCAAGCACCCAAAATGTGATCATGTGACAGGGAGGCAGTAGAGACCATTGTAACTTTGAAAACAGATTTTAAATGGCTTTTGGAGAGCTACATCTTAAGTTTGAATGATCCTTAAGCAACCAGTTGTAAATTGAGGAATATCTGGACTAAAAAATAGCAGACAATTAGAAAGGTGAGCTGATGTTTATTTAGCATAGACTAGGGGTAGGCAATCTTGCCTCTTTTATGACTCGTGGACTTCAACTCCCAGAATTCCTGAGCCAGCATGGCTCAGCTTGGAAACCCCTCCCTTTTCTCTCAGCATGGCTGGCTCAGGAATTCTGGGAGTTGAAGTCCATGAGTCATAAAAGAGCCGAGGTTGCCTACCCCTGGCATAGACATTCAAGTAACATTTACAGGAGAAGAACAGCAAGGTGACAAGCATCAAGAACTTGTGCTCCCCAACAATGCTCACAGAAAGTATAAGGGCAAAGAAATAGCATAATCGAATCCTAGCTCAAATATTTGTTTTTCAACCAATTCTAAGATATGTGGTCTTCCACACACATTATCTAAGGAGCTGCCACAAAGAAGAGGGAGTCAACCATTCTGCAAAGGACCTGAAGGGAGGACAAGAAGCCACGGATGGAAACTAATCAGGAAAGAAGCAACTTAGAAATAAGATGAAATTTCCTGACAGTCAGAACAATTAATCAGGGGAACGACTTGACTCCAGAAGTTGTGAGTGCTCCATCACTGGAGGTTTTTAAGAAGAGATTGGACAACGATTTGTCTGAAATGGTATAGGGTCTTCTGCTTGAGCAGGGGGTTGGACTAGAAGACCTCCAAGGTCCCTTCCGTTATTCTGTTAATTCTTAACATTCTTGAAGTCCACACATCTTCAAGTTGAGAAACACTGGTCTAGAACGCCAGAATTCAAAACCAATGTTTTCTCAAGGAATTTTTATCATACGTTGACGATGCACTGTCTCGTTTGATGTTTGGTTTAACTGTTTGCCCCCTGGAGTCCTTGGGAATGCGGTGGCGCAAAAAAAATTGAATTTGCAGATAAATAAATAAATCGGTGTGTAATTCCCTCCCCCTCTCATTTTCAGCCGGCCATTGTCCTGATCCAGGAATTCCAATCGGTGCTCGAAAATACGGCACAGAGTACCAAGCAGATAGTACGGTCCGCTACCAGTGTTTGAGAGGGTTGTCTCTTATCGGATCTAAGGAAAGAGTTTGTCAAAGATCAGGAACTTGGAGTGGATCGGAACCAGAATGTCGAAGTGAGTAAACGGGGTAGGAAAAGACGGGCTTAGCATCTGAAAAGGTGAATCTAGAACTGTTATTGTTTTCTCTCTTTTTTTGGCATTATGCAACTTCCGTATTATTATTATTTTCTACTTTACACACACACACACACACAGACACAAACACAAAACAATACTGGGAAATAAATTCACTGTCTCCTTCTTTTCTTTCCCAGGCCCGTTCACCTTTGATTCTAAAGAAGAAATCAAGACCAAGTTCCTTCCATCCCTCACTGAAGTTGCTTTGTCTGCCAGTCAAGGTAGTAACGCCCTTAAATTTTTGTAATCACGATAGGATAGGAGACTGGAACATCACTTTATACTGTTCTTTAACTGGAAAGATATCATTTTTCTATCATCCTTGGTAGAAGGACTACTTGTTGAAGATTCTATTACAATACACTTCTGATTGGCTGCCAGCCCTGCAAGGTGGGCCAGGTCAGGAAGCTAACTGAAAAAGGCTATTAAGAGGTTGCCAGAATTTCCTTCCACCCCATCTTAAGCCAAGCAGAATCAAGGTGTGGGGAGATGTGCCCTGGACATCTTTAGGGGGAGAAAAGAGCACAGTAATGTCATGCTGCAAACCTTATCAGGGTCTCCAAACTTGCCAACTGTAAGACTTGTGGACTTCAACTCCCAGAATTCCCCAGCCAGCATTCACAAGCCTTAAAATTGCCAAGTTTGGAGGCCAACACTCCAGAAGACAGGCTCAAGATCCAGACGGATCTCAACAGACTTGAATACTGGGTCCTATCTAACAAAATGAAATTCAATGTAGAGAAAAGTAAGGTTTTATATTTAGGCAAGAAAAATCAATTGTAGGGGTACAGATGAGGTGCAACCTGGCTCAATAGCAGTAATTGCGAGAGAGATCTTGGAGTCCTAGTAGACAATTACTTAAATATGAGCCAGCAATGTGCAGCACAGAAGCCAAAAAAGGCAGCACAAACCTAGGTTGCATTAACAGAAGGATAGAATCAAGATCACGTGAAGTGTTAGCTCCGCTTTATAAAGCCTTGGTAAGGCCACACCTGGAATATTGCATCCAGTTTTGGTCACCACGCGGTTAAAAAAGATGTTGAGACTCCAGAAAGAGTGCAGAGAAAAGCAACAATGATTAGGGGACTGGAAGCTAAAATATATGAAGAACAGTTGCAGGAATTGGGTATCTCTAGCCTTGAAAAAAGAAGGAATAGGGGTGATATGATAGCAGTGTTCCAATATCTAAAGGGCTGCCACAAAGAAAAGGGGGGGGGTCAACCTATTTTCCAAAACTCCTGCCTGAGCATTGAGTTGGACTAGAAGACCACCGAGGTCCCTTCCAACTCTTGTTATTCTATTAATCTGTTAGACCTTCTGCCTTATGTACGGGCATTTAACACGGGGACACAAGAATTTTATTTTTATTTTACTCATACACTCGCTTTATTATTTTTACAAATAACTCAAGGCTGCAAACATATCCAACAGATCTTCCTTCTCCTATTTTCCTCACAACAACATCCCTGCAAGGTGGGTTGGGCTGAGAGAAAGTGCCTAGTCCAAGGTCACCCTGCCGGCTTTCATGGCTAAGGTGGGACTTGAACTCACAGTCTCTGGCTTTCTAGCCTGGGGCCTTAACTACTAGACCAGGGGTAGGCAACCTTGGCTCTTTTATGACTCGTGGACTTCAACTCCCAGAATTCCTGAGCCAACCATGCTGAGGGGAAAGGGAGAGGTTTCCAAGCTGAGCCATGTTGGCTCAGGAATTCTGGGAGTTGAAGTCCACGAGTCATAAAAGAGCCAGGGTTGCCTACCCCTGCACTAGACCAAACTGGCTCTCTTTTTTTCATAATTTGGGATTTCATAATTTTGTTGTGACACACATGTCCAAATGATTGCACCCTCATGTTCCCTGGCCTGTTTTTTTTTTTTAAACATTAGGCTTAAATTATTATTATTATTTCTCTCAGGAGCATCAGCTAACAACAAAAGTGACCAACTTAATATCTACTTTATCCTTGACGCCTCACAAAGCTTTGGCCGAACAAGATTCGCAAAGGCTAAGGAAGCTTTGGTCAAGTTAATTGAGAAGGTAAGTTCCATTTTGAAAGCTTCCTTAACCTGGTTTGTTTCAACAGAACTGAAAGCAGCTTGAACTACATGACCTGTGCTCCAGGGTTGATAATATTCCTAGAAAGCTCTAATGGCACATGGAGGAAGGGCAGATAGCTTTTGGAAAAATGGGGATAGGGTCATTTTTTGAGCAGTGGCCAAACTATAGAAATTTCCTTGTTAAGTAGGCCAGGGGTCCCCAACCCCCGGGCCATAGACTGGCACCAGCACCAGTCCACAGCATGCCAGAAACTAGTCCATGCAAGCAAGCGAAGCCCCATCCATGGGATGCAGGCAGCTGGCAAAACCACACCTTCTCTCGTCTGCGGAAAAACCTCTCTCCACAAAACCGGTCCCTGGTGCCCAAAAGGTTGGGGACTGCTGAAGCAGGCAACAAGCATACAGTATATATATATAAGCTATCTATTCTGAGACGTGATACAGGTAATAATCAAATTTACGAGCATTCCTGTAAATACTGTTCAAAAATTACAATTCTGCTGAAAAAGGTTATTTGCAACCAGTTCTCACACTTAGCCACTATGGCAGTGTCCCCAATCCGAAATTCGTGCACTTGGTAACTTGGCGTGTATTTATGACAGTTTCGGCATCCCGGGGTCATGTGACCACCATTTGGGACCTTCCCGGGAGGCTTCCAAACCAGCAAAATTTAGGGGGAGAAACTGGATTTGCTTAATGACCGAGTGATTCACTTAATGAGCAAAAAAAGGTCGCACAAGTGGCACAATTCACTTAACGACTGCATCACTTAGCGATGGAAGCTCCGGTCCCCAGTTGTTTTTCGTAAGTTGAGGACTACCGGTATGACTTCTAATAAATAAATAAATAAATAAAAACCGTACAAATTCTAAGGCCAAACTCATTTAACAACTGTCTCGCTTAGCCACAAAAATGTTAAGGCCAGTTATGGTCGTAAATCAAGGATTACCTATAGTTTTGGGAGGTGCTTTGAGATGGAGTGCCAAAAAGTTACTGTATATCGCAGCCATCTCAATGGTTTTGAAATCCTTTTTTCCTGTATGAACTATGCTGGCTGGGGAATTCTGGGAGTTGAAGTCCACAAAGTTGCCAGATTTGGAGACCCCTGCCCTAGCATAAGATCCTTCCAGAAATCCCATTACCTGCTTATTGATCTTGCCTGCCTTGAAGGGCATCAGCTGAGACCTCTGGTTTTTCAGAGGAGGAGGAGAAGGAGGAGGCATCAAGTCATTTCTGATTCCTAGTGACCACACAGATGGATTTCCTCCTTGATCCTCTATCCCAGTGTTTCTCAACCTTGACAATTTTAAGGCATGTGGACTTCAACTCCCAGAATTCCACAGCCAGCAATGCTGGCTGTGGAATTCTGGGAGTTGAAGTCCACATGCCTTAAAATTGTCAAGGTTGAGAAACACTGCTCTATCCCTAACCGGTTCTTTCAAGTCTCATTTCAATCACCTTGCAAACTGAACCCAGGAATCAAAATATCTTAGATCAGTGGCCCTCAACTGTTTGGGCATCTGTGACCAGTTCCATGGAGAAAGGTTTTTCCGCAGACTGGAGGGGACGTGGTTTTGCATGCTGCCTCAATTCTGCGGATGGAGCTTCGCTTGTTTGCATGGTCCAGTTGCGGGCATGCCACGGACCGGCCTACGGTCCACGGATCATGGGTTGGGGACTCCTGTCTTAGATAGTTTGCTTTTTGCTTAGATGGTTTGAATTAAGGTGACCAACTTTTTTACAATGAAAAGGAGGACACAAGTAGATTGAAGAAAAAATATCGTAAATAAAAGAAACATTTTATTCATTGCAACAATAATACAGAAAACTTGCACGAGCAAAGTTTGCCAGCCGGGTGTTTTGGTGCTCTCAGCAGCAATTCCTATTGGCTTTCGAAAGCCAATAGGGGGAGTAGCACAGCTCAGGCAAAAGTTGAAAAAAAAAACCATCAAAAAAAAGGTGCCAGAAGGCTGTTCTGAGTGTTCTATGAGAAAAAAAAGCCCTGCAGATTAGTCTTCAAATATTGAAAAGGAGGACATGTAGGAGGACACTTTTCAAGGGAGGACAGAACTTACAAAAGGAGGACTGTCCTCCCTAAAGGAGGATGGTTGGTCACCTTATTTGAATGGTTCTTGGTGCTCTCTGAACTTGCTTATTTTCTTGCAGACATTTCATTACCAAACTAGGTAACGTCATCAGTGCTAGTAAGGCTGGAATTTGCTCTCAGTTTATATTCTAGCGCAGGGGTGTCAAACTGACAGCCTGCAGGCCGGATGCATCACACGCTTAGGGCATGCCCACCCCGGCTCTGCAAAAGGCAAAAAAATGTTGTGATACGTCACGGTACATCACGTGACGCGATCGAGTTTGACACCCGTGTTCTAGTGCCTTTCCCTGTCAATGTTGGTGGGGGTGGTCTTAGAGCAGGGGTCTTCAAACCTGGCCCTTTTATGACTTGTGGACTTCAACTCCCAGAATTCCTCACCCAGGAACGCTGGCTGAGGAATTCTAGGAGTTGAAGTCCACAAGTCATAAAAGGGCCAAGTTTGAAGACCCCTGTCTTAGAGCTTCTTTGGTTAGGCTGTTTACTGTTGGCATATTTGGCATTTTCTTGATTGGGGTATTGTTTACTTGATTACTGGTCTGATGGCAATCTTGGAGCTAATTTATGCTGATCCAGGTGCTTGGGTCTTTTTGTTCCCTTTTTTGGCTGGATGATAGACTCTTTTGCATAGTCTATAATTGTTGTTAATGTCTACGTGTCTACTGATGCCTAATTTGTCAGAGTGCCAGGCTTCCAGAAATTCCCTGGCATTTTTGGATTTGGCTTGGTCTAGAACAGTGGTTCTCAACCTTTTTAATGCCGCGACCCCCAACTGGTTGTAAATCAAGGACTACTCAACCAGTCGTACGTCGAGGACTACTCAACTGGTGCAGCACTGTTTGCAGAATGGGACTTTTGGTGGGCTCAGCAGGGCAGAGACAGCCTGGACAATTCCTATTGGCTTTTGAAAGCCAATAGAATTGGACTCTATTCAAGAGAGTCTCTTCTATTGGCTTTCAAAAGCCAATAGAATAAAAGGGAGTAGCACAGCTAAGGAAAAGGGGGAAAAAAATGGCGGACTGCGTTGTTTGGCGACCTCCGTGAAATGGTCGTTCGACCCCAAATGGGGTCCCGACCCAGAGGTTGAGAACCACTGGTCTAGAATAATCACATTTTCCCAATTGAAACTATGGTTAAATCTGTTTATCGTTTGGGGTAACTGCTGCCAAGGTGGCGCAGCAGTTAGAGTGCAGTACTGCAGGCCACTTTAGCTGACTGTGTTCAGCAGGTCAGCGGTTCAAATCTCACCGGCTCAAAGTTGACTCAGCCTTCCATCCTTCCGGGGTAGGTAAAATGAGGACCCAGATTGTTGGGGGCAATGTAAAATATATATATATATATACATTGCTTACTGGTGTACACCGCTTAGAGAGTGCTTGCACTTAAAAGCGGTATATAAGTCTCATAAATAAATAAATAAATAAATTTGCTTTTGGGGAACTTAAAGCAAAATTTATCAGAAGCGGTTGAATGGGATTTTTTTAAACCCCTTGGCTTTTTTGTTTTTTGTTTTAGATCTCCAGCTATGACCTCCTTCCCAAGTATGGCATTGTGACTTTTGCCACTTATAGCAGGATAGTTCTGAGTACAATTGATCCACAGAGTAGTGATGCCGACTGGGTGTCTCAATTGCTGAGCTCCATCAGCACCGATGGTGAGCATGCTGGGTTAAAAAAAAGAAAGAAAAGAAAAAAAGAAATGTAAATAACAGGTAGTTCTCCACTTACGACCGCAATTGAGCCCAAAATGTCTGTTGCTAAGCAAGACATTTGTTGTATCTTTGGCCCCCTTTTAGGACCTTGCTTGGCACGGTTGTTAACGTGAATCTTAAGTTCTTCATTTAATAAGCCAGTTGTTAAGTGAATCTGGCTTCCCCATTGACTTTGCTTATCAGAAGGTCACAAAATGTGATCACATGACCCCGGGACACTGCGACCGTCATCAATATGAATCCATTGCCAAGCTTTTCCTTTTGCATCACGTGACCCTGGGGATGCTGCAACGGTCGCGTGAAAAATGGCCATAAATCACTCTTTTCATTGCCGTTGTATCTTCAATGGTCACTAAATGAATGCTGTAAATTGAGGACTATCTGTATATTTGTGCAGTGGTAGGCAAGTCCTTTCTTTCACGTATGAGGGCAGAAAAAAAATTTTTTTTTTATTTATTTTAATCAATTTCACCCTGTGGTCAGACACACGAAATTTCCTTGTAAACACCTGCAAATTGGTTGGAAAATGAATGTCATTTATTACCACTGTAATTGTGGATGGTCACTAACCAAGATAGTCCCAAGGTGCTTTTTTGGTCAAAAGGCAATTGAGCTTTGTTTTTCCAAGACGCTTCTTCAGCTCTGACTGAATGGTGGAGGGTGGAAGGATTTATATTCCTTGCAGTCATCTGGTTGTTAGCGCTCTTTCTGAGAGTTGTCAAGACCACCTGGAGGTTTAACTGTGCCCTCAGGGTCACCTGAATAGTGCAAATGGATCTGGAACATTATTGGAACTGCTAAAAGGACTGTACTGTAAACAGGAGACTTCAGAAATTCTAAGAGGTTTCCACACCTATTTGCACTATTCAGGTACGCTGAGGGCACAGATAAACCTCCAAGTGATCTCAACAACTCTCAGAAAGAGCGCTAACGACCAGATGACCCTTCAGTCAGAACTGAAGAAGTTTCTTGGGTGCGTAGCAAAATGTCTTCAAGGGAAAGCAAAGTCCAGTTGCCTTTTGAAAAAAGAGCACCTTTGGGACAATTATGACTTGGATATTGAGAACCTCCACAGACAACTAATCAAGATAGTCACTAAATGAGGAGTGGCTAAAAATCTCGCGACACTCTGTAATGTACTCATCAGGGTTGAGTTCATGTTAGCTGTAGAGATGCTTTTTTCATCTCATGCTCCAATAAAGGAAAATGTTCATGGTTCAGGGTTGAAATGAAGGGTCCTTAGTGCGCTCTGAGCCTGGTTGCCCAGATGAGCATAGATGAACTCCAAGCTCAACATCAGGCCAACAATCAAGAAGTAAACAACACCTCAATCAAGGAACTACCAAACAAGCCAACATCAAACAGTCTAACCAAAGAGCCTCCAAGACCATCCCCACCAATACTGACAGGCAGTGCTTTTTTTGTAAAAAAAAAAAAAAAAAAAGTGTCAGAACTCACACATGTCATACAACCCGCCTTGCCTATCCTACAAGGTTCCATCCAAAAAAGGTGCCGGAACTCCGTTCTGGGCATTCTATGAGAAAAAAAGCCCTGCTGACAGGGCAAGCCACTAGAACAGGGGTAGGCAACCTTGGCTCTTTTGTGACTCGTGGACTTCAACTCCCAGAATTCCTGAGCCAGCCATGCTGAGGGGAAAGGGAGAGGTTTCCAAGCTGAGCCATGCTGGCTCAGGAATTCTGGGAGTTGAAGTCCACGAGTCATAAAAGAGCCAAGGTTGCCTACCCCTGCACTAGAATATAAACTGAGAGCAAATTCCATTCCTTACTAGGACTGATGATGTTACCTAGATTGGGTAATGAAATATCTGCAGGAAAACAACCAAACTCAGAAAGCACCAAGTTCCCTTCATCTCGTGTTCCCTCTGTTAGGCTTACTGGGACTCATTAAGGATCACCAACTAGAGCACGAGTCAACTTTGTATTTTGATTTTCCAGTGCATGAGCTGAAGCCTGGAACCAACATCAGGAATGGCTTTCAGTCTGTCTATGAAATTATGACTGCACAGGACTCACAGGAGAAGCGACAGGGGCTGAACCCCACTCCTGTCTCCACCACAGCCCACCATATCATTATCCTCCTAACTGATGGTGAGTAGACCAAGAGGAAAATGCAAACTCTTGAGTTTCTTTGGTGGCTCTTGTTTTGTTATTTGAGAAAGAGTCTTTTAGAGCAGGGCTTTTCAACCAGTGGTACGGGTACCACCTGTGGTACATTGGCACCTGGCAGGTGGTACGCGAGCATCCTAGAAAAGTGATAGCGGGGGAGGGGAATGAGCTGAAGCGGTGGCAGCACCGCACAAGCCTGAGCGAGAGATGGCTGGAGCTGCAGGGCTGTCAGGGCTCAGCGGAAGCGCCAGGATCAGCGCCAGGCTCCATCTGGAACGTGATGCTGATCCTGGCACTTCTGCTGAGCCCAGAAGAAGCGCCAATCAGCTGGAATGTTGCAGCATCTCCAGAGTCTTGTGATTTACATTCAGATGCTTGGCAACTGATTCGTATTTATGACGGTCACAGTGTCCCAAAACCTGCTACAACCACCCAGCAGACGGGGGGGGGAATAAAAACCAAATACCCCCCACCTCACCCCCACTGCCAATCCTCAACAGAAATGCTCACAATAATAAAAACCTCAGACAGGAGGAAGAGTGCAGGCAGGTGCCTTGCTCGGCTGTGGCTTTGGGGGCACTTTTTTCAGTGCCATTGTAACTTCAAACAGTCACTAAGTGAACTGTTGTAAGTCGAGGACTACCTGTACTTTATCACTTTTTTCCTTTTTTTTTTGTTTGTTTTTTGGTCATCAAGTTTCTGACACCTTGGTAGGCGACTGGTGGTACTCGGATATTGCCATGTCCTAAAAGTGGTACAATGGGTGAAAAGGTTGAAAAGCCCTGTTTTAGAGTACCTTATAAAAAGATTATTAAGAGGAGCCATCAGTCATTTCAGGTATTAAGCAGCACAAGGGCTGGTCTGGGAAGGAAGGGAGGGAGGGAGGGAGGGAGGGAGGGAGGAAGAGAGGGAGGGAGGGAAAGGGGGAGGGAGGGAAGGGGGGAGGAAGGGTGGGAAAGGGAGGAAGAGGGAGGGAAGGGGGGAGGAAGGGTGGGAAAGGGAGGAAGAGGGAGGGAAAGGGGGAGGGAGGGAAGGGGGGAGGAAGGGTGGGAAAGGGAGGAAGAGGGAGGGAAAGGGGGAGGGAGGGAAGGGGGGGAGGAAGGGTGGGAAAGGGAGGAAGAGGGAGGGAAAGGGGGAGGGAGGGAAGGGGGGAGGAAGGGTGGGAAAGGGAGGAAGAGGGAGGGAAGGGGGGAGGAAGGGTGGGAAAGGGAGGAAGAGGGAGGGAAAGGGGGAGGGAGGGAAGGGGGGAGGAAGGGTGGGAAAGGGAATAAGAGAAGGAGGAAGGAGAGAAGACAGGAAAGGGAGGGAGGAAAAGGGAAAGGGAGAGGGAAGAAGGAAGGAGAAGGGGGAGGGGAAGGGAAAAGAGGGAGGGGAAGGGAAGAAGAGAGGGAGGAAGGGGAAAGGGGGGGCAGGAGAGGGAGGAAGGGAGGAAATGAGAAAGGAAAGTATGAAGTAAGGAAGGAACAAAGGAGGGAGGGAAGAAATGAGGAAGGGAGAAAAGGAGGAGGAAGAAAGGAGGGAGGGAAAGGGAGGGAAAGGGAGGAAAGGAGGAAGGGAGGAAATGAGGGAGGGAGGGAACAAGGAAGGGAGAAAAGCAGGAAAGGAGGGAAGAAGGGAGGGAAAGAGGAAGGAAGAAAGGAAGGAAGGAAGGAAGGAAAGAAGGAAGGAAGGAAGGAAGGAAGGAAGGAAGGAAGGAAGGAAGGAAGGAAGGAAGGAAGGAAGGAAGGAAGGAGGGAAAGAAGGAAGGGGCAGAAAAAGGACCAAAGGACAATAAAAGTGTTAGTGTGCCAAAGCGCTTTTGGAATATGTTGGAAGTAGAATCCAGGATCGATTATTATTATTTTTTAATTTTTCATAATCTATTTATTCCATTCCTTCCCTCCCCTTATCCCCCAATGAGAGCACGACATGTCAGAATGTCTCTTTACAATAATCATTTCTTTTTCTAGGAAACTACAACTTGGGGGGCTCCCCATCTTTTGTTATCACACAGATCAAGGAGTTTCTTAACATCGGGAGACCTTCCCCAAACCCTCCTGATGATCATTTGGGTAAGGCGACGAAGATCCAGCTTCATTTCACCTTCTTTTTGCATTTCCCTGTCACAGCCAGTTGGGGGCAGAGATTGTTTTATTTCATTTCCACAAATGGCTTTGCTTATTCATCAATATACTACTAAAACTTTTTGTCTGGAACCTTTAATTGGGCAAAACAGTGCATCAGTCAGCAAAGTTTTTCGATGTGTCATTATCCTCCTCGCTGATGGTGAGCGGTTCAAGAGGAAAACGCAAATTCTTGAGTTCCTTTGGATGCTCTTGTTTTGTTGTTTGAGAAAGAATCTTTTAGAGCAGTGGTTCTCAACCTGTGGGTCGGGACCCTATTTGGGGTCGAACGACCATTTCACGGGGGTCGCCAAACAACGCAGTCCACCATTTTTTCCCCCTTTTCCTTAGCTGTGCTACTCCCTTTTATTCTATTGGCTTTTGAAAGCCAATAGAATAGACTCTCTTGAATAGAGTCTAATTCTATTGCTTTCAAAAGCCAATAGGAATTGTCCAGGCTGTCTCTGCCCTGCTGAGCCCGCCAAAAGTCCCATTCTGCAAATGGTGCTGCACCAGTTGAGTAGTCCTCGACGTACGACCAGTTGAGTAGTCCTCGACTTACGACCGGTTGGGGGTCACGGCATTAAAAAGGTTGAGAACCACTACATTAGAGCAGTGGTTCCCACCTTTCCAGCTCTATGGACCGCCGGTGGCGACATGGGGGGGGAGACAGGATGGTACAGTGCAAATGGAATTTCGCATGTGAGCGTGCGCACCTGCTGCTTGTGCAAATGGAGTTTTTCCCACTTGCCTGCTTGCCTGCCACTTGCGCCACCCATTTCCAATGGGCCACAGCCCGGCCCAGTGTTCTGACCCAATTCCCTGAACACAAGAGACGTACCAATAAATCTCCAACAGTCCTTTTATTCAGGAACTCCAGCAGTTTCACACAGCCGCTTGTTCAAGTCTTTAGTTGTCTCCAAACAATGGAGCTCGCTCCCTTTTCCCCTGCAGGGGTCTCCCAAAACCCAGAGTTAATTTCTGTCTCTCCCCATGCTTTTGCAGCAAGAGTCCTTCAGGCAAGCTGGCTCTTTTCAACACGCACACGCTCAGAAGGCGCTCCTGACTCCCAGCGCCATGGGATCCGAGGGAAACTCCGGCAAATTTACAAATCAGAGTCAGGAATTCCAGATAGAAGTGGCTGACTGGCAGAGAAATGAAGAGTAATAACAACAACAACAACAACAACAACAACAATATCCACCTCTGCCTATCCCAGGTCCTTGGTAAGGACTCGATAGGTAGACAAAATGCCAAATCCAGTCTGAACATCTGGCTGACTATGCAATGATCCATAATAATAATAATAATATCAAACATCAAAAACATCTACCAGACTATCCCATCTCCTTTACATGGATGATCTGAAGCTGTATGGAAAAACATCATCTGAAATAGAATCACTGCTCAACACTGTCCGTATATATAGCCAAGATATTGTTATGGAGTTTGGCTTGGACAAATGTGCCACACTTACTATCAAGCAAGGAAAAGTAGTGAAAACTGAAGGAATTAAGATGCCCCACGAAAATAACATTAAGAGTCTGGATGAGGAAGATTACTACAAATACTTGGGTATCCTTCAAGCTGACAACATCAAGCACGCTGAAGTCAAGAAAAAGATTACAGGTGAATACATCAAGAGAATGAAGAAGATCTTAAAGTCCAAACTCAATGGAGGAAATACCATAAAGGCAATCAACACCTGGGCAATTCCAGTCATTAGGTACACAGCTGGAATAGTGGACTGGACTCAAGCAGAACTAAAAGCAATGGATAGAAGACCAGAAAAATAATGACAATGAATCATGCCCTTCATCCACGCAGTGACATTGACAGACTTTATCTACCAAGGCAAATAGGTGGGCGTGGAATGCTACAAGTACATCAGATGGCTGAAGAAGAAAAAATGGCTTTGGAAGAATATCTGAAGAACAATGATGAAGATGCATTGAAATTAGTACATCAGGAAAGCTTACTGACTACTGGAGAGACCAAACTGGCCTACAAGAAAGACCAAATGAAGAATAGAATAGAGGCATGGGAAGACAAAGCACTACATGGCCAATACATTAAAAAAATAGCTGGGAAAGCAGATAATAACAAGACCTGGCAATGGCTAAGAGCAGGAAAATTGAAGAAAGAGACCGAGGGACTAATTCTGGCTGCACAAGACCAAGCCTTAAGGACAAATGCATATAAAGTCAACATTGAGAAGACAGCAACAGACAGTAAGTGCCGCCTATGCAAAGAAGCTGAAGAAACAGTGGACCACTTGGTAAGCTGTTGCAAGAAGATTGCACAGACTGACTACAAGAAGCGGCATGACAAAATAGCAACAATGGTGCATTGGAAGATCTGCAAAAAATATCATTTGCCTGTAAGCAAAAACTGGTGGGATCATAAAATAGAGAAAGTCATAGAAAATGATAAAATTAAACTGCTCTAGGACTTCAGAATTCAAACAGACAAGCACTTGCAACATAACACTCCAGATTTAACAATTGTCGATAAGAAAGACAAAAAAGTCTGGATAGTGGACGTGGCAGTGCCTGGAGACAGCAGAATAGAAGAGAAAGAACTGGAGAAGATAACAAAATACAAAGACCTACAAATAGAAATAGAAAGACTGTGGCAAAAGCAAGCAAAGGTAGTACCAATAGTAATAGGCTCCTTAGGTGCAATCCCAAAACAATTGGAGCACCACTTGAACACCATTGGCATTGACAAATTCGCTATTAGTCAATTGCAAAAGGCGGCCTTACTAGGAATTGCTTCCATCCTGCGACAATATCTGTAATACCATCAAACATCCACATCTGCCTATCCCAGGTCCTGGGTAAGGACTCGATAGGTAGACAAAATACCAAATCCAGTCTGAACATCTGGCTGACTGTGCGATGATCAATAATGATAAAGTTGGAAGGGACCCTGCAGGTCATCTGGTTGTCTGCCACACCTATTCGTCCTTGCCCCTGCCTTTTATCCACAGCTGAGGGTGGGGCTCTGTTAGCAGCGGTGGCTCTTCCACCCCAAAGACCAGCCCATAGCCTCTCACTGTTCTCCTCTTCTCAGCCTACACCGCGCCCGCGCATCAATCACCGGCCCCATGTGATCCTCCTCTCCTGAATCACTTGCCTCAAGGCATGGAGGTCTCAGCCTTTCCATCTGGGGGCTGGTGCACAGCCCAGGCTCCATCTCTGTCCCTGGCTGTGACAGCTCCATTCTTTCGTCCCCATTTCCCTGACGCTGCGGCCGACACCCACTCCTATGCTTCTTCCTCTGAGTTGGCTGCGGAGTCCTCCGGCCACCGACAGGCCACAACACCCAGGGATTGAGGACCACTATTTTAGAGTACTTTAAAAAAATGATAAGAGAAGCCAGCAGTCATTTTAGCTATTAAGCACTTCATCTTGTCTAGGAAGGGAGGGAGGGAGGGCAATGAAAAGATTGAAGGGCAATGATAGGTTTTAGTGGGTCAAAGTGCTTTTGGAAAATGTCGGAAGTAGAATCCAGGATTTTTTTAAAAATTTCAAACTTTCCATAATCTATTTATTCCATTCGTTCCCTCCAAATGACAGCATGCCGGGTCACCCTTTGCAATAATCATTTCTTTCTTCTAGGCAGCTACCATGTGGGGGACTCCTCATCTCCTGCTGTCCTACAAATAAACATTGGGAGATCTTCCCCAAACCCTCGTGATGATTATTTGGGTAAGGCAATGATCCGTGAGCAGGACAGTTTCATTTCACCTTCTTTGCATTTCACTGTCGCAGCCAGTTGGGGGCAGAGATTGTTTTATTTCATTTCCACGAATTGCTTTGCTTATTTATCGATGTGCTACTACCGTATTTCCTTGAAAATAAGACCCAACCAGAAAATAAGCCCTAGCTTAGGATTTTTTGGGAGCCCCACCCCCAAAATAAGCCCTGATTAAGTTCGTCAGCCAGACGGATGCATTTAATACGTCCATTGCAACACATGACAGATATATTGAATTATAAAATAATAACAATATATAAATAAACATAAATAAATTATATTATTGACATTATGTATTTGAATAAATGTAGATTATTGTACATGAAAAAAAATAAGACATCACCTGAAAATAAGCCCTAATGTATCTTTTGGAGCAAAAATTAATATAAGACCCGGGCTTATTTTCAGAGAAAATGGTAAAACTGTTGTGTCTCTTTTGCCTGGAACCTTTAATTGGGCAAAACTGCATCATTCAGCAAAGTTTTTCAATGTGTTGTTTAAAAGGATTTTTCTGTAATGCAGTTTTAATAACTTACTGGGGAGAAACTAATTACTTGTTTCACTGTGCTATTCCTCTCCTTAACTGATACTTCTGTCCACATTTATCCTAGATATTTATGTCTTTGGTAGCGGCCAGGACATCAACATAAAAGCTATTAATGAATTGGCTTCTCACAAGCCCAATGAGAGACACAGCTTCATTTTGAAGGACTTTGTTGAACTGCAAGAGGTCTTGGAGGAGAGTTTGGGTAATCTGAATTTTCATTTCACTAATTTCATGACTAATCAACTTGGCCCTGATGTACTCAACATTTTGTTTCTCAGAAAAGAAGGCACATATATATACAGAGCTTTTTCCCCGACTTACAATCATACATTTAGTGACTGTTCAAAGTTACAGTGACAGTGACTTATGACCAAATATGAACCTTGTTGCCAAGCATCCAAATTTTGATCCCATGACCGTGGGGATGCAGCAACAGTTGTGTGAAAATGGTCATGTCCCTTTTTTCAGTGCTGTTGTAACTTCCAAATGGGTCACTCAATGAACCGTGTTAAGTCAAGGAATACTTGTAAATCCTTCGTGTATTTTAACAAAAGAAGGCATCACCCCTGCTTTGCGTGAGCTGTTAAGTTTTTTTAGTCCATTTAATTTTTGTAATTTTAATACTTCCTATATTCACAATTGTTTCTAGACTTCTATTTTTATTGCACTGTTAGCAGCCCAGAGTCCCTCTGGATAGTGAGACGGGCAGCATATAAATTTAATATACAAGTAGAAAAAACAACCATAAAAAAACTTTTCTGCAGTTATACCATCCACATCAGAATGACAATAGGTGAAGTGGCTTTAAATACCCAAACAAAATAAAAGATTTGATGGACATCAGAGGAGAAATGGCTGGGAATCTGGGATCAGCAAACTTTCCAAGAAGTGGGTATCAACTTCTTACGATTTTGCATGGTATCATAGATCTAATGATAATCATTGACGATGGCTCGGTTGTTATTAGAGCACTTGCATTTTCATCTGAAATCTCAGAAGAACACTATTACCTTTAAGAGATAATCTCAAAAGAATTTGGTATCTCTTATGCTGGGAAAGATTGAGGACAATAGAAGAAGGGGACGACAGAGAATGAGATGGCTGGAGGGAGTCACTGAAGCAGTAGGTGTGAACTTAAATGGATTCCAGAAAATGGTAGAGGACAGGAAGACCTGGAGGAAGGTTGTCCATGGGGTTGCGATGGGTCGGACACGACTTCGCAATTAACAACAACAATACTTTTTCATACTAAATGTTTAATTTGTGGGCTCAGTAGGCATCCTCTTGAAGTTTGGTGAATCTGTGGGGATATATCCACGAGTACCAAGTTGCCAAACCCACTTCAAAACTTTTCTCTGGTAGTGGTTGTATAGCAGGGGTCCCCAACCTCCAGTCCATGGACCGGCACTGGGCCTTGGCGTGCCAGAAACCCATCCATGCAAACAAGCAAAGTCCCCTCTGTGGAATGCAGGCAGTACACAAAACCACGCTGCCCCCGGTCCGCAGAAAACCCTTTCTCTACAGAACCGGTCCCTGGGGACCTCTGCCGTATAGGAACTATCCATCTACTTTGGTCTGTTTCCATTGCTCTCCTCCCAGGCTATGACGGTCACTTGTTTCCATCTCTTTCCGAAGAATCCAGAAGTCCCACCTCTCTGTCTCCCTTCCAGCCTGTTCATTCCCTCCTGCTTTTTTTTCTAGGAAGTTCTACCTTCCAAAAACATGTCTTTCTATCCTCAGATGATGGTGAATCTTTGCCCATGTGTGGTTTCTCCCCTGGAGAAGCAGCAGCAGATGACTATGAAAAGAATCCCTGGTTTGCAAGAATCGTCATCAATGTAAGACTGACTAGCACTGGGGTAGATAGACACTTTAATTGTGGGCATACGACCAGCACAAAAAGCATTTTTAACCAAAATCAAGCCAATCCAATAAAGCAGGGATGTCAAACTGCCGGCCCACAGGCCGGATGCATCATAGCGAAACCGCGCTTTGCGGTTGCCAGCAACTTTCTTGCTGGCAATGGCAAGAAAGTCGCGCTACGTTGCCACAGGTCATGTGATGTTGAGAGTTTGACACCCCTGCAGTAAAGAGAACCAATAAAATGGGACCAGACAATATACCAAAAGAGAAATCTGCATTCCAAGCATGGAATGTGACAAGTTTCCAAAACCATTTCATTTTTTTCGTGGTTGACCAAAATGAAATATTCCATACTTCCAATAAAGGAATACAGAATAACAGAGTTGTAAGGGACCTTGGTGGTCTTCTAGTCCAACCCCCTGCTCAGGCAGGAAATCCTATGCTGTCCAATCTCTTCCTAAAAATGTCCAGTATCGGAGCACTCACAACTTCTGGAGGCAAGTTGTTCCACTGGTTAATTGTTCTAACTGTCAGGAAGTTTCTCCTTAGTTCTAGGTTGTTTCTCTCCTTGATTAGTTTCCATCCATTGCTTCTTGTCCTGCCTTCAGGTGCTTTGGAGAATAGCTTGACTCCCTCTTCTTTGTGGCAGCCCCTGAGATATTGGAATCTGCTATCATGTCCCCCCTCGTCCTTCTCTTCATTAAACTAGACATACCCAGTTCCAGCAACTTAAATCAGACATACCCAATTCCAGCAACAAGGAGAATATTTATAGCTCAAGGTTGAAATGAAGGGTCCTTGATGCTGTCTGAGCTTGGTTGTTTGTTTGCAGATGTTTCATTACCCTAACTTGGCAATATCATCAATGCTAGTAATCGTGGTGGGAGATAGTAGGACTACTAGCACTGATGATATTACCTAGTTAGGGTAACGAAACATCGCTCAGAGAACACCAAGAACCCTTTATTCCATATTTCAAATGCAGAATTTTGCCCCTAACTGCACAGTGACAAAATGTCTGGCAGAAGGCACTTTGTTCATGCTTCACCAATGCAAGATAATATCGTGACATACATAAGAAGGAGCCCTTTAGTAAAAATGCCATCAAGATAGCAAAGTTTTCTGGGATCTGATTTGTTTTCCTTAACTGTCTTTGTTACTGTCTGTGATTGTGGGGTTGATTCTAAGGTCCAACTCTGTGTTTCTCAAATTTGGCAACTTGAAGATGCTGGTAGGGGGATTCTGGGAGATGAAGTCTACACATCTTCAAGCTGCTAAAGTTGAGAAGGACTGTTTTAAGGTAAGACAGCTGCTGCTCTCCATGATCACAGGATGATTTTTCACGTCTAAATTTTAGGAATCACGGCAAGAAATCTGCAAGGGAGTCATTGTCTCTGACCGGGACATCTTGACAGCTGCCCACTGCTTGGCCAGGATTAATGGAATCGAAGATATCAGTGTCATCCTTGGTAAGCCAAATTCTAATAGGGGCATGGAGATAGAAAGAAGAAGAAGAAGTAGATCACTAACTGGTAAAAAAAGATTTGACTGCTTTGGTCTTGTACCATTAACAGTAGGTCATGATGGTTTAACACAGGGTCCCCAACCCCTGGTCTGTGGCCCGGTACCAGTTCATGGACCGTTAGCAACTGGGCCACACAAGCTGCAGGCGAGTGCATGAATGTGCAAATCTGCATTTGTGCAAGCAGCACGCATGCGCTCAAAACTATCCCGTCTCTCCCCACCATTGCCGGTCCACAGAGCTGGAAAGTTTGGGGACCGCTGGTTTAATATTTCCATGGTTCCATTATTATAATAGCCTCCACCATCTGTGAAGGTTTCCAGGAAGTTCACATTGTCTCTGTCTCTTCTTTAGGAACAACCAACTTTACAGTAGCTGAAATCCGACGCCACCCAGAATACAATAGTGAGAATGTACAAAATAAGGACAGCCCAGAGTTCTATGATTTTGATGTTGCCCTGGTCAAACTCAAAAAGCACCTTCCATCTTTTGCAAGGTAAGTTGAAAGGAGATGAGGGTCAGTGATCGCTGTAAAAGTTGGGTCTGTTGTCAGATGATGTCCCTTTGATTTGTTAATTAAAAACTGTTCAGGTGTGTTGGAAGAAAAATCAGGTCCAGTTCCAAGCCAGGAGTAAGACACTGGAAATAAAATGGAGGCTAAGATACTGGAAATAAAATAGAGACTGACTGCTTAGGAAAGAAAGTTTAATGATGAGCAGAAGCAACAACAGCATGTAGTTCTGGGATAGCTGACAAAATGGAGTTGAGAGTGGTTGGGTTTTTGTGCCTTCTTTGGGCTTTGTGTTTGAGATGCCTGTTGTGAAATGTACTTTGACCTGTGCTTAAGTGTGCCCTTTTGGTATACTCATTATTGTTGCCTGACTCCAACTGTGGCTTGGAGGTCATGTCCTGTCCTTGGAGCTGGGTGGGGAATGTAGATTTTAGGAGTCTTTGTTTTTCTAATCCCATCAGCTCCAGCCTTCCGTGGGGGCTGTGGCTGAAGGCATTTTGCTTACGAATAGTATGGCCCCAGTCTTTCTGAGTGGATTAAAAAAAATCTCCATTTCTAAAGATTGACCTCCTCGGGTTTCTGCCTGAGGAAGAAAGAATGGGGCTGTTTCTGCCTTTGTTAAGATTTTTTTTTCTCCATTTCTCTTTTAGGGGAAATATTCTATCCTGCCTTTTTTAATATTCCCCCAAATATTTCATTCTCTGGGGGGGGGGGGGATGCTGACTTTCTTCAAGTGGGAGGACTGAAAAACAGCACATCTGTGTTCCCTAAAGCAGGAAGTAGGGAGTAAAAAGGGTGAGAATATGGTTAATACTCTGAAAACAGTAAGATTCCAGAAATGATGTACAGGTAGCCCTTGACTTACACTAATTCATTTAGTGACTGTTGACTGTTGACTGTTTAGTACTATAGTACTAAAAAAAGCGACTTATGACCTTTTTTTCATACTCACGACCATAGCAGCATCCCCACAGTCACGTGATCAAAATTCAGATGCTTGGCAACCGACTCATATTTATGACGGTTTGCAGTGTTCAGGGGTCACGTGATCCCCTTTTGTGATCTTCTGTTATGCAAAGTCAATGGGAAAGCCAGATTCACTCAACAACCGTGTTATTCAGCAACTTACTTAACAACTGTGGCAATAAAGGTAATAAAGTGGGGTAAAACTCACTTAACAAATGTCTCACTTAGCAAGAGAAATTTTGGGCTCAATTGTGGTTGTACTTTGAGGACTATCTGTATTGGAAAGCAGTGTGAGAAAGGTGTGCAAGACATTCTGGTTCTAGCATATTCATAATGTTCTGGAACAAAACATTCTAAGCTATGGAGTTTTGTTCTGAATTTGGACAAAATAAGGCATTTCCTTCCTTGTAGTTTCAAGCACTTTGCCATCAGCTTCTCATAGCAAACTTGCACCTTTTTTTAACTGTACATGTTGCCAATTTGCTATAAAAATGTAATGGTTTTAATGAAAACTAACTGTCAGGGCCCAAATTCAAAACGTCATCCTAAGAAAGCAGAACTTGTGGAAGCAGTTTCTTCCAAAAGGAGCTTTTATTAGGAGAAGCTGATAGCAGGCATAATAGACAGGATCTGAGGGTTTCCAGCTCAGATTGATAGGTTAAAAGTATCCCAAGCCAAACCCCACCCCCTGGTTCATCTGGTCAGTTCAAACGGGCCAATCCTCAGGTGTTAAGTCCGTTGTGGGAAAAAGGAGATAACATCAGGCCGTCTCAGCACAGTGGAGACTGTTTTGTCAGCTTTTCACGCCTTCCCTGGTGAATGCAGAGATAAACCAGTTGCCGGAGATGCATTCCTTTCTTCTCCCCCCCCCCCCCCCCCGCCTACTAGCTGACAATGAGGGGAGAGATAGTTCACAGAAGAAATGGGCAGAAACAGCAAAGTGTTACATTGTAGTGATAATGGAAGTCAAAGCAATAACCCACAAGCATTTTCCCCCTCCCCTCCAGGAGTATGGCAGAACCCAGGAAAGGAAAAGAATAAGGTTTGGGTTGTTGCAACGAAGAAAAAGGGGACTGTTAAGATATGGGTTCTGACACTAATACACTTGGCCAATGCAGGTGGTTCTCGGCTTATGACCACAACTGAGCCCAAAATTTCCGTTGCTAAGTGAGACAGTTGTTAAGTGAGTTTTGTTCCATTTTGTGGCCTTTCTTGCCACAGTTTTTAAATGAATCACTGAAGAGCTGAAGAGCAACAAAGATGATTAGGGGACTGGAGGCTAAAACATATAAGGAATGGTTGCTAGAATTGGGTATGTCTAGTTTAACAAAGAGAAGGACAAGGGGGGACATGATAGCAGTGTTCCAATATCTCAGGGGCTGCCACAAAGAAGAGGGAGTCAAGCTATTCTCCAAAGCACCTGAAGGCAGGACAAGAAGCAACGGATGGAAACTAATCAAGGAGAGAAGCAACCTAGAACTAAGGAGAAACTTCATGACAGTGAGAACAATTAATCAGTGGAACAGCTTGCCTCCAGAAGCAGTAAATGCTCCAACACTGGAAGTTTTTAAGAAGAGACTGGACAGCCATTTGTCCGAAATGGTGTAGGATTTCCTGCCTGAGCAGGGGGTTGGACTAGATGACCTCCAAGGTCCCTTCCAACTTTACTACTATTATTATTATTACTGCAGCTGTTAAATTAGTAGCATGATTGTTAAGTGAATCTGGCTTCCCCATTGACTTTACTTGTCAGAAGGTCGCAAAAGGGGATCACCTGACCCCCCCGGGACATTGCAACCGACATAAATACGAGTCAGTTGCCAAGTATCTGAATTTTGATCACATGGTCATGGGGATGCCGCAACAGTCGCAAATGTGAAAAACGGTCATATGTCACTTTTTTTCAGTGCCGTTTTAACTTTGAATGGTCACTAAACAAAGTGTGGTATGTGGAGGACTACCTGAGTTTCTGTAGGTAAGGTGGTAGACAGCACTTAGAATGGCCTATGCTAGGGGTAATGCATCTGTCCTTGCTCTCTTTAACTTCTTGGCAATCTTCGATACAGATAGTCCTCGACTTACAACTTTTCAGTTAGTGACCGTTCAAAGTTACAAGGGCACTGAAAAAAGGGACTTGAAGCAAAAGATTTTTTTTTTTTACTGTTTTGTGCATATCCCTAATTGTATGATGTGGACCCCATCATGGGAGATATTATAACGATCACTGTCCTTTCCAATAACCTCTTCCTATAGGCCGGTCTGTCTGCCATGTACAATAGAAACCACTCGGATTCTGAGAAAGCCACACCCACAAACCACGTGTAAGGATCACGGTAAGAAGAAAGCTAAGTGTTCAATTCTCAGTAGGCACAACAAACATTTTTAGCATTCCTTCCCCCCCCCCCAACTTCCTTTTGTTTTTCCCCATGAGGCTCTTCCATTTTGTTGGGGGAAGGATCAGCTAAATGTTGATCCATTGGTTGCAACAGGAATTGATCAACCGGTTTGTTGCCTGAACCTAACTATCCGTGTTTCCCAAAAAATAAGACCAGGTCTTATATTAAGTTTTACTCTAAAAGACGTATTAGGGCTTATTCTCCGGTTATTAGGGCTTATTCTCCGGTTGTACCGTATTCAGGGAAGTACGGTACAAAATGCATCTGTCCAGCTGATGTTCTTAATTGGGGCTTATTTGGGGGTGGGGCTTATATTATGAGCATCCTGAAAATTCATACTAGGGCTTCTTTTTCGGTTGGGTCTTCTTTTGGGGGAAACACTGTACAGTAAAAGTGGGTCTGGCCCAAAATCACCCAGCTGTCTTTCATGCCTAAGGTAGAACTAGAATTCATAATCTCCTGGTGATTGGCCCAAAGTCACCCAGCCAGATTTCATGCCTAAGAGGGGACTAGAATTCGCGGTCTCCTGGTTTCTAGCCTGGTGCTAGATCAAACTGTCTCTCCATTAGCCATTCCTGGTTATGAATTATAACTCTTGATTTAATGGACTAGTATAGTGGTTCTCAACCTTTTTAATGCTGCGACCCCCCAACCGGTCGTAAGTCGAGGACTACTCAACCGGTCGTAAGTCGAGGACTACTCAACTGGTGCAGCACCGTTTGCAGAATGGGACTTTTGGCGGGCTCAGCAGGGCAGAGACAGCCTGGACAATTTCTATTGGCTTTTGAAAGCCAATAGAATTAGACTTTATTCAAGAGAGTCTATTCTACTGGTTTTCAAAAGCCAATAGAATAAAAGGGAGTAGCACAGCTAAGGAAAAGGGAGAAAAAATGGCGGACTGCGTTGTTTGGTGACCCCCGTGAAATAGTCGTTCGATCCCAAATGGGGTCCCGACCCACAGGTTGAGAACCACTGGACTAGTAGAAGGAAAGGGGTGTCCATTAAAACCGAATGTCTTTTAAATGTAGTGTTTAATAACAAGAAGAATGAATAGAGTAAGGATGGGGTGTTTTATCCTCTCTCTCTGTCTCTTTCTTTCTCTTTCTTTCTTTCTTTCTTTCTTTCTTTCTTTCTTTCTTTCTTTCTCTCTCTCTCTCTCTCTCTCTCTCTCTCTCTCTCTCTCTCTCTCCCTCCCTCCCTCTCTCATGTTTTTCAGCCTTGGCAACTTTCAGATGTGTGGACTTCAACTCCCAGAATTCCCTAGCCAGCCTTACTGACTGGGAATACTGGGAGTTGAAGTCCACACATCTGAAAGTGGCCAAGTTTGAGAAACACTGGAATGTCAACTCAAATACATCTACATTGGACTTGTACCATATCTAACAGAATAACAGAGTTGGAAGGGACCTTGGAGATCGTCTAGTCCAGTGGTTCTCAACCTTTTTAATGCCGCGACCCCCAACCGGTTGTAAGTCGAAGACTACTCAACCGGTCGTAAGTCGAGGACTACTCAACTGGTGCAGCACCGGTTGCAGAATGGGACTTTTGGCGGGTTCAGCAGGGCAGAGACAGCCTGGACAATTCCTATTGGCTTTTGAAAGCCAATAGAATTAGACTCTATTCAAGAGAGTCTATTCTATTGGCTTTCAAAAGCCAATAGAACAGCGATTCTCAACGTTTGTGTGACGGCGACCCCCGTCACACAAACGTTATGCGCATGTGTGGCGCCGCCCCCGGAGGGGAGAAAATGGCGGATCACCGCCTTTGGCGACCCCCGAAAAATGGTCGATCGACCCCAAATGGGGTCGCAACCCATAGGTTGAGAACCGCTGCAATAGAATAAAAGGGAGTAGCATAGCTAAGGAAAAGGGGGAAAAAAATGGCGGACTGCGTTGTTTGGCGACCCCCGTGAAATGGTCGTTCGACCCCAAATGGGGTCCCGATCCACAGGTTGAGAACCACTGGTCTAGTCCAACCCCTTGCTCAAGCAGGAAACCCTATACCATTTCAGACAAATGGTTGCCCAATCTCTTCTTAAAAACTTCCAGTTAAAGGATTCACAACTTCTGGAGGCAAGTTGTCCTCTTATTAATTGTTCTCACTATTAGGAAATTTCTCCCTAGTTCTATGCTGGTTCTCTCCTTGCTTAGTTTCCATCCACTGCTTCTTGGTGCTTTGGAGAATAGCCTGACTCCCTCTTCTTTGTGGCAGCCCCTCAGATATTGGAACACTGCTATCATGTCCCTCCTCATCCTTCTCTTCACTAAACTAGACATGCCCTAGATTGGGATGCTTTTAATAATTTATGGAATGTTTTAAATTACTAGGATAGATTTCTTGTATGACAATAAAGACATGATAAGGCATGATAAGCTGGAGAAAATTTGAACTTTGTTTAATGAATAAGAATGAATCAAGGTTTAGTATTATTCTGTTATTTTAAAGAGATGGATTGACTTTGGGATTACATATATATATAGGGCTGATCAATATTTTATTGCTATTAAGATATCTATTGTAGAGTGGAAGAAGAAATAAATGAGTTTGGTATAAAATGAGGGATGTGAGAGATTAAGAATTAGAATCGACAATTTTTTGATTTAAATTTAAACTATTGTATTTGTAAACTGATGAAGTTATAACACAGGTTTAATAGTGATAGAAATTTAAAATAGAAATGGAATATTTAAATATATTATGTTAACTGAGGGGCATAGAGAGGGGATAGTGAAATTTATTGAGTTGTGTTTTTTATATATATTTTCACTTTTGAATGTTTGACCACCTAACCATCACGGTGGGTCTTGAGTACTTTTTGTTTAAGAATGTTAAAAAACCAATAAAATGTCTTTAAAAAAAAAAAACTAGACATGCCTAATTCCATATTTGTCCATTGAAAACCTAGTTCTCCCTCTCCATCACTTCTTTATAGATTAATTTACCTCACTAATACTCCCCCCTACTTTACATTTCTTGTTTTTTACCCTAGAGGAAGAACTCCTGTATGGTGGAAATATTCCTTCTCTTTTCATCACCACCTGTAAATATAGGAATGGTCAGAAACCTGGATTGCTCCGGAGAGATGTATGGATCAAGAATGGAGAAAAGGTGCTAACAGGGGATTAACTTGGAGTGGAGGCTACTTACATCATTAGCAGTTCAACACCAATAATAGGTTTGCTATCCTAGCAAGTAGTCCTCGACTTACGACCATTCCTTTAACAACCATTTGAAGTTACAATAGCACTGAAAAAAGAGACCAATCCTCACAAAAGCATTGCTGATTCCCCTGGTCATGTGATCAAAATTTGAGCCCTTGTCAGTTGACATGTATTTATGATATTTGCAGCATCCCACGACCACATGATCACCATTTATGACCCTCCTGGCTGGTTTCCAACAATCAATGGGGAAATCCAAATTCACTTAACAGCCACATGATTTGCTTAATGACCATGCTTAACGACCATGGCAAAATAGGTTGTAAAATCAGGCATGAATCAATGATTGCCTCTCTTAGCTGAGGTGGCACAGTGGTTAGATTTAGAATGTAGTACTACAGGCTACTTCGGCTGATTGCTGGTTGCCAGCAGTTCGGCTGTTTGATCCTGACCAGGTCCAGGTTGACTCAGCCTTCCATCCTTCCGAGGTCGGTAAAATGAGGACCCAGATTGTTGGGGCCAACATGCTGACTCTTAAACCACTTAGAGAGGGCTGTAAAACACTGTGAAACGGTATCTAAGTTTAAGTGCTATTGCTATTGCTATTAGCAAAGGATATTCCAGCCCCAGTTGTGAACATAAGCCGAGAACTATCTATATTGCAAAGTCCTGCTGTCAGTGTCACATAAATAGCAAACCTATCTCCAGACCATCTTTCACCAGTCTGCCTCCCTCAAGATATGATGCCGTTACAGCTATCAGAGTTTCCCAACAACCATCATGGTCCAGGTCCTGAAGATGCCTGGATTCCACAGCTTCAGGTCTTTCTGGATGTGTCCGATGTTTCTTTAAATCAGCATCTCCATTTCTCTCTTCAGAAAATGGCCTGCTACTTAGATGCTGAGAAAGCCAGACAATACGAGAACGTTACAAATATCTCAGAGGTGTTGAATGAGCACTTCCTTTGCACAGGAGGCACCGATCCGCATGTGGACCCCAATGTTTGTTCATGTAAGGAGAACTGGCCCTAAATCTTATTCCTTCTCTTTAGCTCTAGGACAGTGGTTCTCAACCTATGGGTTGCGGCCCCATTTGGGGTCGATCAACCATTTCACGGGGGTCGCCAAGCAAGGCTATCCGCCATTTTTTCCCCTTTTCTGGCAGGTGCCTTACCTCCCTTGGCCGATGGTCGGCCTGCTCCGTCTCTGCCGCTTGCCAGCTACGCCTTGGCTGGAGCAGGGGGGCGGCACCACGCATGCGTGGCACTCCCGGGCAGGGAAAGTCCTCAACTTATGACTGGTCGGGTAGTCCTCGACTTACGACCAGTTTAGTCCTCGACTTACGACCGGTTTAGTCCTCGACTTATGACCGGTTGGGGGTCGCAGCATTAAAAAGGTTGAGAACCACTGCTCTAGGAAGTATGTGAACTTCCAAAGCAGCAAGTGACTTGGCCGAGTGGTAGCCCCATTAGATAGATTAGACTAAAATATTAATTCCACAGGAAGCTAAAGTTACTTTAATTGAGATTGGCTATAATAATAAAGTCTTGCAGGGGGGAATCAGAGGGAAAACATTAATAATTCCATCCCTCCTCATTCATTACTTTATAAAATTAGAAACTATTTGATGCCTGAAATGTTTGGGGAACCGGCTTCTAGTACACCATTCAGGTTTAGAGCTTGACTGTGCCTAGCCAATTAATTCCTTGGCTAAGGTTCTTTCTTCTCTTGGTTGCAGATGATGCTGGTGGGCCTCTCATCATTCAGAGAAGGCTACGTTACATCCAGGTGAGTGGTTACTTGAGCCAAACCCAGTCACTTCTCAGCCAAACAGACCAACCTTCCAACCTTCCAATATAAACTGGAAGCTCATTTCCTAAAACCATTCGTTAAGGGGGAAGACACATCCTACAGTTTTATTGGTTCATCCACCAATATGGGCAGCCATATTGGTGGATGAACCAAAATGATATGTATGTCCTATTTAGCTCTGCCTTCTTCCCACTGGAGCAGTGTTTTTCAAACTTGGCAACTTTAAGATGTGTGGACTTCAACTCCCAGAATCCCCCAGACAGTGCTCCCAGATTTCTGGGAGTTGAGGTTCACACCAAGAGGTTGCCAAGTTTGGAAAACACTTCCCTGGAGTCTATCAAGCTTTACAGCCATTGTCCTTTCTCCATATTGCCTCTCCTTCTGTAGCTGGGTGTGATCAGCTGGAGCGTGGTTGACACTTGCAAAGGCGATAGATCATTATTGTGCGACTCAGAGCCTGTAAAGAAGAAGCCCCTCCCCCACGCCAGGGATTTCCACACCAACATCTTCAAAATTCTACCTTGGCTCAAGGAGCAATTGGGGACAGAGGTGGAGTTCCTATAAATGTCCTTTTCTCGTTGCTTTGTTTTGAATAAATGGATCAAGTATTTCCGCGTCCTTGAAACTGGAATGCAATATTAATAATTGTTTATTAAATGTCAGGCAGGCAGGGTGAGTTGTGTTGGCCCTAATTGTGTGACATCTTAAGCCAAAAACCTGGTTAAATTATGTCTGCTCCAACCCTTATTGGTGAAGCATAAGGAATCCACCCTATTGCCATATTGTTACACTTGGACGGCAAATCTCAAAATGTCTAGCCATCATGGTAAACAGCCGCCATCTTGCATTTAAAGGTAAAAGTTTCCCCTGTCCAGTCATTTCCAACTCTAGGGGGCAGCACTCATCTCTGTTTCCCAGCTGAGCGAGCCAGCATTGTCCGAAGACATTTCCATAGCCATGTGGCCAGAGTGACTATACGCTGAGGCTCATCAAATGCTTGGTACCTACCTGCTAGGTCAGGGGTAGGCAACCTTGGCTCTTTTATGACTCGTGGCTGGCTCAGGAATTCTGGGAGTTGAAGTCCACGAGTCATAAAAGAGCCAAGGTTGCCTACCCGTGCTAGGTGGGCAGGAGCTGGAGCAAGTAACGGGAGCTCGCCCTATCTCATGGCACTCAGATCTCAAACCTGGGATCAGTGTCTTTAACCACTGAGCCACCACGCCCACTGTCTTGCAATTTACACAACCAGAATTTGCATTCAATTTTTGACTCCTATAAAGCCACAGTTAACACCATTCCAGGTTCTGATGAGTGGCGAAGCCTCCAACTCTGGTTATGCGGATACTCGTCAAGTCACGACCATAATGGAACCTGTCCATCATGGTTGTAACATTACATACCACACAGAAAGTAAGGAAGAACGAGTAAGCCAGTGTTCTCAACCTGTGGGTCGGGACCCCATTTGGGGTCGAACGACCATTTCACGGAGGTCGCCAAACAACGCAGTCCGCCATTTCCCCCCCCCCCTTTTCCTTAGCTGTGCTACTCCCTTTTATTCTATTGGCTTTTGAAAGCCAATAGAATAGACTCTCTTGAATAGAGTCTCATTCTATTGGCTTTCAAAAGCCAATAGGAATTGTCCAGGCTGTCTCTGCCCTGCTGAGCCCGCAAACGGTGCTGCACCAGTTGAGTAATCCTCGACTTACGACCGGTTGAGTAGTCCTTGACTTACGACCGGTTGGGGGGTCGCAGCATTAAAAAGGTTGAGAACCACTGGAGTAAGCCAAGGAAATGGAAAGCACGAAATAAGAGAAAATGCCATTAAAACTTCTACAAACACCATTTCCCTTATCTTTTCAAACCATCATCCCTTCCCCCAGTAGATTCATACATTGCTTTTTGGTTTTCACACTTATCTTTTTCCTCTTGGAGATCTTATCAATTTCATCTGGCCACACCATCCTGGCTTCATGTCTGTTGTTATTGTTTTTAAAGTTTTAATGGGTCTAGCGTTGTAGTTTTAATGTGATTTTATGTCTTTTCCTTTTTGCTTGGGAAAGATGGTTGAAAGATGGGTGGCTATAAAAATGTCTTAAATAAATGTTTATTTTGCTATTTGATCCTCATTCTCTGTCCAATCATTTTAACATCTTTCTTTCCTATTAGTCACTCGTTTTTGCCTTCATTCACCTTCAGTAGGCATTCATTCTGCCAGTTTCTTGTGTGAAAACACAGAGTTAAGCACCCCGCTACATCCTTCTCTTTTATTTCTCTGTTCTTTTATATAGCATGCTCTCCTATAGATGTGTTCAATTTTTCCACAGATCGCAAACTATCAAAACTTGCTTCTCCAAGGACATCTCCCTTTAATAAATATTCTACTAAGACTTACATTCTTGCTCTAGTTGCCCTTATTTATTCCATTTCCCTCTCATGTGCCTTTTGTGCATGTGTGATTGTTGTATTGATTTATGGGGTGATCATTTCATGAAGCAGATTTTTTTAAAGCTGAATTGTACTGTAGACGTTTCTTCTCATCTAGGAAGCCACCAAGTATCTTCAAATTGTGGTGGGATGTAAGTATGATAAAGAAACATAAGCAATCTTGGCTTCTGATACATAAATGTTCAAACTGATATTTATCATGACATCATAGAGTCTATCTAATGTTCACTGCAAATACAGGGAGTCCTCACTTCACCATGTTAATTGCAACTGGAAATTCTTATCAATAAGCTGTTTGGTTATTGAGTGCAAGACACATGATGCCGCTTTATGCGAGCATTTCCACCTTGAGCACTTCACATGATTGTGATTTTTGACTTTCTGTTGGCTTCCCCAGTGAGAAACTGGTAAATGGCGATCATGTGACCATGTGACTCTGCAGGGGCTGGAATGCAGACCAGTCACTGAATGCCCAAATCACAATCACATGACCCATGAGAATGCCAGACGAGTCATAAGTACAAGCACTGCTTGTACATACCACTCATTCAGTGCCGTTCAATTTGAATGGTCACTGAATGACTAGTCATTAATCAAGGACTATTTAGAATTGGAATTCTCAGTCAGTATGGTCTTCTGAGCATAGAATAATAACTGCACAATCAAGTTCCCAAACAACACAAATGTACTATCCACAAGCGTTTCTTACCTATTTTTCCACAAATACATTAAACAACCAAAGAACATCACACCTCTTTGTCTTACTTCCTGTTCAGTGTTGAACCTTTTTCTAAGCATTCAGTTGCTTCAGACACATTTGTTTTTACTGTATCTTGGTCTTACTGCAATCAACATTTACCTCTCTCTGTCTCATCTATATCTACTGTGTTTCTCCGAAAATAAGACCCACCCCAAAAATAAGCTGCAGTTAAGATCCTCATCCAGACAGACACACTTAGCATCGTATTTCCCCGAATATAAGTCCTAACTGGAAAATATAATAACAACAACAACAATAATAATCAGCTGCAAGAAATATCATTTGCCTGTAAGCAAGAACTGGTGGGATCATAAAATAGAGAAAGTCATAGAAAATGATAATATTAAATTGCTCTGGAACTTCAGAATTCAAACAGAGAAGCACCTGCAACATAACACCCCAGACTTAACAATTGTTGATAAGAAAGACAAAAAAGTCTGGATAGTGGATGTGTACGTTGAGGACTACCTGTATATGCAGGAGAGATCATAAGCCTGTGTGCTTGCATAGAGACACAGACATGGATTACCAGATAGTGCGTCATTTGGTTCTCTCTTTTTTCCCCATTTACATTTTTTTTTATTATTATTATTATTATTATTATTATTATTATTATTATTATTATTATTATTATTATTATTATCAACAATAACAACAACAAAACAACAAAACAACAACAACAATAATAATAATAATAAAAATTAAACTGCTCTGGGACTTCAGAATTCAAACAGACAAGCACCTGCAACATAACACCCCAGACTTAACAACTGTCGATAAGAAAGACAAAAAAGTCTGGATAGTGGACGTGGCAGTGCCTGGAGACAGCAAAATGATGAGAAAGAACTGGAGAAGATAACAAAATGCAAAGACCTACAAATAGAAATAGAAAGATTGTGGCAAAAGCAAGCAAGGGTAGCACCAAAAGTAATAGGCACCTTGGGTGCAATCCCAAAACTGGAACACCACTTGAACACCATTGGCATTGACAAATTCACCATTAGTCAATTGCAAAAGGCAGCCTTACTAGGAACTGCTTCCATCTTTCGACGATATCTGTAATACCATCAAACATCCACATCTGCCTATCCCAGGTCCTGGGTAAGGACTTGATAGGTAAGACAAAATGCCAAATCCAGTCTGAACATCTGGCTAACTGTGCGATGATCCATAACAATAATCCCTAATGTGTCTTTTGGAGGAAAAACTAATATAAGACCATGTCTTATTTTTGAGGAAACATGGTACCTACCTACCTATTCTATCTCTATCATCTCTTGCCTTTTTACAAATAACTCAAGGCGGCAAACATATTTAATGCATCTTCCTCCTTCTATTTTCCCCACAACAAGTCTGTGAGGCGAGTTGGGCCGAGAGCGCGCGACTGGCCCAAGGTTACCCAGCTGGCTTTCACGCCTAAGGTGGACTTCAACTCATAAAGTCACTTCTGGGTTTGTAGAAACTTCCCGTAACTCATGTATTTGCTTTACCAACACACTTTGACCTGTCAACAAACCAAACTAAATATTTGTAACTTTCGTGTATTTCTCCGGAACCGTCAGTCCAACGAGGTAGAGCAAACTAAAAAAAAAAAAAAACCCAATACCATATAAGATAAGAAATGTTTATTGGAACATTTAAACAAATAAAACCCTGCAAGTCTGAAAGTACCTCCCCTCTCCCCTCACTTTATCTTCATGAGACCGTTGCAAGGGGCTTGGCTGAGACCTTTTCTCACATTATTTCCTATCCCTTACAGTGGTAGAGACTCTTTCTCCTGTAATTCAAGGCCACGCCCTCTTCCCTTTACGCTAATTGCCCGCTGTCTTTGTCTCAGGAATAATAGGATTTTTCCAATTGTCAGATGCAGTCACGTAGCTCCCCCCACAAGCAAAACTGCATCCATATAACATTTCTCCAGCTATTTCCTCTTAGCACTTGTCCACACTGTAATCAGATCTATTATTTTCCTTTTCATCCATTTTCCTTTGCCATAAACGTTATTTAACATTTGTTTCCATTCCCGCTTTTGATATGTTTTTAAGTTTCCTCCTCATTCCAAGTCTCTTCTGTCTCGTCACTCCACTAAACAATCTTTTCCTGCACTCCCATTAACGTAACTCCGTACACTTCTGCGTCCTTCTGTAGCACAATGCTTCTTCCTCCGTTCCAAGCAAATTCAAATATGCAGGTAGTCCTCGACTTACGATCACAGCCGAGCCCCAAATTTCTATTCCTAAGCAACAGCTAAGACTGTGGCTAAGACAGTTAAGTGAGTTTTGCCCCATTTTACCTTTCTTGCCACGGTCGTTAAGTGAATCACTGCAGTTGTTAAGTTAGTGACAGGGTTGGGAAGGGAATCTGGCTTCCCCATTGATTTTGCTTGTAAGAAGGTCACAAAAAGGGGATCACGTGACCCCAGGACACACTAGCTGTCACAAATAAGAGTCAGTTGCCAAACGTCTGAATTTGGACAGGTGATGCTGCAATAGACATAAGTAGTCATAAGTCACTTTTTTCGATGCTGTTGTAACTTCAAACGGTCACTAAACAAATGGTTGTAAATCCAGGACTACCTGTATCAATTTTTACAGCCACTTCTCATTTATTTGGTTGGGAGGTTACTTTTCATTCAGTACTCTTTGTCTTTTTTGCACTCCTCTTGTGACTTAAGCTTAAACCACAGGATCCAAGTAAACTGGTTTTTTTTTTCTATCCAGATGCTCATCGTATTATTTCTAGATTAACTTTGCTGGATGCTTGGCTAATTCTGAAGCTAATAAATTGCTTTTTGTTATCAAACTAAGTGTTCTTTCTAGCTTGGCTGCCTCAACTTTCCTTTCTTTCAGTTGCAAAACATCTGATGAAAACAATCACTTCATTTTCTGTGGCTAAACCACATTTAGAAAAATCTGAGTATCTATATTTCACCTATATTTTCTCCCCCCCCCATATTTATAGAATCAACCTATCTTCCAAGTGGGGGAAGCCTTGAGGTTCAAATCTGTGTTAAAAGACACCGAAAAGGACAGAGTACTTTCCAAAGCCTCACTCCTAAACTGGAATTAGCATGGTTCAAACAGTTTTTAAAAGCTAATATTTATTTGAATCTTTTAAGTGAAAAGGCAAAGAGAGGATGGGGAAGGGTGGGGTTCCTATGCTGCTTCAGAAGTTGTCCTCTTTGTAGATAACCTGGGATCGTTTGTCCTGATGAGAACCATTGATGGTGTTTATCACAGCTGAAAAAGGAAAATGATGCACATAAGGATTCCTAGCAAAAGATAAACAGATTTTGGCTTCTCCCACTTCTGGCTTTACCTCACAAAAAGAGAAACCATACAAAGCCTGTGCCTCCCCCCACACACACCAATTTGGGATGCAGAAATATTTTGGTAGGGACTTAATCTTGTGACCTCCGATGCCAAATCCTGGTTACCAAAGAGACCTAGGCATATTTATTTAGTAGTCCATTCTCATCTTAGATTGTCAAGCACAAGCAGGCACAATGTAAAATGGCCTTTAGGCTGCTTTCAACATAAAGATTAAAAATGGCCTGAGGATCTTGGTTTGGTCATACTCATCTGCCCTCAGATTTATAGATTTGCACCCTATTCCTGATCCCTCCCATGCTTCTGTTGACATCCCTCTCCTCACCCAACGTTCCCCACACGGAGTTGCCGATAGCCACATCCAGCATGGGCTGCTTGCGAGCGATGCTGACCGTCAGCTTCACATCTTCTACGACGGTACCGTTGAGCTGGGAGGAAACAAGACATCCAATCACTCGAGAGCCCAGACTAACTTTTGAGAAAACAAGAGACTTTCCTGTCTGGTAAAGGCCAATCAGACTTCACCAAGCCAAGATCCATCATCCTATCTTGATCCATGAGAATGAGACAAAAAAAAAAAGGTGGGGGAGGGGGCTGATTCCAAATATAATACAGGCTGCCCAGACAATTGCTGAATAGAAAATGATGGAGGGAATTGGCGCTCCAGCACTATTCCTCCTGATTGATTGATTGATTAAATGTATATAACACTCATCTTACTGTTGAAGCGACTCTGGCTGGCTTACGAAGCGATAAAAAATGATATAAAACCATTAAAATTAAAGGAGATTAAATCAAGACTAATAAGCGTTAAAATGAAGAGAAATTAAATAAAGACTAAAAACCAAGAGGATGGGAGACTTGAGGGTGGAGGTCTTCTCAGCCATTCCCAGCATAGCCACCTCCATCATTCATTCATTTATTCATTCATTGCCTTCCTTATTTTTACAAATAACCTAAGGCAGCGAACATGCCCGACACACCATCCTCCTCCTATTTTCCTCACAATAACAATCCTGTGAGGTGGGTTGGACTGAGAGAGAGAATGACTGGCCCAAGATCACCCAGCTGACTTTTAATGGCTAAGGTGGGACTTGAACTCATGGTCTCCTGCTTTCTAGCCTGGTGCCTTAACCATTAGACCAGTGGTTCTCAACCTTTCTAATGCCGTGACCCCATAATACAGTTCCCCATGTTGTGGTGACCCCCAAGTGGGTGTGGGCACCAATAAGAGGGAGTAGGACAGCTAGGGAAAAGGGAAAAAAATGGCGGACAGCGTGGTTTGGCGACCCCCGTGAAATGGTCATTCGACCCCAAATGGGGTCCCGACCCACAGGTTGAGAACCACTGCATTAGACTGTATTGGGTCTCTGTCACGGTTCCGAAAGAAGCAGCTCTTCAAAGAACTTTGAGGCATTGTTTTCCTTAAAGAATCTTTAACAGCAACATAGCTTCAGCACATACACAGTAGAAGCCAAAATCTGAATTCTCCTCCTCCAAACACACAGTATCTAAGCATAACTCACTCCTTCATTTAACAGTCATTAATCACATTCTCCAATTAGTTTGAAGTGCAACGGCCATTACTTATCTCCTCTTATTACAACCAACCATGAAGAATACTCTACTGAGATATTGTTATGACTAATTAGTCCCCAAGCACATTCTTCCCAATCCCCTCCAGCACCATCTAATTTTAACTCTAAAAGTAATACACAGGTTAAATAGAAAATGTCTGCATCTTCATATATTGTCAAGCAAGAACATCCGACGTTAGCAACATTGACACACTCATTTTGCTTCTGCCACTTATAAGAAAATCCCTTCTCCAATACCTGAGCAATAGCTTGATCTGCTGATTCGATCTTGTCATAGGTCACAAAAGCACAGCTGAGGGTGGGGGAAAAAAAGAGCAATTAGTGTGTGTGTGTTGGTTGGAGAATGGGAAAGGTCCCAGGGGGCTAACTGCTTAGTGGCACAAGGCACCATTTACCAAGGAACACGTTCAACGTGGGTCAAAGTTACAAATCTGTTTCTCTAACCTCAATGGAAAAAGAAGCAGTGGAAGGGAAGGAATCTTTGACCTCATTGTGGTTGCCTCTAGCAACAACCACTGATTTGGGTCATCAGCAAATATACCCTCCCGACATTTTGGCCTTTAAGAACCCGGGAGTTCACATTTTTCAGCACATAAAATAGGATTATTTGCACATGTGTAATCATTCCCATCATTTAAAAAAAATAAACTGACATTTTGTGTACTAAAAATTTAATCCGAAATTAGTACCTATTACTTGAGCTATTTTATGCAACTGCTGCCACACAGCAGTGTTTTTCAGCCACAGCTTTTAAAGACGTGTGGACTTCATCTCTCCAAAATTTTCGAGCCAACATATTGGTGGGGGAGGGGGGGAAGGTGAAGAGAAATATCAATTCCCTTCAAGATTATTTTTTTTAGAAAATGATGCTATCCTCTTCCTATGACTGGCAAAGTGATGCAGATCCTTGTCCATTATCTATCCAGTGCCGAGAAACATATCCGTACGTTTACCGTATATGCCGGCGTACAAGGCGACCCGGCGTATAAGACGACCCCCGTCTTTGTCGCCGAGTCACCTTCCTAGAACGTCATCTTATACGCTGGAAACTACCAGTATTTCTGACGTATAAGACGACCCCCGTCGTTGGCGCAGATTTTAACGCTTGCGGAAGTCGCCTTATAACGCCGGCATATACGGTATTCAGTAAAATCAAAGTTCAGTATACCATGACTTAGCCATGCTCAGGTTAAGAGTTGAGATTTAATGGACAATCTAGCATGAGGGGATAAACCTCTGGATAACTGTATCATCATCTGATATTGAGGTAATGGAAACGAGGTAGCCAACTTGAAGACTGTTGCTGTTACCATGTTTTCCCAAAAGTAAGACCTATCCAGAAAGTAAGTCCTAGCTTGATTTTGGGGGGTGGGCCTAATATAAGCCCTACCCAAAAATAAGCCCTAGTCTTGGGGTGAGACACACACCAAAAATCAAGCTAGGGCGGGGGGGTGGGGAGATTGGAGCTGCCCCACATGCCACGCACCCGCTTACCGTTGAAGCCTGCCTCTCCTCGCCGGCCCACTTCTCCTGTGGCGTCCCCCAGCCTGCATTTTGCAGTCAGAGGCCTTTCCGGAAGATCTCTGCAGCCAAGAACCCAGCTACAGATTCAATCCGTAGCTCGGTTCTCAGCTGCAGAGGCCTTTCCAGAAAGGCCTCTGAGGGCAAAATACAGGCTGGAGCGCTCCATTCTCAGCTGCAGAACAAAGCTGCTCCTTTGGCTGCAGAAGAAGTGGGCCGGCTGGGCAGGGCTGTCACTGCTGTCAGTTGAGTGGAAAAGACACCCCCACCCCCGAAAATAAGACCTGGTATCTCTTTTGGAGGCAAAAAAAAAAAAAATAAGACCAGTGTTGTGATTCCTCGCCAGCCAGTGGACCCGGCAGCTGAGTCTGAGGAATCAGAGGAAGAGGGGCCTGGAGTGACATCAGAGTCAGAGGAAGACTCTAAGGAGCTCCAAGACTTACTGTCTGACGAGGAGCCTGGCCCCTCTACTCGCGCTCAGAGACACAGCTGTGCTGGGAGCCTGAGTCAGACAGTGATCAACCACAGCTGGGAGATATCCAGGATGCAGGAAACGCCGGAAAGAAAAGAGAGTAGGATAGAGGAATGCAACGGGGCGGCTCCAAAGGCAAAGGAGAAGGCATTAGGAAGCCACGCCTTGGCTGCATAATAATAAGGGAAGGTGTGGGAGGTGCTGGTTGTCAAAGGCAACCGTTAGTGTTGAGGATTGAGTTTCTGTGAACTGTGTTTGTTTGCCTTGGACACTGACTCAGGTCTGTGAATAATAAAAGGGGATTGTTTTTTTCCTGCGGTTCCAGCCTGCTTGTTGGAAGAGGGGTTTCTCCTTGTGAGCAATAACAAGGTCTCATGTAGGCTGGGACAGAACCACCGGGTCTTATTTTCAGGGAAACACAGTAGCAGGTAGTTCTCAACTTACAATTATTTGTTTGGTACGTTTTTCACACTTACAACCATTGTAGCATTCCACCCCCCCACGGTCAGGTGATCAAAATTGGGATGCTTGACAACTGGCATGCATTTCTGTCCGTCGCAGTGCCCCAGGATCACCTGATCTCCCTATTGCGACCTCCCGACAAGCAAAGTCAATGGGGGGGGGAGCCAGATTCTTTTAACAATTGGATTACTAATTTAACAACTACAGTGATTCGCTTAGCAACTGTGGCAAGAAAGGTCGTAACGTGGGGCAAAGCTCGTTTAGCAATGGAAATTTGGTGCTTGTAAGTCGAGGACGACCTGCATTTAACTGAGGAGAGATGGGCAAATTGTTTGGCAGGGTTCTTCATTTTCATGCAAGTTTCTACTGAGGGCGTCGTGTGGACTTTCCTCTGAGACCCTGGGGCCCAGGTCCCTCCCATCACTCACTTGCGGACGCTGTCTACGGAGAGGTCAATGATCTTCCCGAAGGCCGAGAAAGCCGTGGTCAACATGGCTTCGTTCATATTTGCTCCATACACGTAAACCGTGTTCCCTTTGCGGGGGAGACGCCACTCAGGGTAAGAATCTGATCCTGGATAACAAAGGAGGGGGGAGAGAGAGAGAGAAGCAGTTGAGAAACAGTTTGTGGCTTTTGGTTCTGCCAAAGTCCTGCAAACTACATGTCTTCTCCTCTTTTCTCCTGCAGAATCAATATTCCATATATACTCGTGTATAAACCCATCTGCGGATAAGCCAATCCTTCCATTTTTAACCAAATACTCTGCAAAATGGCCACCCGTGGATAAGCTGACCCTTGACATTCCTGTATGCTTTAAATTTCACATTAGGCTAATCTGTGGATCATTCATTCATTTTGGGTTATTTACTCACAGATAAGCCAAACCCAATTTCTGGCAACTGAAATTGCCTCATACAGTAACCGGTTCCTATTTACAACGGTTGCAGTGTCCCGAGTTTATATAATCAACTTTTGCGACCTTCCGACAAGCAAAGTCAACAGGGAAGCCACTTAAAACAACCCTGTTACTTAACTATAGTGATTCACTTAACAATCGTGGCAAGACAGTACAATGAGGCAAAATTCACTTCACAACTGTCTCGCTTAGCAACGGAAATTTTGAGCTCAATTGTGCTTTTAAGTTGAGGACGACCTGTATATCTTTAATGAGGCAAGTAGTTTGCTATACCGTAGTGGCCAAAATTGTGGAAACCTTTTGAGAAAAGTGTACAGTAGAAATGCCACCTTTGGTTAAGTTTCCACCAATTTTTCTTCTAATTTCTTGATAACTTGTAGCCTTGTTCACTTAATAATACTATTTTACATCGCTTTCTGGGCGACCAGTCAACACTTTGCACCATTATTTTAATTTTATTACGTTTTACAAGCTCACTAAATGAAAGAACACAAAATAACCCAACCAACTTGATAGCGATCATATAACACACTGACAAATGTCCTCCTCTCAGCTTCAATACCTGACATCAATCACTGAATCCTACTGTGATCTGACTGGCTCATTGCCAAAACAAGATGACACCCGATTGGCTCTCTAAACACTCATGCTCATTGGCTACAATCAGAGGAAGGAAAGCTACCTGATATCAACCTAAGCAAGTTGTGCTTCCTTTTTCTGGTTATTGGGCTATAACTTTTCATAGAATACAGTACAGATCATTGAACAAACTTTGTTGCATTGCATTCTTGATTAAATTATCTTTCCATTGATATATAATTTTATGGCATTACTCCCAAAAAAAAAGTGGTGTTATTAGCCATCAAACCTCAAAAATACACTTTTCCCAAAAGGTTTCCACAATTTGGGCCACTACTGTAGTCTGGCAAGATTTCTGACTGTAGTGGAGAAGCTATGAAGGAAATTGCTTCTGAAGTAACTCAGCCCAATATTGCCCTCCAAAAGGACCAAGTATTTCTTACGGCGGAAGCCTTCTCTGTCCCGTTCTCGTTCACGCCCCCGATCTCGGTCCCGGTCTCTGTCTCTGTCTCTGTCTCGATCTCTGTCCCGGTCCCTGCTCCTGTCCCGGCTACGATCCCGGTCACTGTCCCTCTCATATCCATGCTGACTTTCACTCTGGTCAGATTCTTTGTCTGGATCTCTGCCTTCCTCTGGCTCTTTCTCTGGGTCTCGCAGGCAATCGCTGGGGCTCACAAAGCTAGGAGAGAGCACGGAAGGAACAGAACTGATTCACCAGAGGTTGCAGAATCTGGAGAAGCGGCTGCAAGAGGCCACTCGGGGTTTCGTTCCCCAAATCGGAACTGCAGGGCACAGGAGGAAATAACTGGCATGAAACATAACACCTGGTCTTGTAGGCAAAGAACAATCAACCCTGACACATGTGCGTTTATGGTTTGCTTTCGGGTCTGTGAGTATCGTATCGCTTGCCTTTTCTTTCCTCTCATTTACTTACAATTTTTTAAAAGAGTTTTCAGTTTTTAATGTCTACATTATCATTCCCCAAACGCTTTGCAAAATGACCTCTGTCTGATCTCTCACCATCCCTCGGGATAACCCTATTGCCATAATAAACATGATACCCCTCACAGTCTTATAAGACTCTACCGGGGGTCTTTTTTTTAAAGCAGGGGTCCCCCAACCCCCAGTCCGTGGCCCGGTGCCAGGCCACAGCCCATTTGGAACCGGGCCACGGAAGTGGTGGGCGAGTGTGTAGACACAGTTTATGAAAGCGGCACGCTTGCGCAGCCATCCCCTCTCCCCCATGCCGCCACCGCCTCCAACAGCCCGCTGAGGCAGAAAAGTTGGAGACCGCTGTTTTCAAGGACCGTCATTTGTAAAATAATAATTATAGGGCAGTTTTTCACCTGCACACATAATGGTGCTTTGCACATCTGAACTACAGCCCAGCAAATAGTCTGATCTGTTGACTCCTGAATGGTCTGCCTGAAATCTGAATCTTGGTTATGAACAAAGAGCCACAATAAAAGAATTCTCCTCCTCCAAAATTAGTGTTAGAAGTACGGGTCGATGTGTGGAAAAATAACAAATTCTCGTTTTCAGAATCAATTCTTAGGCTCCCAATTCCTTAATTCTAGGTGCATTTTTTTTTCCACATCAAGGAACCTGATAATCAATTTAGTTCCAACTAAAACAGTGTTTCTCAACCCTGACAATTTTAAGGCATGTGGACTTCAACTCCCAGAATTCCACAGCCAGCATTGCTGGCTGTGGATTTCTGGGAGTTGAAGTCCACATGCCTTAAAATTGTCAAGGTTGAGAAACACTGAACTAAAACCAACAAAATGGGAAAGTTACACTAAACAGCGACAGCTGTGCCTCAACGCAAAAACACTTCATTTAATGCAACCTAATCCATTATCAGTTGGATTTCTCCAGTGACTGAACAGATTGTGCTCGCCAAAGCTGGCATCAGTGGGGGGAATTATCCTGATAGTTACCGTAAGAGTCATTTTAACGGAGAGATGGGTGACATACTAAATAAAAGAATAAAAAATAAAGAAATTATGGCATCAATGGAACCAACCTCTCATACAGATACTTCCTTTGGGGGCGCCGGGCCTAAAATGAAATATTTAAAAAAAATGGCTTATTAAGTGTGAAATTACAAGTTAACATTGTTAAGTCTGGTGCAGTCATGTGATTTTTTTCGCTGAGTGACCACGGTGCTTAGCAAAAGAGCTGGTACCTGACCAACCATGATGGTACCAATTGTGATTTGCAATTGAGGAATACAGATAGTCCTCAACTTATGACAACGGAGCCCAAAATCTCTGTTGCTAAGTGAGACAATAGTTAAGTCAGTTTTACCCCATTTGACGGCCTTTCTTGCCACAGGTGTCAAGTGAATCGCTGCAGTTGTTCAGTTACTAACACGGTTGTTAAGTGAATCTGGCTTCCCCGTCGACTTTGCTTGTCAGACAGTCGCAAAGGGTGATCACATGGCCCCCAGGGACACTGCAACCATCATAAATTTGAGCCAGTTGCCAAGTGTGTGAATTTTGATCACGTGACCCTGACAGCAGTCGTTAAGTGTGAAAAATGGTCATGTCACCTTTTTGGGTGCTGTTGTAACTTTGAACGGTCATTAAATGAAGTGTTGTAAGCTGAGGACTACCTGCACCTGTAGATGCACTGCTTTGAGTTGTTTAAAGCAGAGGTCCCCAACCTACGGGCTGCATGAGTAGTTGGGCAGTGCACGCATGCGTATGGCTCACTCTCCCTAGTACCACCGTTGCCACAAAGGTTGTGTGGGTGGCGGCAGCACCGCTAGTATCGCGAACCTTGGATGGGTGGGTGGCAGCAGCGCCGCAAGCAGGCCGCAACACCTCACGCAGGGGCAGCGGCATGATTGTCATGCTGGTCGTAGCATCACTGCAAGCCTGGCGGCGGCAGCACCATAAACCTCACACAGGTACCAGTGTCGCTGAGAGCCTCACGCGCATGCTCGCAGTCATTTGCATGGTGCACATGGAGCCTGTTTGTGCTCATGCATGCACGTGTGGCCACATTCGCGTTTGCGCATGTAGGACACCTGCCCCTCCCTTTCCCACCAGGTCGCCAACCCAGAAAGGTTGGAGACCCCTGGTTTAAAGCAAAGCCGGATGTAAATCTAATTTGAAAAATCCGAATAGCTTTGGGCTGTGAGAAAAGTCATCATGAGATCTAAACATGAGGAGAGGGTGGGGGAATCGTGGCGAGCTGAAAACTGAAGAGCGTTTTTTCAGCATTCATTTCATCCTATAAAAGGATAGTGCAACGTTCTTGGAAATGTTTTGATTTTGGGTTGCTTCCCACAATGCATTCCACACACTTACCACCCTACTAGTCTATCCCAGGATAAAGAACTGGTGAAATGACTAAAAGCTCTCACAGATCCCTCAAAAGGTGTACCAACGTTATTAGTTCTTCATGAGCCCTGAGGGCGCAGTGGTTAGAATGCAGTATTGCAGGCTAACTCACTGCCCACTGCCAGGAGTTCGATCCTGTTTGGGCTCGAAGGTTGATTCACTCTTCCATCCTTCTGAGGTGGGTAAAATGAGGAGCCAGATTGTTGGGGGCAATATGCTGACTCTGTACAACCGCTTAGAGAGGGCTGTAAAGCATTGTGAAGCGGTATATAAGTCTAAGCGCTATTGCTATGAAAGATGGCGGAGATCCATCAAAGAGTCACATTTGGTACTTTATATTCTATATGCCACATCTGCTAATCTTTATTTATATTTCACACTTCATATATATATATATATATATATATATATATATATATATATATATATATATATATATATATATATATTTCTAAAATTTGGATTGCTAGCAAACAATTAAGGGAGAACTGGAATAGCTATTTCAAACTCTTTAGCTCTTTTCAACCAGACATACCCTTCTGAGATTCGAACCTGGGCTGTCTGCATGTTAGGCAGATGTATTAACCTTTAGGCCACAGGCTCTGTCTCACTTTTGCCAGCTGTGTTAGGGAGGGAAGAAACAGGGGAGGAGTTATCTAGAATGCTGTATGTTACACCCTGTTGCCCAAATATGGGAGAGAGAAATCTTTTGCCTTGTATCAGCTCAAACTAGAGCCATCCACAGGCAGCAGTCACAACTGTGACATCATATACATTTTGTTGTGACTGCTGCCTGTGGATGGCTCTAGTTTGAGCTGATACAAGGCAAAAGATTTCTCTCTCCCATATTTGGGCAACAGGGTGTAACATACAGCATTCTATATATATATAGATGTATATATATGTAGGTCTTTGGTTGTTCGGGTTTTCTCCCACGTAAAATTGGAAGTGTCTGATGCCACTGGGCAGTGCGGTGGAAAGAAAGAAAAAAAGCGATAGGAGACAGCAGAATTGGAAAGACTTCTCACCAATTTACTGGAAGAGACAAACAAGTGGACAGCTGACAGTATGGCATTCTAGGAAGAAGAAACACGCCAAGACCACACACTGCTGCTCGAGGCACGAAGCTGAAAGCACCAGCCTGAAGATGACGAATGGGACTTCGTCGAAACGTCGCCAAGACACTTCCAATTTTACGTGGGAGAAAACCCGAACAACCAAAGACCTACATATATGTATGTATGTATGTATGTATGAACGTACGTACGTACATATGTATATATATATAAATTAAAATGTTCAGTTAAAATGTTTAAAATTATAATTTTTTTCCTAAGAAGGCAAGAATAATTAACCTTGTAAAAAATGGTTGACAAAGGGAGCAACATATCTTCCCAGCCTGATGGGTCGAAGCCAAGTAACCTGACCCTATGCCATGTAGAGCTTTATACATATAATTAACATCTTCAATTGGGCACAGAAGCAAACTGGCACCCAATGCACTTTGCGAAGCAGAGATGTTACACGTGCCTTTCTTTGGGCACCCAGTAGAGTAGCCCCATGTAGAGCATAATGCAGTAGTCCAAACGGGAGATGACCAGAACATGAGTGGCTGAACGGATATTCTATACTATTGAACATATATTTTAAACCACTGAAGGAGAACCATGCAAGCATTGACCTAACTAATTTCCCACCCTGATTGGGGAATTGTGTCTTAGTTACCTCTCGGGAATCATCATCTGCTGAGACACTGCGCTGAAAGGGCTGGTAAGTTGGGGCAGATCCCTTCTTGGTCTCCTAAAAGACAAACAGGCATTAAAAGCAAGCTAAAAGTAACCCCAACCCACTAGACCAGGGCTGTCCATCCTTGACAACTTTAAGAACTGTGGACTTCAATTCCCAGAATTCCCCAGCCAGCCATCCTGGGTAGGGAATTCTGGGAATGAAGTCCACAGGTCTTAAAGTTGCCAAGGTTGGACACTCCAGCAACAGAATATTTCTTCTGCACCTCCTTGCATTAACCCAGCTTACCTTCGGCTTCACCTTCCGAGTCCAAGAGCGTTTGAATCCCGAGTTCTTGTTCTCAACTTTGATAGCACTGATGGCCCCCGTTTTCACCAGCATCTTGGCTTGTTCTGTGGCTGTTGCGGTATCGACTACTGGTTGATCTGAGATGGCTGGAAACAGGGAAGAAAGGGAAAAACTGCTGTCCCCAAATTGCCAATATTGGCAAGAGAACACTTCACTCACAGCAGCCCATATTTTCACAAAAGTCCGACTTACATCGTTTAATTCCTCCCTGGATAGCCTGACTGGTTGAACCCTGTTGCTTTTTTAAGGCCATGAGGGCCTTTTTCTGGATGGGAAGAAGAAAGAAAAATTAAAAGTCAGTAAAAGATTACACACAGTCTAACTTCCCTCCCTTCCCAAAAAGAACTTTTGCTAGTCCCTTTATTTCCTATTGTATTAAACATCTGGCTGACATTTACATCCTTGACTTACAGGATGTCAGAATCCAATTATATTTCATCTTTAATTATCAAATATAGAAACTCCCAATTCTGCCTTCTCTGGATTCTGCCATAAGAGGGAGAGAAGGGGGAGAACAAAGGGGCTTTATGGCCCTCACTTCCTTCAGTATACTTCAAGGAGCTGAATGCTGAATGTGTGTTTATTGTAACCTCAAAGCGTTAGCACCAAAGAACCTTACCATAACAAAGAAGGGTATTTGCCTTTCATGTAGTTTATCTGAAGTCTCCATCCAGACGGAAGAAAGAAAAAAGGGGGTGGAATTGTGATACCTGAAACTATCACTGGAAGGGGGGTTGATTGGGTGGGACTACTGGGGAACCCCTTAAAACCTTGAATGGGAAGGCTTGAACCCCAAGTCCTGTCTAGCACGCCTGCAACCACTTCTTCTTAATAAAGGATTCCTGTTGGAAGAATTATTCCAAGAGTTCTGTCTTCTTAAGATGCAAAGTGGGGTGGGTCCTTACACAGCCACAATTAAGCCCAAAATTTATGTCACTGTGAGACAGTTGTTAAGTGGGTTTTGATCCATTTTACAACCTTTCTTGCCACAGTTGTTAAATGAATCACTAAAGTTGTTAAGTTAGTAACACGGTTAAGTGACTCTGGTATCCCCCATTACTTTGTTTGTCAGAAGGTCATAAAAGGTGATCACACGATCCCGAGACACGGCAACTGTCATAAATACGAGTCAGTTGCCAAGTCAAAGACCACCTGTACTTATAAGAATAATTTCACCTTCAAGCTGAACAAGCTGACCTTTTTCTTGAGTTTGGCAAATTTCTTCTGCAGGGCTTCCTCATCTTCTGTCAACCCAGGCGGGAAAACAATCATGATGGAATAGTACAGTACTGGCTAGAATTGGAAACCAAGGAAGGAATCAGTCAGGTAACGCTTGGTGTTTGATTACTGATGGGTATACATGCAGGCAGGGCACCCTCAGAATTGGTAAATGCACATTAATATATTTTACTGTTTCGTTTAATAGTCATATATTTTATTGATGCATTTTTCTTAGCATGTAGAGCACTGCAGTTCCTATTTTTTTTTAAAGCAAACCTATTACAGCAGTGGTTCTCAACCTTTTTAATGCCACGACCCCCAACCGGTCGTAAGTCGAGGACTACTCAACCGGTCGTAAGTCGAGGACTACTCAACTGTGCAGCACCGTTTGCAGAATGGGACTTTAGGCGGGCTCAGCAGGGCAGAGACAGCCTGGACAATTCCTATTGGCTTTTGAAAGCCAATAGAATTGGACTCTATTCAAGAGAGTCTATTCTGTTGGCTTTCAAAAGCCAATAGAATAAAAGGGAGTAGCACAGTTAAGGAAAAGGGGGGAAAAATGGCGGACTGCGTTGTTTGGCGATCCCCGTGAAATGGTCGTTCAACCCCAAATGGGGTCCCGACCCACAGGTTGAGAACCCCTGGATTACAGGTACTCGACTCACGACCACCATTGAGCGCAACATTTATGCTGCTAAAGGAGACTTTGAGTCATTAAGTCAGTGTTGACCCCTTTTTCCATGTCTTGCCACAGTTGTCCAGTGAATCACTCTGCAGTTGTTAAGTGAGTAACAAAGTTGTTAAGTGAATCTGGTTTTCCCCTTGACTTTGCTCGTCAGAAGGGGATGGCATTGACCCCTGGGACGCTGCAATGGTGGTAAATATGAGCCAGTTGCCACGCATCTGAATTCTGATCACGTGACCATGGGGATGCTGCAACGACCATAAGTGTGAAAAACGATCACTACTCACTTTTTCCCGTGCTGTTGTAGCTTCAAACGGTCATGAAAGGAACTGTTGTAAGTCGAGGACTACCTGTACGATCTCTCTGGATTTGGCTGCAGTTCCCCCCCCCCGCTCACCCGAATATGCACTGCGGGGGGGGGAATCCCGTAGTCGATTTGTGGGCGTGTCAAGGACTTACCTGCAAGGGCTCCAAATTGGGGGAAGCCGCAAACTCGACTTGGCCGCCGCCTACGCACCGCTGAAGCAACCCAACGTTCCACTCCGGACCCTCCCACAATGCACCACGCCCTCCCAGGATGCACCGGGAGCCAGCCCCCCCCCCAGCTTTCCCCACGAACTGGCGCCGAACCGTCCCAAGATGCATTGCGGCTCAGGCCAACGTAGAGCGTAACGACGGGTTCGGCATCCTTGCTTTGATTTTTTTTCCCCCCACTCACCGGTTGCTTCTTTTTTTATGGTTTGCCTTTCAGTCTAGAGTCCTTCCCAAGATGGAGGAGGAGGAGGAAGAGTAGTGAGGAGGCGTGATTTGCATAAACCGCCGAGAGACGCGAAAGCTATTGGCTGAGAATACGGGAGCCTGCCTCTCTGGAGGCACGAGAGCGGAAAAATAGGAAAGGAAAACAGAGATTTGCATACTAAGCTCTCATTGGCTGAACCACATACAGTGATGACGTTCGACGCACGGGATGATAACCCAAGCCAAACAGTTTTTAAACAGTATTTGAATATTCAACCGCTCATTGGCTGGTTTTGGGGTTTTGGCGGAATAGTCGAGTGGTGAAGCGCCTTCGATTTGCATACCGCTCTGTCATTGGACAGCTGCCGTTGTTCATTTAGCCAATCCGTCTTTCGTTCGAAGCGAAAGTCATTTTCTCCAACCAGACGCCCGCCCTTCCTTCGATTGACCAACCCCGTTTCACTTCCGCTTACTGACGTGTGACAACAATGTTTACCGCCACCCTGAGAAACGGATTGAACGGGCGTGCCTTCAGCTGCCCTTCCTTTTGATGAGGGAAGGTTCCGCCCTCAGTTTGACAGCCCGGAGGGAGAGTTTCCGGGTCAGTCCTTGAGCGAACCGTGGCAGCTGAGATGGATCAGGAGAGGATAGGTGAGGACGGGGTAGAGACCCTCCTGCGACTGACTGAATTAATATAATAGAGCCTTTTAAAATCTCCCATTGCAATTGGTGCTGCTCGTTATCTTTTTTTCTAAACTTCGTTTAAAATGTTTAAGAGAATCTTTCCCACCCGGTTGTCCTTTAGAGCTAGTGGATTGCAACCCCCATGTTCCACAGCCCTCACATGCAGTGGGTTGGAATTATGGAGGTTCGTGGTCCAACATGTCTGCCTGCAGGAAGCTGGGAATCCCCTTTCAATTCAAAATGCAATCCTAGGCTGCCAAAAGCTCATCTTCCTTCCCCCTGTCCTTACCACTTTCTACAGAGGGGTGATTGAGAGCATCCTGTCATACCGCATTACAGTCTGGTTTGGAAGCATCCCTGCTTCAGACAGGAAGGCCGTGCAGAGAGTGGGGAGGATGGCAGAAAAGATTATTGGCAATTCACTCCCTTCCATCCAGGACATGGCATATAAGCGATGCTTGAGCAGGGTCCGCAAGATTGTCTGGGACACTACGCACCCTCTTCACAACCTTTTTTCTTTGTTACCTTTTGGGAGGATTCAGTCACAGTTTTGTTCAATATAGTATTAACCTTGTGAACTCCAAAGCTTCCCCTTTCTGCTCTGTATTCAAGATAGGCAGTGATTAATATTTATATGTTATTTATATATAAGGGTGTAGGTTTATACACAGGTTGCATACAGCATGTTTAAATGTGTGTTATGTATGTGTACACTTTTGAGATAAAGCAACAAAATGTGTGCCAATGTGCCCACAGTAAAAAAAAAAATGACAATAAAGGTTATCTATCATTAACAGAGGGACAGAATCAAGATCATGTAAAGTGTTAATATCACTTTATTGTGCCTTGGTAAGACTAGGAATACTGCATCCAGTTTTGGTCACCACAATGTAAATAATAATAACAACAATAACAAAAGCATTATTATTATTATTATTATTATTATTATTATTATTATTATTATTATTATGGATCATCGCACAGTCAGCCAGATGTTCAGACTGGATTTGGCATTTTGTCTACCTATCGAGTCCTTACCCAGGACCCGGGATAGGCAGATGTGGATGTTTGATGGTATTACAGGTATCGTCGCAGGATGGAAGCAGTTCCTAGTAAGGCCGCCTTTTGCAATTGACTAATTATTATTATTATTATTATTATTATTATTATTATTATTATTATTATTATTTGGAAGGGATCTTGGAGGTCATCTAGTCCAACCCCCTGCTCAGGCAGGAGACTGGCTGTCCAGTCTCTTCTTAAAAACTTCCAGTGTTGCAGCATTCACAGCTTCTGCATGTGCAAGATGTTGGGACTCTAGAAAGAGTGCAGAGAAGAGCAACAAAGATGATTAGGGGGTTGGAGGTTGCAAGAATTGAGTATACTCTAGTGAAAAAAAGGGGAGACTAGGAGAGACATGGTAGCAGTGTTCCAATATTTGAGGGACTGCCACAAAGAAGAGGAAAATCAACCTATTCTCCAAAGCACCTGATGGCAAGACAAGAATCCATGAATGGAAATTAATCAAGGAAAGAACCTACCTAGAACTAAGGAGAAATGTCCTGACAGTGAGAATAATTAATCAGTGATACGGCTTGCCTATAGAAGTTGTGGTTGCTCCAAAAAACTGGAGGATTTTAAGAAGAGATTTGTCTGAAATGGTATAGTTCTTCCTGCCTGAACAGCGGGTTGGACTAGAAGACCTCCAAGTTCCCTTCCAATTCTATCATTCTGTATTATTTTGTATTCTAAACAGAGGTAAAAATGTCAGCAGTGCAGCTTTTTTTTTCATGAATGCAATGAGAGGATAACTGAATCTGCAGCAGGTTAGAGAAATTGTCTAGCAAATAAATAAGTAATAGTTTTATTTATGTGATACTTGTTTCTTTGCTCAATGTTTAAGTAATCTCAGTCATCCCAGCAAAGGTGGGTGTAGTACAAAATGTGAAAATACAAATATTGTGATCCTCAACCATGAAAACTTTTAAGATGAGCGGACTTAAACTTCCAGAGTTCCTCAGCTAGTATACATGCTGGGCAGGAAATTCTGGGAACTGAAGTCTACTCATCTTAAAAGTTGCAAAGGTTGAGAAACACTGCCTCAATAGTAATTTCTTACTGTAAAATGACAAGAGCCACAAAAAAGTTATATTGCAATAATAAGGAAGGAAATTCCAAGAACCAAGCAATGAACCCCAAGATCACAAAGCCCCTTGCCTCTAGACCTGATGAAAGAGCCATGTCTTAAAAGCTTTCCTGAAGTTGAAGCTATGTGGACTTTGAGAAGGGACTCTTTCTCTTACGATGTGTCTGACCAATGTAATTCTTGTCTATAGATTCTGATGCTGTAATCAATATGTTAAATCAGGGGGTGTATTCTGCCAAACCCTAGGGTTCCGTGAGATGTTCATAAAGTTCCAATAGGAACTGGGGATGGGGAAAGAGTTAACTCCAACACAACTGACTTTTGGCCAGTAGAGCTTTGCTTCTTAAGTAGAGCTTTCAGGATTATTTTTTTTAACAGATTCATGGCCTGAAAATCTTTGAAAAACCTGTTTTGATTTACCAAAGGACTGTCCTTCTTTTGCAGTTGAATTCGTCACCGAGTCCTGTAAAGATAGGGGCCTTTGTGTGTGGGAGGGATGGTTTTAAAAAATCTTTTGGATGTCTCAGTTCTTGTAGTTATGCTGATATATATGCATCTTTTTTTTTAAGAGCTTCAGCATGAATCAAAATTAAACATCAAATTTCTTCCATGGCCATGTTCTTCTGTGGGCAGATGAAGTGAAGCAAAATTCAGAGAGTTGTATGGTGGAGAAACAAGAAACCTTGGGATTGCAACTGAGTGATCTCTTACATTTAAGATGGAATCAAGATTTTTTTTTTTTTTGATAGACCATGTGTGTTTTCTTGGTTATAGGAGATCTTGACAATGGTTCAGTTTGAATTCTTGTCCTGGATAAAAATGTGTTCAGTCATTTAAATTGTCTGTTCCAGTTCCATAATCAGGAGTATCCATAGGGAGAGGAGGCATAAAAATCAGCATGATCGTGGTCCTAGCCCCTTCCTTCACAGATACTGCCATTTTGCAAATTTTGATCCTCACCTGTTGTCTCACACGGTAGTAGTAGTAGTAGTAGTAGTAGTAGTAGTAGTAGTAGTAGTAGTAGTAAAGTTGGAAGGGACCTTGGAGGTCATCTAGTCCAACCCCCTGCTCAGGCAGGAAACCCTATACCATTTCAGACAAATGGCTGTCCAGTCTCTTCTTAAAAACCTCCAATGTTGGAGCATTCACCACTTCTGGAGGCAGGTTGTTCCACTGGTTAATTATTCTAACTGTCAGGAAGTTTCTCCTTAGTTCTAGGTTGCTTCTCTCCTTGCTTAGTTTCCACCCGTTGCTTCTTGTCCTGCCTTCAGGTGCCTTGGAAAATAGCTTGACACCCTCTTCTTTGTGGCAGCCCTGAGATATTGGAACACTGCTATCATGTTCCCCCTCGTCCTTCTCTTTGTTAAACTAGGCATACCCAATTCCAGCAACCGTTCCTTATATGCTTTAGCCTCCAGTCCCCTAATCATCTTTGTTGCTCTTCTCTGTACTCTTTGTAGAGTCTCAACATCTTTTTTACATTGTGGTGACCAAAACTGGATGTATATACAGAGTATATTATTTTAAAGCAATGGGAGCAGAGTTCTGACTGAAGGGTAGCGATAGATTGTCTTAACGTAGCTTTGCCTCATTGTCTTCTTCAAGTCCTCCCTCCCCGAGGACCTTTAGAGTTGCCTCTTTCCATTTTGGAGGTTGGATGTGCTGGTGGTTTTGAGCTCATCACCCAAGAGGAACCCACCAAAGAAGGATTTCCACTGACCACAGTGAGTACAGTAGCCCTTCCTATTCTGAAAGGAGAGGCAAAACCACAATGTGGCTTGTTTGGATTTTGACTTGGGAGGTTGGGCAGAGTCAGCTGCTGCAACTGGTAATCCGTAGGTTTTGGTTTAGCATGGGTGAGCCCAGCCAATAGCAACTTAAAATAATAATCTTTTTTTAGCCAGATAAAAAGGACTTTGAGTTAAACTTGGGGGAGACTCCTATTCTAGTCCTCCATCAGCCACAGAAGCTCTCTGTGGGATTTGGGGCCAGTTCCTTTCTCTATGCTGACAGCCAGTGTGAAGTACAGACAGTCATTGTGTCAAGGTAATTATAATTTAGCAGCTGACCGGCAGAAATGATATATAGAGAATGAGTCAGCAGAGTATTTTGGGGTAGTATGCCTTTAAGAGACTGTTCCTGAGGAGAATACCAGTTGGAATCTTTAACTCACTTGAACCGTTTGTATATAACTGACTACCTTGTATTCTGTATGTTCCCTGAACGTTGTTGTTTCATATTGTATATTAAACCACAATTCTTTCAACAAACCACTGTCAGATGTTTATGCTCCTGTGTTATCACATGAAGAAGAAAGAAAAGAGCTTCGACAATTTATATTTAAAAAAAAAATCTCATCTTACAACAGTTCATTTAGTGACTGTTCAAAGTTACAACGGTCTTGTGGAAAACGAAAGGACTTTTACGAATTCCAAAGGGTATAACAGAGAGGTTTATTTGCGCAAAGGTTCAGAAGCAATAGAGACAAGCAATTCTGAACAGGGGGGCGCTTCCAAACTACAATCTTTATAGCTCTCCCCATTCTAAGGAATAAAGGGAGCACACAGAGAAATCTACATTGTATATCATTCAGTTAGTTTCTCACATGTTAGGTTCATTTCTCATGGGAATACAGTGAAGGCAATTTTACTTTATACAATGTTTCTAAATGTGCATTAGGTCAGTTATTTATTTATTTATTTATGAGACTTATATACCGGTTTAAGTGCAAGCACTCTGTAAGCGGTGTATACCAGTAAGCAATGTGTATATATATATATATATATATATATATTTACATTGCCCCCAACAATTTGAGTCCTCATTTTACCTACCCCGGAAGGATGGAAGGCTGAGTCAACCTTGAGCCGGTGAGATTTGAACTGCTGACCTGAGTCAACCTTGAGCCGGTGAGATTTGAACCGCTGACCTGCTGAACACAGTCAGCTAAAGTGGCCTGCAGTACTGCACTCTAACTGCTGCGCCACCTCAGCTCTTTTACCTTGCTCAATAGTAGTAACTGTGAGAGGGATCGTGGAGTCCAAGTGGACAATCACCTAAATATGAACCAGCAGTGTGCTGCAGCTGCCAAAAAAGCCAACACAGTGCTAGGCTGCATTAACAGAGGAAGAGAATCAAGATCACGTGAAGTGTTAATACCACTTTACAATGCCTTGGTAAGGCCACACTTGGAATACTGCATCCAGTTAGTTAGTTTTGCTAACACAGCTTTCTTCCAGGAATTATGCAGACACATCATTTTACTTGAATAATGATTTTTTTTTCATTTTCATTATTATTATTCTACTTTATTCTTCATTTTATTCTATGTTATTCTATTTTATTCCACTTTAACGGGGCTGCAAAAGGGGACTGATGACCGTTTTTCACCTTTGCAGAGCGTCCCCATGGTCACCTGATCAAAATTCAGATGCTTGGCAACTGATTCATATTTATGACGGTTGCAGTGTCCCGGGGTCATGTGATCACCTTTGGCGAGTTTCTGACCAGCAAAAACAGTAGGGAAGCCAGATTTGCTTAACAGTCGTGTTATTAACTTAACAACTGCAGTGATTCCCTTAACGACTATGGCAAGAAAGGTCATAAAATGGGGCAAAATTCACTTAAGAAATGTCTTGCTCAGCAACAGAAATATTGGGCTCAGCTGAGGCCATAAGTCGAGGACCACCTATAGTGGAAAAAGTGCTGGGTTACGAATGGGGAAACCCCAGTTAAATTTATTAAATTTATTCGCCACCCATGTCACCCATAAGATAAACCTGGGCGGCTTACAATGTCAAAAAGAATAAAACAATACAAAAACATGTATATAATAAGAACAAAAAACACTCTAAAAATACAAATTTTCAGTTCTAGTCCACCCTGAACCATGGAGACCCTCTGGAAGATTGGGATCAGTCATTCTCCACCACATTCTCTACCTCAAATGGTGGATGTGGGAAGAATTAGGAGGAAAATGTGCAGCTTGTGCTATCTTGAGCTCCTGTAGATTGAGTTGTTATTCTAACAAATCTAATGTTGTTTCTTTGGCAACAGAAGTGGTTTGCCACTGTTGTTTTTTTTTCCAGAATATTTTTCAGCTTCCCAGTGAAACCTATAGCTCTGGAAATCGCTGGTAGTTCTCTTACTGAAGAAGTACTGCTTAGTTTCTGAGCTGTAGCAAATACGATTTGACGATGGTGTTAATAAGAAATGATACATCTTTCCTCATTTTTGCCTACCTCCTCAGTTGCCACATGGGCTGCCCCCATACGCTGAGGATCTGTCCTCGGAATTGGAGCGGCATTATCTCAACAGCCCGGAATGGCTTCCCATCCATGACTTTGAAAGGTCTCACAGGTGAGTCCCTGGTAGCTGGCGTGGTTGCTTGCAAGATGCAAAAGGAGTGAGAAAAGGAATTGTTAGAGACCCTACCCCCACACACACATACACACACACACACACACACACACACACACACTTCATGGGTGTGTTTCTGTTGCTTCCCTCTGGGAGGAGGTTTCAAAGTATTTCTAGAGGACTGCCAGATTCTGTAACAGCTTTTTTCCCTATGCCATCCATCTAGTAAACTCGCAAGATTTGTTTTTCTCGGCATGCATATGTGCACATCTGAACTAGACTGTTGTTTCTCTGGGTCATATATGTGTGTGTATGTAGGTATAGGAATAATTATTAATTTTTTGTCATGATTATGCAGTGTATATTGGAGGTGGTTACCCATTGAGAGCTGTATGCATCGAAATCTCATTCTAATGTATGCTGATTAATGTACACTTAAAGCGACTATAAATCTATTTTCTATTCTATTCCATTCTATTCTATTATTTTATATCTTCTATTCTATTCTATCGTCTATTCTATTTTCTATTCCATTTCATTCTAGTCTGTTCTGTTCTATTTTCTATTCTATTCCATTCTATTCTAATCTTCTATTTTCTATTCCAGTTCATTCTGTTCTGTTCTGTTCTATTTTATATCTTCTATTCTATTCTCTATTCTATCGTCTATTCTATTTTCAATTCATTCCAGTTCATTCTATTCTGTTCTGTTCTGTTCTATTTTATATCTTCTATTCTATTCTATTTTCTATTCTATCTTCTATTCTCTATTCTATCTTCTATTCTGTTTTCAATTCCATTCCATTTCATTCTATTCTGTTCTGTTCTGTTTTATATATTCTGTTCTATTTTCTGTTCTATTTTCAAATCTATTCCATTCCATTCTATTCTATCTTTTGTTCTATTTTCAATTCTATTTCCATTCCATTTTATTCTGTTCTATTCTGTTCTGTTACGTTCATTCCATTCCATTCCATTCCATTAAGCTCTGGGTGAGGCGAGTAATGGGATCGTCTGTAGTAGAAGGAGGCTCATGAAGCCAAAATAGTTTAACTTCACCTCTTATCCTGAGACAGGTTCTGGCCCCGAGAGAAAGACATCCAGTCACTCTTTGCACTAGCGGTCACGCCTGTACACTCCACTCTCCGGGCCGAGCGCAATCCCACCACCGGGGAGCTGCTGGATTTTAAAGAGGTGAGAGATGCTTTCTTCTCCTGCAGCCCCAAATGACCCTTTGAGTAATGAGTTCCTGCTGGGTTGATTTACCCGAGCATGCTCCTGTTTGCCTCTTATTTACGGTAAATATATTGATATAAAACTGTTTCGTGTCAGCGTTTCTGACTCCATTTAGATGCTGGATGCGCAGTTCCCTGGCATGATTCATATTTATAACAGTTGCAATGTCCCAGGGTCTTTTCTGCGACCTTCTGACAAGCAGAGTGAATGGGGAAGCCAGATTTCACTTAACCGTGTTACTAACCAATGATTCAGTATGGGCCAATTTTGCCAAAAACCCAAAGTTGCCAGTTTTTAGCAAAACCGTCTTAAAAGGCAGTCATGTGACCACTGGATACTGGAAACGGCCATGAATGCGGGTCAGTTGTCAAGTGCCTGAAATGTGGTCACATGACTGCAGGTGGGAGGACTATAACAGGGAGGTCCATCATACCTTCTTACAGTTGCTAAGCAACTATTTGTAAGTCAAGGACTATCCGTATAGCACCCAAGATATCAGGCCACTAGTTTACAGTCCAGGCATATCTATAAAATATCTATATAAGTTGCTTCGTAATAATGTCAGCTACCAGAAGAAAGTAGCGTTCTCTCTGTGGTGCCTGTGTACAAAAGAGATAAAGCCCTCCCTCTTTTGACTTCCATTCTAGGCACTTGTGGACAACATGGGATTATCAGCCAAGAATTCTCTTTCCTTCCAGCGAGCACCTGGTCCTCCATCTGAGTCTCTGCGAGGCAGTGCCACCAACTACCCCTTCTGGCCAGGTGTGGGTCTCCCGTTTCTATTAACTGAGTCACCAGTTTATAACTTTGAATGCAGAACCACAAGCAGGAACAAACTTCGAATCAAAGAACAGCGTTCCATCCAGCGTTGGCCTCTAGAACAGACATGTCAAACTCGTGACGTCGCGCAACGTATCGGGGCGGTTTTGCCATTGCCGGCAATGGGGTGGGCGCGGCTTCTGGATGACGCGTCCGGCCCACGGGCTGACAGTTTGACACCCCTGCTCTAGAACAGTGGCTCTTAACCTGTGGGTCGGGACCCCATTTGGGGTCGAACAACCATTTCACGGGGGTCGCCAAACAACGCAGTCCGCCATTTTTTTCCCCTTTTCCTTAGCTGTGCTACTCCCTTTGATTCTATTGGCTTTTGAAAGCCAATAGAATAGACTCTCTTGAATAGAGTCTAATTCTATTGGCTTTCAAAAGCCAATAGGAATTGTCCAGGCTGTCTCTGCCCTGCTGAGCCCGCCAAAAGTCCCATTCTGCAAACGGTGCTGCACCAGTTGAGTAGTCCTCGACTTACTACCGGTTAAGTAGTCCTCGACTTACGACCGGTTGGAGGTTGCGGCATTAAAAAGGTTGAGAACCCCTGCTCTAGAAGGTTTTTATGGGCTGTAGATCAGTGGCCCTGAACTTTTGTGGCTTAGCAGCCCAGCGGGGAGGGGGGGGAAGAGAGGGGAACCAGGCCACACATGCACACACAGCTTGACTGGCGCAAATTGAGCTGTGCGTGCATGTGCACACGCATTGGCTCACGCAAGTCAAGCTGCGTGCACACCAGCCTGCTGCTTGTGTGGCCTGGTTCTGAATAGGCCTAATAATGAGTGCGGCCCTGGGGTGGGGGACCCCTCTTGTCGATCACTTATTTTGATATTGCTTTCACAATGAATTGGCTTTTCTATTCTTCCCGTGTGTCTAATTTGGTTATAGAACGTGCGTCTTCTTTTTGCAGAATTTTGCCCCTTCAGGTAACTAAAAGCTCCTGATCACTAATCTCTAATAATCTTCTCTCGTAACACAATCTCTCCAGGTGGGATAGATGAGCCTAGCTTGGAACTGATTAAGGCTCAAGAAGATACGGAAGAGGACGTTGATTTTGAGAAAGGTAATGTGAGCATATTCCAGCCCGCAGCTCTATTAATATGCCTTTGTTTAAATCCTCACTTCTGTTTGTAAATGCCTTCTGCCCTCTGTTTGACAAGATTCAAAAAATGTAGTTTATTCTATTTACGGTACTCAAGAGAGAGGGATGATAGGAAAATGGGGCCTGGCAGAGAAGAGCTGTGACGTGGGATTATTTGAGTTCTCCGTTAACTGCATACTTTATGATTTTATTAACAAAGAATGAATGGACAAGACTCAGATGGAAATAAGACTGAAATAATTGGCCAGAGGCTCTTCGATAGCCCTTACAATCACACTGGTAAAACTAACGTGTGAAAGAATAAAGCGTGTTTCATGGTAGTTTTATTGAAATGGTTTAGAATAGATCAGTGTTCCCCAACCTTCAGGTGTGGTGGGCTACAATTCCCGGAATACTGATAGAAGAGAAAATTTGTAGCTCCGGGTTGAACTGTGGGATCCTTGGTGCTCTCTGAGCTTGGATGTTTTCTTGCAGATGTTTCATTACCCAAACTAGGTAACATCACTAGTGCTATGTTCCTAGAATTCCAACATTAGCTATGCTGGCTGTGGAATTCTGGGATTTGAAGTTTACACATCTGCAAATGGTGAAGGTTGGGAAACACTGGCTTAGATACATTAATAAACTTACTAGACGACTGCAAGTTTGATGTTGAAGACATGGTGTCTTCTTGGCAACTGCTTCATGTTTTTCTCTTGGCCCCTCAGATTTGCTGACAGTGCCACCTGGATGGAAGAAAGGGGTGGAATTCACCAAACAAGGTATAGCAAAAATGAAAGTTTCAATGGTAAAATGAAAATGATGAGTGCTACAATGAAGGGAGTGCAAACCATCTCAAAGTTTGAAAGACTTTTGCCAGAAGTGTTCTTTTTTTATTATTATTAAAAGTTTTACAATATAAACCCACCCATCACCTCCCCCCCTCCCCCACTTCCCAGAGCTGATTACAGGGTAACAAATAAACAAACATACTCTAGCTAACATAAACCAACTAAACTATCAATCAAAACCATAATACACTTTAACTCCTTTTCAAAACAAATATTAACAAATTAAGACAAAAATAATAATACCATTAATACTATTAATAATTATCTAAAATCTATTCAAAAGCAAGTATAATACTTTTCAGTTTCATACTTCTTCTGAATATAATCAATCCATCTTCTCCAAACCATAATATATCTTTCTTGTGAATGATCCTTCAAATGGGCGGAGATTTTCGCCATTTCTTTGCCAGAAGTGTTCTTGACACTTTCTGGCTTGATCTTCATTTCACTGTTGGATCGGTTTCAAGCACAGAGTACTTCGGATCACATCAGAACATCCATATTCATAACGTTCTTTTTCCAGTATTATTACAAGTGTGACCAACCCAAAAATATTAGGGACCTTTAGCTGGAAAAATTCCTTTAGCTCAGTGGTTCTCAACCTTTTTAATGCCGCGACCTCCCAACTGGTCGTAAGTCAAGGACTACCCAACCAGTCATAAGTCGAGGACTTTCCCTGCCCGGGAACGCCGTGCATGCGTGGTGCCGCCCCCTGCGTCGGCCGAGGCGTTGCTGGCAAGCGGCAGAGATGGCGCAGGCCGACCACCAGCTGGGCCACCAGCTGGCCCAGCCCAAGGGAGGTAAGGCACCCGCCGGGCCCCATGCGCACCAGCAACCCTCCCTTCGCCCGCCGGCCTCCCACCCCTGGCCCTCTTTTACTTACATTTTTAGTAGTTGCTCAGCAGGGAGGAGTGGAAACTTCCAGACAGCTCGCTTTCGCTGCAGACAACTTGCAGCACCGTTTGCAGAATGGGACTTTTGGCGGGCTCAGCAGGGCAGAGACAGCCTGGACAATTCCTATTGGCTTTTGAAAGCCAATAGAATTAGACTCTATTCAAGAGAGTCTATTTTATTGGCTTTCAAAAGCCAATAGAATAAAAGGGAGTAGCACAGCTAAGGAAAAGGGGGGGGGGGAAATGGCAGACTGCGTTATTTGGCGACCCCCGTGAAATGGTCGTTAGACCCCAAATGGGGTCGCAACCCACAGGTTGAGAACCGCTGCTTTAGCTCATATAGCATACATCAGGATGAGAGCAACTTGGAATTTATAAGTAGGCCCTACCTAAAGAAGCTCTAAAGGTTTCCCCTCTTAGTTTTCTTTTTTTTAAAAAAAGGGTTCAGATTTTGTTCCTTTTGCTTCTTCAGAGATCATGGCCTCCCCAGGATTGCTGAACTTGACCAATTTGCTGGGTGCACTGGACACCTTTGAGCTGGAGGCCTCCAGCGATGAAGAAGGCAAAGAGAAGACAGAGGAAGTGGAGAAGAGGAGGAAGAAAGGGAAGAATAAGGGAGCAAAGGAAGAAGAGATCCCTCCAGCAGAACCAGCACCACTGCACAGAGTTAACAGCTTGGAGGAACTGGTGCTTAAGGTAAGGCTGCATCTGCATTCAGGCTTGTCCTCGTGTGTGCATGGTGACACGAGAAGTAGGAGCCCAATTTCAGAAGCAAGAAGGAAACAAAGATAGGATAAATCAAGTTATAGAATAGAGAAACTGAGGCTCAGATGTAGGTGACCTGCAGCTCCCAGCATCCTCCAGCTTTGCTCCAGCAAGATCTGGAAAGCTCTAGAGCAAGGGTCTTCAAACTTGGTCCTTTTATGACTTGTGGACTTTGACTCCCAGAATTCCTCAGCCAGACACGCTGGCTGAGGAATTCTGGGAGTTGAAGTCCACAAGTCTTAAAGTTGTCATGTTTGGAGATCCTATTCTAGAGAAATGGGAAAAGTGAAACTGGGATCATGGGTGTTGGGACCGGTTGGTTTTTCTGGACTGGGATGGCCGAGAAAGGAAGTGTTGTTGCTAAGAAGTAAAACTATTATAGCCAATGGTTGGAGATTTATTGCTTGTCTTCAAATATCAAGATAAATCATTGCCATTATGAAGAGAAGGTGCCTTTTCTCTTACTTCTCCTCTGCCTAGTCTCTCAGTTGTGAGGAGATTATTTTATTGATGTGGTTTTATTCTGCCTGGACTTTAGTCTGTGGCCCATATCTAGTAACTAATTATGGTTCCAGTCTGTTTTGAAATTCTTCTGAAACAAGCTAGCTGTATGACGTAGGAAGCTTTTGATGGGTAGAAGCGAAGAGGAGGCATTTAAAAATGTTTCCATTTTTTTGAACATCGCTATAGACCAGTGGTTCTCAACCTTTTTAATGCCGCGACCCCCAACCGGTCGTAAGTTGAGGACTACTCAACCAGTCGTAAGTCGAGGACTACTCAACTGGTGCAGCACCGTTTGCAGAATGGGACTTCTGGCGGGCTCAGCAGGGCAGAGACAGTCTGGACAATTCCTATTGGCTTTTGAAAGCCAATAGAATTAGACTCTATTCAAGAGAGTCTATTCTATTGGCTTTCAAAAGCCAATAGAATAAAAGGGAGTAGCACAGCTAAGGAAAAGGGGATAAAAAATGGCGGACTGCGTTGTTTGGCGATCCCCGTGAAATGGTTGTTCGACCCCAAATGGGGTCCCGACCCACAGGCTGAGAACCACTGCTATAGACCTACATAGTTTGGAAACGCTGTGTGTTAGCTCTAGAAAGCAGCTTGGGAGGATTCCATATTAACTGCTTTCGCCTGTCCTCGGTCTGTCTGCCTTGTTCTCAGGAGGTAACACCCATCCCCAAATCAACGCCAGAGGCTGCGCCTGCCCCTGCCCCTGCTGCAGTGCCTCCTAAAGAACAGTGGGCTATCCAGGTTGATATAAGCTCCCCTGTGGACGATTTCTACAAGCTAATTCCTGATCCAGCCTTCAAGGTAAACCACCAGTTGCCCACTGTCCTATTAACATATGCAGGGGGGAAAAAAACCTCCTGGGACATAATTTTACCAAGAGTATAACTTTACCGATAGATCCGTATAGGTACAGACGAAGGAAAACAGTCTGTGCCTGTGACAATCACTTAAATATGAGCCAGCAGTGTGCTGCACCTGCCAAAAAAGCCAACATAGTGCTAGGCTGCATTAACAGAGGGATAGAATCAAGATCACGCGAATTCTTAATACCACTTTACAATGCCTTGGTAAAGCCACACTTGGAATACTGCATCCAGTTTTGGTCACCACGATGTAAAAAAGATATTGAGACTCTAGAAAGAGAAGAGAAACAAAGATGATTAGGGGACTGGAGGCTAAAACATATAAGGAACGGTTGCTGGAATTGGGTATGTCTAGTTTAACGAAGAGAAGGACAAGGGGGGACATGATAGCAGTATTCCAATATCTCAGGGGCTGCCATAAAGAAAAGGGAATCAAGCTATTTTCCAAAGCACCTGAAGGCAGGACAAGAAGCAACGGGTGGAAACTAATCAAGGAGAGAAGCAACCTAGAACTAAGGAGAAATTTCCTAACAGTGAGAACAATTAATCAGTGGAACAACTTGCCTCCAGAAGTTGGGGGTGCTCCAACTCTGGACTTTTTAAAGAAGAGACTGGACAACCATTTGTCTGAAATGATATAGAGTTTCCTGACTGAGCAGGGGGTTGGACTAGAAGACCACCAAGGTCCCTTCCAACTCTTATTCCATTCTATTCTATTCCAAAGAGTTCCCATAAGGTGTCCTTGAAGTGAAGGAACTTTCACAGGGCCCAGCTGGCTCGCTTGATTCCTCAGCCCCTCCCAATTCCCCCCCCCCAGGATTTCACCCCCTCCCTTCTGTTTCTGTTGTCAAGCTGCGAGCAAAATTGGCAGGCAGGGATGGAATCCGAATCAGCTTCGACACCAGTTCTGTTGGGCTGCCTGGAGTGGAGAGCTGGGTGTCAATAAACTAAATTTCCTCTTTCCCCTCCCTCCCCTCCCAGTGGCCTTTTGAGCCCGATGTTTTCCAGAAACAGGCAATTCTCCACTTGGAGAAACATGATTCCGTCTTTGTCGCCGCCCACACCTCTGCGGGAAAGACTGTCGTGGCCGAGTATGCCATTGCTCTGTCACAGAAGCACATGACACGGTGAGAACATTCTTGTTTCCTGGGTGGGTTTTGTGTTATGCTTTCCAATCATCTTCTGGACCCAAATACACTTCTTCTTCTTCTTCTTCTTCTTCTTCTTCTTCTTCTTCTTCTTCTTCTTCTTCTTCTTCTTCTTCTTCTTCTGCTTCTGCTTCTGCTTCTGCTTCTGCTTCTGCTTCTTCTTCTTCTTCTTCTTCTTCTTCTTCTTCTTCTTCTTCTTCTTCTTCTTCTTCTTCTTCTTCTTCTTCTTCTTCTTCTTTTGTCATAGCAGTTGGCCCACAAGCTAGGCTCCATTTTTTTTTCAGGTCAACCAGGCTTGGTCCATTAGTTGCAATAGGACAGCGATGGCGAACCTTTTAGAGACCGAGTGCCCAAACTGTAACCCAAAACCCATTTATTTATCACCGGGTGCCAGGTGGGTGTGGTCCACTGGGTGGGTGTGGCTGTGGTGATCATGGCAGATTGGGTGGGTGTGGCCAAGGTGGGTGTGATCACCTTGATGTTGCTCGTGGGGAGGGACACCTGTGGGGGCCCGGCAAGGTTGGGGGAGATCCAGGGGGTCTCTGGCAAGTGGGGTGGTGGGCAGGAGGCTCGTCCTGCAGGGTGAGGCAAGGCAGGGCGGGGATGGCATTGTCACAGGGCAAGGTGAGGCAGGGGCCGGGGTGGCTGCTGCCTGACACCATCAGCCCCTGCACACAGAGGGCAGCGAGCGCATGGGTGCTGAGATGCATCCGGCCATGTGGGACCTCGGCAAGTTAGTGAGCGGCTAGTTGAAGAGGGATGGTTGCCATCTCCGGGGCATGGCACGCGTGCCCACAGAGAGGGCTCTGAGTGCCGCCTCTGGCACGCGTGCCATAGGTTCGCTACCACTGCAATAGGACTTGACTGACCAGCTTGTCGCTGATGTCATGGGCTGAGAGGTAATGATTGGCCCAAACTCACCCAGCCTGCTTTCGTGCTCATGGTGGGACTAGAACTCACAGGCACCTGGTGCCTTAATCGCTAAACCAAACTGACTCTTAGATACCTTGATCCAAATGCACATGATGGGTGCAAAGGATTGATTTTTTTCCCCCTCATCCTAATGAGCTTTAACTGCATTCTTTTTGTAGGTGATTTATATTGTTTCGGGACTGTTATTGCTTTTACAATTACTCCAATTATTTAGAATTCACTCAGAGTCAGATATTTTTATTTTATTTTATTTTTGTTGTTAATTGCTACTGAAGAAGGTTACGTTACTCTTCACTTGATACCTAAGATACTGGCAGCTTAAATTTGTAAATTTGCCACATTCCCATTAGTCCTCGATGTATGACCACCGTTGAGCCTGAAGTTTATGTTGCTGAGTGAAAAATTTCTTAAGTGAGTTTTTACCCCATTTTATGACTTTTCTTGCCACCGTTGTTAAGTGAATCCCTGAAGCTGATAAATTAGTAACCCGGTTGTTAAGTGAATCTGGCTTCCCCATTGACTTTGCTTGTCAAAAGGTTGCAAAAGGGGATCACGTGACCTTGGGACACAGCAATGGTCATAATTGTGAACCAGTTGCCAAGTGTCTGAATTTTGATCACATGATCCTGGGGGTGCTGCAAAGCTTGTAACTGGGAATGGTCTTAAGTAAGAAAAATGGTCATAGCTCACTTTTTTCAGTGCCATTGTAACCTTGAACGGTCACTAAATGAACTGTTGTAAGTCGAGGACTACCTGTACAGGTAATCCTTACTTAACAACTGGTTGCTTAGCAACTGTTCAGCATTATGATGGACCTTCCCAGTACTATTTATGACTCAATTCCAAAGTTCCAACAATCGGAAACACACACACACACACACACACACACACAGAGTCACATGATCACATTTTGAACACTTGGCAATCAGCTCACATTGACAGCTCACAATTTTCAGTGGTTTTTGCCAGTTTCCACATCATTTAATTCCAGTTTGGGGCTAAAAACATCCACTGGTAAAAATAGGTTTGCTGAACGACTAGGGCAGGGCTTTTCAACCAGTGGTACGGGTACCACCTGTGGTACATTGGCACCTGGCAGGTGGTACGCGACCATCCTAGAAAAGTGGTAGTGGGGGAAGGGAATGAGTTGACCCAGTGGCAGCACCGCACAAGCCTGAGCGAGAGATGGCTGGAGCTGCAGGGCTGTCAGGGCTCAGCGGAAGCACCAGGATCAGCGCCAGGCTCCAGCTGGAGTTCTGCGCTGATCCTGGTGCTTCTGCTGAGCCCAGAAGAAGTGCTGATCAGCTGGAATGTTGCAGCATCTCCAGGGTCTTGTGATTTACATTCAGATGCTTGGCAACTGATTCATATTTATGACGGTCACAGTGTCCCAGGGTCATGTGAAGTGACCAAAACCTGCTGCAACCACCCAGCAGATGGGGGGAATAAAAACCAAATCCCCCCCACCCCACCCCGCTGCCAATGCTCAACAGAAATACTCACAACAATAAAAAGAGCGCAGCCAAGCAGGCAGGCAGGTGTCTTGCTCGGCTGTGGCTTTGGGGGCACTTTTTTCAGTGCCATTGTAACATCAAACAGTCAGTAAGTGAACTGCTTTAAGTTGAGGACTACCTGTACTTTATCACTGTTTTCCTTTTTTGGGGGGGGGTCATCAAGTTTTTTTTTTTAATTGAAAATTTTTTATAAACTTTTACAAAGACAAAATAAAAAAAACAGTAACAACAACAACAACACAAAAAAAAACAAAAAAAAACCAACCCTCCCCCAACCCCTCCCAAATCACCCCCTCCCTCCCCCCCCGAGCTTCCCAGAGCAGAATATAGGCTTAATTAAAAGAAATTAACAAGATTATAAGATAATTAAGATAATTAAAAACAATATATATATATATAAATAAAGAATTATAAACCTTAAAAAGAAAAAATATTCAAAGGAAGAACAAGGAAAAAAAAGGAAAAAGTAAAGTTTTTAAACAAATTATAAATAGGCTAAATAGTATTTTTTCATATCCAATTTAAATTACATAAAATTTATCCATTTTTCCCATACAGAAAAAAAATTCTCTTGCGTTTGCTCTTTTAAGAAAGCCGAAATCTTTGCCATTTCCGCCAAATAAGATACTTTAAAAAACCACTCTTGCAAAGTAGGCAAAGATTCCTTCTTCCAATATTGACCTACTAACAGGCTTGCGGCTGTAATCAAATTCAACATCAATATAACCTCCTTAGCATCACAATCAATAACAATACCAAGCAAAAACAATTGTGGAGTAAATTTTACCCACTTTCTGAGAATTCTCTGAATATTCCACCATATTTTAATCCAAAAGGCTTTTATATTTTTGCACGACCACCAAATATGATAATAAGTGGCGTCCAAACAGCCACATCTCCAACATTTAGGCTGTAAGTCAGGATACATAAGAGACATCTTTTGTGGATCAAGGTGCCATCTATAAAACATTTTATAAAAATTCTCCCTTAGATTCTGGGCTTGTGTAAATTTAACATTTCTCACCCAGATAATTTCCCAGGTATCCAGTAGGACTGGTTCAGCAAAATTCTGCGCCCATTTAATCATACAATCTTTAATTAATTCTGATTCTGAATCCAGTTCCACTAGCACCCCATAAATTCTTTTAATGTGGGTTTGTCTTTGATCCTTTACTTGCTTAAAAAGATTTTGATCTTCTCTAAGCAGACCTAAATTACGATCCATCTTCCATCTATCTACTAATTGTCTATATTGAAACCAAGAATAAGTAATATTTTCATATAACAAATCTTCCAAAGATTTTAACTGCCAATTTTGACCATCCCATCTAAGTAATTGTGTATAAGACACCGTATCCATTTTAACACCTCTCTTTATCCCCTCTATCGCATGCCAAGGTATAGCCCATAATGGTATTTTAAAATCACTTTTATAATATTTCCTCCAGACTCTAAGTAGAGAAATCCTTGAAACATGGGATTTAAAAGCCCGATCCACTTTTTTATTAAATATTAAATAGGCATGCCAACCAAAAAGTAAATCCCATCCCTCCAGATGGAGTATCTCTAAATTTGTTAAGTTTACCCAATCACTAATTAATGTAAAAACCACAGCATCATAATATAATTTCAAATTCGGTACCTTGAGTCCACCTCTCTCACGGAAGTCCTGCATAATTTTAAACTTCACCCTTGGTTTTTTCCCTGCCCAAATAAATTTGTTAATACCTTTCTGCCATTCATTCAAATTAACCTCATTCTTTAAAATAGGTAACATTTGAAACAAAAAAAGAAATTTGGGCAGGACATTCATTTTAATCACTGCAATTCGTCCCATGAGAGATAACTGTAACTTCTCCCAGTTCCTCAAGTCCTTCTGTACACTGGCCCACAGCCTTTCATAATTATTCTTAAACAATTTTGCATTAGAAACAGATAAAGTAACCCCCAAATATTTTGTCTTATCAACAATTTCAAAACCAGTCAACTCAGCCAGAGTCTGTTTGTCCTGAGTAGTCATATTTTTAGCTAATATTTTAGTCTTATTATTATTAATTTTAAAGCCCGAAACAAGTCCATATTGATGAATCAGCTGTAATAAATTTACTACAGAATAGGTAGGTTGAGATAAAGTAACCACCAAGTCATCTGCAAAAGCTCTTAACTTGTACTCTTTTTTATTAACTTCTATTCCTCTTATTTCCTGCGATTCTCGGATTTTAATCAACAAAATTTCCAATGTTAAAACAAACAGCAAAGGTGACAGAGGACATCCCTGTCTAGTACCTTTTTCTATTATAAAAACCTCTGACAAACCCCCATTAACAATAAGTTGTGCCGTTTTTTTTTTTGATATATAGCAGTAAAAGCTTGTAATATTTTCCCTCCAAAATTCATCTCCTCGATTGCTCTTAACATAAAATGCCAATTCAATTGATCAAAAGCTTTTTCAGCATCTAAAAATATCAGCCCTGCAGGGACTTGGTTGTTCTTATCTAAATATTCTAATATGTTAATAATTTGTCCAGCATTATTTTTCATGTACCTGCCAATTATAAAACCCGATTGGTCCTTATGTATAAGCTGATGCACAACCTTCATAAGCCTATTAGCTAGAATTTTTGCAAAAATCTTGTAATCTACATTTAAAAGAGATATAGGTCTATAATTCTTTGGTAAAGTAAGATCTTGATCCTCTTTTGGAATCAAGGATATGAAAGCACTGCGCCATGACGGAGGGATCTCTGCACCCTGCAATATATTATTAAAAAGCTCAACTAAAGGTTGAGTCACCTCTTCAACTAAAGTTTTATAATAAATAGATGTCAAACCATCCGTACCTGGCGCTTTACCTAATTTTAATTGCTTAATAACCGTCACAATTTCCTCATTGGTAATTGGATCATTAATTTCTTGCTTCTGATCTTCTGTCAATTTAGGAAAGTTAGCCTCACTTAAATATTTATTTATGTCTGAGATTTGTACATTAGTAGTCTTATATAATTTTTGATAATAGTCTAAAAAAGATTTCTTAATCAATTCCTTCTGATACACTAATTTACCATTATAATTTATTTTATCTATTATTCTCTGTCTCTGTTTCTTTCTTAATTGATAAGCCAACCATCTCCCTGGTTTATTGGCATTACAAAATGTATTTTGTTTCATAAACAAAAGATTAGTTGCAGATTGATCAGCCATCAACATATTAAATTGTGCCCTTAAAACCTTTATAGATTCCTTAACCTTTTCATCTGAAGGATTTAAAATCAAAAACTTTTCTTTTGATTTAATCTCCTCTTCCAATTCCTTACGCTTCTGAATCTGCTTTTGTCTATGAACGTTGTTCATTTTTATCAAAATTCCACGCATAAAAGCTTTACCTGCATCCCATACCAAGTTTTTGACACCTTGCTAGGCGACTGGTGATACTTGGATGTTGCCATATCCTAAAATGTTTACCCATTGTAAAAGTGGTACAATGGGTGAAATGGTTGAAAAGCCCTGGACTAGGGCATTTAACAACCGCCACAAAAAGGCTCATAAAATCAGCTGTGGTCAGGTGGTGACCCACTTCCCATGTAACGTGACCATAATTCCTGCCTCAAATACAGTCATAAGTCGAGAAGTATCTGTACTTAGAAGATTCACGGTCTGTTTCTCTTGCTCCCCTCTGGTGCCGAAGTATTTATAGCACGACTACTCGATTCTGCAACAGCTTTGTTCCTTATGCCATCCATCTTGTAAATTCGCAGGATTCTTTTTTCTCGCCATGTATATGTGTACCTCCGAACCAGACTGTGTTGTTTCTTTGTGTCATATACGTGTGTGCATCATTTCTTCTCATGTTTATGTTGTGTATATTGGAGATGATTACCTTTTGAGAGCTGAATGCAACAAAATTTCATTTTAATGTATGCTGATTAGTGTACATCCAAAGTGACAATGAAGTTATTCAGTCTGTCTGTCTACCTATCTTCCTGTCTATCTATCTATCTATCTATCTATCTATCTATCTATCTATCTATCTATCTATCTATCTATCTACCTATCTATCTACCTATCTATCTCTTCCTCCTGCATATATTATAAATGTTCCTAATGCAGTGTTTCTCAACCTTAGCAACTTGAAGATGTGTGGAGTTCAACTCCTAGAATTCTGGGAGTTGAAGTCCATTTGTCTTCAAGTTGCCAAGGTTGAGAAACACCATCCTCATTAAAAAAAACAAAAAAAATCCCAAAGGAGACAGTTCTTCAGATTATTCTAGAGTAGTGGTTCTCAACCTTTTTAATGCCGCGACCCCCAACCGGTCGTAAGTCGAGGACTACTCAACCGGTCGTAAGTCGAGGCCAACTCAACTGGTGCAGCACCGTTTGCAGAACGGGACTTTTGGCGGGCTCAGCAGGGCAGAGACAGCCTGGACAATTCCTATTGGCTTTTGAAAGCCAATAGAATTAGACTCTCTTCAAGAGAGTCTATTCTATTGGCTTTCAAAAGCCAATAGAATAAAAGGGAGTAGCACAGCTAAGGAAAAGGGGGGAAAAAATGGCGGACTGCATTGTTTGGCAACCCCCGTGAAATGGTCGTTCGACCCCAAATGGAGTCCTGACCCACAGGTTGAGAACCACTGTACTAGAGTCCAGGACCTTCTAAATAATCTCACTCTTTCCCCCTCTGCCTCCTTTTGCAGCACCATCTATACATCCCCAATCAAAGCGCTTTCCAACCAGAAGTTTCGGGATTTCAAAAACACCTTTGGCGATGTTGGCTTGTTGACAGGAGATGTGCAGCTGCATCCGGATGCCTCCTGCCTCATCATGACAACCGAGATCCTTAGGTGAGGGCTAGGTTGAAGAGAGAAGGCTGTCTCTCTTGGGCAAAGGGGGGGGGGCAGAATGGCTGGAAGGTACGATGAGATATGAGTGAATTTATGAGTTTCCAATGTGTTGTCTAAGTAGATTCAATAGATGAATCCAGATATTTTAAGAAAGCAGTGTTGTACGCTTACGATTCCATATGTCAGAATCGGTATGGTGAAGTTTCAGAAGCTGGGATGTGATTCTTCCAATCATCATCATCAAGTTGGAAGGGATCTTGGAGGTCATCTAGTCCAACCCCCTGCTCAGGGAGGAAACCCTATAGCATTTCGGACAAACGGCTGTCCAGTCTCTTCTTAAAAACTTCCAGTGTTGGAGCATTCGCCGCTTCTGGAGGCTAATTATTGGTTAATTATTCTAACTGTCAGGTCCTTAGTTCTAATAACCACCAGGTTACTAACTTACCAAGTGCAGTGATTCACTTAACAACTGAGGCAAGAAAGGTTGTAAAATGGGGCAAAATTCACTTAACAACCGTCTCACTTAATTTTCGGCTCAGTTGTGGTCGTAAGTCGAGGACTAGCTGTGTATAAATAGAATGCCACAAAAATATAAATGCACACACACACACAAAGTACAAAATGCACACTATCTGTAACTGCTGGTTTTGCATACACGCCGTTTTCCTTTGAAGGCAATATATGTATCCGTCAAGAGTTGACCTTTTCCGATTCAGACTCCCTTCTCAAATTGAAATTCCTTCATACTTTAATAATTAAGCAGGGCCAAACTGACAACCCAAATCTTTTAGTTGTTTGCTTGTTTGTTTTGCTTAGAGAACAATACCGCTGTCCTAGAATGCCATTTTCTTTTTTTTCTTATTTCCAAAGGTCTATGCTCTATAATGGCTCCGATGTCCTCAGAGACCTAGAGTGGGTGATCTTTGATGAAGTACATTACATTAACGACTCTGAGGTAAGAGGGGAACCAAGGACGAAAACATGAAAGAAATCGGGACCTGAGCAATCAGGGATATTTAGTTTGGATTGGGGGAAATTCATTAGTTTCTTGAATGTTCTGGAATGTTCTCCAACCAAGTGTTCTCTTCCTGTTTGTCAATATAAAAGAGGAAATACTTGGGTCTTTCATTGCTCTGTCATCAAAGTGAATGTATGGGTCAAAAGCCAATTCCCTTATTTAAGGAAGGACTTTGCCAGGACTTTGCATCGTCCCTTCATTTCTTTTATTGGATCCACAGCGGAAAGTCAGTAGACATCTCTCTTCAGATGCTCAGGAACATTCTTGTCTTTCTTTTCTCCTCCTCCTCAGCGTGGTGTGGTTTGGGAAGAGGTTCTCATCATGTTGCCAGACCATGTAAACATAATTTTGCTGAGTGCCACCGTCCCCAACACCCTGGAGTTTGCTGACTGGATTGGGTGAGCAGAAAGATACTCAAGGGCCTGGCAGCTCATCTAAAGCCCCAGACGTGCTGTCCAATGTTCCTATGATGCCAAGGCTGATCTTCCTCTCTTATAGGTTTTGATTATGGAATCAGAACATCTAGAAACAATAATATAGCTCCCAGTGGCCTTTGCTCTAGCAATTGTCTAGTCCAGGGGTAGGCAACCTTGGCTCTCTTAGGACTGGTGGACTTCAACTCCCAGAATTCCTGAGCCAGCATGACTCAGCTTGGAAACCTCTCCCTTTCCCCTCAGCGTGGCTGGCTCAGGAATTCTGGGAGTTGAAGTCCACGCGTCATAAAAGAGCCAAGGTTGCCTACCCCTGGTCTAGTCCTCTTTAGAAGGCAACTGAGCCAGAGGTTGGCAATGTACAGGTAGTCCTTGACTTACAACGGTTCATTTAGGGACTGTTCAAAAATTACAACGTGATTTATGACCGCTTTTGACAGTTACGACCTTTGCAGCCTCCCTATGGTCATGTGATCAAAATTCAGATGCTTGGCAACTGGTTCCTTTTTATGACGCTTGCTGTGTCCCAGGGTCACGTGATCCCCTTTTGCGACTCCCTGACAAGCAAAATCAATGGGGGAAGCCACATTCACTTGACAACTGTGTTACTAACTTAACCACTGCAGTGATTCACTGAACAACTGAGGCGAGGAAGGTCGTAAAAATGGGGCAAAACTCACTTAACAACTGAGCAACAGAAATTTTGGGCTCCGTTGGGGTCCTAAGTTGAGGACCACCCGTATGCTCTCTGAACCGCACAGCTTTGGGGAGGGGAGGGGAGAGCTCACCAAAATAACCCTGTTTGTGGGATTCCTGCTTCTGACAGGAGAATCAAGCGGAAGAAGATTTATGTGATCAGCACCCTGAAGCGCCCTGTTCCGCTGGAGCATTATCTGTACACGGGGAATAGCCAGAAGACGCAGAAGGAGCTCTTCCTCCTGGTGGACGCCCGTGGGACATTCCTTACGAAGGGGTAAGCTGAAGATCAAGGGTCTTCAAACTTGGCAACTTTAAGACGTGTGGACTTCAACTCCCAGAATTCCTCAGCCAGCCCTGGCTGGCTGAGGAATTCTGGGAGTTAGTAATAGTAATAGTAATAGTAGTAAAGTTGGAAGGGACCTTGGAGGTCATCTAGTCCAACACCCTGCTCAGGCAGGAAACCCTACACCATTTCGGACAAATGGCTGTCCAGTCTCTTCTTAAAAACTTCCAGTGTTGGAGCATTTACTGCTTCTGGAGGCAGCTGTTCCACTGATTAATTGTTCTCACTGTCAGGAAGTTTCTCCTTAGTTCTAGGTTGCTTCTCTCCTTGATTAGTTTCCATCCGTTGCTTCTTGTCCTGCCTTCAGGTGCTTTGGAGAATAGCTTGACTCCCTCTTCTTTATGGCAGCCCCTGAGTTATTGGAACATTGCTATCATGTCCCCCCTCGTCCTTCTCTTCGTTAAACTAGACATACCCAATTCTAGCAACCGTTCCTTATATGTTTTAGCCTCCAGTCCCCTAATCATCTTTGTTGCTCTTCTCTGTACTATTTCTAGAGTCTCAACATCTTTTTTACATCATGGTGACCAAAACTGGATGCAGTATTCCAAGTGTGGCCTTACCAAGGCATTAAAGAGTGGTATTAATACTTCACGTGATCTTGATTCTATCCTCTGTTAATGCAGCCTAGCACTGTGTTGGCCTTTTTGGCAGCTGCAGCACACTGCTGGCTCATATTTCAGTGATTGTCTACTAGGACTCCGAGGTCCCTCTCACAGTTACTACTATTGAGCATGGTGCCACCTATGCTGTATTTGTGCATTTGGTTTATCTTTAAGACGTGAAATCCACAGGTCTTAAAGTTGCCAAGTTTGAAGACCCCTGCTCAAGTTCGACAGATGAGCCCTTACAATAATACAAAGCACACATTCTGGGCTCCAGCACGAAAACGAAAGCTCAGGTCCCAGTGACCAACCCAGATTGGATCCTTGTTACATCTGGTTGAATCGGCAGTGAGGAATCATAATAATAGTAATAATAATAATAATCCCCCAGTGAGGCACTACCTTGACATGGTTGTGGGGCTTGTGTACTCTGAGGAAGATGAGAGCTATGCCAGAGGTTCAACCATACTGGACAGGTCTCATCAGAGGAGTCAGACAAAGAGTGTCTCTCCCATAAAAAAATATGGTGAGACGTAAATTGCAGAATGCCATACCGGCTCGGATGTCGCCCAGGTTAACAAGGTCCGCGCTAGATATTGGAGTTCCTGGATATCTGGTGAAAAATGGGTTACAGGACTCAGGACTGTTGGCTGAGCAACCAGGGCCAGCAGCTGAAGAACTACTGGAAGAAAAGGTGTTTACCCATCGCAGATATACAGTGATTGAAAACAAAGAAATAATGATCTGTTACTACAGATCAAGTCCAACAAGAAGAACTGGAGAAGATAACAAAATACAAAGACCTACAAATAGAAATAGAAAGACTGTGGCAAAAGCAAGCAAGGGTAGTACCAATATTCATAGGCTCCTTGGGTGCAATCCCAAAACAACTGGAGCACTACTTGAACACCATTGGCATTGACAAATTCGCTTTTAGTCAATTGCAAAAGGCGGCCTTACTAGGAACTGCTTCCATCCTGCGACGATACCTGTAATACCATCAAACATCCACATCTGCCTATCCCAGGTCCTGGGTAAGGACTCGATAGGTAGACAAAATGCCAAATCCAGTCTGAACATCTGGCTGACTGTGCGATGATCAATCATCATTAATAATAATAATAATATAATAAAGTTGGAAGGGACCTTGGAGGTCATCCAGTCCAACCCCCTGCTCAGGCAGGAAACCCTATACCATTTCGGACAAATGGCTGTCCAGTCTCTTCTTAAAAACTTCCAGTGTTGGAGCATTCACTGCTTATGGAGGCAGGTTGTTCCACTGGTTAACTGTTCTCACTGTCAGGAAGTTTCTCCTTAGTTTAGGTTGCTTCTCTCCTTGATTAGTTTCCATCCGTTGCTTCTTGTCCTGCCTTCAGGCACTTTGGAGAATAACTCTGGAAAATAGCAAGGTAATCGGGCCAAGATTTTTTTGGCAGCCTAGGAAAACATATGTCACCTGCGCGTTCTGTATTATAATGTTAATAACATCCCTTTGATGTGTTATCTTCTTTGATTATCCTTTCAGGTATTACGATGCTGTAGAAGCCAAAAAGGAACGAAGTAGCAAGCACTCCCAGACCTTTGGGGCCAAACAGCCAATGCACGCAGGAGCTGGGCCAGGCCAGGTGGGCTGAATTAAGTTAGCTTTGAGTTAGGAGTTTCCATAAGTGGACAAAATATGAGTCAATGGGTTAATCTTTCCCTTTCCTGGCACTAAAAAAAAAAGGTCATTTAAAATAACGTCTTATGAGATGTATCCAGATGTTTGGATGCTCTCCTTTGTGGGGAGGAAGGAAGGGAGCATTACATCGAAAGAGAAGAAGGTCGGTGGGAGGATCTAAGTCCTGGAGCAAACATCTGGAATTTCCGCAGGACAAGAACATCTGGCTGTCCCTCATTGACATGCTGCGGAAGAAGGACCAACTGCCAGTGGTGGCCTTCACGTTCTCTCGCAACCGCTGCGACGAAAATGCCTCCATGCTGACCACCGTCGATCTGACCACGACGACGGAGAAAAGCGAGATCCACGTCTTCTTCCAGAAGTGCATCTCCCGACTGAAGGGCACCGATCGGCAGTTGCCTCAGGTGAGAGAAAAAAGAAAGGACGACTAGAGGGTCCTCTTTGTAGAGGTGGTTGCCAAGATGGTTGCCAAGAGGAAGAGGAACGGAAGTCAAGGGCTCCAAACCCTGGAGGTGTGGATGGAGCAACCGCACCCCCTGCACGTCCTGTTTCCTCCCTCCCCATCTTTATAGCATCTTTTTACCATAATTTTAATCATCCATATTTTTGCTACTAGACTATGTATGTATGTGTAGTTTTATGGCTTTTAACCTTGTAAGCCACCCAGAGTTGCTTTGCAGTGAGATAAGTGTCAAAAAAAATTAGATAGATAGATAGATAGATAGATAGATAGATAGATAGATAGATAGATAGATAGATAGATAGATAGATAGATAGATAGATAGATATTAGATGATTGCTAGAGATAGAGATGGAAGACGGATGGATGGATGGATGGATGGATGGATGGATGGATGGATGGATAGATAGATAGATAGATAGATAGATAGATAGATAGATCAGGGGTCTTCAAGCTTGGCCCTTTTATGACTTGTGGACTTCAACTCCCAGAATTCCTCAGCCAGGCACACTGGCTGAGGAATTCTGGGAGGTGGTCCACAAATCATAAAAGGGCCACGTTTGAAGACCCCTGAGATAGATAGAGAGATATAGATATAGAGACAGACTAATAGGAAAGGTATGAAATCTTCTCTAGTGCCACTCCTGGATTTCAGGATAAAATTAAATTTAATTAAATTGGAAGTTGGATGATTTGGTTACTAAAAAAAACTAGCCTATGGGATTTTTTTCTCTCAGGTTCTTCACATGGTCGACCTTTTGAAACGTGGAATTGGGGTGCACCACAGTGGCATTCTGCCCATCCTCAAGGAGGTTGTGGAGATGCTTTTCAGCAAAGGCCTTGTCAAGGTATGTGTAGGAGATGGCCAGGGTGAGGCTGAGGGTGGGGGGGGGATCAAATGCATCATGAGTTTGGAGTCTCTGTGCCCCCATAAGAGGCTTAAGTCCGGCTCCCCTTTGAAGTCTCTGGACTCTTATCTTCGACAGTTTGCTTTGACAGTTAGTAGATTAGATTCTTGTGTACAGGTAGTCCTCAACTTACGACCGCAACTATTCTTCATTTGGTCTTTCTTGTAGGCCAGTTTGGTCTCTCCAGTAGTCAGTAAGCCTTCCTGATATACTAATTTCAGTGCATCTTCATCATTGTTCTTGAGATATTCTTCCAAAGCCACTTTTTCTTCTTCAACCATCTGATGTACTTGTAGCATTCCACGCCCACCTATTTGCCTTGGTAGATAAAGTCTGTCAATGTCACTGCGTGATTATTATTATTATTATTATTATTATTATTAGGCTGGAGGACTATAGGTGATGAAATGTAATTCTCTGGAAAGCATTAGGTGGAGCAAAGCTGCTAAAAGCCATTCTGGTTTTTTGCCATGAAAAGAGGTGGAATCTCTCCATCTTTCTCCTTCCCTTCTGGTTTTAGATCCTCTTTGCCACAGAGACTTTCGCCATGGGGGTGAACATGCCAGCAAGGACTGTGGTTTTCAATTCAGTTCGTAAACATGACGGTGCAAATTTCCGGGACTTGGTACCAGGTAGGAGCAAAGGAATACGTTTCATGGTGTCCTTTTGTGTGTGTGTGTGTGTGTGTGTGTTTGTTTGTTTGTTTATAAGTAGAATGGCCAGATGTTCCACAGACAAAACATTTGTCTGCCCTTCTCTTGCACATCATCTCCTACTTCCTACCTCCAGCTCTTTCTCTTCGCTAGCTGTTTATCTTGTCACTGTTCCTGCTGGCTGCCTTGAAACCTTTAAAGAGGGCACGTCCCACAGAGGTACCCTCTAGAGCAGCGATGGCGAATCTTTTAGAGACCGAGTGCCCAAACTGCAACCCAAAACCCACTTATGCATCGTCGGATGCCGGGTGGGCGTGGCCCATTGGGTGGGTGTGGCTGCGGTGGTAACAGCAGACTGGGTGGGACTAAAAAATTCAATCAATTCCAACTTTGCAAGATCTTTTTTTTTTCCCCCGAGAAGTTGAAATTGACTGATTGATTGAACCTTTTTTTTTTTTTTTTGTACACGGCAGAGGCCTAAAGCGAAAAGGTTTTATAAAACCCAGTTGAAGGCCTAGGACTGGGGCGATGGCGCACGTGCCCACAGAGAGGGCTCTGAGTGCCACCTCTGGCACCCATGCCATAGGTTTGCCACCACTGCTTTATTGCTATTAGGATTTTTGTAGGCCAAAAGCCAGCAAGCCAATTTATCTCAACTGTTTAGGATATTTTGGGGGCGCTTTGAGACTGGGAGCATATATAGAGCAACCACAGCACAGTTATGCTGGTTTCTTCCCCAAAGGAAAACAAAAATAGCCTTTTTTTAAATCTGGGAATCCCTGTACGTCAGAAGGCTAAAGCAGTGTTTCTCAGCCTTGACCACTTTAAGATGCCTGGACTTCAACTCCCAGAATTCCCTAACCAGCATTCCAAAATTCTGGAAGTTAACGTCTGAACACCTTGAAGTGGCCAAGGATGAGAAATACTGGGCTAAAAGGATAAAATTCTAGTGAAATACAGGTAGTCCTCGACTTAACAACCATAACAGAGCCCCAAATTTGTGTGGCTAAGTGAGACATTTGTTAAGTGAATTTTGTCCCATCTTACGACCTTTCTTGGCAAGTGGTTAAGTGAATCACTGCAGGTGTTAAGTTAGAGACACAGTTGTTAAGTGAATCTGGGTTCCCCATTGCCCCCAGGACACTTCATCCATCAAAAATATGAGTCAGCTGCCAAGCATCTGAATTTTGATCACATGACCACGAGGATGCTACAACGGTCGTAAGTAAGAAAAAATGGCCATAGCTCACTTTTTTCGGGGCCGTTGTAACTTTGAATGGTCACTAAATGAACTGTTGTAAGTTGAGGACTACCTATATACAGAGAGGAGTTTTCATTTATCAGTCTGGCTGAGGCAAGAATGAAACTAGTGTTGTCGCTCCTTCTTCTCTCTCTCTTACTTGATGGCAACAATGGTTATACCAGCCACACCACGCCACGTACTATATCTCTCTTTCTTCCGCATCCTAATAGCTGAATACATCCAGATGGCCGGCCGGGCTGGGCGTCGAGGTCTTGATACCACTGGGATGGTGATTATCCTGTGCAAAAACCAAGTGCCTGAAATGTCCGACCTTCATCGCATGATGCTGGTGAGCGATTGTTGTGTGCTTGTCTAGCTTAAGCTGCAAATGATGCAACTGCAGTTGCTTAAGCTGTAAAGCAGGGGTGTCAAACTCAATTTCACTGAGTTTGCAACCGCAACATCAGCATTGCGGTTGCCCTCAGGAGGCCGGGTGGGTGTGGCCAGAGTGGGTGCAGCCTACTGGGTGGGCGTGGATGGAGTAGGTGTGGCTACTGGAGGTGTGGCCAGTTCTACATCATTCGCGTCAAGGGTGCCTATGGGGGCCTGGGCAGGAGTGGGACAAATCTGAGGGTCTCTGGCAGAAGGGGGTGGGAGACCGGGGCAAGTGCCAAGGCATGGTCCACTGGAGCATGTGCCAAAATGGCGACCACAAAATTGTACATTGGCTCCCGGCTTGCCTGGGCCAGGGCCAAGGCAGCGGGGGCCGTTCTCTCACTGTTTCCAGGATGGCTTCGCGGGCCACGTGAAACCACTTCGCAGGCCGCATCCGGCCCCCGGGCCTTGTGTTTGACATGTCTGCTGTAAAGGAACCCGCCTTGAGATATTTGGGTTGAAATTACAGCCAGTAATGAATATCTTCCTTCTGCCTGAAGATTAAAGTTTACTGGAACCTCAGTAAGGACAAAGGACAACCACGCCCCCTTCTGGGTCCAAAAATCAGATGTTTGCGGTCTTCCGCTTGGACATTCTTTTTTCCATTACAGTTAATCCTTGACTTATGAAATAGAACAGAATTCTTTATTGGCCAAGCGTGATTGGACACACGTGGAATTTGTCTCTGTCGCATAAGCTCTTATTGTACATACAAACAAGTGATAAATCATGATCATAATCATAAAACACAATCGTCCTAAGTCATAAGATACAACATTCAGTGATAGTCATAGCATAATAAATAAGCCATCAACATAAATCATAGTAGGATACTAAATAAGAACAATCAACATAAATCATAAGATACAAACAACCAAGCGATAGTCCTAAGAAGCTAAGGAAATAGATAATAGGAAAGGTGAGAAGGATAATAGTAATACGTCCCTAGTAGGCGGTTTGACATCCCAGGGGCATAAGACAGCGCTGGGGGGATTAGGTGTTTAGCAGAGTGATGGCCGGGGGTGGGGGGAAAACTGTCCTTGTTGTTTTTGAACTAGATAACTGAATAATAATTGAACCCAGAATTATAGTCATAAGTTGTGGCGGTCATTAAACAGATTGCCACGTGACTGTCCTCAATTTTATGACCTTTTTGCTGTGGCTATTAAGCAAATACTCTAGTCATTAAGGTAACATGGCAGCTGTTAAGCAAATTAATGGGTGATTTTGCCAGAAATTGGGAATAAACAAATCTAAATCGTGGTCACGTAACTGTGAGGGAACCGTCATTGGAACTTCAAAACTGGATCGCAAGTAACTCTGGAGAGGTATGTACTAACTTCAAATGGTTGCTAAGTGACAGGTCGTAAGCCGAGGACTTCCTATATGACTTAGCTGGTCAATGGATGTATTTTCCATGTTTTGGTCTAATTCTTTAGATTAGGGCCTGTCTGAATATTAAAGAAATTTGCCAATTTCTTGGTTGAGTTTGGTTGGATGGCTAGGAAGAGAAGCATGGAGCTCTAAGAGGTTCCAAAGGTATCCACCTACTGCATTGGAAGTACAGGTAGTCCTCAGCTTACGACCACAATTGAGCCCCAAATCTCTGTTGCTAAGCAAGACAATAGTCAAATGAGGTTTGCCTCATGTTACGACCTTTCCGGCCACGGTTGTTGAGTGAATCACTGCAGTTGTTGAGCTGGTAACCTGGTTCTTACGTGATTGTTGAGTTAGCAACACGGTGGTCGCCAAAGCTGATCGCATGACCCCAGGACACTGCAGCCATCATAAATAATGTCAGTTATCAAGCATCTAAACTTTGATCATGTGACCATGAGAATGCTGAAATAGTCATAAGTGTGGGAAATGGTCACTTTTTATAGTTCTGTGGTAACTTCAGATGGTCCCTAAAATAATAGTTGTAAGTCGAGAACTACCTGTACAGTGGTACCTTGGTACTCATTGTTAATTGATTCTGGGAGATGCGATGAGTATCAGAAACAATGAGTACCAAACAATTTTTTTCCCCATAAGGAATAATGTAGCGAGTCACAAGGCAGCTGACACTGACAAGTTCTAGTTTTGGGCATGGAGTACCAAACAAACAACGAGTACCTGGACAAAACTTTCATGACAAAATGCGTGGCGTACCAAATTTGATGCGCTTCAACGCTGTTGAGTGCCAGGCTACCACTCTTACAGGTAGTCCTCGACTTATAACAGTTCATTTGGTGACCGTTCAAAGTTACAGTGGCATTAAAATATGTGACCTACGACTGTTCTTCACAGTTACAACCTTGGCGGCATCCTGATGCAGATCAGGTGATCACAATGCAGACGCTTGGCAACTGGTTCATATTTTTATGACCGTTGCTGCATCCCAGGGTCGTGTTATCCCCTTTTGCAACCTTCTGACAAGCAAAGTCAATGGGGAAGCCAGATTCACTTCACAACCGGGATACAGCTGCAGGGATTCACTTAAGAGCTGTGGCAAGAAAGGTTCCTAAAATGGGGCAAAACTCGCTTAACAAATGTTTCACAGAAATTTTGGGCTCAATTGTGGTAGTAAGTTGAGGACTGCCTGTACTATGTAACAATCCCTGGGCGGTTTTAGAAGAATGATACTACACATGCCAACCTTTTCCCATGGATGTAAGGAGTAGAAACCTGCTTGGTTTCAAGCTCTTAGGAAGTTAAATCCGGGGTCCATTGTTCTTTTTCCAAAGGATGTATGTTCTTAGCATGTTGTTATGGTTCCGGGTAATGAAACACTTCAAAGAACTTCCAGGCATTGATTTCCCTAAAAGTCTTTTATTGCTTCAAAATGTCGGTACAGGCATAACGAAGTCTATGCTAAGATCTAAGTTCTCTTCCTCTGAGCAGTTAAATTATCAGCATGTTCCCTCCCTAAATTAGCTGTCATATATCACATTATCCAATTAGTGTGAAGGTCAAAGGTTTCCTTCCTCTTTCTTTCCCGGGCTTTACCCCCATCCTCTAAGCTCTGTATTAACCCCAAAAATACCAGACAGTTCTGCATATTGTCAAAGCAAGAATATACAGTATTTGCAGCGTTGACATCAAGTCCATGTGTCTCCTCGCCTATTGAATTGCCAGCTCATCCTCTCTTGTAGCGCCTTCCAGGAAAATCTGCTTTGCCCTCTCCTTGTCTAACCTTAGGCTGTTTCCTTTAGGGTAAACCCACTAGGTTGCAGTCCCAATTCCGCCTGACTTACACCATGATTCTAAACCTGTTGAGAGTGGAGGCACTCCGAGTGGAAGACATGATGAGGAGAAGCTTCTCCGAGTTCCACACCCGGAAAGACAGCAAGGTATGATGGATAGGAGGAAAAAAGTTGAAATAGCTTCTGGAAAGACTTAAAGATGCTCGAAAGGAATCCAGAGCAGCATTTCTGGGATACAACAGTTTGAGGTGGGGGTAGGATAATGTGCATTAGAAGGACTCTCATTTTTAAGGCAGAAGGAGACCTGGAAGAAAATGGAGGCTGAGTAAGGAGATATAGATAAGGAAATGTAGATATCTGTTGGTTGGAAGTCCATCTCTTTAAGTCAAGAACAACAGTCTCCAAACTTGACAGCTTTAAGACGTGTGGACTTCAACTGCCAGAATTCCCCAGGCAACCATGCTGGCTAAGGAATTCTGGAAGTTGAAGTCCACAAGACTTAAAGTTTCTGAGTTTCATCAAGAAGATGAAACCTAAACTGCTATAGATGATTGAGTCCCTCCAGCTAGCAGTGGTTTTCCAAGGATATGGTATATCAGAGATCTCCAAATTGGCCCTTTTATAACTTGTGGACTTCAACTCCCAGAATTCCTCAGCCAGCATGCCTGGCTGAGGAATTCTGTGAGTTGAAGTCCACAAGTCATAAAAGGGCCAAGTTTGAAGACCCCTGTCATATATCCTTGGAATATAGATATGGTACCCACGAGGGCAATTCGGAAATAAACCTCCTTTGGGTTATCAATGACAGACACTCGCAGATACAGAACTTGTATTATACACATTAGAAAACTACAACGTTACATTACGTTTTGACATAATCGCCATTCAAATTGAGGCACTTGTCATAATGTCTTACAATGTCTGTAATTGTGTCTGCAAAAAAAATCTCCCACCTGGAATGAAGCCACCCTGTAATAGCATCGTGAAACGCATTGTCGTTGTCGAAGCGATGTGAAGCAACCCACTGTTTCATTTTTAAAAACTGGGTCATTTTCAGTTGATCTGGTGGATGAGTCAACTGCAACACAATCTTCTCCTTCCACTCCTCACTGCCTACTGAATTATTGCGCAAGATGCTATAAGATGGGTGTTGCTATCCCCGCCTATTTCTCGCACATGCTCAAACGGAGGTTTATTTCCGAACTGCACTTGCATATTTTGTATGTATGTATGTATATGTGTATGTATGTATGTAGGTCTTTGGTTATTCGGGTTTTCTCCCACGTATGTATGTATGTATGTATGTATGTATGTATGTATGTATGTATATATATTGAATATATATATTCAAAATTTTGTGGCTGATGAAGAGTTAGTGGGAGACTAGTATAGCTATTTCAAGCTCATTTGTCCTCATCAGCTAGTCACACCCTTCAGGGATTCGAACCTGGGCAGCTTGCATGGTAGGCAGCTATATTACCCTTTTGAGCAACCCAACAGATAATATATATATCCTCCCTGGTTTCTGCTGACAGGAGTAAGGGGGAACCTGGTATAATCTAACCCAGGGATAAGGGAACCTTGGCTCTTTTATGACTTGTGGACTTCAACTCCCAGAATTCCTCAGTTGGCATGTCTGGTTCAGGAATTCTGGGTATTGAAGTCCACAATTGATAAAAGAGCCAAGGTTCCCTAACCCTCACCTAGCCTGTTTTGTGAACTCAGCTTCTTTATGTTAAATGGTTGAACTGGGTGGGAAGGAAAAGGCAAGGAGTTGGGCGCTGTAGGGTGCTGCTTCACCATCTCTGTCTCCTCTCCAGGTCTATGAACACAGAATTGCCCAGCTGAGCAGTATGTTAGCCAGCATGGAAATCCCAGACACCTCAAGGCAGCTTGGTGACTTACAAGAGTATTATTCCGTAGTCAGAGAACTGCAAGAGATCCGGGAGCGCGTTCAGGTAGTGACTGGAAGAACTGGGGCAAAAGGTTCTTTTTCACCTCATGGGATTGTCGTACTTCAGATCCCAGACAAGCATCAATCTAAGATAGTCTTCCCCCCCCCCCCGAGTCTGGTATCCTGTTGTTGAATTGTAGTCTGGTATCCTGCTTATTGTAGGAGTCGTGCTCCTAATACAAGTTGAGGAAGATGCCTTTAGAAGGCATTTTTGGGTGAGTCTAGCTAAAGTACCTCGCCTAGGATTCAGCTTTGGCACGTGACAGGTGTGACCCCAAGCAAAGATGTCCGCCCTTATTTCAAGGGGAGGAGGCAACTGTGAGTAAGTCTCACAAAATTCCCTTCCCCTTGAGACACTGCTGTTGGGATCCATCCCATTTTACTCAGATCAACCATCCATCTTACTCAGATGGGATGGAAAGGAACATTCCGTTCTCGTTTTCTCCAATTTATTTATTTATTTTATGAGACTTATATACCGCTTTAAGTACAAGCACTCTCTAAGCGGTGTACACCAGTAAGCAATGTATATATATATTTACATTGCCCCCAACAATCTGGGTCCTCATTTTACCTACCCCAGAAGGATGGAAGGCTGAGTCAACCTTGAACCAGTGAGATTTGAACTGCTGACCTGCTGAACACAGTCAGCTAAAGTGGCTTGCAGTACTGCACTCTAACTGCTGCGCCACCTCGGCTCATACAATCTCGTCCTTTCGAATTTAACTCATATTCAACCACCATGTCCATTAATCCTGCTGGTTGGGATTGATGAGAATTGTGGTTTAATCCAGGGGTCCCCAACCTTTTTGGGTTGGCGGCCCGGTGGGAGAGGGAGGGGCAGGTGCCTTACGCATGCATGCGCAAACGTGAATGTGGCCACATGTGCATGCGCGCACACAAACGGTGTGAGTATGCGCACTACACAAACAGGGCTGTATGTGTGAGGCTTGTGGCGCCGTTGCTGCCAGGCTCACAGCAATGCTACCACCGGCACAAGGATTGCGCTGCCACTCCATGTGAGGCTCGTGTTGCGGCCCACCTGCCGCTTGCAGCATTACCGCCACCTGCACAAGGTTTATAGAAATGCCATGATGGTGTGTCCATTGCGGCAATGGTGGCACGAGGGGTGGGGGTGAGCATGCACACACGTGCGTGTGCACTGCCCAGCTACTCACGTGGCCCGGTGGCCAAGAGGCCACGGCCCGATAGTGTGCCACAGCCCCTAGGTTGGGGACCTCTGGTTTAATCTGCTTGGAAAGATCAAGGTCAAAAGAAAGATCAAAACTGGAACGATGAATCCTTCTTCTTGGAAGTCCACTTATGGGTGGGAAGATGCATTTCTTGCCTTGCCCTCGGGGTTTCTCCCTTTCAGAGGCGAGTCATGGAATCGGTGAGTGGATTGAAAGCCCTTTCTGTGGGACGAGTGATCGTGGTGAGCAACCAGGAACACAAGAATGCCCTGGGAGTCATCTTGCAGGTAAGTATCAAAGCTGAGTTGCCTGCATCAACTTCCAGCTCGCAGTTTGCCAAACAAAAACTAGGCCGTGGGGGAGGGGTGTTTGCTAAAATCCTAGGGTGGGGGGAGGCTAAGGAAGGCATGAGAGCCTTCTGTTCCCCCCCCCCCAGCTAAGTTCTCGGAGCTACCAGCCAGCGCAGAATATTTTCCCAAAACAAAAGTACTGAGTGTAATTGGTGGAGAATGAACTGTGGGCAGCCCAGGGGTGAAAAGGGTTCTTTTTTTTTAAAACCTATGTGGGTTTTTGTGGGAAAACCTCAGAGCTGACTTTGCTTTTGCTGTGCTTCAATGGATTTTTCAATAAAGATTAACTCTTGGTAGTTCCTACCTGCCGAGAGTTTCGTTTTTTTGGATGTGCCAAGTGGTATGGCTGACAGTAGGTCCCATGGCTTCCACACTGCCCCAGACTGATGCTTTACAAATGGAATGGAACTATTTGTGCCAAGGTTGGGCAAATGTGGCTTCTTTACAACCTGTGGACTTCAACTCTCAGAATTCCTGAGCCGGCCAGGCTTTTAAAAAGGCCTTATTCAGTAAGGAGTGCTGATTTAACAATTACCTCATTTAACGACCGTTCATTGTTACAAAGGTGACGAAAAAATAACTTGGCGACCAGTCCTCTCATTTACGATCTGCTTTGCAGATCTGTAAAGCAAAGGAAAACTGAGAGTTATCCCAATTAACCTGTAGTGCCAGGCTTCTCATGTCTCTCATCCTAACCAATACTAATCAGGCCAGAGTGGTATTTATTTATTTCTATCTATCTGTCTATCTATCTATCTATCTATCTATCTATCTATCTATCTATCTATCTATCTATCTATCTATCTATCTATATTTTGTACATTTGCTCACTGACAGAGAAATGATCAGTCTATAATTTTAATGGTAGGTTTATTTTAACAGTGAGAGACAGGGTAACAACAAAAAAATCCAGAAAAGTGCATTTCAAAAAAGTTATAAATTGATTTGCATTTTAATGAGTGAAATATTTGACCCCTTCGCAAAACATGACTTAGTACTTGGTGACAAAACCCTTGCTGGCAATCACAGAGATCAGACATTTCTTGTAGTTGGCCACCAGGTTTGCACACATCTGAGGAGGGATTTTGTCCCACTCCTCTTTGCAGATCCTCTCCAAGTCATTAAGGTTTTGAGGCGGACGTTTGGCAGCTCGAACTCTCAGCTCCCTCCACAGATTTTCTGTGGGATTAAGGTCTGGAGGCTGGCTAGGCCACTCCAGGACCTTAATGTGCTTCTTCTTGAGCCACTCCTTTGTTGCCTTGGCCATGTGTTTTGGGTTATTGCCATGCTGGAATACCCATCCATGACCAATTTTCAGTGCCCTGGCTGAGAGAAGGAGGTTCTCACCCAAGATTTGATGGTACATGGCCCCGTCCATCGTCCCTTTGATGCGGTGAAGTTGTCCTGTCTCCTTAGCAGAAAAATATCCCCAAAGTATGATGTTTCCATCTCCATGTTTGATGGTGGGAATGGTGTTCTTGGGGTCATAGGCAGTGTTCCTCTTCCTCCAGATATGGCAAGTTGAGTTGATGCCAAAAGCTCGATTTTGGTCTCACCTGACTACAACGCTTTCACCCAGTTCTCCTCTGAATCACTCAGATGTTCATTGGCAAACTTCAGACGGGCCTGTATATGTGCTTTCTTGAGAAGGGGGACCTTGTGGACACTGCAGGATTTCAGTCCTTCACGGCGTAGAGTGTTACTATTGTTTTCATGGTGACTATGGTCTCAGCTACCTTGAGATCATTGACAAGATCCTCCCGTGTCATTCTGGGCTGATTCCTCACCATTCTCATGATCATTGAAACTCCATGAGGTGAGATCTTGCACGGAGCCCCAGACCGAGGGAGATTGACAGTTATTTTGTGTTTCTTCCATTTGCGAATAATCGCATCAACTGTTGTCACCTTCTCACCAAGCTGCTTGGCGATGGTCTTGTAGCCCATTCCAGCCTTGTGTAGGTCTACAATCTTGTCCCTGACATCCTTGGACAGCTCTTTGGTTTTGGCCATGATGGAGAGTTTGGAATCTGATTGAGTGATTGCTTCTGTGGACAGATGTCTTTTATACACATAACAAGCTGTGATTAGGAACACTCCCTTTAAGAGAGTGCTCCTCATCTCAGCTCGTTACCTGTATAAAAGACACCTGGGAGCCAGAAATTTTGCTGATTGAGAGTGGATCAAATACTTATTTCACTCATTAAAACGCAAATCAATTTATAACTTTTTTGAAATGCGTTTTTCTGGATTTTTGTTGTTGTTACCCTGTCTCTCCCTGTTAAAATAAACCTACCATTAAAATCACAGACTGATCATTTCTTTGTCAGTGGGCAAAGGTACAAAACCAGCAGGGGAATCAAATAATTCCTCCCCCCACACACACACACTGTATCTATGAGATAGCCATAGTTGAGGTGATATTAAATAATGATCCACAGTTCTCGGTCTTGTAGCTCGCAGCATCCTCTCTTGTGACATGGTTGCCTCCCATCATTGGGCTCGAGGGTGGAAAACTAGTTTTCTTAGTGTGAAAGTCGGGCCCGGTGGCTCTCGGGTGCCATTTTGAAATGAAGATCTTGACACACACACACACACATACACACACAACCTCCTCCAGGTTTCTTCAGATTCAGCCAATCGGGCCTTCAGCACTTTAGTGATGTGTGAGAAGAACTCTGTGGAGCGAGGCTTGACTGAGGGCCAAGAATGGAATCCACCTCCCTCTGCTGAAGTGCCTCTACCCGAGGATCTTCTCCACACGAAGCTCTTCCTTCCCGAAGGTAAAATGGTGGGGACTCAGAACAGGAGTCGTTTGGGGGGTAGGGGGGGAGGAGGTTGGGGAGGGAGGGGCAGAATTCATGGAGCAGCTCTGACACCCAGACTCTTTTCTTCTCTCCCTCACAGGCCCCTGTGGACACACCATAAAGAAGCTGGGCCCAGCAGATATTCTGGGCGTCACGACAAAAACCCTCCGCGTGAATGCCGAGCGTATCCTGGAGGATTTCAGGAAACGACAGATGCCCAGGTTCAGGTGAGGCTGAGAAGTGAAACTTGCCGTTTCTACTCTTGTCTCCTCCGATCTGGCGAGAGGGCAAATGCTTCGGATTCCATTAGCTGCATTGCTAATTGCCCAGAATGATTCATGAGAGATAGGGGTGGCCTTATAAGTCCAATAAATAAATAAACCTGCCTGGGAAATATACGTAAGGACCAGCATTCCTCTGTTTTGTATTCCAGTAATCTGGGGCTTAGTTCTTCGAATTTTTTTTTTTTTAAAGTGCTAATTTTAGTCAATTGGGCAGGCACACATCCGTGATTTTTCTCTCTCTCATTTTCTCTCAGTTTTTCTCAGTTTCTTCTTTGAAACTGGTTGTCGGATGTTTGGAGTTGATCCTCTCTTCCTTTTTTTTTTTAATTTAATATTTTTTTATTTTTCCAAACTCTCCGCCATACATATACCATGATATTTATCAGATGTTAACATACATTCTTTTTACATTCATATATAAGATACTTTTAATAAAATGAAATAAATACATGCACATGACTTTTGGTGTTGCTCGCCCATTTCCTCTTTCATTGTATCCACACTCCTTCTTCTCTACCTTCTTTCTCCCTTTCTTCTCTTCCCTACTTCCCTCTTCTTCCTCTTCTCTTCTCTTTCCTCTCTTTCTTATGCGTCTCCTCTCACATAGTAACGTAGGAAAATAGGCCCCATTGTGCTCAAACTTCTTTTTAAAGAGTCAAAATCTTGAAATTGTATTAGAGAAGGTTTTTTCTTATGATGGACCTCCCCAGAGCTATTTATGAACTGATTTCAAACTTTGGATGGCCGCACTAACACCAACACTTGCCCTGGTGGTCATGTGATTGCATTTTGGTGCTTGGCAACTGGCATACATGTATGGCCTTTTGCAGCGTCACTGCCTTTTGCTGGTTTCCAGCGTTTACGTCCAGTTTCTGGTGCAAAAACGTCCATTGGGGAAAACATTTTTCTTGATTGCTGTGGCATTTCTTTAACGATGGTGGTATTAACCACCACCAGAAAGCTCACAAAATTGGGTGCGGTCGTGTGGTGGCCTGCTTAATTAACACCACAACTTACAACTGTAGCCCTAGGGTCAGTTACAATCATAAGTTGAGGGCTACCTGTAAAACTGCATGAAAGCTGGTGATGTCGCAGTCATTTAGACCTGGCTTAAAGATTTATCTACCTTTTCTGTTTGAGAGGTACCACACTCATGATTCCTAACTTAAGGCGACTTGGAACACAAGGGAAGTTTTGTAAGGATTGAGGGCACCCAGTTACTGGAGACATTGATTTTCAAGTGTCGGGCATTAAACACCTACTGTGGCCTCCTTATGTCCCTCTCTCACCATCTTCAGGAATGACCCACCTGGACCATCAGCAGCCACAGCCACCCAGGAGCTGCTGCGTTTAGCTGAAGGCTCTCCGGAAGGCCTCCCCCTTCTGGATCCCATAAACGACCTTCAGCTGAAGGATCTGGAGGTCATAGAGAGCATGATCCGGGCTCGTAATCTGGAGGAACATTTGCCAGAGTTCCAGTGTGTGCACAGCCCTCTCTTCCACATAGAGGTCAGTTAAGGGCTGACATTTTGTGGGCAGGTTTGGAAAGGAGGCAGGGCAGAGGGGACCATCTTCAGAATAATAACAGAATTGAAGGGATCTTGGAGATCTTCTAGTCCAGACATGTCAAACACAAGGCCCGGGGGCCGGATGCGGCCCGTGAAGTGGTTTCATGTGGCCCGCGAAGCCATCCTGGAAACAGTGAGGGAATGGCTCCCTCCGTAGCTGGCTGACCGGCCGTACTCAGCGAGTGGTCCTCAAGGGAATTGCATCTATCTGGAGGGAAGTGTGTAGTGGGGTGCCCCAGGGCTCTGTTCTAGGCCCAGTACTCTTCAACATCTTCATCAACGATTTGGATGAAGGGATAGATGGGGAACTCATCAAATTTGCAAATGACACCAAGCTGGCAGGAATAGCCAACACTCCAGAAGACAGGCTTAAGATACAGAAGGATCTGGACAGACTTGAACACTGGGCACTAACTAACAAAATGAAATTCAATGGTGAAAAAAGCAAGGTTCTATATTTAGGCAAGAAAAACCAAATGCACAAGTATAGCATAGGTGGCACCATGCTCAATAGTAGTAACTGTGAGAGGGACCTCGGAGTCCTAGTAGACAATCACTTAAATATGAGCCAGCAGTGTGCTGCAGCTGCCAAAAAGGCCAACACAGTGCGAGGCTGCATTAACAGAGGGATAGAATCAAGATCACGTGAAGTATTAATACCACTCTTCAATGCCTTGGTAAGGCCGCACTTGGAATACTGCATCCAGTTTTGGTCACCACGATGTAAAAAAGATGTTGAGACTCTAGAAAGAGTACAGAGAAGAGCAACAAATATGATTAGGGGACTGGAGGCTAAAACATATAAGGAACGGTTGCTAGAATTGGGTATGTCTAGTTTAACGAAGAGAAGGACAAGGGGGGACATGATAGCAGTATTCCAATATCTCAGGGGCTGCCATAAAGAAGAGGAATTAAGCTATTTTCCAAAGCACCTGAAGGCAGGACAAGAAGCAACGGGTGGAAACTAATCACGGAGAGAAGCAACCTAGAACTAAGGAGAAACTTCCTGACAGTGAGAACAATTAATCAGTGGAACAGCTTGCCTCCAGAAGCAGTAAATGCTCCAACACTGGAAGTTTTTAAGAAGAGACTGGACAGCCATTTGTCCGAAATGGTGTAGGGTTTCCTGCCCGAGCAGGGGGTTGGACTAGATGACCTCCAAGGTCCCTTCCAACTTTACTACTATTATTATTATAGTTCATTCTATCTGCCTGCCTGTCTGTCTGGCTCTAGCTCTCTCTGTCTGCCTATCTATCTCAATTTTTTTCTTTAATCTGTAGAATCGTTGCCGTTGGCCAATTGCAGACTTCTTGGGTGTTTTCAAGAAAAGATTGGACAACCATTTGTTTAGGATGGTATAAGGATTCCTGCCTTGGGCAGGGGGTTGGACTAGAAGGCCTCCAAGGACCCTTCCAGCCCTGTGATTCTCTGACTCAGCTGGACTTTCCCCCTCCTATCCCAGATGCCTGGGTGATCTCCGAGGCAAAGGTTGGAAACAAGAGTCAGAATAACAAGCGTTGGAAGAGACCTTGGAGGTCTTCTAGTCCAGAGGTCCCCAAACCTTTTGGGCACCAGGGACCAGTTCTGTGGAGAGAGGTTTTTCCGCGGACTGGAGGGTGCATGGTTTTGTGTGCTGCCTGCATCCCACGGATGGGGCTCTGCTTGTTTGTGCGGCCCGGTTGCTGGCATGCCCCAGCCCAGTACCAGTCCACGGACTGGGGGTTGGAGACCCCTGCTCTAGTCCAACCCCTGCTCAAGCAAGAAACCCTATACCCATGGTGGCGAACCTATGGCACGCCCTCTCTGTGGGCACGCGGACCGTCACCCCAGTCCTAGGCCTTCAGCTGGGTTTTATAAAAGCTTTAGGCCTCCGCTGCCATGTGCAAAAAAAAAAAAAAGGTTCAATCAATCAATTTCAACTTCTCATGGGAAAAAAAAAGATCTCGCAAAGTTGGAATTGATTGATTGAAATTTTTAGTCCCACCCAGTCTGCCGTTACTGAAGCCACGCCCACCCAATGGGCCACGCCCACCCGGCACCCAATGATACATAAGTGGGTTTTGGGTTGCAGTTTGGGCACTCAGTCTCTAAAAGGTTCGCCATCACTGCCCTATACCATTTCAGACAAATGGTTGTCCAGTCTTTTCTTAAAACTTCTAGTGTTGAAGCATTCACAGTTTCTGGAAGCAGGTTGTTGCACTGATTAATTGTTCAGATTATCAGGAAGTTTCTCCTTAGTTCTAGGTCAGTGGTTCTCAACCTTTTTAATGCCGTGACCCCCCAACTGGTCGTAAGTCGAGGACTACTCAACCGGTCGTAAGTCGAGGACTACTCAACCGGTCGTAAGTCGAGGACTACTCAACTGGTGCAGCACCGTTTGCAGAATGGGACTTTTGGTGGGCTCAGCAGGGCAGAGACAGCCTGGACAATTCCTATTGACTTTTGAAAGCCAATAGAATAAAAGGGAGTAGCACAGCTAAGGAAAAGGGGGAAAAAATGGTGGACTGCGTTGTTTGGTGACCCCCATGAAATGATCGTTCGACCCCAAATGGGGTCCTGACCCACAGGTTGAGAACCACTGTTCTAGGTTGCTTCTCTCCTTGATTAGTTTCCACCCGTTCCTTCTTGTCCTGCCTTCAGGTGCTTTGGAGAATAGCTTGACTCCCTCTTCTTTGGGGCAGTCCCTTAAGATACTGCAATGCTGTTATCATGTCCCCCCTCGTCCTTTTCCTTCATCGTGTTCTTTAACAAGCAGCAGCTCTGTTTTGGTTTCCTTTGAATGAGGAATCGCAACCCAGACGTAGGGATGAATCTCTTTTCCAGAAAGATTAACAAATATTCCGACAGGCTTGCCCAGCCTGGCCTCTTTTGGTTGCATTGAAAAGCATTCCTTCCTCCACCCCACGGTCTCTAGGGATGTGGTCCTTCTGCACAAGAGGCTTTCAGATTTACTTACATCCCCTCTCTCACCTTCCGGATCTCCTTCCTCCCTCTCTAGTTTGTACGCTTCCGAGAGCGCCAAAGGGTGTTGGATGAACTGGAGCAGCTGCGCTTCCTGCTGTCGGACCAGTCCCTTCTCTTACTGCCCGAGTATCACCAGCGTGTCGAGGTGAGTGCCTCTCTGCAGTTGGAGCAATCCGATGGGCAGGGACTTAAGAAGTGGAGTTCTCATGTCTCGTGCAGAGCTGCGCCAAGGGGCAGCGTAGGGCAGGGGTAGGCAATCTTGGCTCTTTTATGACTCATGGACTTCAACTCCCAGAATTCCTGAGCCAGCATGGCTCAGCTTGGAAACCTCTCCCTTTCCCTTCAGTATGGCTGGCTCAGGAATTCTGGGAGTTGAAGTCCACGAGTCATAAAAGAGCCAAGGTTGCCTATCCCTGGCCTAGGGAAATCTGTCTATGCAGATTCTCAGTCATCCAGGTCATTGTTATCCCAAAGGTTGCTTTTTCAAGAGTTCAACTGGGCTTTCTTTGTTTTTCTTTGAAGACATTTCGCTTTTCACCCAAGAAGCTGAAGATGCTTCTTGGATGAGAAATGTCTTCAAAGAAAAACAAGAAAATCCAGTTGCTTCTTTTTATTTATGTATATATATCTTGAGTGTTTTTTGATGCACCCTGTCGGCCCAAATATGGGAGAAAGAAATCTTTCTTTTTCTTTTGCCTGTATCAGCTCAATCTAGAGCCATCCACAGGCAGCAGTCGCCAACTGCGACATCATTTGTATATATACATTTTTTTGGATTGCTAACAAAGAATAAGGGAGGATGGAATAGCTATTTCGAGCTTCTTAGCTCTCTTCAGCCAAACATACCCTTCTGAGATTCGAACACTCAAGATAAATCTCCTCCCTTGTCTCTTCCCTCCCTGATACAGCTGACAAAGTGAGAAAGAGCCTGTGGTCTAGAGGTTAACACAGCTGCCTAATATGTAAGCAGCCCAGGTTCGAATCTCAGAAGGGTATGTTTGGCTGAAGAGAGCTAAGAAGCTCGAAATAGCTATTCCATCCTCCCTTATTCTTTGTTAGCAATCCAAAAAATGTATATATATATTTGTTTTCTGAGGTTTTTGCGAATGTTTGTATGTAGGTCTTTGGTTATTCGGGTTTTCTCCCGCGTCAAATTGGAAGTGTCTTGGCGACATTTTGACGAAGTCCCATTCGTCATCTTGCTCCTAGAAGCAAGAAGCCGAAAACACCAGCCTGAAGATGACAAGCCAAGCTATTTGGTTGAGCCGAGCGCCAACCAAAACACTTGTATCATTTGTGGAGAGAGAGAGAGCAGAGGTCACATTTTAGCAAAGAGGATTGTGTGTTTTCAATGGTCTTTTTTTTGGTCTTGAATTTTGCCCCTCCCTGCCTCATTTTCCCTAGCCAACTCTCCATCTCTTCTGCCTTCCTCTGAATTCACAGACTGGGCTCCACTTGCTTGGGTAGGAAATGGCTGTTGATGCTGGTACAACATTCAACTTAGAAGTTGAAGTCGAGCCGTGGTGGTGCGGTGGTTGGAATGCAGCATTGCAGGCTAACTCTGCCGACTGCCACGAGTTCGATCCTGACCGGCTTAAAGTTGACTCAGCTTTCCATCCTTCCGACGTTAATAAAATGAGGACCAAGATTGTTTTGGGGGAGAGGCAATATGCTGACTCTGTAAAACCGCTTAGAGAGGACCGTGAAGCGGTATGTAAATCTGAGCGTTAGTGCTATTTCTACAGCAGGTCCCCAGGGTAAAGTCTTGTCAATTTCATGGAATCGTCAAAGGGAGAGTGTTCTCCTTTGTTCCCTGGCCAAAGGTAGAGCTGGTTGGGTGTTTTTTTTTTAGTCTCCGCTTCTGCTCACCTCAGGTCTTGCGTTCCCTGGGCTACATCAACGAAGGAGGAGCTGTGGAGCTCAAGGGCAGCGTGGCCCGTCAGATCAGCAACCATGAGCTGCTCCTGACGCAGCTGCTGTTGGACAATGCCCTAACCGACCTGCGACCTGAGGAGATTGTGGCCTTGCTGAGCTGCACGGTGTGCCAGGTCCGCACCCAGGTGGAGCCCCAGCTGCCCTCTATTCTTCAGAAGGTGAGTGGGTAGTGGAAGATGGGAGGGAAGTGAGACACAGGAGTAGACTTGCGCTGCCATTTAGGTCAGTGTCTCCTCAACGGACCCTGCCCCCCAGCCTCTCTCTCCCTCTTTGTCCTTCAGGGCATAGAGCACATCCGTTCTGTAGCCGAACAGATCGCCCTGCTGCAACGCAAGTGCGGCCTGCAAGAATCGGTCGAGGACTTTGTGGAGCAGTACAAATTCGGGCTGGTGGAGGTGGTTTACGAGTGGGCCCGTGGCATGGTAAGGATGAAGGCTCCACCCCTTACCTTCCCAGTTGGCTTATCCCACCGGGACCGTCTTTCCCTCTCCTACCCTAAAACAGACAAACAGCTTCCCTCTTTGTAGAGCTAGGGGAAGCAGGATAGCTTCTTTTTTTTTTTAATGGGTTGACCATTTGGGACTGTGAGATAACCAAAAACAGTGAGACAAAGGACAAGATAACAAAAAAGGGATGACTGCCTGTGGACCATCCAATGGATTACTGAGTAGCTTTCCTGACGACCAGAAAGTGGTGGTTGATAGGTCCCTTCCCTGCAAAGTCATTAAGCAAGACCTGTCACTCGGACTTTCTGCGCACTGTCCGCAGTTCGATCCTAACCGTCTCAAGGTTGACTCAGCCCTACCATCCTTCCGGGGACAGTAAAATGAGGACCCAGGTTGTTGGGGATGCAATATGCTGATTCTGTAAATCGCTTAGACCGGTGGTGGTGAACCTATGGCACGTGTGCCAGAGGCGGCACTCAGAGCCCTCTCTGTGGGCATGCGCGCCATGCCCTGGAGATGGCAACTGTCCCTCTTCAACCAGCCGCCTGCTAACTCGCCGAGGTCCCACGTGGCCGGATGCATCCCAGCATGGCTGGTTTCCCTCCCACCCTCCTGGCCTCAGATGCTCTCCTTTTCCTGGGCACGACCCACTGCATTGCCTCCTAGCTGTCAGCCGGCCATCCAGCTCAGAGGTGGCTTCTCTGAACTGCTGGTGGCGGGCTGCGGAGCCCCAGAGTGCGCTGTTCAAGGGGCCAGCAGGCTGTGGCTGCTGATGGACACTATTGACCCTCATGCGCTCGCTGGCCTCTGTGTGCGGAGGCTGATGGTGTCAGGCAGCGGCCGCCCGGCCCCTGCCTTGCCTTGCCCTGCAACAATGGTACCCCCGCCCTGCCTTGCCTCACCCCTCAGGATGAGCCTTCTGCCCACTGCCCCACCTGCCTGGATCTCCCCCAACCCTGCCCGGCCCCCACAGGCATCCCTCCCCACGAGCAACATCGAGGTGACCACGCCCATCTTGGCCACACCCACCCAGTCTGCCATGATCACAGCCACGCCCATCCAGTGGGCCACGCCCACCTGGCACCCGGCAATAAATAAGTGGGTTTTGGGTTGCAGTTTGGGCACTCAGACTCTAAAAAGTTTGCCATCATTGGCTTAGACTAAGAGAGTGCTGTAAAGCACTATGGTGGTATATAGGTCTTATTGCTATTGCTATTGGACATTTCCCATTCTGCTCCCCCCCCCCCACACACACTCATCGTCCTATCAATCTCCAAGACGTTTTTGAAATGGTCACACTCTGATTTTAGCCTGGCTCACAGCTGCATTTTTCTCATAGCAAGGTGACCTCGAACCACCTTCTCGGAGAGGCACCTTCACTTTTGTAACTTTCCATTTCCCTCCCTCCCAAGCACTCCCCCTCCCTCCCCAGGGTTCATGTCAGACTTGGTAGCGGACGGCAGGCGTGAGGTGGCAGTTCTGACAAATAAGGTGCGCTTCAGCATCTGCAGATTCGAGGCCTTCCATTTTCCTCTCTGTCCTCCTCAGCCCTTCGCCGAGATCGCCCACCTGACAGACGTGCAGGAAGGCATCATCGTCCGCTGCATTCAGCGCCTGGACGAAACCTGTCGCGAGATGCGCAACGCTGCCCGGGTGACGGGGGAGCCGACTCTGCACGCCAAGATGGAGGCCGCCTCCAACATGATCAAGAGAGACATTGTCTTTGCCGCTAGCCTCTACACCCAGTGAGGGGAGATGCTAGCTCAGGGGTAGTCAACCTTGGCTCTTTTATGACTCGTGGACTTCAACTCCCAGAATTCCTGAGCCAGCTGGCTCAGGAATTCTGGGAGTTGAAGTCCACGAGTCATAAAAGAGCCAAGGTTGACTACCCCTGTGCTAGCTGGACGGGATCCTTTTTCACCATCCTGGGAAGTTCTCCCTCCCTTATTCTGACCTCTAAGAGGTTTTGCAATGCATCTGCAGATGTAAACAATAAAAAAATTTCATCCTTGTGCCAAACAAGGGGCCTGTCTTCATGTAGTAAAAAAGGTGGCCCAAACAGGTTGACTCCTCCTTTGCTGGAAGGAAAGATATTTCATCTTCTCTCTAGTTTGCTGGCCTCTTTTTGCTGATCACGTTGGATTCTGTGTTTGGCCAAAACCTGCTAGTTAGATGGTATTTTTTTTCCCGTACCAACAGGATCCAAAAAATCCCATAGTTCTGCACTGAGGACAAAACATCACATTAAGCATTAACACGGTGCTAGCGGCCCCATTTGTGTAGATGCGCAAGGGCTAACCGCTGCTGCTAGCCCCGCGCGCATGCGCAAACAGGCCACATAACCCGCATAGCGCTAGCAGTCCCGTGTCCACACTGGGGTAGCCCCCGTGAGCATCCACAAATGGGCCGCAAAACCCGCATGGGGCTAGCGGGCCCCGTATGCGCATGCACACAGGTGCTAGCCCCCACCGCTGCTAGCCCGTGCACATGTGCAAACGGGCTGTGCAACCTGGGTGCACTAGTAGCCCCATTTGTGCTGGCATGCAGGCTCTAGATGCCACTGCTAGCTCCGCGCACAGGTGCAAATGGGTCCGCAAGTGTGTGAGTGGGGGGGGGAAGTGCAAGCAGTGGCCAGCCTGTCCCATAGCCCGGTGGCCAGTAGGCCACAGCGCAATAGTGGGTCATAGCCCATAGGTTGGGGACCCCTGATCTAATCCAATATTTCTCAAACTTAGCAACTTTTAAGACGTGGACTTCTTCCAGAATTCCCCAGCCAGCTTACAGTAAAAAGTCAAGGTTTTCCCTGTCCAGTATCACCTCTAGGGGGCGATATTCATCTCTGTTTCTTAGCTGAGGGAGCCATCATTGTCCCAAGACATTTCTACTCACATTTGCATGTTTTCAAACTGCTAGGTCAGTGGTGGCGAACCTATGGCACGGGTGCCAGAGACGGCACTCAGAGCCCTCTCTGTGGGCACATGCACCGTCGCCCCAGTCCTAGGCCTTCAGCTGGGTTTTATAAAACCTTTTTGCTTTAGGCCTCCGTGGCCATGTGCAAAAAAGAAAAAAAGGTTCAATCAGTCAATTTCAACTTCTCGCGGGAAAAAAAAGATCTTGCAAAGTTGGAATTGATTGATTGAACTTTTTATTCCCACCCAGTCTCCCCTTACCACCACAGCCATGCCCACCCAATGGGCCACACCCACACAATGGGCTACACCACAGGTCGGCAACCTGCGGCTCCGGAGCCGCATGCGGCTCTTTGAGCCTTCCCCTGCGGCTCCCAGCCTCCTCTGCCTTTGCAGACAGAGACAGAGAGAGGCAATTGCGCTTCCCTGCTTCTCTCTCTCTCTCTCTCTCTCTGTGTGTGTGTCTGTGTGTGTGTGTGTGTGTGGTGTTTTGTGTGTGTGTGTGTGTGTGTCTGTGTGTGTGTGTGGTGTTTTGTGTGTGTGTGTGTGTGTGTGTATGTGTGTGTAAAAGAGAATGCACTCACAGTGTTCTCCGAGGAGCTGAAAAGCTTACTGGGCGGAGCTCCTCCCTTTGCTGCGTCTCTGCAGGAAGCAGGAAGGGCAGGAGAGAGCTAGCTAGCCCAGCTAGGCTGACTCAGGAATTCTGGGAGTTGAAGTCCATGAGTCATAAAAGAGACGAGGTTGTTGTTGGACAACAGCTTGAAGCTTTCCAGGTGAGCAGCAGATAGGAGGGGGGGGGGAGAAAGAGAGAGAGAGAGGAAAGAGAGAGAGAAAGAAAGAGAGTGGGGGAAGAGGAGTGGCAGACCAAGGGCAGATAGAGAGGGAGGGAGAGAGACAGAGAGAGAGAGACCCTTTTGACATCTAAAATGAAGATAACACTGCATATATCCTTTTTTTACCTGTGTGTGTATGTAATTTTATTCTCTTAAAGCATTCTCTTGGTGATCATTGTTTTAATAGTATGAATAGTTAAAAGGAAGAAACAGCTAAGACCACACATTGCTGCTCAAAGCACGAAGCTGAAAACACCAGCCTGAAGATGACGAATGGGACTTCGTCAAAACGTCGCCAAGACACTTCCAATTTTACGCGGGAGAAAACCCGAACAACCAAAGACCTACATATACATATACATATATACACACACACACACACACACACACACACACACACACACACACACCTATAATAAAGGTAAAAAAGGATATATGCAGTGTTATCTTCATTTTAGATATCAAAAGGGTTTTGCGGCTCCCAGTGTTTTGTTTTTGGTGGGAAACCGGTCCAAGTGGCTCTTTGAATGTTTTGGGTTGCCTACCCCTGGGCTACACCCATTCGGCACCCGATGATGCATAAGTGGGTTTTGCGTTGCAGTTTGGGCACTCGGGACTCTAAAAGGTTCGCCATCACTATGCTAGGTGGAGCAAAAACAGGAGCTCACCCCATCATGCAGCATTCAGGTCTGCTTATCTTTGTATTGATTGCTGGAGAGGATGTGTTCTGGTCTTTTTGTTTCCTTCTCAACTTTTTATTCTCTCTTTTGAATGGACGTAAATGTAGTTTATGTCTGTGTGTCTACTGATGGCTGAGTCAATTCATACATCATATTAAATATGTTCCAATTATGGATATTATGCTAAATGACCCACAACTGGCTGAGACACATGCAGAGCTCAAACCATCTTACTTGACTTCAATTAGGCTTCAATCAACAAAAGGACACTCTTAGTTCATAAGTACACTTTGGCTCCCTCCTTTATTGTTTGTAAACCACAGATGACATGGGAAAGGACATGCTGCAGAAGCACCAACAGAAGACAATGCACGGGCAGTTGGTTTTTCCTTCCTTTGTTATCACAGCAGTGCCATCGTGCCGTCTTCCCGTTCTCCAAGTAGCAGGAAACTGACTTCTTGGTATCTGTTTCTGTCCACCACCCAGTGGCTTCTAGCTCCAAAACCAGCTTAACTTCCAGTGCATCAATCCAGGAGTCATGATGTGGGGGGCTTCTCCTCACTCAGAGCATCCACGTACCAGTCAGGCAGGAAACGGTACTGAGAATCCTGATGCACTGTGAAGGAAACCGCGTGCCCTGGGTTCCAGGCAAAGAGATGAACCAACCTGGAAGAGAGAAAGGAAGGAAGGAAGGAAGGAAGGAAGGAAGGAAGGAAGGAAGGAAGGAAGGAAGGAAGGAAGGAATAATAATAATAATAATAAACTGGTGGGATCATAAAATAGAGAAAGTCATAGAAAATGATAAAATTAAACTGCTCTGGGACTTCAGAATTCAAACAGACAAGCACCTGCAACATAACACCCCAGACTTAACAACTGTCGATAAGAAAGACAAAAAAGTCTGGATAGTGGACGTGGCAGTGCCTGGAGACAGCAGAATAGAGAGAAAGAACTGGAGAAGATAACAAAATACAAAGACCTACAAATAGAAATAGAAAGACTGTGGCAAAAGCAAGCAAGGGTAGTACCAATAGTCATAGGCTCCTTGGGTGCAATCCCAAAACAACTGGAGCACCACTTGAACACCATTGGCATTGACAAATTCGCTATTAGTCAATTGCAAAAGGCGGCCTTATTAGGAATGCTTCCATCCTGCGACGATATCTGTAATACCATCAAACATCCACATCTGCCTATCCCAGGTCCTGGGTAAGGACTCGATAGGTAGACAAAATGCCAAATCCAGTCTGAACATCTGGCTGACTGTGCGATGATTTATAATTAATAATAATAATAACAACAACATCCACATCTGCCTATCCCAGGTCCTGGGTAAGGACTCGATAGGTAGACAAAATGCCAAATCCAGTCTGAACATCTGGCTGACTGTGCGATGATCCATAATAATAATAATAATAATAATGGGAAGGGACCTTGGAGGTCATCTAGTCCAACCCCCTGCTCAGGGAGGAAACCCTATACCATTTCAGACAAATGGCTGTCCAGTCTCTTCTTAAAAACTTCCAGTGTTAAAACACTCACTACTTCTGAAGGCAAGTTGTTCCACTGATTAATTATTCTGTCAGGAAGTTTCTCCTTAGTTCTAGGTTGCTTCCCTCTTTGATCAGTTTCCACCTGTTGCTTCTTGTCCTGCCTTCAGGTGCCTTGGAAAATAGCTTGACTCCCTCTTATTTGTGGCAGCCCCTGAGATATTGGAACACTGTTATCATGTCCCCCCTCGTCCTTCTCTTCATTAAACTAGACATACCCAATTCCAGCAACCGTTCCTTGTATGTTTTAGCCTCCAGTCCCTTAATCATCTTTGTTGCTCTTCTCTGTACTCTTTCTAGAGTCTCAACATTTTTTTTACATTTAATAATAGTAATAGTAGTATTAGTAGTAATAATAATGATGATGATGATGATGGAAGGGACCTTGGAGGTCATCTAGTCCAACCTCCTGGTCAGGCAGGAAATCCTATATACCATTTCAGACAAATGAAAGTGAACTTTTGAGCTCAGGGCAGCAAATGTTCAGTTCCCTCAGAAATAATTCCCATCGTCCATCACCATGATTGCAGAACCTAGGATTGGTGGTCTGTCTCTTTTAATTATTAGCTTGTGACACTTCACTGTTGCCAATGCTTGGGAACCGAAGAGGAGACATCTCCTAAGCCGTGCAAGGATGGAGAACCTATCACCTTCCAGATGTTGCTGAAGTCCAACTTCTAGCATTTCTAGTTGTTGGCCACACCAGTTGTGGCTGCTAGGAGTTACCATTTAGCAACTTCCAGAGATCCTCAGGCTCCATTTCTTGGCCTAGTCAACTACTGAATGATCATGGCTTTCTGCCAGGTGTGTCAAAATTACAACTACTCACTTTGGATTGTCTTCCGTCACCACCGTCTTCAAAAAGGCTAGAAAAGCAGCACAGAAATTCATACACACAGCTGGCTTCCAACAGCCTGGATCGTCCTGTCGGAGTAGTAAAGAAATTGTAACTTAGAAATAAACCCAGCCGGGGCTTCTGTTTTGAGGCATATACACAACCAAGTACAGTATATATCTTTTCATTGCCAGCCCTTAAAAGAAGTAAATTAGTAACACAGTTGTTAAGTATATCTCACTTCCCCACTGACTTTGCCGGTCAGAAGGCCGCAAAAGGGGATCACATGACCCCAGGATGCTGCAACCGTCATAACTATGAACCAGTTGCCAAGCATCCGAATGGAAACCACGTGACCAGGTGGATGCTGCAACAGTCGCAAGTGTGAAAAATGATCGTCGGTCACTTTTTTCAGTGCTATTGTAACTTTGAACGAACCACTAAATGAACTGTGGTAAATCGAGGACTATCTGTATAAGATTTGCATCAGGCAACTTGCAATTCAGGGGAGTGCAAGACATATTTTTTTAAAAAGTGGCCTGGTGTCAACTGTGTGGCTGCAGCAGCCATCTTGTATCCTGTCGAGGGTGTTCCCTGATGAGGCGCCAAAGGGCCTGGCCTTGTCCCAGAGTTAAACTTACCCGAATGAGTTTGAATATTTGCATAGTCTCAAAAGTTTCCAGCCCTACAACTGAGCCATCCGGCCCCCGATACCCTGCCACAATCTGGGATACCCCTGGAAGAAAAGACTGGGCCCACCACTTGATTAGCTTGTGCCTGAAAAGAAAAAAAGACAGATGACTGTAACGAACGCAAACCTGCATTTAAGGGAACCCCACCCAGTAAGCTGGCAAGGGCTTTGTTTCTTTAGGACGGGGGTCTTCAAACTTGGCAACTTTTAAGACTTGTGGACTTCAACTCCCAGAATTCCTCAGCCAGTACCAACGCAATTTCGACTGCTCCTTCCTCACCTGTAAAAACTTCTCCTCTGAGCAGGGCTGTGCATGACTTTGCTAGTTTTCAGTTCCATGTAGCAAGTAGGAGGCTGCGGCGAAGGGCTTCGGGGATCAGTGCAATCTACCTCTCCAGAGAAGACAAGTGAGTGACTTCCCAGGCGGGACCGAATCACGGTGCAGAAAGCTTCATTTGTATTCACTACTCCAGTTGGATCAGGAATCCCATCTGGAGAATCTGGAGAAGAATGAGAAATTTGGGCACTTCCTGGAAGTTCAAGTAACTATATAGAGCACGGGTAAGCAACCTTGGCTCTTTTATGACTCGTGGACTTCAACTCCCAGAATTCCTGAGCCAGCATGGCTCAGCTTGGAAACCTCTCCCTTTCCCCTCAGCATGGCTGGCTCAGGAATTCTGGGAGTTGAAGTCCACGAGTCATAAAAGAGCCAAGGTTGCCTACCCCTGGTACAGACAGTCCTCAACTTACTACCACAATTGGGACTGGAATTTCTGTCATGAGTCAGACATGGTTTTAGAACCATTTTTAGAATGGTCGTTAAGTGAATTACCATGGTCATTAAATGATTCCTACAGTCATAAATGCAAACCCATTCTTTTGGATATTTCTTGCTGGAAATTTGCAAAAAAAGGTTCCAAATCGGGATCACCACCACCACAAAATGTCGTAAATGTGAGCCGGATGCCAGGCGCCCGAGTTGAAATCATGTGAACATGGGATTAGTAGGACGGCCGTAAATGCAAGGACCAGTTATAAGTGTGAGGACTGGATTTTTTTAGCAGTGTTATAACTTTGAACAGTCACTAATTCAAAGATCATGAATCAAGGACTACCTGTAGCATCAACTAAACTAAAAGTAGCAATGCAGCCATTCAGTCGATCATTAGCTGGATTAACTGATTAATATCCATTTCCCCAAAAGTGTCTCCCAGATTTTTTGTGATTTTGGCTACCACAGACAAATACGGCTCTCCTTCTACTTTGTCTACATCAGTGGTTCTCAACCTGTGGGTCGGGACCCCATTTGGGGTCAAACGACCATTTCACGGGGGTCGCCAAACAACGCAGTCCGCCATTTTGTTTTCCCCTTTTCCTTAGCTGTGCTACTCCCTTTTATTCTATTGGCTTTTGAAAGCCAATAGAATAGACTCTCTTGAATAGAGTCTAATTCTATTGGCTTTCAAAAGCCAATAGGAATTGTCCAGGCTGTCTCTGCCCTGCTGAGCCCGCCAAAAATCCCATTCTGCAAACGGTGCTGCACCAGTGGAGTAGTCCTCCTTACGACTGGTTGAGTAGTCCTCGACTTACGACCAGTTGGGGATTGTGGCATTAAAAAGGTTGAGAACCACTGGTCTACATCATTCCTAATAATTCAAACACTCTGAAAAAGAGAGCAACCACCAGCTCAGTTCAGGAACTTAGGAAAAGTCCCTAAGACCTGACTTTCAAATCAGAGCTGGGAGCTCTCCAGAAACCTTACCAGCACACATATATTGCTCAAATTTGTATCCCATGTACATGAGCTCCTTCAGCATTTCTGAGCGTTGCTCCCGCTCTTTGCGGGCAGCCTCCGTTTCAAACTCGCTAATGTACAAAGTCCCTCGGAAGAGAGTGACCGCCAGCAACCATCCCTCTCGGTTCTCGTATGGGGTGGTCAGCACTTTGGTGAAATGCCCCCGCCAAGTCACAAAGTCAGCATTCAGGAGCTTTCTGCGGGGGAGAGGGAGACAGAAAGAAAAAGAGGAGGAAAGAAGGGGGAGAGAGAAAGAAAGAAAAAGAGAAAATTTGAATAACCAACCATGTTAAGATAAGAAACTAGGTCTGTCTAATCCCAGTAGAGCCAAAGCAAGGGAACTCTTTCTGAGTACGCCTTTGAGTCAGCGTTCACCTCTAGTGATTGCTTAAGACTAGTCTCTACAATTTTCTTGGCAAGATTTCAAAAGTAGTTTGCCCTTGCCTTCTTCTTTGTAGGAGAGAAGAGAGAGAGAGAGAGAGAGAGAGAGAGAGAGAGAGAGAGAGAGAGAAAGAAAGAGAGAAAGAGAGAAAGAAAGAGAGAAAGAGAGAAAGAGAAAGAGAGAGAGAAAGAGAGAAAAGAGAGAGAGAAAGAGAGAGAGAAAGAGAGAAAAGAGAGAGAAAGAGAGAAAGAGAAAGAAAAGAGAGAGAAAGAGAGAGAGAAAGAGAGAAAGAGAGAGAGAGAGAGAGAGAGAGAGAGAGAGGGAGGACTGGCCCAAGGTGATTTAGCTGGCTTCATGGCTAAAGAAAGACTAGAACTCACAGCTTCCTGGTTTCTAGCCTGGTACCTTAACCACTACAGCAAACTGAGTAATAAGTATAGTCTTTGCATACTGAACAGCTCCGGTTCATTCTCAGGAATTGGCAGTTAAAGATGGGCAGCAGACACTTGACAATCAGCAATGTCATTGCCAGATGTCTAACACCCAGTGTCCCCCAAAATAAGACCTAACCGTAAAATAAGCCCAAGCATGATTTTTCAAGATGCTCCTAATATAAGCCCAACCCCCCAAAATAAGCCCCAGTTAAGATCGTTAGCCAGACAGACGCATTAATTACCTTACTTCCCCGAAAATAAGCCCTAACCAGAAAATAATTCCTATTGGGTCTTTTGGAGCAAAAATTAATATAAGACCCGGTCTTATTTTAAGGGGAAACATGGGTATGAGTCATGGTGGCACAGAATGCAGTATTGCAGGCTAATTCTGCCAACTACCAGCAGTTCGATCCTGACTGGTTGAAAGTTGATTCAAACTTCCACTCGTCCGAGGTCAGTAAAATGAGGACGATTGTTGGGGGCAATATGCCGACTCTCTAAACCTTTTAGAGAGAGATGTAAAGCACTGTGAAGTGGTATATAAGTCTAAGTGCTATTGCTATTGTGTTAGAATCCAGCGGCGCAGCGGTGGCATCCCGTTTTCACACCCCGAGGCGCGGTGGCGTCCCTTTTTCACGCAAAACTCAGCGGCAGCCCGTTTTTGCGCCCCGTGGTGCAGGGTCCAGTTTTTGTGCCCTGCAGCCATGGCGCTAGCGCACGTGAGGGGTGTGCGCACACACAAACACGCGCATTGGCCAGTCTGTCCCATGGCCCGGTGGCCAGCAGACCACGGCCCATTAACGGGCAGCGGCCCACAGGTTGGGGACCCCTGCTCTAACTCTTTCTCACCCTTTGTCCTCAGTCTGTAACTGCTTCCGGTTCTGCACAATCCATTTCAGCAGGTGCTCCAGGCCTTCACGGATGCTGTCATCCCGCTGCACGTAGCGGTCGCGGTAGCCATCCCGCAAGTCAAATCCAGGGGAGGGGCCTTCGGAAGGGGGTGGGGCATAGTAGCGCAGCTGACGAGCATCTCCATGGAAGCACCGCTTGGCATCTAGGGAAAAGCGTCCTATTTCAGCTGGCCGCCGATAAAAGGGAAAAGGGGCATCGTACAGAGAGGGAGTAACCGGCAAAGTAAGGGGTGCCTTGAAATCTCTTCTTGGTTGCTTGACTTTGCATTCATCCGCATCATCCTCTCGGCTGAAAGACCTGGAACTGGCTGTGGGCTTCATAAGGGTTTGTGTCTAATAACAAAAAGAATGAGCGTGAAACTTCTGCCTTCAGAATACACAGCTGAGAAACTGTCCCCAGTGCTCCTCTGGGTTTGAGGCAAAGGTCAAAAGGAACTTTTAAGACTCAGTCCAACCCAATGTTTGACATTACAAGTAGTCCTCAACTTATAATAGTTCAAAATTACAACGGCACTGAAAAAAAGTGTCTCATGACCGCTTTCACCGCTGCGGCATCCCCATGGTCATGTGATCAAAATTCAGGCGCTTGGCAACTGATTCATATTTAAGATGGTTTGCAGTGTCCCGGGGTCGCCTTTTGTGACGGTCTTGACAAGTAAAGTCAATGGGGAAGCCAGACTCATTTAGCAACCGTGTTACTCACTTAACAACCGCAGTGGTTCACTTAAAAACCATGGCAAAAAAGGTCATAAAATGGGGCAAAACTCACTTATCTCAGAAACTTTGGGCTCAATTGTGGTCGTAAGTTGAGGACTGTCCGTATTATTGATAATAATACAAGAACCTTTAGTATCTAATTTACAAAGGTAATTGTTTTGCTTTGTGTTTCATGCATTTTCTCTGGGTCAGCCTTCTGACAATTCTATAAGGTTGGCCAGTATTGCTGGCCTTTCATTATAGGCAAAGAGACAAGACAAAGAATTATCATCTGGCCATCCAAATCCCCAGGATCACATTCATTTTTCAGCTACTTTATTAGTTATTAACATGAGTCTAAGATTGGGGTGTTTTCAAGGGCCAGTCTTTAATTAGAAAGTGAGGATCATTTGGTCAGCCAAGTTTGGTACTAGGATAGCTGTCGTTTTACAGTAACTTCCATGTGGTATCTAAGGTATGAGTTACACTCTTTAGTCAACCTAAGCAGCACAGTTCCTAATGACCAAATAGTTCCTTGGGGTTTTTAACTCTTCTCAGCCTTATTTGGTATTTTGGGGATTAACAGTCCTCAAAGGACACCCTGGCTGTATTCACATGACACTTAAACAAGTTAGATAAAAGACCCAGTATATACACTGACACAATTTCCTGAGCTTGGTTAGCATTCACTTGGTTAGATTTTTGTGGCTTAGTATATTAGATTAAAACAGATCATTTAGTTACCTTCTTGTTTGGTATATTGAACAAGCCAGAGTATAGATTAATCCATAACCAGTTTATGAGCATAATGTGAATATAGCCGCTTTGTCACTGGTCCATAAATTCTTGGCTGATTCTTGTTGCTTATCCTTAAAGTTTCTTGCAGATTATGTTTTTTGTGTGTGACTTTGTAACAGTTTTTATTGTTTGAATAGTTTTGTTGTCGTTGTTATGATTTTGGTAATTTTAGATATTTTTTTTGTATTTTAATTCTGTAACATACACCCCTCCCCAGTCCTGTATGTGAGATCGGTGGCCATATAAATTGAATCAATGCAGAAATAAACATAGCAGGGTACAAATCAAATAACAGTCTCTGTCCAGCCTCTCCTTTTCCATTCAGGCTCTGTCTTTCTTCAAATATCTTCAGTATTAAATTAGGAGCAAAACCTTTTAATCAGCAATAAACACAATAATTGAATTCTTTCCCTCTCAACAGTCACTTTCTCAGTGAAACTCTCCTTCCTTCCTTCCTTCCTTCCTTCCATCCATCCATCCCTCCATCAATCCATCCATTGCCCATCCTATCCCCAAATAACCCTGGGTGCCTCACAGCAACAATTATAAAACATAAAACAGAATTACTAAAATCAAATCTCATAATATTACTCCCCCAATACATTTGCTGAGATCCAATCTCACTTTAGCCCCAAACAAAGAACCCCAAGGTCCTGGCTCCGAATTCCCCCGGGACAGCTTAGGAGCTGACCTCTACCCTTTGCCCTCTGACCCGGTCTTGGATTCCTATAACGATCATCATAGACAGAGAAGTCCCTAAGGAGCCTTCCCTGTTCCCTCTTCCGAATTCCATGCTTACCTGCCGTGACGTCACTGCCGAGCACCGGGAATACCTGCAGCCTCGTAGGGGTCGCACGCCTAACGTTAAACCACTATCCAAGCCGAGACGGAGCGGCTGTTTTTCTGATCAAAACAAAGCCCAGTTTCGTTTCTTTGCTCTAAGTTGCATCATCAAAGCACGCCAGTTAGCAGAGGAAGCCCTCCGTTTCCTTTTTCCCGTTTTCCTTCAGCGTCGTGTAATTTAAATTCATGGCCACTAGGTGGCAGTCGAAGCCTTCTTTAGGCGGCTTTATGTTAAGCGGTGGTTTGTTTTTTTTTTTAATCTCGATCCCGTTTAAGATGTGTGGAACACCCAGAATTTCCCAGTCGTGGGGAGTTGAATTCTGAGAGTTGTAGTTTACACCTCTTGAAGGGTACAAGGTTGAAAAACACTAGTTAGAGTCCAATAGTTCTTAACCTTTTTGAACGAATCGCCCCCTTGAGCCAATGAGGAAGTTGTCATCGCCCCCCTCCCCCAACATAACCTCTCAATCACAACATAGGAAATAATTCTTCAATTTATGCAAACACTTTTTTTTGTTTTCTTTAAAATTGTCATCAGGACATATTGATGCAAATAATTTATTTCCAGTCTTTTTCCCATATCTCAACTGTGTGAAAAATTTTGGTGCCACCCGTCACTTTATTCCCAAACTTCGTGATACATGTATTTCATTATTATCTTATTTATTCAAGACACTTAAATGTAATGACCACTGAAAACAAAATTCAATTGCAAAAAAGTGAAATGCCTGAAAAGAAAAACAGTAATATTTAATGATTGATTTACAAGTGAAATTTAAGACGCAAAAAGAAATATAAAAAGGGTAGAGGCTGCTGCGCAATGCGCATGAAGATAAGCAATGCGTCTTCACATATGTACGGTGTTCTGTACTGAAGCTAGCTGGAGGAACATTTGAAAACACAATTCAATCCACTAATAGCGAGCGATCTGATGTTTTTGTACAACAGATATACAGCGATTCACTGTATGAAAAAGTCTCAAAAGTGTCCCCAAAACATCTCGCTCCATCGCCCCCATATTGCCCCCTTTTCAATCCTTTGCCCCCACGTCGCCCCTTTTTTGTTCCATCGCCCCCCTAAAAAATGAAATCGCCCCCTGGGGGGCGATATCGCCCAGGTTAAAAACCACTGAGTTAGACCTTCCTAATTTGGTGGCTTTTGCAGTCCCAGTCTAATGGGAATTGTAGTGTGAGACCTTTGGAGGACACGGGGAAGGTATTGTGGAGCACCCACAACATCTGAAGGCAAACCTGTTTCAATGGTTGATTGCTCTCACTGTTATGAGATTTCTTCTTTATTTCTCTTTTATTATTGTTATAAATAACTCAGGGTGTCAAACATACCTAATGCACCTTCCTCCTAATTTCCCCACCACAGCAACATTGTGAGGTGGGTTAGGCTGAGAAAATGTGACTGGCACAAAGTTATCCAGTCAGCTTTTATGCCAAAAGCAGGACCATAACTTAGTTTCTTGGTTTCTAGACTGATGCCTGATCCATTAGAATTGAAGTTCTGTATATTCTAAACATGATATACATATTTTTCTCTAAGCCTGCATTTAAGAATATTTTAAAGGAATGAACCAAAGTTGTCTGTGTATTCCCTTCTAAAGTTCCCTTCTAAAACCATTCATTACATTTAGCTTGGGATCCAGTATTCCCCAGGTTCCTGAATGTAGGACATTGAATTATATAAAACTGGACTTTGAGTAGAATTAGAGTGTTAAGGAGGACCAAAATGAGTTTCCCTTGTGTTTATTTAACAAGTTCTCATTATAGCAATGAATACAATACAGGTAGTCCTCGATTTATGGTCACAATCGAACCTCAAATTTCTGTTGCGAAGTGAGACAATTATTAACTGAGTTTTGCCCCATTCATATTTCTTGTCACAGTCGTTAAATGAATCACTGTAATTGTTAGTAACATGGTTGTAAACGGAATCTGGCTTCCCCATTGACTTTGCTTGTCAGAAGGTTGCTAAAGGTGATCACATGTAAGGTGACCAACCGTCCTCCTTTTGGAAGGACAGTCCTCCTTTTTTGAGTTCTGTCCTCCTTCAAAATGTGTCCTCCTAAATGTCCTCCTTTTCCATATACCGTCCTCCTTTTGGGAGAACAGTCCTCCTTTTGTGAGTTCTGTCCTCCCTCGAAAATGTCCTCCTAAATGTCCTCTTTTTCTATATTTGAAGACTTATCTGCAGGGCTTTCTTGTCCTCATAAAACGCTCAGAAGGTGTTGCGGGACCTTTTTTTGATTTTTTTTTCAACTTTTGCCTGTGCTACTCCCCCTTTGGCTTTCAAAAGCCAGTAGGAATTGCTGCTGAGCGCGCCAAAACATCAGGGCAGCAAACTTTGCACGTGCAAGTTGCAGGAACTTTGCACCCCTCACTGCTACCCAACTACACCATCTCCTACTTAGTTCCGTAGATAGCTGGAGGAAACTGGAGTGGTAAGTTTCTCTTGATCTTCCCTGTTCTGTTCTACACAGGGATGCACAGGGTAGGCGGTGGTGCTGGGGGGCGGCTGGGGGTGGCTGCAGGGCTGGAGCCAGCATGGCTGGTGCTTTGAGAGCTGCGGGGCCGGGTCTACGGGGATGCGCAGGATGGGCAGTGGTGCTGGGGGGCGGCTGGGGGGGCAGCTGCAGGGCCAGAGCCGGGGCAGCTGGTGCTTTGTCTTTGCGAGCCGTGGGGCCGGCTCTACGGGGATGCGTAGGGTAGGCGGTGGTGCTGGGGGGCAGCTGGGGGGGGCGGCTGCAGGGCCTGAGCCGGGGCGGTGGGTGCTCTGCAATTGCGAGCCATGGGGCCAGCTCTACGGTGATACGCAGGGTGGGCGGTGATGCTGGGGGGGCGGCTAGGGGGGCGGCTGCAGGGCCAGAGCTGGCACAGCTGGTGCTTTGCCATTGCGAGCCATGGGGCCGGCTCTACGGGGATGTGCAGGGTGAGCAGTGGTGCTGGGGGGTGGCTGGGGGGGGGTTGGCTGCAGGGCTGGAGCCGGCATGGCTGGTGCTTTGTCTTTGTGAGCCGTGGGGGGGCCCAGCTCTACGGGGATGCGCAGGGTGGGCAGTGGTGTTGGGGGGCAGCTGCAGGGCCGGAGCTGGCTCGGCTGGTGCTTTGCGAGCCTCGGGGCCGGCTCTCCATGGCAGGGCAGCGGTGCTGGCGGGGCAGCTGTGGGCAGGGGTGCAGCAGGCAGTTGACCTTCCAGGGGCCGAGCCAGCTGGTGGTCTACGCGGTGCTGACCTGTGCTGCCACCACCTCACCCTGCGCACCTACATGGCCGTCCTGGAGTGCCTGGCTCACAACACTTGCCTCCGCCGCCCACCCCCATGCAGTCCAGCCGTGTAGATTTTTGGATAAGTGAGAAATCAAGATTGAATGTTGATACTCTAGCTGCAGCACTTGCCATAAAATTTAATATGAGGGATATTTCTTGTTCAAATATTTCCAATATATTGTTAGAAAATGATACATTGACAAAAAATATTCATTCAATGGAAAAGTACTCATTCAAATAATTAATAGGCATGTAAGCATAATTACAATATAAAATGTTATTGTTACAAATGTTTTTTATTATGCATTTACCATATTATAGTGTATTCTGTATTATTGTTTCAATAAATACAATGTTTTTTATTTACGATATTTTTGTTGTAAAAATATCCTCCTTTTTGTTGTAAAAAAGTTGGTCACCTTATCACATGACCACAAGACACTGCAGCTGTGATAAATATGAACCAGTTGTCAAGCATCTGAATTTTGATCATGTGTCTATGATGCTGCTGCTACAACGGTCGTAAGTGTGAAAAATGGTCATAAGTCACTTTTTTTCAGTGGTGTTGTAACTTCGAATGGTCGCTAAACAAAATATGGTAAATTGAAGACTACCTGAAAGGAGTCGATCTGAACTAGCTGGGGTTTTTTACACACAATAAACCTAGGCTTCACATGAATGTTTTCATCAAAAACAGAGATGCATCAAAGTAAAAGAAAGCGGTGGCTGTCTGTGCTTTTCAAAGTCAGGCACTTGTGGGATAGAAAAAACAACTTTCTCCCATTTCAGATGTTACCTCCAGCCTGCAAGGTTGTTGGTCAGGTTGCTCAGAAGAAGTCATTTGCTGATACTAGGCAGCATTAGGCTGCTGCCACTGGAAACCCATTTAAGCAGCGTTGCTTAGCATTGAGGTCTCTCTAGGGTGGAAAGCAAAAGTGAAGTATCAGGGGACACAAAACCGCTTCTTCACTGGCTAGACATTTCAAGACCAAGGACATAGAAAGAAAGTGTAATCTAACAATTCAGAAACATAAATCAGCTAGAAAATTATTTTTACCAAAGCAAAAGGTCAATGTACACATAGTGTAGATTTTCTGTTTAAGACTTGTTCCAACATCAGTGAGATGTTACTATCATCCAAACTTGTATAAAACAACTCTGGTCGTGAAGAAAACAACCCTAATCACCAGGGAATTATTACATGATATACCAGATTTGGACTTCATAAATCTGCGTGACTTCCACAAGGGAGCAAACTTGGCCCCCATCTTGGGGTCATTCATATCTTTCCAGAGCAGAGTCTGTCTTTCCCATAGTCTAAAATTATTTTTTTTCAACCTTGACAACCTTAAGATGGATGGACTTCAACTCCCAGAATTCCTCAACCAGTATCTTAAAGTTCCCAAGGTCGAAAAACCCTGATCTAAATTGGTGTCTCTTAGTCTGTTCCAAGGACCTTAGGAGTCTCTCAGAGGTTTGCAAAATTAAAAATATTTGCCAGATACTGAAGACATTTGCAAAAATTTAAAGCAGTGTCACCCGTTATTTCTATTTGTTGAAAATTATAGGGGAGTTTTCATGAAAAATATGTACATTAATATCAAATAGGTTTAATAACTTTATTTTACATGATTCAATAAATACAGGTTTTAATATGGTAAATATCAATAAACATAACCCATATAATCAGAAAGTTTCTGGGGGGGTCCTCCATCATTTTTAAAAATTATAAATTCGGGCTCTGAGAGTCAAACGTTCAAGAACCACTGGTCTAGATAACGGCCAAGCCCACCTTTCTTCCATTAAAGAGGGCCACTTAGCCGGACGAGGAAGCCATTGGTCTTCCCTACTGCCAGTCAAGCTATTTTTCTCCCGCCTACTCTAAAGGCGAAGGGCGGCCCCAGAAAGATCTTCAAACGGCGTGACGTCATCCTTTGCCGACGACCAGCAAGCGAGACGACGCGAGTGAGGACTGAGAGGGGTAGGAATGAAATCTCAATTCGAAGTGAAATTAATGGCGGGGGGGGAGTGGGGGGGGGGAAGTCTCTGGGTATCTGAAAGTTATTATTCAGGGAGGAAAAATGTGTCAATAGAGGACGGAAAGGAGCTCGGAGGTGAAAGGTGGATAATTGCAGGTAACAGCCAGGAAGAAAAAGAGAGAGGATTCATGGTTGTCTTGCCCGTAAAAGCTTTTGCTGAGTCAAATGAAGGCGCTGGGGAGAGTATGGAAGAAGTAAAATGTATTATCACTCGTGAGGAGTTGGTATCGTCAGTTTGAATAAGTCATGGTGTGATGTGCTGCTATATTGTTTCAAAGGAGGTGGGATAAAATCTTAGAGGAGAGAAGGGCAAATCTTCCCTTGCCTGATTTCCTTCTACAGGTAGTTGTTGACTTACCACAGTTTATTTAGTGACCAAAGTAACAACGGCACTGAAAAAGTGGCTTATGACCGTTTTTCACATTTACAACCATTGCAGCATCCCCACGGTCACATGATCAAAATTCAGATGTCTGGCATCTAGTTCATATGTATGACGATTGCAGTGTCCTGGGGTCATGTGATCACCTTTGGTGATCTTCTGACAAGCAAAGTCAGTGGGGAAGCCAGATTCATTTAACAACTATGTTACTAACTTAATAACTGCAGTGTTTCACTTAATAACTGTGGCTAGAAAGGTCATAAAGTGGGGCAAAATTCACTTAAAAATGTTTCACTTAGCACAGTGGTTCTCAACCTTTCTAATGCCGCGACCCCATAATACAGTTCCCCATGTTGTGGTGAACCCCAACCACTTATACATCACCGGGTACCAGGGGCATGGCCAAAGAAAAGGGGGAAAAAATGATGGACAGCCTTGTTTGACGACCCCTGTGAAATGGTCATTCGACCCCAAATGGGGTCCCGACCCACAGGTTGAGAACCACTGACTTAGCAACAGAAATTTTGGACTCAATTGTGGTCGTAAGTCGAGGACTACCTGTATACATTTGCTTGTTTCTATACATTTAAAAAGGAAGGTGTGGAGGAAAATTCCATTCCCTTCATCAGGATATCGCTTTTGTTCTAAGTTTAGAGTTTGCTTTGCTTTATATGTAAACAGGCTGCTGAATTAGTAGAAGTGCGGCTGTGATACTTTAAAGCAGGGGTTAGCAACCTGCAGATGACATTTGGCCTGCCACCCAAAATATTTGATCCCAAAGAAATATTGTATCCACTTGGCTCATGACTGCAGCCTGAGAATTTGCAGCACATAGAAACATGTCTCCATGGTTCGGGGCCCTATGCAGAAAAAAGCTGATGACCTCTTATTAAAGCATATATAGCTTTAATATAGCTATAAAAAAGTATATAGCTAATTTAAATAAAACTGTTCCCTTTATTGGATTTTATAAGGATTTCCTACCCAGATTAAAATGTACATCTTATTAAACTCAAATCTTTTGTATGCTGACTGATCCATACATTCCTTGCATTCTGCTACATTTCTTGCTTTTGAGGCTTTGCTTTTCAAAAAAAAATGGAATGGGGGGAGGCAATATACAGTTTAATATAAAGCCAAAAGATGAAGCAAAAATAAAGCGTAATATACAGTGCTGTCAAATAAATGTGAAAAAAAATGGGCAGTAGTATAATTCAGCGTATTAGCTTTCTTATATCTGGATGTGTTACAATAGACAAATCGAAATGAAGGAACCTACATTGTTCCTGATGTGATAGTGAAGTTAAGGGAAGAAGTACTTTGCTTAATTGCTGCATGGCAATCTGACATTATATAAAATCCAGCAGTTTTAAAAATATGCCAAACAAATGAGGAAATCATGAGGGTTTGTAACACCAAAGATTTACCAGAGATTATTTTAAATATAAAAAATATGGCAGAGTGCTGGCTGGAATGAGAATCAAGGAACCATTTTGATGGTGTTATTAGAGGGAATACAGTTTGTGAGAAGCCACACACAGAAGCTGTTTTCATGGAAGAAAAGCAACAAGTTAAACAAAAGGAAAAATTTGAAAAGGGGAGATGATATAGAATGAATGGGGAATAAGAAAGAAAACATTTGGGGAACATTAGAGGTAGTCCTCGAGTTATGACCACTATTGAGCTCAAAATTTCTGCTGCTAAATGAGACAGTGGTAAAGTGAGCTTTGCCCCATTTGATGACCTTTCTTGCCACAGTTGTTAATTGAATCACTGCAGTTAAGGTAATAACCTGGTTGTTAAGTGAATCTGGCTTCCCCATTGACTTGGCTTGCCAGAAGGTTGCAAAAAGTGATCACACGATCCTGGGCACTGCAACCATCATACATATGAGTCGGTTGCCAAGCGTCTGGATTTTGAACACGTGACCATGGGGATGCTGAAACAGTCATAAGTATGAAAATGGTCACGAGTCCCTTTTTTCAGTGCCGTTGTAACTTTGGACGGTCTCTAAACGAAGTGTTGTAAGTCTAGGCCAGGAGTAGGCAACCTTGGCTCTTTTATGACTCGTGGACTTCAACTCCCAGAATTCCTGAGCCAGCCATGCTGAGGGGAAAGGGAGAGGTTTCCAAGCTGAGCCATGGTGCTCAGGAATTCTGGGAGTTGAAGTCCACAAGTCAAAAAAGAGCCAAGGTTGCCTACCCCTGGTCTAGGACTACCTGTACAGCTAAATGAGCAAAAGTCAATAGAGCGGTTGTATACGTACTCGACCTTAAGCCTTCTTCGTCCTTTCTCTCCAGCCCTATGAAGCGGAAGCACCAGCTCCTCTCTGATACTTTCAAGGCCAAGAAGCGACGGCAGGCTCTCGGATCCGAGTCTTCAGGGCAGGGTGAGAAAGAGTGAAATGCTTTGCACAAAATACCTGATGGGGCAGGTTAATGAAAAAGGATGGAGTTTCTAAATGGAGTCAGAGGGAGTCTTTATGGAAGTGCAAAGCAGTGGGATGTCTATAGGATTCTTAGTCATCCAGATGATAGTTATCCCAAAGATGCTTTTTCACGAGGCAATTGGACAATCTTGTTTTTCTTTGAAAGTCGTTTCGCTTCTCATCCAAGAAGCTTCTTCAGCTCTGACTGGATTTCAACAGTTCCAAGAAGGCTCTACATCCATTTGAACTACTCAGGTGACCCTGGAGACACAGATAAGCCTCTGGGTAGCTTTAACGACTTGCTAAAAGAATGCAAAGGACCAGCTGTCTGCAGGAGTATAAATCTTTCCCTTCCCCACCACTCAGTCAGAGCTGAAGAAGTTTCTTGGATGAGAAGCGAAATGTCTTCAAAAAAAAACAAGAAAGTCCAGTTGCCTCATGAAAAAACATCTTTGGGCTAAGCCAGTGATGGTGAACCTTTTAGACACCGAGTGCCCAAACACCCTCCCTGCTCACCCCTGCTCCACCGCCTGCTCCCTGCTCACCCGCAGGGCCACCTACTGCCTCCGTGTCCCACCGCAGCAGATCACTCAGGCGGCCCTGCAGTCCCATGGCAGCCACGCCCTCTGCCCGTGCCCCACAGCATCTGTGCAAGATGGGTCGCGAGGGCAGAGTCTTGGCCCAGCTGCCATGTCTTTGGCTGCGCTACGCTGCTCTGCGTGCGCCGCACCCAGGGCGACTCTCTGGGGAGGCTGCCGGTGAGGGGGCCGCGGGGGGAGGCAGGGCTGGGGCGACGGCACGCGTGCCCACAGACAGGGCTCTGCATGCCGCCTCTGGCAGACGTGCCATGGATTTGCCACCACTGGGCTGAGCAGTGGGACTTCTCCGTTCTTATCTGCGGTTCCTTTTCTTAGAGGGCCCTGCAGCAGTCGAAGCGGCTCTTCAGAAATTGGTATCCCTCTTCCCTCGGAAGGTATTTGAAGATTCCCTGCCGCCTTTAATTTTGAAGCATCAGATCTACAGTCTTGTCAAAGATCGTACGGTTGTGGACAGGTATCTGGTAAGTACTACTTCTCCCTGGCTGGGATACAGCAACATCAGCAACGATGTAACACAGCCAAGACGGTGGTCACAGCAGCCCAAATGAAGCCCCAGTCACTGTGTGTAGCTATCACACGCACGTACAAAAGAGATGAGATTTTGATTGCATTGTTGCAAAGTGATGAAGTATAGGTAGTCCTTGACTTACAACAGCACTGAGCTCCAGCTTTTCCTCCTCCACAACCTTTCCTACTCTATCTTAGCATTTGCTTTTCTAAGCTAAAACTCTGGGTGGGGCGAAACTGCCTCTGGATGTCAGCATATTGTTCAAAATACCAAGGTGTGGCTCAGTTAGCACAGGCAGCTGCAACACCGGTTTGGATGCTTGTGAGTAAAGTTGCGACCGAATTTATGAATGCATGAGGGAAGTGGGGGTGGGAAGCACTTCGGCCTAGCTGGAGCTGCTTTTTTCCAAAGAGCAGACAGCAGTTCCAACCCTCCATAGTCATAGAAACAGTTAAAAGGTTATTCAATAGTCCTGCTTCTATGACAGGGGTAGGCAACCTTGGCTCTTTTATGACTCCTGGACTTCAACTCCCAGAATTCCTGAGCCAGGATGGCTCAGCTTGGAAACCTCTCCCTTTCCCCTCAGCATGACTGGCTCAGGAATTCTGGGAGTTGAAATCCATAAAAGAGCCAAGGTTGCCTACCCCTGTTCTAGAAGTTACCTCAATAAGGGGAAATCTGTGATAGAATGTAGACTGGAATCCCAAGAGGGAGGGAGTGCATTCCAGAGAAGCAAGAGAAAACACAGTTCAGATAGTTTGTGTGAGAGAAAGAGGGTGAAGACGGCTCCTCCCTCATAGGCAGTCCTCGACTTACATCCATTCATTTAATGACCATTCAAAGTTGCAACGGCACTGAAAACAGTGACTTACCATTTTTCACACTTGCTACTGTTGCATTCCCCCCTCCCCCCAAATGATCAAAATTCAATGTTTGGCAAGTGGTTCATATTTAGGACCGTTGGAGTGTCCCGGGGTCAAAAGGTTTGCGCTCTTTTAATAAGCAAAGTCAATGGGGAAGCCAGATTTCACTTAACTACTAGTGTTACTACGTAACTGTTACTAGTAACTGTGAGAGGGATCTTTGAGTCCTAGTGGACAGTCACTAGTCAAATATGAGCCAGCAATGTGCTGCAGCTGCCAAAAAAGCAAAAGTGCTAGGCTGCATCAACAGAGGGATAGAATCAAGATCACGCGAAGTGTTAATACCACTTTACAATGCCTTGGTAAGGCCACACTTGGAATACTGCATCCAGTTTTAGTCACCACGATGTAAAAAAGATGTTGAGACTCTAGAAAGAGTACAGAGAAGAGCAACTAAGATGATTAGGGGACTGGAGGCTAAAGCATATAAGGAACGGTTGCTGGAATTGGGTATGTCTAGTTTAATGAAGGACGAGGGGGGACATGATAGCTGTGTTCCAATATCTCAGGGGCTGCCATAAAGAAGAGGGAGTCAAGCTATTTTCCAAAACGCCTGAAGGCAGGACAAGAAACAACGGATGGAAACTAATCAAGGAGAGAAGCAACCTAGAACTAAGGAGAAACTTCCTGACAGTTAGAACAATTCACCAGTGGAACAACCTGCCTCCAGAAACAGTGAATGCTCCAACACTGGAAGTTTTTAAGAAGAGACTGGACAGCCATTTCTCTGAAATGGTATACGGTTTCCTGCCTGAGCAGGGGGTTGGACTAGAAGGCCTCCAAGATCCCTTCCAATTCTATCATCATCATCATCATCATCATCTTAACAGCTCTAGTGATTCACTTGACAACCATGGCAAGAAAGGTCATAAAATGGAGCACAGCTCACTTAACAACTGTCTTGCTTACCCACAGAAATTTGGGGCTCAATTGTGGTCGTAAGTCAGGGACTACCTGTAGTTTCCAGGCTTTATGGGGGTAGTAGCTCATTTTAGTTTTGAAAGATTTTATATTTAAGTGAGGAACAATAAAAAGATCTTCTTGGAAGAATCTCAATATATCTGTTCTGATACTGGGAGCCTGATAAAACCAGAGAGATTCATATCCAAATTGCACGTAAACTTTGGGAAGAATGTAATCGCATTCAAGATAGGCAGTTCTGGAATTACCATTGTCCCTTGCAAAGAGTAAATCTTTATCCAGATTCAGTTTCAGTGCAATACTATTCATTCAGCTATATCTGATTGCAAGATCTGGGTGTCACTTACATCGAAATAGTAGCTATGGCTGAATCTCCTGATGATCTCCCCTAGTAATTTCATATGTATATTAAAAACCATATGTCAAGCCCCTGGGCTCGACACGAACAGGTGGGGGGAAGGAACGGAGCAGCCAGCCGACATCCGTGCGCCGACCCCGTGTGCCGCCTGACTTCCGAGGACCAGCTGGGCGTCGGCAAGGCCTCCTCACACCGCAGCCGCCTCTCCCCTGTTACCGGGCACCGGGGGGTTCCCGAAAGCCAGCTGGGCGTTGGAGGCGAGCCAGCTGGGCATCGGAGAGGCCGCCTCACATCGCGGCCACCTCTCCCTTGTTACCGGCCGCCGGGGGAATCCCAAAACCTAGCTGGGCGTCGGAGAGGCCACCTCTCACCGCGGCCACCTCTCCTGTATTGCTGGCGGCCGGGGGAGGATGCCGGTTGCCGCGTGAAGTTACTAATCCCCAGAGGGGCCATCTGACGCCTTCACATGTGGAGCCATGCCAGCGGCAGGGGAAGAAGCTGGACAATGACCGGTTGACAGATAGGACAGCAGGTCCTGCGGAGGCCATGTGGCTGCACTGATGCATCCGGAGGGGGGGGGGAGTCAGAAATTGAACTGTACCTGCATGGACCGGATGCTGGCTTGTTGATTGGGGTGGGGTTGAAGGGCGGGGCACATCTATGTAAGGCACTGGGAGCAAGCCACTCCCAGTGCTGACTTTCATTCTTGCTGGTCACTTTGTTCCTGTGTTTCTGGAGTTTGTTGGCAGCAGACAGAGGACATTTGACACCATAGATAGAATGGAATAGAATAGATAGAATGGAATACTGAAGGACACCGTATCCTAAATCCCGTTTTCAGGAACCTCTCCCCCTAAGAGAAAGGGATGGAAGAACTGAAAAGCTATGTCCCTGTTTCCAGCTCTCTCACGCAATCCAGAAGATACCAGGGTGATGGCACCAAAAGGAGTTAAGCGTCAAGAAGAACAGAGAAAATCGTATTACTTTTGTTAACTCCAAAACAAAGGTCATCCATCAGGGTGACCACGCCAATCTCCGTCCCATTTCTTGCTCAGAAGTTTGAGTTGTATCCAGATGATCTGCTTCCTTCAAGACTGCCTGTTGTCTCTTGCCGCCTTACACAACCGTGATAGATTAGAGATTGGACTGTAACTGCACCTTGGGGGGGGAGAAATCTAAGGCAGGCTTCTTAAGAAGAGGTCTAATAATTCCCTTATATAAACAAGGAAAGAGGGGGCAGTGGCTCAGTGATTAAAGACCCTGGGCTTATCAACTGGAAAGCTAACAGCCTGGGTTTAAGACCCGAGCACTGCATGACGGGGTGAGTTCCCATTACTTGCCTCAGCTTCTTCCTCCCTAGCAGTTTGAAAGTATGCAAACACGAATAGATAAATAGGTATCACTTCAATGGGAGAATAGCAGTGTTCCTTTGGCGTACAGCCATGCTGGCCATATGCCCATGGAAGTGTCTTCAGACAATCTGGTTCCCTCAGCTAAGAAATTAACCCTAGACTCGGAAATGATTAGATCTTTACCTTTATAAACAAGAAAGCATCCTCCCTAGCCTCCCAAGGTGTTAGCTAAGGCATCTCCATTTGTCTCCTAACCAGAAACCCCAAACCAAGTTGGACTTGCATTCAATGGATAAGCAACCAGTTCAGGTCCTTGGGTATCATGGGTTGAACCTAATCCACTCTGATCAAGAAAAGTTTCTAAACATCTCCATAGTTAACTCAAGTTCAAAAGTTGGTCACCGTGATGTAAAAAAGATGTTGAGACTCTAGAAAGAGTACAAAGAAGAGCAACAAAGATGATTAAGGGACTGGAGGCTAAAACATACAAGGAACGGTTGCTGGAATTGGGTATGTCTAGTTTAACGAAGAGAAGGACGAGGGGGGACATGATAGCCGTGCTCCAATATCTCAGGGGCTGCCACAAAGAAGAGGGAGTCAAACTATTCTCCAAAGCACCTGAGGGCAAGACAAAAAGCAATGGATGGAAACTGATCAAGGAGAGAAACAACCTAGAACTAAGATGAAACTTCCTGACAGTTAGAACAATGAACCAATGGAACAACCTGCCTCCAGAAGCGGCGAATGCTCCAACACTGGAAATTTTTAAGAAGAGACTGGACAGCCATTTGTCCAAAATGGTATAAGGTTTCCTGCCTGAGCAGGGGGTTGGACTAGATGACGTCCAAGGTCCCTTCCAACTTCATTACTATTATTATTGGTATCCAGACTGTCCCAAATAGCAGAGACTTTTTTTCCCACAAAAAAAATTCCAGAAATCATTACAAGTTTCTGAGGGTTAGATATCTGGAAAAGAAGATGGGGCTATGACTCAGACGCCTCCCAACTCCAGGACAACTCAGCAGGCTTGGAGATGCGGTGTGTGTGTGTGGAGAACACTCTACTTCTTTGTTGCATGTATCACCCCACAAGACAATTCATTAGATTCAGGTCCACCTCCTTCTCCACCTGCCAATTCAGCCTAGAAGGGAGAGAAGTGGGACTCCCAGATAAGCAGTTCTTAGCTTTCTAATATAGTGAAGGAAAACTAACTTTAATTGACGATTGCCCTTTCCCTCACTCACTTTCAGTATCCCAGTGAAATAAAAGCTTTGAAGATATTCGTCTTCAAGAAGGGGCCTATTTCTTCTAGAAAAAGGAAAGATACCCAAACTATTTTTATCACAATAGTGCAGTGCTTCCCAAACTTGACAATTTTAAGGCATGAGGACTTCAACTCCCAGAATTCCACAGCCAGCAATGCTGGCTGTGGAATTCTGGGAGTTGAAGTCCACATGCCTTAAAATTGTCAAGTTTGGGAAACACTGCAATAGTGGATTTCACACTAAACCAATTCAGTTAAAAAAACCAGGAACCACAACTGCAGCGTATTCTAGGTTTGCTTAGTTTTAACTTTCCTTTTTTATATATTTATATATAACTCTTGTCATGCAAGCCAGGCCATTTAGTTCAGTGTATTGGGACTCTTAAAAAAAGGAAGAACTGGGCACGTTTGTTGTGTGTCTCACCTAGAAGACAGGTTTAGTTTGATTTAGTTTCTGATGACTATAGACCAGACATGTCAAACACAAGGCCCGGGGGCCGGATGCGGCCCACGAAGTGGTTTCATGTGGCCTGCGAAGCCATCCTGGAAACAGTGAGGGAACGGCCCCCACTGCCTTGGCCCTGGCCCAGGCTGGCCGGGAGCCAATGTACAATTTTGTGGTGGCCCTCTATGGTGAAACGCATTCAGTCTTAGCTCCACAAGGCCGTCTGGAAACAGTGAGGAACCAGCCCCTGCTGCATCAGCCCTACCCCCTGGGTGCATGCTGGGGAAGTGTCACCCTTTGTGAGGACTGAAGAAATGGGCCATGCCTTGGCGCTTGCCCAGGTCCCATCCCCTTCTGCCAGAGACTCTCAGATCTGTCCCACTCCTGCCCAGGCCCCCACAGGCACCCTTGACACGAAAGATGTAGAGCTGGCCATGCCCATCCAGTAGGCCACACCCACTCCATCCATGCCCACCCAGTAGGCCACACCCACCCTGGCCACACACACACACACTCAGGGCAACTGCAATGCTGATGCGGCCCTCAATGAAATTGAGTTTGACACCCCTGCTGTAGATCATTGCTATTCCTCCCTGTTATGTTAGCCGATGCAGGGGGGGGGTCTTCTAAAAACACGTTTTATGTTCCATTTTGCCTCTTCCTCAAAATTTACATGCCCATACCTGCTTCTGGAAATGAATTGAGAAACTCTTTTCTCTCTATAGAGCCAGCTGAAAAATGAAGGCCGGATCCGAATGTTTCAGCACAGCTTTGAAGCGGATTTCTTTGTGGTGGCCTTTATGGACAGCTACATAGCTAAGGTTTGCTTCTGCCAAAGAGGTGTGTGGACGGAGCAAACAAACAGAAGGGCCAGCAGGCTGGCGATGACTCTCTTTATTTATTATTTTTGTTGCCTCAGGTGCAGGAGTTTATAACGGGGAAGGAGTTTGCCAGGACAGTGAAGAAGTTTTTAGATTCGGTCCTTACCGCCTGCCCTGACATCAGTTTTGACAAGAAGAGGATGTTGAGAGACTTTGGCTTTAGTGACACAGAAATCACGTAAGCGGACAATTTGCCTGCTGGTCCATAACTATTTTTTTCCCCTCCTCCTTTCACTGTTTGCCCTGCCGGCTTTCTCTCCAAATTAAGCTCACTCATTAATTGTGTGTCTGTTGGTTGGGGAGTTCTGGGAGTTGAAGTCCACACATCTTAAAGTTCCCAAGGTCAAGAAACACTGCTCTAGGTGGGTTTTGCTTGTGATTTAAAGACAGATAAGCCTCTCTGCTTTCTGAGAATGCATGTGCATGCTACAACAGGCTGGAAGAACGTAAATCTCACAGGATCAGGTCATAATCTTGTCTCATTCAGCATCCTGTTTCCCACAGTGGCTAACTAGATACATTGGGATGCCCGTTGACAACTCAAACAAGGATCGTCATCTTCTGTACAGGGAGTTGATTTAGTGGCCACAACTGAGCCCAGAATTTCTATTACTAAGGAAGATAGTTATTGAGTTTTGCCCCATTTTACAACCTGTCTTGCTACAGTTGTTAAGTGAATGGCTGCATTGTTAAGTTAGTAACACAGCTGTTAAGTGAACCTGGCCTCCCCCCTCCCCCCTTGACTTTGCTTGTCTGGGAAAGCAGAAAGCTTTAGTCCACAAATCAGCCGTACGGAATGGAGTAATCCCAATGGGCCTTTCCTTTTTTTCCGTTTCTGCCTTTTCTTCAGGCAGCTGGTGAATGCTGGGGTCTTGACTGTTCGCGATGCAGGGAGCTGGTGGCTGGCCGTGCCTGGAGCAGGCCGCTTCATCAAATGCTTCATCAAAGGTGCGTTCGTTTCACAGATTGTGCTAAGCTATAGTTGTAATGTGTTGGGTAAACTCATACGTGATGCTAAGACGCAAATACTAATCACATTATCACTCCAAGCCTGTGTCTCTTGAAAGCTGCACGATTTCACTAGATTAAGCGAATTCTTAATTTGGGACCCAGATTGTCGGGGGTGCAATATGCAGACTCTGTAAACCAGGGGTCTTCAATCCTGGCCCTTTGATGACTTGTGGACTTCAACTCCCAGAATTCCTCCGCCAGGCATGCCTGGCAGAGGAATTCTGGGAGTTGAAGTCCACAAGTCATCAAAGGGCCAGGTTTGAAGACCCCTGCTGTAAACCATTTAGAGAGGGCTGTAAAGCACTGTGAGGCGGTATATAAGTCTATTATATACTATACTAGTGCTATTGCTATTCTGAATTTGCATCCCCAATCCCAAGCAGATAGATAGATAGATAGATAGATAGATAGATAGATAGATAGATAGATAGATAGATAGATAGATACCGGTCTGATTGATTGCACCTTGGCATTTTTGACTGCTATCCTGCAGTTCTACTTTTTTATAATCACGTTTGCCTTGCAGCCCCCCAGCTAGGGCCGTTAAGCAGGCTCAAGTTGCTACTGTGATACATTACAAATTCAGATTTATTTTTGCTGACAAAGAGTTAAAGAATTAAGTGGCTGCAAGGCAAAGGTGATTATAAAAAAGTAGAACTGCAGTATAGCAGTCAAAAATGGCAAGGTGCAATCAATCGGACTGGTCTGTCTGAAAAACTTTCTGTATATACTCCCTTAACTTGGCTGACAAAGAGGGGAGGAGAGCCGGTGACCTGGTGGTTAATACAACTGCCTAGCATGTAGGCTGCCTAGGTTCAAATCCCATAAAGGGTGTGGCTAGCTGATAAGAGCATAATGAGCTCGAAATAGCTATTCTAGTCTCCCACTTAATTCTTTAATTTTTTGTCAGCAAAAAGAAATCTGAATATAGAAGATGACGAATGGGACTTCATCGAAACGTCGCCAAGACACTTCCAGTTTTACGTGGGAGAAAACCCGAATAACCAAACCTACCTACCTACCTACATACATACATACATATATATATATTATCTTGAGTGCTATTTGATACACCCTGTCGACCCAAATATGGGAGAAAGAAATCTTTTGCCTTGTATCAGCTCAAACTAGAGCCATCCACAGGCATGTCAGTCACAACTGCGACATCGTATATATTTCTAAAATTTGGATTGCTAGCAAAGAATTAAAGGAGAACTGGAATAGCTATTTCGAACTCTTTAATTCTGGTTGATAAGAACTAAAGAGTTTGAAATAGCTATTCCAGTTCTCCTTTAATTCTTTGCTAGCAATCCAAATTTTAGAAATACACACACACACACACACACACATATATACATATACATATATATTTACTTTTAAACTCTTGGGACCATTATAATTTAGAGTAGCTCTTTCATTTTGGGGTCAGTTTTTGCAAACAGAATCAACTCGGCTACAAAAAAACTCAACCCTGTTCTCCACTACCTTGCTCAGTGCAGAATGTCCAGTCCTAAATTCCAACCTTAGCACTGGAACGTTCCTGAACGGAGCTGCTCGCTGACCTTTCTTTTCTTCCTAGGAAGGAAAGCTATCTTGGGTATGATCCAGAAGTCCAAATACAAGGAAGTGCTACTGTCCGATTTGCAGAGTCGTCAAGCACCAAGTGCTGTGAAACTGGGCCTTCCCTATCATATTCACGATATCATTGGAGCCCAGCTGGTTGACTGGTAAGATTCCTGTGTCTTCTCTTGTCTCCATTCCCTCATGTACACAGGTGGTCCTCGACTTGCGACCGCAACTGAGCCCAAAATTTGTGTTGTTCAGTGAGACATTTGTTAAGTGAGTTTCGCCTCATTTTACAACCTTTTTTGCCCCGGCTGCTAAGTGAATCCCTGCAGCTGTTTAGTTAATAGCATGGTTTTTAAGGGAAACCGCCTTCCCCATTGGCAAAAGGGGATTGCATGACCCTGGGACAGTGCAACCGTCATAAAGACGAGTCAGTTGCCAAGCGTCGGAATTTCGATCCTGTGACCAGGGGGATGCTGCAAGGTCGTAAGTGTGAAAAACAATCAGAAGTCACTTTTTTCAGTGCCATCATAACTTGGAACAGTCACTAAATGAACTGTTGTAGATCGACTACCTGTACTACTTCCAGGAACGTACAGACTTTGGATTTTTGATCTTCCCGGAAACCAATTAAAATGGTTTCCTCTTTCCCTTCCAAACAACCCAAATGGGAATACTGATCCAGTATAACAGTGTGGATTTCAACTCCCAGAACTCCCGAGGCAGCGTTCTGGGAGTTAAAGTCTAAACGTCTTAAAGTTGCCAAGGTTGAGAAATCCTGGTTTAGACATAGCTGCACATTTTAACAAGGGGATCAATGGGTTAAACATTCCAGCAGAGTTTCAAAAGCCCATGCATGTATCTCTCTACCATTGTTAAACTCTACATTCCTCTCGAAAAATGTTTTCCAAGAATCTGAGAATGTCTTTACAGATAAGGGGACTGGAGACTAAAACATATAAGGAACGGTTGCTAGAATTGGGTATGTCTAGTTTAACGAAGAGAAGGACAAGGGGGGACATGATAGCTGTGTTCCAATATCTCAGGGGCTGCCATAAAGAAGAGGGAATTAAGCTATTCTCCAAAGCGCCTGAAGGCAGGACAAGAAGCAACGGGTGGAAACTAAGCAAGGAGAGAAGCAACCTAGAACTAAGGAGAAACTTCCTGACAGTGAGAACAATTAATCAGTGGAACAGCCTGCCTCCAGAAGCAGTAAATGCTCCAACACTGGAAGTTTTTAAGAAGAGACTGGACAGCCATTTGTCCGAAATGGTGTAGGGTTTCCTGCCTGAGCAGGGGGTTGGACTAGATGACCTCCAAGGTCCCTTCCAACTTTACTACTACTACTACTACTACTACTACTACTACTACTATTATTATTATTATTATTATTATTATTATTATAAAATTGTGAAGTTTGGAAGCCCCATCTTCTGATATCTAATCTGTCCTTGGGCCCTGAAGATTACTCCTAGATATCTGCCTACCGGGTTCACTTTAAATATCCCGTGTCTTCCACCAATTTTGAAATAGCATTCTCTCGTCTTACCATCTCGTTGAGGAATTCTGAGAGTTGAATTAGCTCCGTTCTGGAGAGTTGAAATATAACATAACTATGGAGATTTCAGCTAGGAAGCCTCACTTTTCAAATGTTGCTTTGGTACGTACAGAAGAGCATTGTTGCAAACCACTCCTCAGTTTCCTGACTGTACTGGGGGCGGGGGGCGGGGGGGGAGAGGAATTATCACCCGACAGCTTTAAAGATTAAATAATTGCCTTGTTCCATCAAACATGTGGTGAACGTCAGCTATTGAGAAGCAGAAAATATGTATGCAGAAGTGTTGACTTACAACGGTTCATTTAGTGCAGCGGTTCTCAACCTTTGTGTGACGGCGACCCCCGTCACACGGGCGCGCATGCGCGGCGGCGCCCCCATGCAGGGCGCGCATGCGCGGCGGCGCCCCCTGAGGGGGAAAAATGGCAGATCGCGTTGTTTGGCGATCCCCGTAAAATGGTCGTTCGACCCCAAATGGGGTCGCGACCCGTAGGTTGAGAACCGCTGGTTTAGTGAGTGTTCAAAGTTACAACTGCACTGAAAAAAGTGACTCATGACCATTTTTCACACTTAACAAGCGTTGCAGCATCCCCGTGGTCACATGACTTACATTCGGATGCTTGGCAAATGGTTCACACTTACGACGGTTGCAGTGTCCCGGGGTCACGTGATCACTTTTTGCAGCCTTCTCACAAGCAAAGTCCATGTGGAAGCCAGATTCACTTAACAGCTGTGTGACTAATTGACTGCAGAGATTCCCTTAACATCTGTGGCAAGAAAGGTCGTAAAATAGGGCAAAACTCACTTCACAAATCTCTCACTTAGCAACATAAATTTTGTGGTCGTAAGTCGAGGACTACCAGTATTTCTTTTCATACTGTTTCATGCAGCCTGGCTATATTCTTTTTTCCCCGCTTTTAATTTTGATGAGCTCTTTCTCGTTCTCTCTAGTGTGCTGACAACGTCCGGGACTCTCCTGCGACTAGCAGATGATTAAAAACATTCCGTTTCGCCATCAAGCAGAGAATTGTGCCCAAAATAAGACTAAATAGACCAAAATCTGCCTTGGTTTTTCTCACCTTGGGACTGAGGGTCTTTTGCCTGAGAAACTAGCATTCATGGGACCAGAAGAAACTTTTGCCTAGCAAAGTAACCTTAATTAATCTAGAAATTGCATTTAATATAGGAGCTCCTTGTAGGGAACCATCTTGGATGGATCTGGAATACCCAAATTAATGGTCCCCTGGATGGGGCTGAGCTGAGAGTAAAATAAAATGACGCAGTCTTTGTCCATGAATTGCAGAGGCTGAAGTAAGCTGAAAATACTCATAGCTAGATATGCTCCCTAGTCCATGGGTGGGGAACTTTGGCTCTTTTATGACTCGTGGACTTCAAGTCCCAGAATTCCTGAGCCAGCCATGCTGAGGGGACAGGGAGAGGTTTCCAAGCTGAGCCATGCTGGCTCAGGAATTCTGGGAGTTGAAGTCCATGAGTCATAAAAGAGCCAAGGTTGCCTACCCCTGCACTAGTAAATTAGTGCATTCCTTGAGCACAATGTCAAGTATTTATTCTGTATACCTTGAGAATTGCATTAAGTATGAATTTGTTACTTGTTGCAAAAAAAAAAAATAAAGAAATTTGGAAAGTGTCTTTCAATGGAATTAAAACCCCAAAGGGTGTGCTTGTCCTTTATTCCCTTCACACTCATGTTTTAGGAATATAGACGATTATTTTTATGGAGGGTTTGTTTTTTTTTCCAATTCAGAGATGCATTTCGGATTACAGGTAATCCTCGACTTACAACCATTCATTTAGTGACTGTTCAAAGTTACAACATCGCTGAAAAAAGTGACTTCATGACTGTTGCAACATCCCCATGGTCATGTGATCAAAATTTGGATGCCTGGCAAACAGTTTGTATTTATGACCATTGCTGTGTCCCAAGGTCATGTGATCCCCTTTTGTGACTTCTTGATGAGCTAAGTCGATGGGGAAGCCAGATTCACTAACTTAACAACTGCAGTGATTCACTTAACAACAGTGGCAAGGAAAGTCGTAAAATGGGGCAAAATTCACTGAACAACTGTCTCACTAAAAATTTTGGGCTCAGTTGTAGTCCTAAGTCGAGCAGTACCTGTACACTTTGGTTCTAGCTTGTTAAAGAGAAACTTCCTAACCAGTGGAACAGCTTGCCACCAGAAATTGTGGGCGCTCCATCACTGGAGATTTTTAAGAAGAAGCTAGACAGTCACTTGTCTGAGATAATATAGGTTCTCCTGCTTCAACAGGGGGCTGGACTAGAAGACCTCCAAGGTCCCTTCCAGTTCTATTCTATTCTATTCTATTCTATTCTATTCTATTCTATTCTATTCTTTCTATTCTATTCTACTGTATTCTGTTCTATTCTGTTGTTCTGTTCTACTGTACTGTACTCTGTTCTACTCTACTCTATATATTCTATTCTATTCTATTCTATTCTACTGTATTCTGTTCTGTTCTACTGTACTGTACTGTACTCTGTTCTACTCTATACTATTCTATTCTATTCATGATTATTCTCCCTTTCTAAAAGGATCTAAGGACTTATTTGCCTTTTGTGATACAGGAAACTGCCTTATATTAGACACTAAAGAGTAAATGCTTGTTCTTCTCTTTTTGTCAGTGCGAAATTAAGAATTACCGTTATTACTATTGCTCAAGCACTGCTTCCACTGAGTCACGTGTATTATGCTAATGTTCATTTTTTCCCATCTGGAGAGATCATTTTGAACAATCTTCGTCGTTTTTAAGCTGTCCCCACCCTAAGCGATTTACTACAATCTAGAAATTTAACCCTCTTTGCTCATTCCTAGCCCGTGTTTTTATGAAATAATTAGAAAATGTCACTTTTTTAAAAGATTTTTCGGAAGGCTCTTTAAAAATTGCTATTTAGTGCTGTGTTATTGTTTACTCTTTAACCTCAATGATCTATAAGGGGGAATCTTTGTACATATGCTGGACTGCTTAGTTTCATTATTGATATATCCCCCCATAAGTCAGGTAATTTATCTTGAATGCATGCTGATCAAACATCTGTTTTTCAAAACAGGATATTAATATCACCAAAGAGGATCTGCCTTCTGCCCAAACCATTATGCCACCTTCTCCAAATAGCTGAACCACCCCTTCCTCCTCTTTCTTTTAGTACTGACAGCCAAAAAAGTCCTTTTGTTAATTATTATTTTCCTTGCAAGTTCTTTTTATGTTGTAGGGGTCAGCTTATTATCTAACTCTAGGGCAGGGGTAGGCAACCTTGGCTCTTTTATGACTTGTGGACTTCAACTCCCAGAATTCCTGAGCCAGCTTGGAATTCTGGGAGTTGAAGTCCACAAGTCATAAAAGAGCCAAGGTTGCCTACCCCTGCTCTAGGGCATACAAGCAATACCAAGGGAATCATATTAACCATATTAACTAACGGGTTCAGTATCACACAATCTGCAGGATGACAGACATTTCAAAACTCCTAAATGGAGCTCACCAAACCGCCTTTGCAGTATAGTTGGCCAAAATCACACAGGTCTCTAAATCTCTTAAATAGTAGGAGGTTCCTGCCATATATTTTAATGTTTTATTTTTGGGCCACCAAGCACATTTTGGGTGCATGGAGTTCCAGGTTTCAGGACTTTTAACATCTTTAGTGATGGATGGAAGTGCGCTACACCAGATGGTTCAGGTGTGCAACTTGGGGTGGAATAGGGCAGGGCTTTTCAACCAGTGGTACGGGTACCACCTGTGGTACATTGGCACCTGGCAGGTGGTACGTGACCATCTCAGAAAAGTGGTAGTGGGGGAAGGGAATGAGTTGAACCAGTGGCAGCACCGCATAAGCCTGAGCGAGAGATGGCTGGAGCTGCAGGGCTGTCAGGGCTCAGCGGAAGCACCAGGATCAGCGCCAGGCTCCAGCTGGAACTCGGCGCTGATCCTGGTGTTCTGCTGAGCCCCGAAGAAGCACCAATCAGCTGGAATGTTGCAGCATTTCCAGGGTCTTGTGATTTACATTCAGATGCTTGGCAACTGATTCATATTTATGACGGTCACAGTGTCCCAGGGTCATGTGAAATGACCAAAACTGCTGCAACCACCCAGCAGACAGAGGGAATAAAAACCAGATACCCTCCACCCCACCCCCGCTGCCAATCCTCAACAGAAATGCTCACAACAATGAAAACCTCGGACAGGAGGAAGGGGACCGCCAGATGGGCAGGCAGGCGTCTTGCTCGGCTGTGGCTTGGGGGCCACTTTTTTCAGTGCCATTGTAACTTTGAACAGTCACTAAGCGAACTGTTGTAAGTCAAGGACTACCTGTACTTCATCACTTTTTTCCTTTTTTTTCTTTTTGGTCATCAGGTTTTTGACACCTTGCTAGGCGACTGTTGGTATTCGGATATTGCCATATCCTAAAAGTGGTACAAAGGGTGAAAAGGTTGAAAAGCCCTGGAATAGGGTGTCTGGACTTGTGACTCCTGCTCAATGAATGGCTAGGAGAGCCTTTGTGCAATTTTGTGTTGTGCCATGTTGCCATGTTTCCTGGATCAGGAGTCCCTGACCTCATTCATTGAAGTCCTGGTCATCTCCAGTTGGACTACTGCAATGCGTTCTGCACAAGGCTACCCTTCTAGAATTATCCAGAAACTTCATCTGGTACAGAAGGCAGCCGTGTGGGCAATTTTTGAGGCCCCGATGGTGGCCCATGTTACACTGCCATTCCGTATGTAATGGATGGAAACTAATCAAGGAGAGAAGCAACCTAGAACTAAGGAGAAATTTCCTGACAGTTAGAACAATTAACTGGTGGAACAACTTGCCTCCGGAAGCAGTGAACGCTCCAACACTGGAAGTTTTTAAGAAGAGATTGGGACAGCCATTTGTCTGAAATGGTCCCTGAGCAGGGAGTTGGACTAGAAGACCTCCAAGGACCCTTCCAACTCTTGTTATTCTGTTCTGTTCTGTGAGCTGCACTGGTTGCCATTTTGCTTCCAGGTTCAATTCACAGTTTTGTTGATCAATTGTGAAGCACTTGATAGCATGGCATTATTTGAGAAACCATCTCATCCCGCTGGGATTAAACTGCCCCACCCAGGCCAGAAGAGGCATGCTGCAGGCTGCATTGGTCAAGGAATTTCAGCTGGCGCGGTCCAGGGGACAGGTATTTTCTGCCTTGACGCCCACCCCCTGAAACATCATGCCTCTCGAAGTGAGATCCACAGCCATCTTCTGGGACTTCCAAAAGGGCTTGAAAGAGCCAACTCTGCCAACTGGCTTGGGGTCCAAATGGGGAAGCCACAACTTGGAGGTGGTTAATGGATTAGAGTCAGATTCCACGTCCTCCCCATATGCCCTTTGCTCCCTCCTTCCATTTTGCTTAATTGACATTTTAATGACATTTTAAATTTATGGTTTTATTTATTGTTTTAAGTGTTTCCGTGGCATTTTATGGTAAGGCGCCCAGAGTTGTCTCAGTGAGATAGTTTATAAAATAAATAAATAAATAAAATATTTGTGCCTCGATTTGACATTTGCTATAGTGCTTAATAAATGACTCTCTCTTTTTGCTTTCATGTGTGTGTGTGTGTGTGTGTGTGTGTGTGTGTGTGTGTGTGTGTGTATGTATGTGTGTGTATTTCCTTGTACTCAAGTGTTGGGAGAGAAGAATGCTATTGGGTACTTGTTAGCGAAATCCCAAATGAGATATATGTTTGTTGCCTAATCAGACTGTTATTAGTTGCTAGCTTTATCCTCAAGGAGGCAAAGAGGAAGAGTAAAAGGAAAGTTCTTTGAAGTCCTTGAGAATATAACTACCACCACCCTGACTACACAACTAACAAGAATTTCCTTTGGGGTTTCACAAACAATTACAAAAAAAAGTGAGTCATGTTTTGGCTACGACAAAACTTAAATAACTATAACAGAATAACAGAATTGGAAGGAATCTTGGAGTCCATGGAGATTCTCAGTGATCCAAGTCATAGTTGTGCCAAAGATGCTTTTTCACGAGGCAACTGGACTTCCTTATTGTTCTTTGAAGACGTTTTGCTTCTTGGATGAGAAGCGAAACATCTTCAAAGAAAAACATGAAAACCCAATTGCCTCGTGAAAAAACATCTTTGGGACAAGGGACCTTGGAGGTCATCTAGTCCAACCCCTTGCTCAGGCAGGAAACCCTATACCACAGGTCAGCAACCTGCGGCTCCGGAGCCGCATGCGGCTCTTTGAGCCTCCCCTTTGGCTCCCAGCCTCCTCTGCCTTTGCACAGAGAGACAGAGACAAAGAGAGGCAATTGTGCTTCCCTGCTTCTCTCTCTCTCTCTCTCTCTCTCTCTCTCTCTCTCTCTCTCTCTCTCTCTCTCTCTCTCTCTCTCTGTGTGTGTGTCTGTGTGTCTGTGTGTGTATGTGTAAAAGAGAGTGCACTCACAGTGTTCTCCAAGGAGCTGAAAAGCTTATTGGGCGGAGCTCCTCCCTTTGCTGCGTCTCTGCAGGAAGCAGGAAGGGCAAGAGAGCTAGCTAGCCCAGCTAGGCTGACTCAGGAATTCTGGGAGTTGAAGTCCATGAGTCATAAAAGAGACGAGGTTGCCTACCCCTGAGCTTGTTGGACAACAGCTTGAAGCTTGCCAGGTGAGCAGCAGATAGGAGAGGGGGAGAGAGAGAGAGAGGAAAGAAAGAGAGAGAAAGAAAGTGGGGGAAGAGGAGTGGCAGACCAAGGGCAGATAGAGAGGGAGGGAAAGAGAGAGACAGAGAGAGACCCTTTTGACATCTAAAATGAAGATAACACTGCATATATTATTTTTTTACGTGTGTGTGTGTATACACACACACACACACACACACACATATATACACACACACACACACACACACCTATAATAAAGGTAAAAAAGGATATATGCAGTGTTATCTTCATTTTAGATATCAAAAGGGTTTTGCGGCTCCCGGTGTTTTGTTTTTGGTGGGAAACGGGTCCAAGTGGCTCTTTGAGTGTTTTGCGTTGCCTATCCCTGCCCTATACCATTTCAGACAAATGGCTGTCCAGTCTCTTCTTGAAAACTTAGTGTTGGAGCATTCATTGCTTCTGGAGGCAGGTTGTTCCACCACTGGTTAATTGTTCTAACTGTCAGAAAATGTGAGAAAAATAAGAGATGTTTAAAGGACCCTATAAAAACCACATGTTTGGTTGGAATCACCTCATGATTTTTCTCGCTTCTTGCAAGACAAGCCATATGTCTAAATAAATGTTGTTTTAATAGTATTTGTGTATATATGACTATGTTCTGTGTTATTTCCAAGACTTGGAAGAGAGTAAAAGCCCTCTCTGATAACAGCAAACAAAAAAGCCTTATTTAAAAATAAATGGTTTGCCCGGTGAAAGTGTGAAATGAAATATTAGTATGTGAAATAGTTTTTGCAAGCAGTTAGGATGGAGGTGAATGAATTAATTGCTGATATGTAAATGTGTGTGTGTTAGCCCTCAACACCCCCCCTCCCAGGCTGTGAAAGAAACAGTAAACTGCAGATTTTGTTGTTGTAAAAGTAAGTGGAAGAGCAATAGCAAGTGTTTGCATGAGAAGAGTCCCATGGAGGATGTGTGCAAGAATTTATGGAAAATGCATGTGAAGGAGAGAAAACTATTTTTAGTGGTGAGATTTTTGTAAAATTTCTTTTTTTTCTCCTGTCTCTTCCCTCCCCCCCCTTTGCTTTAAGAGCGAGAGAGGCAAAAAAAAGAGGGTGGGGGCTGCTCATTTTAGCTTTTTTTTCTCTCTGCTTAGAATTCTGATTTGTGGAAGGCGTGTGGATGTGAAATTTAATGCCCCCTTTTGCAGTTTCAGCTTGCAATATTTTTTTTTTTTTTTGAAAGAGGAGACAGTAATTGTTGGACAATCTTTTGGGGAAAGTTCTGAATTTTAAATTGTTTAGATCAGGGGTCAGCCATCTTAAACACTCAAAGAGCCATTTGGATCCATTTCCCACAGAAAAGAAAACACTGGGAACCACAAAACCCTTTTGACATCTAAAATGAAGATAACACTGCACATATCTTTTTTACTTTGTATTATGTATTAAAAAACTATAGTGTGTTGCATTTATGAAATCAATGAACTGCTACAAAGAAAACTAATTTTTATTTCTGCATGCAACAAAAACATTTTAAACTCCAAAAAAAAGACGCTGGGTCAAAGGTTACTTTCAAATAAAATACTCAATGTCTATTTGAGTCCTCCTCATATTTATGAAATAAAAAGCTGGTGCAAACTGTAAAAACTACAAATAGAAAAATAGAAAACAAAAAAAAAATTGCAGGGGAGGGGGGGAGAAAAGGACAGGAGAAAGAGGGGAAAAAAAACCTTTCTCCTTCATCCCAACAGGGAAAAACAATTTTAGTAGCTTATTTACTATCTTTAAATAAATACAGCATAATTATCCCCATACCTCATCTCTTAATTTAAAAAAAATCAAAATATTTCATTAAACATTCTTTACTAAAAGTCCAGTGAGGACAACCACATATATATTCTCTCTCTCCCTCCCTCCCTCCCCTTCCCTCCCTCTGTCCCTTTCTCTCTACCTCTCCCTCCCTCCACGTGATACCCCGTGCCCCAATAGTCCCCAACCCAGCCACCATCATCACTGAAGTTCCATCCTTAGCTATATACTTTACCGTCATAGATCTCCGTTGTTAAGTGAGCCATTTGTTAAGTGAATTCTGCCCCATTATACCACCTTTCTTGCCATGGTTGTTACGTGAATCACTGCAGTCCATAAGCTAATAACCCAGCGGTTAAGTGAATCTGGCTTCCCCCATTGACTTTGCTTGTCAGAAGGCTGCAAATGAGGATCACCTGACCTTGGCACACAGCAACGGTCATAAATAGGAGCCAGCTGCACAGCTTCTGAATTTTGATCCCGCGATCATGGGGGCATCAGCAAAGGCAGTAAGTGTGAAAAACAACGGTCATCGGTCACACGTTTCAGTGCCGTTGTAACTTTGAACGGTCACTAAATGAACCGTGATAAGTCGACGACTCCCTGTATTCTGTTACTGAAATGAAGAGAAACAAGAAAAGGGGCGGGCACTCGTCCACCCACTTAACCTCAGGCAGTTTTCAAGGACTGGGCCAACTGAAAGCGGGGACGGCAGCAGCAACAGCAACAGCAGCTCCCTCCTGTTTCCAGCAGCCTTGTCGTCACTTCCGCCCAATACACAGGGGCGATGAAGGCTGGCCGCGGCTTCGCGCCGGGGTCGCCTCCGCGGGACGGTTCGGGCTCTGCCCGGAGGAGCCCCTTCCTTTGGGCGCTGCTCTGCCTCGGGCTGTGGCGGTGGCAGGTCTCCGGAATGGCCACTCCGGACCAGGTAACGCTGGCAGTCGCTCTAACCGGGGACAACTGCCTCCTCTCGCCGGGAGCGCCGCTGGGATCAGCTGAACGAAGAAGCCCCCCTGCGGGTGTCTTCCTTCAGTCGCTTCCCGGATGCCTCCTGCGTGGGGGAGAAGGAGCGGGAGCTGGGAGCAGACCGGGGAGAGGGCCTGCCCGGAGGAGCACAGAAGCCGGGTACCTTTGCTAGCTGCAAATGGACCGGAGGAGTCTGGAGATCGCCCGGCTAGCGATTCCCACGACTGGGATGATGACTCACAATAGCAGGCTGTGGAAGTGTAAAACGGGTGGCTTCGCTGCTCGGATTGTTGATTCACACGCGCGCGCCTCTCTTCGGGGCCGGTGTTTGTCCCAGCCGGCGTAGAACCTCATCGGAGTTGGCAGGGACCCTGGAGGTCTTCTAGTCCAACCCGTGCTCCAGCAGGAGACCCTGTCTCATTTCAGACAGATGACTACAATGTTGGAGAACCCACAACTTTTGAAGGCAAGCCGTTCCCCTGGTTGACTGTTCTCACTGTCAGGAAATATCTCCTTAGTTTCTAGGCTGCTTCTCTCCTTGATCCGTTTCTATCCATTGTTTCTCATCTTGCCCTCTGGCGCTTTGGAAAATAGGTTGACCCTCTCTTCTTTGTGGCAGCCCCTCAAATACTGGAACACTGCTATCATGTTTTTACTAAACTGGACATTATATCCAATTTTTGCAACCGTTCTTCATATGTTTTAGCTTCCAGCTCCCTAAGTTATCTTTGTTGCTGCTCTTGGCACTCTTTCCAGAGCCTCTACATCTTTTTTACATCTTTTAAATATATTTTATATATTTATTTTTATGTATTTTAAATATTTATTTTAAATATATTTTATATATTTTATAACTTCTCTGGATGGATTTAGGATCCCACAGAGAGAATGGCTTGATGTTTAAACAATGTTCAATGGCTGTTGTGGCAACTGCCTGAACGAGTCCTTGCAGTTTTCGTGGTGAGTTTTTGGAAGTGGTTTGCCCCCTTTGTTGCTTTGTCCTAGGACTGAGCAAGAGGGACTGGCCTAGGGTCACCCAGTTGGCATTGTGACAAAGGCAGGACTAGAACTCGTGAATCTCCCAGTTTCTAGCCTGGCGCCTTCACCGCTACTGGTCAGTTTCTTTCCTACTTGTAATCCTTCAACCAGGTCTGATGTGATTATTTAAAAAAAAGAAACAAACAAGGAGCCTGCTGGCATCTTTCCCAACCAGCACATTTTATTAAGTAAGATTTCAGCTCACTTTGTCAGAAAGGCTACTGGATTGATAGAGGATTGAAATTGAGGTGAGATGGAAAGTAGATTCTCCTTACTGTCTTGGTGACCATATTGATGTTTTATGGAAGAGAATAGAATTCTTTATTGGCTAAGTGTGGTTGGACACACAAGGAATTTGTTTCGGGTGCATAAACTCTCAGTGTACATACAGTGTACACCATGATCATGTACAACATGAAAATACATTCATCATAAACCGTGAAATATTTTTTTCATAAATCATAAGATGCAACACTTACTAGCTAAGCAAACAACATAAATCATACTAGGATACAAAAAAAACCACCATATAAATTGTAAGATACAAGCAGCAAAGTTATAGTCATAAGAAGATACGGATAGGTCAGGAGTAGGCGACCTTGGCTCTTTTATGACTCGTGGACTTCAACTCCCAGAATTCCCGAGCCAGCCATGCTGAGGGGAAAGGGAGAGGTTTCGAAGCTGAGCCATGCTGGCTCAGGAATTCTGGAAGTTGAAGTCCATGAGTCATAAAAGAGCCAAGGTTGCCTACCCCTGGGATAGGTAATAGGAAAGTTGAGGAATATCATAGTAATACAGCTTTACTACTATTTGGGCAGTATTGTGGGAATAAGTTGTTAAGCAGAGTGATGGCATGAGGAAAAAAAACTATCCTTATGTCTAGTCGTTCTGGTGTGCAATGCCCTATAGCAGGGGTCTCCAATCTTGGCAACTTTAAGACCTGTGGACTTCAACTCCCAGATTGCCCAGCCAGCAGATCTTAAAGTTGCCAAGGTTGAAGACCCCTGCCCTTTAGCGTCATCTTGAGGGAAGAAGTTGAAATAGTTTATGTCCAGGATGTGAGGGGTCTGTAGATATTTTCACAGCCCTCTTTCTTGCTCGTGCAGTATACAGGTTCTCAATATTTTGATTATTTTGATGATGATGATGATGATGATGATGATGATATTCTCCTGCCTTTTAAAATATATTTATAACTCAAGGCAGGAAACATATGTAATTCTTAGAATCTTCTATTTTCCCCACAACAGCAACCTTGTGAGGTGGATTGGGCTGAAAGAGAGTGATTGGGCCAGAGGTGTTATATTCAGTATTTGTCCACTAAAATTTCTTAATGAGAGAAGGAGGGAGCCCTTCCCACCCCCCACTAATACTAGAATGCCAGAGTGGTTTTGTGCTCAGCTGCTTACAAAGGGACCCTGATTATCAGGGCTCCTTTGAGTATGTGCGTAGTACTATTCGGGGATTATTTGATGGTTTTTTTCTGCCTTTTTTACATATATCTCAAGGTAGTGAGCATATCTACTACTCCTGCCTGTTGCTTTCCCCACAATAACCCTGTGAGGTGGGTTGGGCTGAGAAAGAAGGACTGGCTCAAAGTTCCCCAGCTGACTTTCCTACCAAAAAGAGACCTGGGACTCAAAAAAACCCAGCTCCTTCGCCACTATACCAAACTGGGTCTCCAAAACCAACAATATTGTATTTATTGTTTTAAAGGGGGCTAGCTGCCCAGATTCACATTTCAAAATGGTTAGCAATACAACTCTATTAAATAAAAGGAACTGAAATTGGTTACATCTGAGACAAATTGCATTCAAGGAAAAGATGCTATCAGATTCCCTCTGTTTTTTTTGGGGGGGGGCTACTGTAGATTTGAGACAACTCTTTCCTGGGGTTATTGTAAATAATTAAATTAGTAAAGATAATGAGTACAGACTTTGCTGATGGTAGCTGAGAGACTCATCCTAATCCGGGCATAATTAGGGTTTATGTGTAGGAAAACAGAAAGTTCTCATACTGACAGCTTCTGAGCTTGTGAGGGAATGTCATGTTCAGAATTATTAGGTTAATAGGTTAATTAGGTTAAGGCAGTGATGGCAAGTCCAAGTGCCAAAACTGCAACCCCAAACCGACTTATGGATTGTCGGGTGCCGCGTGGGTGTGTCCCATTGGGTGGGTGTGGCTGCAATGGTAACGGCAGACTGGGTGGGACTAAAAAGTTCAATCAATCAATTCCCACTTTGCAAGATCTTTTTTTCCCCCTGAGAAGTTGAAATTGACTGATTGATTGAACCTTTTTTTTTTTTTTTTGCGGAGGCCTAAAGTGAAAAGGTTTTATAAAACCCAGCTGAAGGCTTAGGACTGGGGCGATGGCGCGTGTGCCCACAGAGGGCTCTGAGTGCCGCCTATGGCACCCGTGCCATAGGTTCGCCACCACTGGGTTAAGGATTATAAAGCAAAGTTTCACTGGCAAATCAGTTCAAAAAATAAATTATGAACATTACAGTCCCAACACATCTAGAGGACACCAGGTTCAGGATGCCTATTCTAGGAAATTTATTTATTAAATGTCTCCGACTGCACAATTCATTGATGATACAGGTGGCTGTCAACTTACGACTCGTCATTTAGCAACCATCCAGAGTTACAATGGTCCCCCCAGAGCGACTTACAACCTTGTTCTGCAGTCATATGATTGAAATTTGGGTGCTCAGTAACCGTCTTGAATTTACAGCTCTTTGCAGTGTCCTGCATTCACATTCTCAATTAAATTCTAATTAAGTCAAGGACTTTCTGTAATTAGCAAGCTTGCTCACATAAGTCGAGGTAGTCCTCGACTTACAACAGTTTGTTTAGTGACCATTCAAAGTTACAGTGGTCCTGAAAAAGGTGACTTACGACCATTTGTCACATGACGACTGCAGTATCCCCATGGTCATGTGATCAAAATTCATATTTATGACAGTTGCCGTGTCCTGGAGTCAAATGATCCCCTTTTGCGGGCTTCTGAGAAGCAAAGTCAATGGGGGAGCAAGATTCACTTAATAACTGGATTATTAACTTAACAACTGCAGTGATTCACTTAACAACTATGCCCAGAAAGGTCATAAAAGAGCCAAAACTCACTTAATATCTGTCTCGCTTAGCAACAGAAATTTTGGAGTCAATTGTAATTGTAAGTCAAGAACTACCTGCTTGATATCCCTTTTTGAGTTAACCAGACTAGGCGTATATGTCATTTCTCTTGCAAAACATTTTACATTTTTTTTCTGTGCTGTGCCTTGCAACTCCTGCTGGGCTTATTTATTTCCCCATCACATTTTTTTTTTACTCATTGGTAAGTTCCTTCTTGACCTGTGTTCTGTTCTCTGTACCTTTTGCCCCTGTTTTCCATCCATCCTTGGGTGGACAGAAAAATAGACCGGCATACTTGTCCCTGTCTCTTTATCAGGCCCTGGTTTGTCTGTGATGCTGCTGTCACAGTTTTGACACAGGATAAAGTTAAGGGGAAGAGCTCACTTTGAAATAACTGAACTCTCCCGCTTCCAAAAATAGAATAGTTTTGAATAGTGATGCTTACAGCCCAAAGGAAAGGTGCATAACCACCAAGGCTTAAAAATATGGGGTTTGATCAGATCTCAACCCTGATTATATCAATGAGACACTGTAATATGTAGTATTTGTACACTAAAATCTCTGAATGGGAGAAGAAGGGGGGGGGAAACCACTAACACAGTGGTTCTCAACCTTTTTAATGCCGCGACCCCAACCGGTCGTAAGTCAAGGACTACTCAACCGGTCGTAAGTCAAGGACTACTCAACTGGTGCAGCACCGTTTGCAGAATGGGGCTTTTGGCAGGCTCAGCAGGGCAGAGACAGCCTGGACAATTCCTATTGGCTTTTGAAAGCCAATAGAATTAGACTCTATTCAAGAGAGTCTATTCTATTGGCTTTCAAAAGCCAATAGAATAAAAGGGAGTAGCACAGCTAAGGAAAAGGGTTAAAAATGGTGGACTGCGTTATTTGGCGACCCCCGTGAAATGGTCGTTCAACCCCAAATGGAGTCCCGACCCACAGGTTGAGAACCACTGCACTAACACCAGAATAGAAGCAATTTGGTATAGTAGGTTAAGGCATCAGGCTAAAGATGGAGAGACTGTGAGTTCTAGTCTGCCTTGGGCATGAAGCCAGTGGGTTACCTTGGCCAGTCCCTCTCCCTCAGCCCTAGAAAGGAGGCAATGGCAAACCAATTCTGAAAAACCTTGCCAAGAAAACCGCAGGGATTTGTCTAGGCCAGTGTTTCTCAACCTTGACAATTTTAAGGCATGTGGACTTCAACTCCCAGAATTCCACAGCCAGCCAATGCTGGCTGTGGAATTCTGGGAGTTGAAGTCCACATGCCTTAAAATTGTCAAGGTTGAGAAACACTGGTCTAGGCCAAGGTTGCCTACCCCTGGTGGGCAGTCTCCTAGAATCAGAGACAATAGAACGGATGGGGAAAAAAATAAGACAGCCCAAAACTGGTTTTGTGTGAAGATCTTGCATGGATGCTTTCAAAGGGAATTTGACTATCAGCTGATAGTAGGCGTCCTTTGGGTATGGGTGTAGTGCTATTCAAGGATAATTTTAATAATATTATCAGATTTTTGTCTTGGTGAGAAAGAGGGATTGGCTTAAAGTCTCCCAGCCAGCTTTTGTGCCAAAGGGAGTCTGATCTCAGCCTAGATAATATGGGGAAAAGATAGGATTCGTGCATTGTGCTAATCCAAGAAGCGATTGGTTTAGTTTAAGTTTACAACTACACGTATCACTCTCTTTTGTAAACCGTGATTTTATTAAAGTATAGTTACATGTGATAGTGTTAAGGCAGAGGGCTGCCTCTCGTCTTTGAGTGGTGGTGTAGGGTTGCAATTCAAGATGAAAGCTAGGCTAAAATATTAAAACAACCAGTTTAGTTTAGTGATTAAAGTACTGGCCCAGAAACCAGGAAGTCTGTGAGTTTTATTTCATTCAATGCCTGAAAATGGCTGGCAGCCCAACTCACCTCAGGATTGTTGTGAGGAAAAGAGGAGGAAGGAATGTCAGTATGTTTGCCGCCTTTGGTTGTATATGAAAAGACAAGATAAAAATCTAAAGAGTTGTTAATTAAAGAAAAATAATTATATATTTATAATTTATATAATTATATTATCCCAACAATGGTTGGAAACTGATCAAAGAGAGAAGTAACCTGGAATTAAGGAGAAACTTCCTGACAGTGAGGACAATTAATTAGTGCAGTGTTTCTCAACCTTGACAATTTTAAGGCATGTGGACCAACTCCCAGAATTCCACAACCAGCAATGCTGGCTGTGGAATTCTGGGAGTTGAAGTCCACATGCCTTAAAATTGTCAAGGTTGAGAAACAGTGAATTAGTGGAACAGTTTTGCCTCCAGGAATTGTGGGCGTTCCATCACTGGAGGTTTTTAGGAAAAGACTGAACAACCACCTGTCTAAGATGGTATAGGATAGGTTCTCCTGCTTGAGCAGGGGGCTGGACTAGAAGACCTCCAAGGTCCCTTCCAGATTCTATTCTATTCTATTCTATTCTATTCTATTCTTATATAGCTGAGAGCCAGTTAGCTGTAAAAGACAGTGAACTCTGAGTTCTAGTCTTCCCTTAGACATGAAGCCAGCTAGGTGATCTTGGGCCAGTCCCTTTCTCTCAGCCCCAGGAAGGAAAAATGTGCTAGGCACTTCCAAGCTGGGAATTTATCCATGTAGTCACCAGGAGTCAAGATAGATTTGAAGGCACAGGAAAAAAAATGCTGAACAGGTAATCTTCAGCTTACAACCAAAATTGAGCCTGGAATTTTGGTCATAAGTTGTTGTGTCTGTAAGTCAAGTCACCACGTGATCAGGGTCATTTTTACAATGGTCATTAAATGCGATATCATGGCTTTCATGCAAATCACATGGCCATAAGTCCAAATCCAGTTTATCCAGTGGGTGGGGTTTTTTCCCAGAAAACGGCAAAAAAGTCACACGATGCGATCATGTGACCTCAGGATTCTACAACCTGTTGTAAATGTGAGCCAATTGCCAAGCGCTGGAAATGTGATGATATGACTGCAGGGACGGTGCGGCAGTCCTAACTGTAAGGACGGGTCATAAGTAACTGGTTTTTGTGTCCATTGTAACTTTGGCCTTTAGGCAACTGGTTCGGAAATCAAGGATTACTTGTAATTTACATATTCAATCATTTCCCCTTCTATTAACAATAACAGTTATAAATTGATTATTACTTTGGAGGAGCTGCTGGCTGCCCCTAAAACTTTGGAGGGCATAATATTATCTTCGGAGGCCACGTGCACCCCAGTTTACTTTTAAAAAACCATAGTTAATGTTTGTTTGGGGGGGTGTATAAAAATCTATATTTTTAACTTCAAACTCATGATAGAACTAGATGAGATTTAACGTCACCGTGAGTCAAGAAACATTCTGCTGTTGCAAAATGATTCATCTACACTTCTGATCACATGCCTGGCAGATAACAGGAAATGTCAGGGGTCTGTAAGAAGAAGTGGAAATGTGTTTGATGGTTTCGTCAGCTTTATAATATTCCATATCACACTTTTTCTCCATGGAACTCAGCATTTGACTCCCCTTTTCTTTTATGAAACCTGAAATTATCAGAATATTGGATTTGCTTTGTTATATATACTGTTCCACTACCTTGAGTAGTTTCTTTCTTTTTTTTTCTTTCTTTTTTTGTGATTTCTAAATATGCTTAGTTCTGATGGGGATTTTTTTTTTCCTTGGGGCTTTCGGAGGAAAAAATGGGAGACTGAAAAGCAGAACTAATGATTGTGGTGAATAATAAAGAGCCGTTGAGTAAACCAGCTCTTCAGAACTTTTGTGGTAAAGGAGAGGACGGGAGATTGCCCACATGAGCTCTAAACAGTTGTTGCTTACAAGGAGATCAGAAGACAGTTAGTTGTCCCTGCTGGGTTTTGAGTACTGGGAAATAATGGAAATAACTGTCTTGCTCATAACCACAGTCGATGCCTTTTAAAAGACATTATGTTCATAAACTTCCCTTTTTAATCACGTTTAGAAATTGCTTGTTAACTATTTTTAAGACATCAGAGACCTAAAAATACACCGTAATTAATTGGGAATATAAAATGACACAAACTATTTGAACATTGAAAACACCAAAGGACATTTGGAGAAATAGATCCAGAAGTTAGTGTAATATCAATGTCAATGTTTGCTTCTATGCTTAGACATGGTCCAAAAAATGTTACAAAAAAAACGGCAAACGAGGCACAAGTTTTTATTTGGCAAGACAGAAACCAAAAGTGAGGCTGCAAATAATTACAAGAATGACATGAAAAAGGATGACTCTCTGTACCTACTGGCTGAAGAAACTGGCTGATGCTTTAAAAATCAAAAGAGAAATACACATAATAAACCAAAAGAGTGACCTGGATTTTTTTTTTTTTATTGGATTTACAAAAGAGGCTTGTTAATTTTTTTTTTTTTTTTTAGAATCTTGTGAGAAGAATCAAGAAAAGAAATCAAATTCTATAGCATCGTTTGAATGGACTAAAGCAGGGGTTTCATCATACCGGAGCCACGCCCACCCCATTGCCGGCAATGGCAAAAAAGCTCCCATACGTTGCGTGATGTCACGTGACGTCGCGAGTTGGACATGTCTGGACTAAAGATTAAGACTGTTAAAAGTAAAAGGAAGGAATATAACATTGGTTTCTTTGATCAAGTTTAAATTAAGATATGTTGCTATTTCAGGCTAGCCTTATTTGGACTTTCTGCTAGAACTGAAAAGATGATGCGTTATGGATGTGACTATACATAAAAAATGGGTCAGATAAAGAATTAAAAGACGGTGAAGCATTACAAAAACCTTTTATATTTGTTATGATGAAGGTTGGAAGTAATTTATGTATTTTCTTTCTCTTAATTATATTCTTGCTTTTCTTTCTTTTTTTCTCCATTTTCTGCGCTTTTTTCGTTTTCTCTTTTTTCTATATCTTTGTATTTTCACTTTTACTTTCTTTTTATTTGTTGTTGCTCTCTTACACATTTTTTGTGAAGTTCTTCCCTCAACTTCAAGATTCTGACAACTAATTCCTTCTTGGTATTCAGTGTTTCTATTTCAGTTCTGTTTTTATCCCATTTTTTCACTCTTAAGGAAGTCTCATTGCATTCAACCACACTATAACCCTAAGAATACAGCTATGCAGTTGAAGAGTGTTAGCTTGTTTCTTACTTGTTTTTATTGTGTTTCAGGATTTGGGTCCAAAGGGGAACAGACTTAATTTGGTGCAAAGGATTAGTCCATTAGTGGGAGAAAGTGGCAAGAAGGTGACAAGCAACAGGGAGAAAGCAGAACTTATTTTTTGCACCCGTCTTTACACAAAGGGAAAAAACAGTCCAACCTATCAAAAACAGTACCGTAAAAAACAGATTAGAAACACAATTTAAGATAGGCAAGAAAATGGTAAGCAAGTATTTGTCTACCTTAGATGAATTCAAATGACCAGGACCAGATGGACTAGACCCCAAGTTTCTGAAAGAACTGGCAGATGTGATCTCAGAACCACTGAACTATATCTTTCAAAGATCACCGTGGAGCACCAGGGGAACTACCAGAGGACTGGAAAAGAGCTGATGTAGTTCCCATCTTCAAAAAAAAAGGGGGGGGGGAATGGATCTAGGAAACTATACACCTATCAGCCTGACTTAAATACCTGGGAAGATTCTGGAAAAAATAATCAAGCAACGAATCAGCAAACACTTAGAGGCAAACAAAGTCATAACCAAAAGCCAACATGGGTGTGTCAAAAACAGAGCATGCAAGACCAATCTTATTGCATTATTTGACAAGTTAACAAAATTAGTGGACCAGAGGAATGCTGTGGATATAATTTACTTGGACTTCAGTAAGGCATTTGATAAAATAAACCACAACCTACTACTTGATGATCTTCCCTGGTTTATCTTGGCAGGTGAAACCCCGCATCGTCATGGAGCAATTGCTGTGGGTCAGCGGTGGTGCAATCGGGGAGGTGGACACGTTCAGGATCCCTCTCATCACTGCGACGCCTTACGGCACCCTGTTGGCCTTTTCGGAAGCCAGGAAGACTTCTTCTTCTGACATTGGAGCTAAATTCATAGCCTTTCGCAGATCGATAGACAAAGGTTTGTGAGGCTAAGAAGTAGGAGGGAATGGAATGGACTGTGGTAGAAGTCTAGGGGTGTTGGCAGATGCCTGCAGAGAAGCAACTAGAGGTATAATTCTTGGGGATGGTCCTGATTTCATCTAGAACAGTGGTTCTCAACCTGTGGGTCGGGACCCCATTTGGGGTCGAACGACCATTTCACGGGGGTCGCCAAACAACGCAGTCCGCCATTTTTTTCCCCCTTTTCCTTAGCTGTGCTACTCCCTTTTATTCTATTGGCTTTTGAAAGCCAATAGAATAGACTCTCTTGAATAGAGTCTAATTCTATTGGCTTTCAAAAGCCAATAGGAATTGTCCAGGCTGTCTCTGCCCTGCTGAGCCCGCCAAAAGTCCCATTCTGCAAACAGTGCTGCACCAGTTGAGTAGTCCTCGACTTACGACTGGTTGAGTAGTCCTTGACTACAACCGGTTGGGGGTCGCGGCATTAAAAAGGTTGAGAACCACTGATCTAGAGTCATAGAATCACAGGGCTGGAAGGGACCTTCGAGGTCTTCTGGTCCAACCCCCTGCTCCGTTTAAAACAGTGATTCTCAACCTTGTCAACTTTAAGCCGTGTGGACTTCAACTCCCAGTATTTCTCAGCCAGAAAGCTTAAAGTTGAAAAGGTTGGAGAAATGTTGGTGTACAAGGTTTCCAACCACATTCTGTGTTTATGGAATTTACAACCAGCTTTTCAGTCATGAGTCCATAATGTGGGTGCCTCCGAATGTTGTAGAACTACATCTCCCAGGTACATCCACCTTCCCGTTATTACTGAAGCGGAGTGGCTCTATTGGAAGAAGCCTGGGTGTAAATTGGGAAGATCGCCTTAATAATTATATTAAGTCATAAGTCATAAACCTTTTTTAGTTGCTAAATCAGGGTTCTTCAAACTTGGCCCTTTTATGACTTGTGGACTTCGTCTCCCAGAATTCCTCAGCTAAGGAATTCTGGGAGTTGAAGTCCACAAATCATAAAAGGGCCAAGTTTGAAGACCCCTGTGCTAAACAAATGGTTGTAAGTCAAGGACTGTCTATCATTACATTATACTACTCTGACTTTGACTTGAATAAAATTGTAGGGTGTTGGGGTGAAGCTTATTGGTCTGTTCAACATTTCTTCCCTTTCCCCCAACCCCCAGTTCCTCTTTCCAGTATAATTCAGACCCTGAGTAGAAATATAGGTAATCCTCGACTTATGACTGCAAATGAGCCCAGAATTTCCACTGCTAAGCAAGAGAGTTGTTAAGTGAGGTTTGCCTCATTTTACAACCTTTCTAGCCACAGTTTTTAAGTGAATCATCACAGTTGTTCAGTTAGTAACAGGGTTGTAAAGTGAATCTGGCATCCCCATTGATTTTGCTTGTCTGAAGGTCACAAAAGGTGATCACATGATCCCGGGGCACTGCAACCATCATAAATACAGGACCAGTTGCCAAGCATCCAAATTCTGATCATGTGACCAGGGAGATGCTGCAATGGTCGTCAGTGTGAAAAGCGGTCATAAGTCACCTCAGTTCCATTGTAACTTCGAACAGTCACTAGAGCAGTGGTTCTCAACCTGTGGGTCGGGACCCCATTTGGGGTCGAACGACCATTTCACGGGGGTCGCCAAGCAACGGAGTCCGCCATTTTTTCCCCCCCTTTTCCTTAGCTGTGCTACTCCCTTTTATTCTATTGGCTTTTGAAAGCCAATAGAATAGACTCTCTTGAAGAGAGTCTAATTCTATTGGCTTTCAAAAGCCAATAGAAATTGTCCAGGCTGTCTCTGCCCTGCTGAGCCTGCCAAAAGCCCCATTCTGCAAACGGTGCTGCACCAGTTGAGTAGTTCTCGACTTACGACCGGTTGAGTAGTCCTCGACTTACGACCGGTTGGGGGTCGCGGCATTAAAAAGGTTGAGAACCACTGCACTAGACAAATGGTTATAACTCGAGGATACCTGCAATCCAAGAGGAGGATGGTATCAGATTGAAAAAGCCTGGCCTGTGTATAGCAGAGAAATGTAATCCATGATCTGCCTGTCCTTCCAGGTGCCAACTGGAGTCCAACTTCGTTCATAGTTGATGATGGTTCCCTCATAGATGGTCTCAACCTTGGAGCTGTGGTGGTAGATTGGGAAAAGGACATGGTGTTCTTGATATATACTCTCTGTGCACACTACCAAGGATGCTCCACCTCCAGTGTCATGATAATTCGCAGCTTGGATGATGGGATCACGTGGAGTCGTCCCCGGAACCTCTCTGAGGAAGTTGGCACAACCATGTTTGCCCCCGGACCAGGCTATGGCATCCAGGTGAGGCTACACATCGGACATAAAGGTGGTAAGAACGTGCTGAATTATTCGCTGTTTTTCTTACCCCCTGTTCATACATGTTACAGTGATGGTGTAGGACTGGAACAGAACAGTAGCTGTAGCATTGGGATCAATGCTAATATTGACCCGGATCAACTGCCATTTTACAAAAGAACAAATTTCTGCCACCCTTCCCAGGTAAACCAGAGAGCAAACGGGACTAGATGAACTAATTCTACTTTCTTGTATAAGGCTACATTAATGAAATAATAATAATAAAGTTAGAAGGGACCTTGGAGGTTATCTAGTCCAACCCCCTGCTCAGGCAGGAAACCCTATACTATTTCAGATAAATGGCTGTCCAGTCTCTTCTTAAAAATTTCCAGTGCTGGAGCATTCATGGCTTCTGGAGGCAGGTTGTTCCATTGGTTAATTGTTCTAACTGTCAGGAAGTTTCTCCTTAGTTCTAGGTTGCTTCTCTCCTTGATCAGTTTCCATCTGTTGCTTCTTGTCCTGCCTTCAGGCGCCATAGGTTCGCCACCACTGCACTATTCCATCCTAGTTGAGAATGATGGAAGCCTCTTCTTTGTGGCAACCCCTGAGATATTGGAACACTGCTATCATTTCCCCCCTCGTCCTTCTTTTCATTAAACTAGACATACCCAATTCCAGCAACCGGTCCTTATATGGTTTAGCCTCCAGTCCTCTGATCATCTTTGTTGCTCTTCTCTGTACTCTTTCTAGAGTCTTAGCATCTTTTTTACAACGCGGTGACCAAAACTGGATGCAGTATTCCAAGTGTGGCCTTACCAAGGCATTGTAAAGTGGTATTGACACTTCATGTGATCTTGATTCTATCCCTCTGTTAATGCAGCCTAGCACAGTGTTGGCCTTTTTGGCAGCTGCAGCACACTGCTGGCTCATATTTAGTTGATTGTCCACTAGGACTCCGAGATCCCTCTCACAGTTACTACTATTGAGCAAGGTACCCCCTATACTATACCTGTGCATTTGGTTTTTCTTGCCTAAATGTAGAACCTTGCTTTTTTCACCATTGAATTTCATTTTGTTAAGATAGCACCCAGTGTTCAAGTCTCTCAAGTCTGAAAGGGTCAGCTTTCCGTTACTGCTTTTAACTGCTTGATTCATTGGGCTGGGTCCTTGCTAAGTTTCTTCTCCTGACCATTAGGCCACTGAGGCTCCCGCCTCTCTTGTCTGATTGATTCCTAGGCAGCACCTCCTCTCCCCAAGGTCAGTGGTGGCGAACCTATGACACGCGTGCCAGAGGCAGCACTCAGAGCCCTCTTTGTGGGCACACGTGCCATTGCCCCAGCCTTGCCTCCCCCGTGACCCCCTCCTCTCCAGCAGCCCCCCTGAAGGAGAGTTGCCCCCAAGTGTAGCCCACATGGAGCAGCGCAGCCAAAGACATGGCAGCCAGGCAGTGTCGACAAGACTCTGCCCTCACGCCCCATCATGCAGTTGATGCTGCAGGGCACGGGCAGAGGGTGTGGCTGCCATAGCGCTGCTGGGCTGCCTGGGCGATCTGCGGCAGGCCCTGGAGGTGGTGAGTGGTCCTATGGGCAGGCGGGGCGGGGGATGGGGGGCAGAGCAGGGGTGGGGCGTGGGAGTGGAGCGGGGGCGGGGGGCCAGTTTTTGGGCACCCGGTCTCTAAAATAGTGGTTCTCAACCTTTTTAATGACGCGACCCCCAACCGGTCGTAAGTCGAGGACTACTCAACTGGTGCAGCACCGTTTGCAGAATGGGACTTTTGGCGGGCTCAGCAGGGCAGAGACAGCCTGGACAATTCCTATCGGCTTTTGAAAGCCAGTAGAATTAGACTCTATTCAAGAGAATCTATTTTATTGGCTTTCAAAAGCCAATAGAATAAAAGGGAGTAGCACAGCTAAGGAAAAGGGGAAAACAAAATGGCGGACTGCGTTGTTTGGCGACCCCCGTGAAATGGTCGTTCGACCCCAAATGGGGTCGCGACCCACAGGTTGAGAACCGCTGCTCTAAAAGGTTTGCCATCACTGGCCAAGGTCATCCACACATGCCATTCTCAGGTTGCAGTATGGAAAAGCATACAGGTCTGGTGACAGATGTTTGGCTGGATTGTCAGTGCTTTGTACAACTTCCCTCTTCTTTATTTCCCCTCCTGTGATGGATATAAAGTGATATGGAGGTGGTACCTGACACCACGTAAATTAAAATCAAATAGATGTGAAATATACAAATATTTGCTGGAGGTGCGAGAAAGAGATTGGAACATATAAACATATGTGGTGGGATTGTGACAGTGCACAAAAGATAGGGGACATGGTGTTTAGGGAAATTAGAAGTTTTGAAGGTAAATTTAGACATGTCACCGAGGATCGCATTACTGTTACTGGTGGAAAAACAAGATATACATGAAGCAAAAAAAGGAATTGATTGTAAATTTGATAATGGCAGCTAGAATGGTGATGGTTAAGTATTGGAGACGGAATTGGGATAGTCAAAGAAATGAGTGGTATAATGGAATATGGAATATGGCAATAAATGATAAATTAACAACAGAAATTAAATTTTAAAAAGGGATGATTAAAGTAAATAATTATAATGAAATATGGGATGATTTTATAAAAACAGTCTTGGTGGAAGGCAAAGGGAATAAACCTGCTCAAGAATACATGCTGTTTTGGAGGGGTAAAGGCACAATTGAAATATATTGTATATTGTTAGTTGTTATATGAGAAGAAATATAGGTAATAAAAATGGTCTCCAAGGGGGTGGGTGCACTGTAGTATTTGTATTTTTTGTACTGTTCTTTATTTAGATTTATATGTGTTATGTTTGCATTATTTGTATTTGAAGAAAATAATTTTTTAAAAAAAAATTCCCCTCCTGTGATTAACACAGGCTTGATCTTAACTCTGACACAGAGTTAATACTTGGGTTAATTCCCTCCTGTGACTAAAAGTAAATACTTCACTTCGTAGCCATCTATATATATATCAGTTCCCCAGCATTTCCGTCTTTGCAGATTGGGGAGGGGGAGAGGGGATGGTTTCATGCAAGTGGCTGGCAAGCGCACACATGTTCATGCAGCTCCATTTGTGCAAGCACCATGCACGCAGGCCAACCGCTCACTTAAAATGAAGCACATGCGCGCTCAGCCGCTGCTTGTCCAATTGAGGATGTGCGTGCGTTTCTGTGGACTGGTTGCAAACCCCTCACAGTCTAGTAGTGGACCATAGCCCACAGGTTGAGCACTCCCGGATCTATATTATGGAAATGTATGTCAATTATGTAATCTCTTGAACTCATGGAATCACGAATCATAGAATGTAATTTTGGAAAGGATCTTGGAAACCACCTAGTCTAATGCTTTGTCTACTGTGGAGATCTGCTGCTACACTATGTTATTTTTGTTCAGTCACTAAGTTGTGTCTGACTGCTCACAACCCCCATGGACCATAGTATGCCAGGCTCCACTGTCCTTCACTGTCTCCTAGAGTTTGCCCAAATTCATGTTCATTGCATCAATGACACTATCTAACCGTCTCAACCTCTGCTGTCCCCTTCTCCTTTTGTCTTCCATCTTTCTTAACATCAGGGTCTTTTCCAGTGAGTCTTCTCTTCTAACTTGGTGGCCAAGCTTCAGCAGCTGTCCTTCCAAAGGACAGTCAGGGTTAATTTCCATTATGATTGGCAGATTTGATCTCCTTGCAGTACAAGGGTCTCTCAAGAGTCTTCTCCAGCATCAACTACTACATTATACCTGGTAGAAAACTATCCATCCATATCCAGAATATGTTTAACCATATTCCAATAAGACTAATCATTAACAAGGCATAGATAATCCAGTTCTAATTGTTGAAGGAGAGGAGAAAAAGATACTCATAAGAAATGTGGGCATGAAGATATCAAAATCCATAGAAATCTCCAGATATAAGATATGGACACGAGCATCTACAGAAATCAGGCACTGATGTATAATTTATGTAGAAATAAGATTTATTCCTTCATATATGCATACATCTCTCTCTCTCTCTCTCTCTCTCTCTCTCTCTCTCTCTCTCTCTCTCTCTCTCTCTCTCTCTCTCACACACACACACACACACACACACACACACACACACAGAGAGAGAGAGAGAGGAATAAGGTACAGATGTGGAATTAAAAAAATAAGGTGCAAGTATATAAAATTTTAAAAAACTAGAAAACTGGAGATAATATAGAAATAAGAAATGAAGCCCAGTTACAGAAATCTAGAAATAAACAGATAAACCTTCAGTTTGGTTTGCAGCGCAACGAAAGCTCCCTTGCAGCAAAAAGGAAACAAAATTTACTTGTTTGTGGCCTGTTTCATTTCTAAGAAGAACCTGTCAAAGTGATTGCAAGGCCATGCAATGCATAGCTCACTGGGTGAAGGGCATATATTAAAAATGTGATACAAAGCTTTGGCAGTAAGTTGTACCATGTTAAACTTCTGCTAAAGGAACAGCTGGAGTTAAATAGAATCTGTTGCAATGGAGGGGAAAAAAAGGCCATCCCAGATCAGCTGTTGAAAAAAGCCTTTCCCCAATCTTAGGGAAATGCAGAGGCAGCATTTCCATAGAAGAATGAAGTGTGCCCTTCCCTTTCCCTTTTGAGAAAGGGATGGAGGAGAGAAGCAGTGCAGTGCAGTGGCAAAGGAAATAGCAATTAAGTGCTCACGTTCCTAGCTGTCATGCCCAGTAAACCAGAGAAGACACACGGTGTTGCTTCCAAGCAAAGTTCTTTATTGCTCCTTACCAGGGGTAGGCAACCTTGGCTCTTTTATGACTCATGGACTTCAACTCCCAAAATTCCTGAAAATTCCTGGCTCAGGAATTCTGGGAACTGAAGTCCACGAGTCATAAAAGAGCCAAGATTGACTACCTCTGCTCCATACCTATACGCAGAATCTTGCCAAACTGAAGCACTCTGCAATCTACATCTAGCATCTACTCTGAGAATATTAGTGTTGGAGAGAGACTGGCTGAGCCAGGGGGAGGAATCAAGTGGGGAATTAGTCTGGAATTTCTACATAGGCACAAATGGGCAAGGTCTGACTCTCCCCCTGAATGCCGTTGAACCTTATCCAGAGAAGATTCCTGGGTTACAGGGATGAGCAATAAAGTAGCTAATTGAACTCTTCACATGTGGATCTGGTTATTCATGCCTGAGAGTTAGAGCGCTGATGTCTTCACCCTCTTATCTCACACAACATGTCTGGACTGTCTGTTATTTCTCTGAAATGCACCTCTTCCCACTTTGGGGATCCAGTCCACTATATCCCACCACACTAACCAATCTGTCCTGGTTTGCAGAAACGCTACGAGCCCAAGAAGGGACGCTTGATTGTTTGTGGTCATGGGACTTTAAAGCTGGACGGGATCTCCTGCCTCCTCAGTGATGACCATGGCATGACCTGGTATTATGGGAGACAGCCCTTGCATGGCATCCCTTACGGAATGCCGAAGAATTACAGTGACTTTAATCCTGATGAATGCCAGGTCAGTATAACTGTGACGGTCGAACCTTGGCTCTTTGGGTATAATATCTCAGGAAGAATCAAAGAAGGCACTAGTTTAGAACATTATTTATAGATGGTGGACATTTATATCCGACTTTGGGGAAAATATGAGAGAACCACTGAGCAAGCTATTAAGGAGGAACTTGAAGAACAAATTACCCAGATCAGAGATTGAAGAAAATCGTGAGAAAGAAACACTAATCAAGGCAGGGTTAGTGTTTGTTTCTCATGATTTTCTTCAGTCTCTGACCTGCATAATTTGTTTTTCAAGTTTGCTATAGGGAGGGACAGGCAAAGACTTGGGACAGGTTTTTCAGGATTGTTTTCAGCTCTTCAAGCTAGGCCCAGTCAAGAAACAGACATTGCAGGAATTTCAGAAATGCTATTTTATTGTTGTGAGGAATACATCAGTAATCTTGAAAGCCCAAACAAATGTCTCTGTGTCCCCCCCTTAGGAAATAAAATCAAGGTGATTTGTTTTGAGTTTCTGTCTCACACTTCCTTCAATCTGTGGACTGTCTAATCCCTCCCTCCCTCCCTCCCTTCCCAGCTCAATCTCTTCCTTTCTGATCAGCACTTTTACATTTTTCCCAGGGTCAGTTCTACATTCCTTTTAGAATTGCAATATTCTAAATCAGCAGTTCTCAACCTATGGGTCGCAACCCCATTTGGGGTCGAACGACCATTTTACGGGGGTCACCAAACAACGTGATCCGCCATTTTTCCCCCTCAGGGGGCATCGTCACGCATGCGCGCTGCGCATGGGGGCGTCGCCGCGCATGCGTGCCGTGCAGGGGGTGCCGTCGCGCACAGGGGCGCTGCGCATGCGCGGCACACCACGCATGGGGGCGTGGCCATGTAACCGGGGGTCGCCGTATAAAAAGGTTGAGAACCACTGTTCTAAATATTGCACAAAATTATCTCAGATACTGTAGTTGTAGGATTCTTGAGGATTTCTGTTAAATGGAAAGTTAGTAAGTTCTCTACATTTTAAATGGATTTAAAAGAGAAAGGCAAACTGGACTGTAGTCTTCTTCATATTTCCAGAAAAGGAGCTTCAAGCCCAGGCAATGTAATCCTGTATAAATTCATTCAGAATTTCATCCCGATGAGTTCAGGAGGACTCAGAAAGGATGCCATACAAGAATAGATTGAAGATTACTGTAAGAGGGTCCCTAGAATTTGGCAGGCTAGGGCAGGTGTAGGCAACCTTGGCTCTTTTATGACTCGTGGACTTCAACTCCCAGAATTCCTGAGCCAGCCATGCTGAGGGGAAAGGGAGAGGTTTCCAAGCTGAGCCATGCTGGCTCAGGAATTCTGGGAGTTGAAGTCCACGAGTCATAAAACAGCCAGGGTTGCCTACCCCTGAGCTAGGGACTTAGGCCAAATTGTGGAGTGCAGATGCTCTACTATATTTTGATGTGATGCCTCAGCTGTTTCATGGGATTGATACACAGGTATCTCTTCATTTTCTGACTGGCTCTGGAGACATGGACTCAGTAGACCCGGTCCTAATGACCTGCCAATACTATAGTGACACATGTTGACAACTTATGCCATGACTTACAACGTTCATTTAGTGACCATTCCAAGTTACAACGGCACTGAAAAAAGTGACTCATGACACTTAAGACCATTGCAGCATCCCCATGGTGATGTCAAAATTCAGATGCTTGCAAAATTCAGATATTCATATTTATGACGGTTGCAGTGTCTTTGGGATCATGTGATTATTTTTTGTGCAAGCCAAGTCAATGGGGGAAGCCAGACTCACTTTACAACCCCGTTACTAATTTAACAACTGCAGTGATTCACTTAACAAATGCGGCAAGAAAAGTTGCAAAATGGGGCAAAACTCACTTAACAATTTTCTCACTTAGCCACAGAAATTTTGCTTTCTGTGGTCATATGTTGAGGACTACCTGTACTGTATTTTATAACTTTAGCCATAGACAGCCCAGAATCCTATGTACAGGTAGTCCTCGACTTACAATCATTTTTTAGTGACCGTTCAGCACTGCAAAAAATGACTTATGACTGTTTTTCAACTTAGGACCTAGCGGTATGCCCATGGTCATGTGATCAAAATTCAGACTAACCAACTGGCATGTATTCATGACGGTTGCAGTGTTCTTGAGGTCACATGATCACTTTTTGTGCAAGCAAAGTCAATGGGGGAAGCCAGATTCACTTTACAACCCTGTTACTAACTTAACAACGGTGATGATTCACTTAACAACTGTGGCAAAAAAATGTTGTAAAATGGGGCAAAATTTACTTAAGAGCTGTCTTGCTTAGCAACAGGAATGTTGGGCTAAATTGTGGTTGTGAGTCAAGGACTACCAGACAGATTTATTTGTTTGTTTATTAAACGTATATGCCGCCCATCTTGCCAAAGCCGCCTTAGGCATCTCATTTGAGTAATTAAACTACAATTAAGAGTTCTTTCTTTCTGGGGCATAACCTTCGATGGTTTAAACAAACTGGCAATGCAAAGTGTGAGATCTTACCCAAATGAGGAGAGAAAGAGTACTGGTGTTTATCCCAAATCATCTTTATTTCATTTGCAAGCTCATGAGTTCTGTGTAGTAATCATTTAACTTTAAAAACCATGAGCCTAGTCATTGCGACTTACAAACCGTGGCAATAGAAAGTGTGAGACCCTGCCCAAATATATAGGAAGGAGAGAATGTTATCGCTTATCCCAAATCTTCTCAGCTTCGTCGGTCTCCTTTTCTAACAGCCCTATGAGCTACCAGATGGCTCCGTGGTGGTGAACGCCAGGAATGAGAATTTCTATCACTGCAGATGTCGCATCGTGGTTCGCAGTTATGATGGCTGTGACACCCTTCCGCTGGAGAACGTGAGATTTGACGAGTATTTAGTGGATCCTGCAGTGGCTGCAGGGGCTCTTGTCAAATCTGGTCTGATTTTCTTCACGAATCCAGCCCATCGTCAGTTGCGTGAGTAAAAAAAAAAAATCAAAATATTGGGATTCTTTCTCTCTCTCTCTCTCTCTCTCTCTCTCTCTCTCTCTCTCTCTCTCTCTCTCTGTTTATATATTTGCACCTGGACGTACAAGTTGCACAATGCTACTGTTTGCTTGACCTTATTGCAGGGGTCCCCAACCTTTTGGGCACCAGGGACCGGTTCCGTCCATGGTGCCCATAGAGAGGTTTTTCTGTGGCCCGCAGGGGACATGGTTTCATGTGCTGCCTGCATCTTGCAGATGAGGCTTTGCTTGTTTGTACAGATTGGTTACTGGCATGCCACGGCCCAGTATTGGTCCACAGCTCAGGGCGTGGGGACCCCTGCCTTAGTGTATTAAACCGCAGTTGGCCAAATTCACTCAAACTGGTGGAGTGGGAAATGTTTTTGCTGATACTTTTTTTCTTTATACAGTGGTGCTCCCCCTATACACGTTGAAAGGTCTGCAATTGTCAAGAACAAATTTTCATAGCTGTAATAGTTTTATTTGTTGCGTACCCATAACTAAGCACAGTATAGAGATGGAATAAAACTAGCAATTATGCCAGAAGACAGTACATTTAGTCAAAGGATTATAATAAAGAGTTTCTGAACGAAAAGGTTCATTACATAACAATAATATTAATCTCAGTACATCCAAAATGGCAGGTAAGAAGTCATCACAGACAACCTAATATTCAAGGATAAAATTACAGCTGTCCAATTATGGGCATAATTTAACTTGTAAACTCTAAAAGTTGACTAAAATGTAGGTCACTAGCGCTGACTGTAAAATCATTACCAGGCGAACAGAGATTTAAATAATTTAGGTAAACTATAGAATAATAACAGAAGATTCTGTACAACTACAGAATAATAACAGAAGATAACTAAATATAGCTAAGGTGAAAGATGAAATCAACTATATCACTAACATCTAAAGCAGTGGTTCTCAACCTGTGGGTCGGGACCCCATTTGGGGTCGAACGACCATTTCACGGGGGTCGCCAAACAATGCAGTCCGCCATTTTCCCCCCCTTTTCCTTAGCTGTGCTACTCCCTTTTATTCTATTGGCTTTTGAAAGCCAATAGAATAGACTCTCTTGAATGAGTCTAATTCTATTGGCTTTCAAAAGCCAATAGGAATTGTCCAGGCTGTCTCTGCCCTGCTGAGCCCGCCAAAAGTCCCATTCTGCAAACGGTGCTGCACCAGTTGAGTAGTCCTCGACTTACAACCGGTTGAGTAGTCCTCGACTTACGACCGGTTGGAGGTCACGGCATTAAAAAGGTTGAGAACCACTGATCTAAAGATAGACAAGATTTCACAGGGGTCCTGGAACAAAAGAAAAGAAAAAGCATTTTAAAGAAAAAGAAAAAGGAATTTTCAGGCTTTCAAGACCATCTTCATGGCCTTCTACAGCACTGACTGAATTAGCAGCAATGAAATTATCTTGTTTCTAAGAAATCTGTAGCCTTCTGCAATTTGCCTGTTTCATATTCTGATGTTTGACTGCTGCTGATCGTCTGCCTTTTTGTACTTTGGCCCATAAAGACGCCCAATCCGGAGAGAAAGAGCGGGATCTTTATAGTCCTGGGTCTTCAAAGAGACCTTTGTATCCTACTTTATCTTCACAACAGAAAACTGCTCTAAATATACACATAGAAGAATTCAGGCAAGTGCTCACAAATAAGGCAGGCTCTCCTACATGAGCAGAGCATCAGATCCATAGCAGTTAAGGAGAGAGAAACCAGCTTACATACTAGAAACAGGACACTTTGCAAAAAAAGAAGTACAAACGTGCGACAATGAGTGATTGTTAACCTTCATGTCGTAATGGTCTTTATCTGTTGTTTTGGTTCCAAGGTTTAACAGTGAAATCAGATTCTGTTTAAGTCATCTTATCCAAGGTGGATGGTGATTCAGTGCCTGGAGAAGATGACTTACTACAGAGGTGGGGAACCATGGCCCCTTTATAACTTGTGGACTTCAACTCCCAGAATTCCTGAGCCAGCATGCCTGGCTGAGGAATTCTGGGAGTTGAAGTCCACAAGTCATAAAAGGGCCAAGTCTGAAGACCTCTGATCTATGCAAAAGGTATTTCCAATAAATAAATAAACAAACAAACTTAAGTATACCTCAAAATCTGTTCCATTTTTTTAAAAAAGGACTTTTGGTTGAAGGGGACCCCCCCCCCCGAATCTTCCAGAGATTCATGGGCAAATGCATCCAACTAGGAGGTATGGTATTGTGAAATCTGCCTGGGTGATATTATTATTTATAACACTACTGCATTAAATACAGCACAGTCTGCAGCAGTTAAAAAGACATTTTTCCAATAGTAAAACAGCAAGCTTAACTATTCAGCCTGCCAGCTGTCACCTAGCATTTTCTGAACTAGATTAATCCTTGATCACCAAGAAATTAAGCCAGAAGAAAAGAAGGTATTAGCTGTTCCAGAGAGTGTGATTTTTCCTTGCAAATTGGGGCTGGTTGTTTTACACTTTGCTTTTTCATCAAAGCAAACACTTTTGCAGACTTAAATAAGAAAGAGCCTACTGTAATAAAGTTTCCTGGTCTCGTAAATGTGAACACATTTTTCAGGAGTTAAAAGCTGTTTTATATAGTCAACCTGGCTTAAACAGGTCAAATTTTAACCTGCCTTTGGTTTTACGTGTGAATGCTTCTGGGCATGGGAGCCGTGTTAAAGCAAACGTTTGATGATGGTATGCTTCAAAAAGGTACTTCCAGCCCAGATTTGTCTTTCTCTCTAAAGGAAAACAAACATTTTAATTAGAGATGTGGTGGTCGGATAAATTAGATAAGAAAAATAGAGAAAGGTATAGAGTTATTTTGATGATGTATTACTGGAAAAAATGAGGTGGTAAGAAGTACTATTTCAAAATTGATACAAGTCAGAGGATTTTTAAGGGGAACCTGAAAAAAAAAAAAAGCTCAGGCAATTGTCTAGGAATAACCTTTAAACCCCAAGGACAGATTAGCTATCAGAAGATAGGACTTTTGACTTTCACAGTTTTATCTGTAAACACATCCTGAAATTCCTGGAAATGACTGGATCCCTTGAAAAGCTTTCAGGAGGATTGTAGAATAACAGTGGGTGTGAGGGAGACACGTGAGAATTTGAGTGTCAGCTTCCCTACCGGACTCCACACGAAGAAAGCACAGACGAAGGCTTCTGGGTGAAACCAGCTCCGGTTTACTTTGAGAAAAAGCGATGACTTTAACACAGACAAGCATCAAACCAGCTCTGTGCTATACAAAGTTTGCGCTGGGAGCAACTGCCTCCCAGCGTTACTTAAATACACTGATGTTATTACTCTACCCTATGCAGTTAGGGACCACACCTCCACCACACCCGTGCTCATTAACCTTCACCACACCCGTATTCAATCACAACCCCCTTCCACACCCAACATCCCCACCCTCCTGGCTTCCAATCAGCGTTTGGCAACTATCATCGAGCACAGCTTTTGAATTTAATACTTCTTTGTAGATTTAATACTTCTTTGCACGCCTTGCGCTAACAAGGCAATGCTCGGGTCACTGCCCATCAACTGGTTACTATTTCACTGCTGATCAGCTGTCCGGCGGTTTGAGGTAGCTCTGCGCAGGCGTGGCAATCCCTCTGCGCATGGCATCTCCTGCTTCCTAGACCCGCCGAGCAGCTTCCGTATATTCGTCGGAGGGTCCGCGCTCGTAGGCTCGATCTGAAACGCCGCGTCGCTGCACAGCCTTTCTTCTCCCTCCATTAGGTCAGTTCCCCCTCTCTTGTGTGTCAAGCCCAGGAGGGCTTGACATTGAGACCCATTGAACCTCTTGTTAATATATGCAGATACCGCTAAACCAGTGTTTCTCAACCCTGGCAACTTTTAAGATAAGAGGACTTCCAACTCCCAGCCTCCTGGCTGGGGAATTCTGGGAGTGGAAGTCCACACATCTGAACGTTGGCGAGGCTGAGAAATATAGGTAGTCCTCAACTTACAGCCATTCGTGTAGTGACCATTTGAAGTAACCGCTTGATGCATTCTTTCCTTTCCATTGCAGGGGTCAACCTGACTCTGCGCTGGAGTTTCACCAACGGGTCTTCTTGGTGGAAAGAGCCCTTGCTGATCTGGAGAGGCTCCAGCGGCTATTCCTCCATGACAGCCCTGCAGGGAAATTCTCTGGGGGCCGATCACTGTCTCTTTATCATTTACGAGAAGGGCGAAGTCGAATATACAGAAAGCATCTCCGTGGCCAAGATTAGCCTCAACGGGCAGCTCTGATCATCCTTCCTGGGCATTTTAAAACATTTTCAAAGTTTGTCATGGCAGGGAAAGGAAAACCCGTGCTGAGACTGGGGTGAAACCAAATGAACTGCTGTTGGTGGGAGGGGGGGGGAGTCTAAAGAATGTAACGGAAGGACGTGGGTAGAGCTTGGGCATGTCCCAGCAGAAGTCGGAGCGGCTATAGAAGACCACCTATTTATTCTCAAGTCGTGCCCTGCATTGGGCCTGCCTAATGAGCAACACACTCCTGAACCTCTCTTTTTATTCCTTTCTGGCCTTCTGAGGAAGAATCTCTTTTCCTGTGCTTTTCTCACGTTGATGAACGTGTGGGTAGATTTACAGAAATTGTGGGTAGATCGGGCAGGGATGGAAACACAAAGGCAGACTCAATCAGAGTGGTGAAGGCTAAATTTATGCACTTTCTACTGACTTTCTCAAAAAAATAAATAAAATGGAATCAGGAGCAGAAGGTGTTACTTGCTCGACCCCCACTAAAATCCACATCAGTGTGCCTGAGGGTTTGGAAGCAGAGGGGGCAGGAGAGCAAATCACTTTTTCTTCTGCGTTGCCAACGTCTGTGATTTCAAATGAATGTATTTAAAACCTGTTTCCCCGTTTTTCTAATGGGACAGGTTGCCTGTGCGGCTTACAAAAATGTTGGGTCATGGATTTTAGAGCACAAAAAAGGGGGGGGGGGCAGGCAGGGAGGCAAACCAGAACCACCCATACAAGAGTGAATACAGCTACAAAACTCACCTTGAGCTCCAGGCAACAGGTAGCATAATTGATGTCATGAGCCTAATTTTGGGAAGATATCTGGGCTCAAGGACATGATGTACCCTATAGATTTACACAGGCTGATCCGAAGCGTCATGGAATAAAAAGCTTTAGTAGTTGATAAATTGAGCAAGGACTTTTTTCATTTTGAGCATGACAATTTTAAGCAAGGCTGCTGAAAGGCCGCTAGTTACATGGTGGGAACGGCTTATTTTGATCAAGGGGTGCTAACCTTTATTTATTTATGGGCTCTGCTTCTTACAGCACCAGATCCCAGGAGGGCTTGAGCAACAGCCAATTAAAAGCAAATCTTTGCAAAATGTCCTCCAACAATGACTACATAATTGTCTAAACAAGGAAAACTGAAAAAGAAGAGGGGAGGGAATGGTTATTTCTGTTGTGACCGTTTTATTTATTTATTTTAATCCTGATGTTTACGTGGTTTGCCTTTTTAATCTTCAGTTTTATGAGGAGTGCCTTTATCCAGACATTGGAAGTAAACTCTCTTCAGTTACTGGAAGATATTAAACTTGTTAATGAAATTAACGAAATGTGATTCCTTTTGTTAAATCAGCAGAGGTTCATCTCAGACTTCAGCTTCTTGGACCATAACTTATATTGTATATATCTGTATATATACATTTCCTCACCCCTTTGGAGAAATTAATGAAAAGGCTTAGTATTTTTTTTTTTAAACTGTTTTATTGCTGACTGGGTGGCCTTTATATACTTTCGGGTGAAATGGGAACAAAGGAACATGCTTTATGGTTTGGATGATTAGGAAAAATAGATAATAGAAAAAAAATGTTTTTGTAACCATGAAGTATGAGGTAATTTTGTACGAGTACTTAATAATTGTAAAGAAACTTGGGAGATTCTTTCTTTCTTTCTTTCTTTCTTTCTTTCTTTCTTTCTTTCTTTCTTTCTTTCTTTCTTTCTTTCTTTCTTCACTTTGGGGTTTTTCTATGTTACCTGATCCTTTTTACTTCTTTCTTTTTACTTTACATTAGTCCTCGTTAGTTTTTATCCTCTGTTTAAAATATTTAATAAAAATTATTTTTAAAAAAGTATTTTTAAAGCATCAATGTCACTTCAGCCTATTTCAAGATACAGGCACCCATACTCTAATCACCTCCTGTATTGACTATGGCAATACCCTCTACATTGGACTTCACTAAAAAAATATCCAGAAGCTTCAATTGGTTCAGTTTGCAGTGGCCCGTATGGTTCTGTGTAAACTTAGATTCGTACCACTTTTGCGGGAGCTGCATTGGCTGCTGATTTGTTGTTGGTGGTGTTGGTTGTCACCTTTAAAGCCCTACCTGGCCTCTGGCCAGGTTATTTGAAGGGCTGTCTTCTCCCAGTTATACCTGACCCACCAAAGCCGAGAGGCACAGTATGTTACTTATCCCTTCTCTGGGATTCCCTCTAGTGGGACTGAGAAGAAGGTCCTTCTCCGTGGTGGCTCCCTTCCTGTGGAACCTCATCCCTCCAGAAATAAGTTTGGCCACATGCTTTCAAAAGGCTTTCAAAAGATGTAGCTTTGCCAATGGGCCTGGGGATCCCACAGTAATATGAGCCCACCAAGTGGTTGGTTTGATAGTTGTCACCAGACGGATGGGGATTTATTGGCTTTTGTATTGGAGATTTATTTTTTTTAAGCCTCCTGGAGTCACCCTAAGTGAATTGGGCGGCCATATAAATTTTAATAAAATATGCCTTAAATCTATTTACCTGTTTTGCCAAGGTTTTATGGAACCTTGAACATTAACCTGGCATAGATACTACTCAGGTTTAGCTGAAAGTAAATCTGACAATGAAGGTTTCTAACCCAGTGATTTCAGTGTTTCTCAACCTTGACAATTTTAAGGCAATGCTGGCTGTGGAATTCTGGGAGTTGAAGTCCACATGCCTTAAAATTGTCAAGGTTGAGAAACACTGCTTCTAGTAAATGCAATGTGTCCACCCATTTTCTATAGATATTTTAGGACTGATAAAGACTTCCAAGTATGAGAAGGCTATGAAAAAATCTCTTGCTGCATTTATTTTATTTTATAACAACGTTAAATAACAGTTGTTAAGATGGTCTGGCAAACTTTTCAAGAACTGTTTTCCTCCCAGTATATTTCAGATTGCACCTCCCATAATCTTAGCTCTTTATAGGTATGGTGGTTATAGGAACTGAGGCATGTTAGTTCCTATGAGGATAGGACCATTTTGCTAATTCCAGGAGAGATGCAGTGTAACACTTGGTTTAGACCAGTTTCTCAACATCAGCAATTTTAAGATTGTGGCCTTCAGCTCTCGGAATTCCCTACCCAGCATGCTGGCTGTGGAACTCTGGGAGTTGAAGTCCACACATCTTAAAATTGTCAAGGTTAGGAAATACTGGTCTAGAAGCTGTGAGTCTTATCATCAAATCCCACTGCCCTTTTAAAGTCCTTGTGCAACTTTGGGCTAGGCCTCATCTTTCTGTCTAAACTACTTCACAGGTTGGTTGTGAAACAAAAGAAGGATCTTGCCATCCTGAGCTTCTTGGAAGATGACAGGAGAAAAATAACCACATCATTAATGCCAACCACCATGATGTTGTCTTTGGCTCTTAAGCAGGATAACACTGCTTTTTTTTTTTATTATTGAAATTTTTTAAATTTTACAAAACAATACGGTTCCCTTCCCCAAGGCCCCCCAACCCTCCCATGCCCTCCCCCGACCTTCCCAGAGCTGAATACAGGCTTAATTAATATTTTTTCAAAAAGTCTTAAAACAAATATAAACCATAAACAAATCTAAATATATTAAACAAATTGTATAGTTAACAATAATATATATATAAAAAAAACAAAAATACAAGGAAATACGAGAAAATAGGAAGAAAGAAAAAGGAAAAAAGTCTATAAAATATCTTAAATTTTAAGTATAAGTTATTGAAAAGTAAATAATATTTTTTATATCCAACTTATATTGTATAAAGTCTATCCATTTTTTCCATACCAAAAAATACTTCTCTTGCGATTGGTCTTTCAAGAAAGCTGAAATCTTTGCCATTTCCGCCAAATAAGAAACTTTAAAAAACCACTCTTGCAAGGTAGGCAAAGATTCCTTCTTCCAACATTGCCCTACTAACAACCTTGCCACTGTGATTAAATTTAACATCAATATAGTCTCTTTAGTATCACAATCAGAAACAATACCTAACAAAAACAGTTGTGGGGTAAATTTTACCCTTCTTCTAAAAATTCTTTGAATATTCCACCATATCTTAATGATAACACTGCTTTTTTCATCCTTGTGTCCTCCTAACCCAACTGGCTTTGTTTGCTAATGAGAACAGATGACAGCTACACTAAGGACAAGTATTCAAAGCCCTCGAGAAAAGCAGACCTGTACCGCTAGTCCTCGACTTACAACAGTTCATTTAGTGATTTCAATGTTACAACGGCACTGAAAAAAGTGACTTATGACCATTTTTTCACACCTTTGCAGCAGCCCCACGATCATGTGATCCAAATTCAGATGCTTTGGTAACTGGTTCATACTTACGACCGTTGCTGTGTCCCGAGATCGTGTGATCCACCTTGTACGACCTTCTGACAAGCAAAATCAATCAATGAGGGAGCCAGATTCGCTTAACAACCGTGTTACTAGCTTATCAACTGCAGTGATTCACTTAACAACCGTGGCAAAAAGAAATGGGTCGCGAAATGGGGCAAAAGGTCACTGAACAAATGTCTCACTTAACAAGAGAAATTTGGGGGGCAATTATGTTGATAAGTCGAGGACCGCCTGTAGCTTGCCAACTATTAAGCAGCAGAAAGGCGGAAGAGGTTGGGCGCTAGGACCTTGAAGCGCTTTGCTCAGAATTGCCCCCCCCCCCCTCTGCTGGAAGCAGAAGGCATCATCAGAGCTGCTTGGAGCATCCTTGCTGCGCATCAATTGCTACAGAAACATGGCCAGCCAGACTCAGGGAATTCAGCAGCTGCTGCAGGCAGAGAAGAGGGCTGCAGAGAAGGTGGCCGAGGCTCGAAAACGTGAGTTGGAGCTCCTGGTTGTTAGGGAAGGTGCTGGTTGAGAAGTGAGGTGGAGGCTGACAAGCAAAGTACTCACGTTCTCAGGCAGCATCTTTCAGTTTCTCGTGGAGAGGAATGGCAGGGATCTTTTGAGGAGTGCCAGGCCTCGAAAGGTCATCTCTGCCTTGTCCTTGGGCCTCTTTTTCTCCATCCCAGGAAAGGCCAGGCGGCTGAAGCAGGCCAAGGAAGAAGCCCAGGCTGAAATTGAGCAGTATCGCTTGGAGCGTGAGAGAGAATTCCAGCAAAAACAACAGGCGGTGAGATAAAAGGGTCGGGGCTTACTTTAAGCCCTGCAGTGATGGAAAACGGAGGATGGAAAACAGAGAAAGGGTGGCCTGGGGAGGGGAATAAAAGATGAGAAGGGGATGGGGATGATGGAGTCGCAGCTTCTAAGGTTGCATGATGGGAATTTGGAGAGGAGGAGGAGAGAAGTATGTGGGGGTGTACAGAAGTCTGGATAGAGCAGCGGTTCTCAACCTTTTTAATGCCGCGACCCCAACCGGTCGTAAGTCGAGGACTACCCAACCAGTCGTAAGTCGAGGATTACCCAACCGGTCATAAGTCAAGGACTTTCCCTGCCCGGGAGCGCCGCGCATGCGTGGTGCCGCCCCCTGCGCCGGCCGAGGCGTAGCTGGCAAGCGGTAGAGATGGCGCAGGCCGACCACCGGCTGGGCCACCAGCTGGCCCAGCGCAAGGGAGGTAAGGCACCCGCCGGGCCCCACGCACACCAGCAACCCTCCTGCGCCCGCCGGCTTCACACCTCCCACCCCTGGCCCTCTTTTACTTACATTTTTAGTAGTTGCTCAGCAGGGAGGGGTGGAAACTTCCAGACAGCTCGCCTTCGCTGCAGACAACTTGCAGCACCGTTTGCAGAATGGGACTTTTGGCGGGCTCAGCAGGGCAGAGACACCTGGACAATTCCTATTGGCTTTTGAAAGCCAATAGAAGTAGACTCTATTCAAGAGAGTCTATTCTATTGGCTTTCAAAAGCCAATAGAATAAAAGGGAGTAGCACAGCTAAGGAAAAGGGGGAGAAAATGGCGGACTGCGTTGTTTCGAGGTCGTTCGACCCCAAATGGGGTCGCGACCCACAGGTTGAGAACAGCTGGGATAGAGGAAGCCTGGAGTTGGGAAGCCTTTATAGATTTCATTGCAATTTAGCATAGGGAGTTTTGCATCAAGATCAAGCTTTCTATTTAAGACCTCTTGGGTGAGCCCCAAATGTCTTGCTTCCCACTGAAGTCAAGGTATGTAAGACCATTAATTTGGCTATTTCGAAAACAGAATACAAATCATTTCCCAAACAGAAATGCATCTAAAGGTGGAATGGAATGTGTGGGTGACCTTGGGGGAGGAGAGGAAGAGATGCTGCCTAGGAAACAATCAGGCAAGCGAATCAGGCAGCCCCCAAAGGTCAGAGGAAGAAACTTAGGAAAAACCTTCTCTAAAGGATTAAGCATTAATAATAATAATAATAACAACAACAACAACAACACCCCAGATTTAACAATTGTCAATAAGAAAGACAAAAAAGTCTGGATAGTGGACGTGGCAGTGCCTGGAGACAGCAGAATAGATGAGAAAGAACTGGAGAAGATAACAAAATGCAAAGACTTACAAATAGAAATAGAAAGATTGTGGCAAAAGCAAGCAAGGGTAGTACCAATGGTGATAGGCTCCTTGGGTGCAATCCCAAAACAACTGGAGCACCACTTGAACACCATTGGCATTGACAAATTCGCTATTAGTCAATTGCAAAAGGCAGCCTTATTAGGAACTGCTTCCATCCTGCGACGATATCTGTAATACCATCAAACATCCACATCTGCCTATCCCAGGTCCTGGGTAAGGACTCGATAGGTAGACAAAATGCCAAATCCAGTCTGAATATCTGGCTGACTGTGCGATGATCAATCATCAATAATAATAATCATAATAATAATATAGTAAAGTTGGAAGGGACCTTGGAGGTCATCTAGTCCAACCCGCTGCTCAGGCAGGAAACCCTATATCTTTTCGGACAAATGGCTGTCCAGTCTCTTCCAGTGTTGGAGCATTCACCGCTTCTGGAGGCAGGTTGTTCCATTGGTTAATTGTTCTAACTGTCGGGAAGTTTCTCCTTAGTTCTAAGTTGCTTCTCTCCTTATCAGTTTCCATCCGTTGCTTCTCGTCCTGCCTTCAGGCGCCTTGGAGAATAGCTTGACTCCCTCTTCTTTGTGGCAACCCCTGAGATACTGGAACACTGCTATCATGTCCCCCCTCGTCCTTCCCTTCACTAAACTAGACATACCCAATTCCAGCAACTGTTCCTTATATGTTTTAGCCTCCAGTCCCCTAATCATCTTTGTTGCTCTTCTCTGTACTCTTTCTAGTGGTGAGAAGTTTGTACTTTCAGACTTACAAATTTACAGACTTACAAATTTATATTAATGTAGCCTTATATTAATGTATATTTATATTATATGTAATATATATTTATATTAATGTAGCCTTACAATAAAACCTTTACAATAAAGTAGAATTGTCTCATCTAGCTGTATTTCCTGTCTGGATTACTTGGGAAAGATAACTCTTCGTTGCTCAAACTTGTCTCCCCAAATCCTCTGTCAAAATTGCCCACCTCACTCCACCCATCAATAGAGCTGATCTAAAATCTAGATCTGCGAGATATAAAGATTAGATCACCTGGTCTTCCGTCCTGGGAAGCCCATAAGGCACTAGCCTTGCCCAAGCAAGACTATTAACATTGTTGATAGAATAAGATTTTTTAAAAAATATATGGTATTTATTCTTTGTCGTTAGCAGTGCCTTTGGTGTTGCCTTATTGCCTCACTAGCTGTTAACAGTACAGTACAGATTTACAGTACAGATTGACCTCGGTTTACAACAGGTGACTTCATTGTTTGAAATTACTGTAGACTCAAAAAAAAAAGTTCCTTATGATCAGTCCTCAAAGTTACAACTGCTACACAACCCCTGCAACCACATGGTTGCATTTCAGGCACTAGGCTACTGGCTCAGATTTATCCCCAGTTGTGTGATCACATGTTGTGATGCTTTCTACCGTTGTCCAGCAGAAAGAGCAAAAAATGCCAATTGGATAAAATGGGTTTCATACTTACAACCATCTGGTTTGGCTAATCACCACGTGGTTTGCTTAACCATCATGACTTGTTTAGCAACCATGGTAAAAACAATTACAAAATCAAGTCATGTCACACAGAGTACTTTGACTTATCACCCCAATAACTTATAACTGAAATTCTGATCCCAGGTGTATACGGGTAGTCCTCCAGAATTTATGTTGCTAAGTGAGAAATTTGTTAAGTGAATTTTGTCCCCTTTTTACGACTTTTCTTGCCACATTTGTTAAGTGAATCGCTGCAGGTGTTAAGTTAGTAACACGGTTGTTAAGTGAATCTGGCTTCCCCATTGACTTTGCTTGTCAGACGGTCGCAAAAGATGATCACATGACTCTGGGACACTGCAACCGTCATAAATATGAACCATTTGCCAAGCATCTGAATGTAAATCACGTGACCGTGGGGATGCTGCAACGGTCATAAGTGTGAAAAATGGTCATAAGTCACTTTTTTCGGTTGCCGTTGTAACTTTGAACGGTCACTAAGTGAGCTGTTGTAAGTTGAGGACTAATGGTACATGTATGAGTCACAGTTGGGCGTACTCGGTGGAAGCGAGGGCAGCAGAGAATACATTTCTTTGAAGGATCCTTGGTGCTCTCTGAGCTTGGTTGTTTTTTTGCAGACCTTTCATTACTCAAACTAGGTAACATCATCAGTGCTGGTAGTCTGACTATCTCGCACCATGACTACTAGCACTGATGACATTACCTAGTTGGGTAACGAAACATCTGCAAGAAACAACCAAGCTCAGAGAGCACCAAGGACCCCTCATGTCCACCCTGAGCTACAAATATTCTCCTTTATTAGTACCACATATGGGCCTCAAATGCTTCAGACAGCACACATTAGCACTGATGACATTAACTAGTTGGGTAACGAAACGTCTGCAAGAAAACAACCAAGCTCAAAGAGCACCAAGGACCCCACAGTTCAACCCTGAAGTACAAAATATTCTCCTTTATTAGTATCTTTCTTTATTATTGGACAGCCACAAATTGTAGGAAGCATGACAAGGAAGCCACGGAGGGCCAGGTCTGTAATTTCAGACATTTTGGGGGGCTCATTTCATTTCAAAATAAGTATACGAAGCCTATTGGAAGCTGAATTGACTATACTTTTAATTTTGTAGCGGGAAATTGTGTCACTGTTCCATACTAAATTGTCGAGAATTTCTACAGTTTCATTTCATGCTGACTTGTCCTATCCTAGTGGAAGGGAAGAAACGTATTCAGTTGTTATTTGGAGTACTGGATTCATTTCAGATTAAATTTCCTTATTTGAGCTTTTCCCTTTATAGGTAGTCCTGGACTTACGACCAGAATCAAGCCCAAAATTTCTGTTATTAAGTGAGGCATTTGTTAAGTGAGTTTTGCCCCGTTTTATGGCCTTTCTTGCCAGAATTATCAAGTGAATCAATGCGGTTGATAAGTTAGAAACTCGGTTGTTAAGTGAATCTGGCTTCCTCGTTGACTTTGCTTGTCAGGAGGTCGCAAAAGGGGATCACGTAACCCCCCCCCAAGACACAGCAACGGTCATAAGTGTGAACCAGTTGCCAAACGTCTGAATTGTGATCACCCGGTCACGAGGATGCGGCAAAGGCCGTATCTGTGAAAAACGGTCATGTCCCTTTTTTCAATGCGGTTGTAACTTCGACTGGCCATTAAATGAACTGTTGTTATTTGAGGACTACCCGTATTTGTGCTTCATTTCTCATTATTTTGGAACAACCTTAATTTTTTTTTTTCTTCTCCAGGCACTGGGCTCGCAAGGGAATCTTTCCACAGAGGTGGAAGCTCAGACCCGCAAGAAGCTGCAAGCTATGCATGGAGGGCAGGCTCGGGGCAAGGACCAGGTTTTGCGTCACCTTCTCATCACTGTGTGGAATGTGCAGCCCCAAATTCACCCCAATTTCCGTCTGGCTGTCTAAAGAGCCTAGTGCCCCTGACGGCAATTGTCTGGGAGACTTCTGATGTACTCCTTATTCTATATATTTTAGATCCCCAAGTGCCCAATTTCCCTGTTTCCACCTAATTCCCACAGCACTGTCTTATGCAGTGTTTCTCAACCTTGACAATTTTAAGGCATGTGGACTTCAACTCCCAGAATTCCACAGCCAGCAATGCTGGCTGTGGAATTCTGGGAGTTGAAGTCCACATGCCTTAAAATTGTCAAGGTTGAGAAACACTGGACTCTTATGCCTAAGGATATTTACCCATGTAGTAGGGCTATACTACTATTATCCTTCTCATTCTTTCCTCCTACCTTCTCCTACTGGTATCACGTGACTGTATTATTTTGTTGTTTGTATGTATGCTAAGAGAGGTTATGCGCCGGAGATAAATTCCTGGTGTGTCCAATCACATTTGGCCAATAAAGAATATTGTCAACGCTGCTAAGTCGGATGTTCTTGCTTTGACAACAGGTGGAAATGTAGCCATCTTTTCTCTTTTGCTTTTAGAGTTAGAAGATGATGCTGGGAGGGGGGGGGGTGGATCAGAGTCCAGTTAGTCATAACAATAATAATTCAGCTGTGGGAATTAAGGTTATTGCGCCCAGAGCTGATAAAGATTTGATGGGCTGGAGAGCTAAGGAGAAAGCCTGCGCTTCAAGCTAATTGGGGAATGTGATTTATGACTGTTAATTGGAGAAGGGAATTGTGCTTTGCTACTTTGTGCCCAAGGGAAGGGAATCCTTTAAGATTTAAGATTCTTTAAGGTAAACAATACCTCAAAGTTCTTTTAAAGAATTTCATCTGTTGGAACCATGACATTAAGACAAATATTCTATACTCTATAGCCTCATTGAATCTTTCTTTTCCCAGAAGCTTCCCATTCATCTTTTATTCTATCTTGAATCAAGGCTGTGAATTGCACTTCACAAGAGGAAGGAGTATTAGGTATGGTTGTCGCCTTGAATTATTATTTAATTATTAAAAAATTAGTCTGCCCAACAGATGCCAAAGAAAGCAATCGCCTTTCCATTTGTTCTGGACACTGACCACACTCTTCATATGACGACACACACACATTTTCAAAGAACATCTTTAAGTTATTCTCTATTCCCCAGGATTGCAGGTAGTCCTCGACTTATGATTGTAAGTTGTGGTGGTCATTAAGCGGGTCATTATGCAACTTCGTCTGATTTTATGATTTTTTTTGTTTTGCGATGGTCATTAAGCAAATGCCAAATGGGTCATAAAGTGAACCCATTATTTGCTGTGGCCATTTTTGCTAGAATTAAACACTGGGTTTCCAACAAAAGTGGCGTAACTCACAGTTACATGTATGCAGGATGCTGCAAACAGCTATCAGCAGGCTAATTGTCACAAGCACCCAAAATGCGATCATATGGCCACAGGTGCGTGCATATGCCCTGGTGGCATAGTGGTTAGAATGCAATATTGCAGGCTAACTCTGCCCATAGCCTGGAGTTTGATTCTGAACAGCTCAAGGTTGACTTAGCCTTCCATCCTTCTGAGGTCAGTAAAATGAGGACTCAAATTATTGGGGCGGGGGAATATGCTGACAATTTGCCCAGAGAGTTCTGTAAAGCTTTACGGAATGGTACATAAGTCTAAGTGCTATTGCTATGTGCCCATCAGAACCTTGAATCCAGACTGTCACTTTTTCAGGGTCCATTGGAACTTTGAGTAGATATTTAGTATCTGGTCATAAGTAGAGGACTACCTGTAGTTTGTTTGTTTTTGGCTTAGTTTTATTTTTAAGGGGGCTGTAGAGTCCGAAGACCTGATCTGCCCCAAAAGGTCCACTTTCTTTCACAACCCAGTGCTGGATCTTTCCTTCCATATTGCACTACCTTGTGGCATAAAAGGATATGTCTAGAAATGTGAAGGTTTCAAGATTACCATTGTGTTACCTGCTACATGTATTTGTGCGCTGAGGCTAAAAGATTCTATTTCTGCTCTGTTGTACCCTGCTTAATTTGTTTCCTTCCTACGATCTCAAAAATCCTGTTTATCGTAACTGAACAGTTCAATAAAAGTGGCAGGCAGTTAAACCAGGGGAAAAAATTGTGGTTTGTTTTTTTTTTCTTGCCAGCTCTGCAATAGGAGGGATATTTGTCTTGTTAGTTTAAACATTTAGGCAAGAAAAACCAAATGCACAGGTATAGCATAGGGGGTACCTTGCTCAATAGTAGTAACTGTGAGAGGGACCGCAGAGTCCTAGTGGACAATCACCTAAATATGAGCCAGCAGTGTGCTGCAGTTGCCAAAAAAGCCAACACAGTGCTAGGCTGCATTAACAGAGGGACAGAATCAAGATCACATGAAGTATTAATAACACTTTACAATGCCTTGGTAAGGCCACACTTGGAATACTGCACCCAGTTTTGGTCACCACGATGTAAAAAAGATGCTGAGACTCTAGTCTAGAAAGAGTACAGAGAAGAGCAACAAAGATGATTAGGGGACTGGAGGCTAAAACATGTAAGGAACGGTTGCTGGAATTGAGTATGTCTAATTTAACGAAGAGAAGGACAAGGGGGGACGTGATAGTAGTGTTCAAGTATCTCAGGGGCTGCCACAAAGAAGAGGGAGTCAAGCTATTCTCCAAGGCGCCTGAAGGCAGGACAAGAAGCAACAGATGGAAACTGATCAAGGAGAGAAGCAACCTAAAACTAAGGAGAAACTTCCTGACAGTTAAAACAATTAACCAATGGAACAACCTGCCTCCAGAAGCGGTGAATGCTCCAACATTGGAAGTTTTTAAGAAGAGACTGGACAGCCATTTGTCCGAAATGATATCGGGTTTCCTGCCTGAGCAGGGGGTTGGACTCGATGACCTCCAAGGTTCCTTCCAACTTTATTATTATTATTATTATTATTATTATTATTATTATTATTATTATTATTATTATTATTATTATTATTCATGTGAACTGGCTGCTCCTTCCAACATAACAAGATTTCTCTTTCTTAATTGGGCATCTTCCAAACATTTTGTAATTCATCTCCCATTGTCTCCCACTAGTATAGACTGCTCTCTGGGCAATGCAATTTGGGGCACCAGATTAGGGAAATCTGGCACGCACATCTTAAGCAATTAAAAAGATTTTAAACCCATATAAGACAAATGCAAAAAGAAAAAGAAGGTTCAACGTATCCAAACACAGAGAAAACAATCCAGAACTTACAACAAAGCAGGGTTTTTTAATACACCCAAAATGATCCAGTCTGGTAGGAATCCTTCAGATGGAACAAAATCCTGGAGAAGGAGGGAATGACACCTGGGATGGAAGAATAGCAGAATAACAGAGTTAGAAGGAGGTCTTCTAGTCTAACTCCTGCTCAAGCAAGAAACCATTTCAGATGGTTTCTGAAACCATTGCTTTTTGTCCTACCTTCAGGTGCTTTGGAGAATCTTCTTTGTGGCAGTCCCTGAGATATTGGAACACTGCTATCATGTCACCCCCTAGTCCAGCGATGGCGAACCTTTTTGAGACTGAGTGCCCAAACTGCAACCCAAAACCCACGTATGCGTCGGGTGCTGGGTGGGTGTGGCCAATTGGGTGGGCATGGCCAATTGGGTGGGCGTGGCTACGGTGGTAACGGCAGACTGGGTGGGATTAAAAAGTTCAATCAATCAATTCCAACTTTGCAAGATCTTTTTTTTCCCCGCAAGAAGTTGAAATTGACTGATTGAACCTTTTTTTGTTGTTGTTGCACATGGCGGCGGAGGCCTAAAGCGAAAAGGTTTTATAAAACCCAGCTGAAGGACTAGGACTGGGGCGACGGCGCGCGTGCCCACAGAGAGGGCTCTGAGTGCCGCCTCTGGCACCTGTGCCATAGGTTCGCCACCACTGCCCTAGGCCTTCTTTTCATTAGATTAGACATACCCAATTCCTACAAAATATACATTTTGTGTATTTGCAGCTGAATTATGAGCTGAATTCAAGAAGAATTTGCAGGCAATATTGGGATGGTGTCGTCAGGTAGAAGGAAGGACATAAAAAAAAAAGATGGAAAGAAACAGATTTTGTTGCTAAGAGATGAGATGAAATACACACCTGCCAATTAATGGCAAGAGATAGATAACAGATGGTTAATTTAAACAAAACTTCCCTCAACTCAGTGCTGTCTGGTAGGGAGTCATGGAGATGGCCTTAATGAACCTTTTGTTCAGAAACCATTAGAAAAACACAGTTCAGAGAAACGTGCCTTGAGCCCAGGAGAAGAAAAAGTATTAGGTCAGCACCTTCCTGATTTTTTAGATTATAAGAAAGAGGGGAATAAAAATGCAATTGGGCATGTAAGATTTTGTTACTACTGTATATCCCAAGGGTGTGCTGATAAATGTTTAAGAACTGGTTCTGCCAACTCCACCGCCGCCATGGCGCCATGCCACTAGCTCAGTGGTTCTCAACCTTTTTAATGCCGCAACCCCCAACCGTCGTAAGTCAAGGACTACTCAACCAGTCGTAAGTCGAGGACTACTCAACTGGTGCAGCACCGTTTGCAGAATGGGACTTTTGGCAGGCTCAGCAGGGCAGAGACAGCCTGGACAATTCCTATTGGCTTTTGAAAGCCAATAGAATTAGACCCTATTCAAGAGAATCTATTCTATTGGCTTTCAAAAGCCAATAGAATAAAAGGGAGTAGCACAGCTAAGAAAAAGGGGGAAAAAATGGCGGACTGCATTGTTTGGCAACCCCCGTGAAATAGTCGTTCGACCCCAAGTGGAGTCCCGACCCACAGGTTGAGAACCACTGCACTAGCTAATGGATAGCCAATTAGCATATTAAGCATTGTCATTAAGCTCTGCTTTCTTCCAGCTTGCAAAATTCCCAAAATTGTAACCATAAGGCCAGCTCCAACACACAATTACTATAGTTTAACTTAACGAAATATAGTTCTAGCATTCTTCTGTGTTGGTTTCCTATCCTGATTCTTAAAGGTCTGACAGCTCTCTGGATGTGTAGGACTACACTTCTTATCATTTGCAGCTAGCATGCCCACTGTTTTCATGACCACATCTTAATACAAGTTATTATGTAAGTCTACATCTAGGAGTCCAAGTGAACCGCCACTTATGTATGAGCCAGCAGTGTGCTACAGCTGCCAAAAAAGCCAATGCAGTCATAGGTTACTTCAACAGAAGGATAGCATCAACATCATGTATTAGTATTAGTACTGCTTTATACTGCACTGGTAACACCACACTTGGAATACAATGCATTGAGGAAGACTGGATTAATAACTAAGATTTATTATTTGGGGCAGAGGTTCAGCATCATTGCTGCACCCCAAAGTCACAGCCAGTGAGAATGGAAAGAAAATGCCAATAGGCAATTGTTAAGTGAGTTTTGCCTCATTTTACAACCTTTCCTGACACAGTTGTTAAGTGAATCACTGCAGTTGTTTAGTTAGTCACACAGTTGTTAAATGAATCTGGCTTCCCTATTGACTTTGCTTGTCAGAAGGTTGCAAAAGGTGATCACATGATCCTGGGACATTTGCTACCGTCATAAATATGAATCAATTGCCACAAAGCAGAGGGAGTCAAGCTATTCTCCAAAGCACCTGAAGGCAGGACAAGAAGCAATAGATGGAAACTAATCAAGGAGAGAAGCAACCTAGAACTAAGGAGAAATTTCCTGACAGTTAGAACAATTAACCAGTGGAACAACCTGCCTCCAGAAGTTGTGAGTGCTCCAACACTGGAAGTTTTTAAGAAGAGACTGGACAGCCATTTGTCTGAAATGGTATAGACCAGGCATGTCAAACTGTCGGCCTGTCGGCTGGATGCGTCACGCAGAAACCACGCCCACCCATTGCCGGCAATGGGGAAAAAATCCCGATACATCACACGTCATGAGTTTGACATGCCTGGTATAGGCTTTCCTGCCTGAGCAGGGGTTGGACTGGATGACCTCCAAGGTCCCTTCCAACTTTATTATTATTATAACAAAAAGTTGCCAAAGCATCTGAATTTTGATCACGTGACTAAGGGGATGGTGCAATGGTCATGTGAAAAATAGGTCACTTTTTTCAGTGATGTCAGTAAAGAAACTGTTGTAAGTCGAGGACTAGCTATAATTCCCTTCTAGGAACGAGCCAGAACAACCCAACCTTTTTCAAATGAAATAAATACAATTTTTTTACTGACCAATTGTGAAGCAGCACAAATTTACTCCCATTGGGAAGACGCCTGTAAAAATCTATTCCAAGTATCCTGTATTAAAATAGGATGGAACGAAAACTCAGGAACAATAATATCATTTACGAATTATTTTAAAACATTATAGATGCACTCGTGATTTTTAAATTTGTTAAATTTATCGGGCACTCAGTTAGACAAAAGCCGCAAAAATCCCCGCGCGGGATCTTCATCGCAGGTCCCTCCGGTAGCTTCCGCTTACGCCCATCACCAACGGAAGTTGCTTTCTTTCCGCTGTGATCGCGTCTCGGCATTACTCGCCGAACCCCCCTCCCCTTTGTGTAAGGTAAGCTGTTTGATAATCGTCCTTTTATCGGCGCTCCGGTTAGTCATCCGTCGTATATCGAGGTGGGTACAATTTCTTCGAGCATTTGTCTTTCCGATTCGTTTCTTTTGGGTGGTCATTTTTCCATCCCCGGGCCCAAATTTATAGTTGGAAGCGAGCGGGAGCGTGCGACGTACTCCCTGTCATTGTAGTAAAATCTTGGAATTAAAGATGGCGCCTTTTCTTGCGCGTTGGTTTCGTCTCTTGGGCCGGTTGTAATCGAGAAACATCGGCCACCCTCTATGACTCTCGCCTTTTAGGCCTGGTGCGTTAGATCGAGAGATCGCTTGTGCTTCACCCCAGCCAGGAACTAATCGACAAACTAGTCTTACAGCTATACACTACTGCTTTTTTTTGTAACACCCCCCTCCATTTTTTTTAACGGGGCCTTATCTGTAAAGGGAAAAAAAATCTGGAGTATAGTCTACTCTACATTGTCTTACAGGCGAAGGCAATGATTTCTGGGTTGTTTTCCCCCCACAAGTGGCTTTGCAATGCTTGATTACATATTTTTACGGTAGTAATTAAGAATTGCTATTGCTAGCCTGAGCGTGCTGCGTAGGCTTCCTGTTTATTTGGAGGCGCTATTTTTGGATTAAATAAATCGTTTTTTTGCATCAAATTGTGTTGCTTGCTGAATAACGGAAACGTTCATAGATCGGGTGCGTTGCCCAGAGTTAAATGGAGCCTAATTCCGTAGTAAATTCCCTGAGAAATTTCACAGTGTTAAAATGCACAAGTTCTCTTTTCTCCAAGATTTCTTCCTGACTCCAGGAAGTGGGCAGAAAAGACGGAGGGAGGTGTTCCTAAGGTTTTCCGTACTGATCATGCTTTGATAGCTGATTTCAGCACGAGGAGTGAGATTTAGATTTAGCGGGGATTTGCAGATTGCTGTTGCTGAATCTGCCTACTTCAGGAAAAGATGGAAGCTGAGGTGCGCTGCATGCTGCTGAACTGGTGCTGCGGTACAGGTAGTCCTCGAGTTACGACCACAGTTGAGTCCAAGATTTACGTTGCTAAATGAAACTCATTTGTTTTTGCCCCTCATTTTACGACTTTTCTTGCCACAGCTGTTAAGTGAATCACTGCAAAAATGAGGACCCAGATTGTTGGGGGCAATGTAAATATATATATATATATATACATTGCTTATTGGTGTACACCGCTTAGAGAGTGCTTGCACTTAAAGCGGTATATAAGTCTCATAAATAATAATAATAAATAATTTGTTAAGGTGGTTTAAGTGAATTTGGCTTCCCCATTGCCTTTGCTTGTCAGAAGATCGCAAAAGGGGATTAGTGACCCCCCCCCAGGACATTTGCAACTGTCATAAATATGAACTAGTTGCCAAAGCATCTGAATTTTGATCACGTGACCATGGGGATGCTGCGGCGGTTGGTCGTAATTGGGAAAAATGGTCCTAAGCCACCTTTTTCAGTTCTGTTGTAACTTTCAACAGTCACTAAATGAACATGTTGTAAATGGAGGACTACCCGTACTTCCAACATTTGTCATGCTTTCTGCCAATACTGGGAGTTCAGTAGTTCTTAGACTTGCAAAATTGACTTGTTGGTTATCCCTGTCTTAATGTGTTGATTATTGCTTAAATCCTATGTGGGTAGAGTTTACATTTTCATATGCATTTGAAGACTTTGGTGTTTCCTATAAAGCAACATACAGGTAGTCATTGATTTATAACTGTAATTAAGACCAAGGTTTCCATTGCTAAGTAAGGTTGATTGTTGAGTTGATTAAGTGAGTTAGGCCCAAATTTACAATCTTTGTTCCATAGTGATTGTTAAGCAAATAACTTGGTTGTTTTTAAGCAAATAGCTGCAGTTGAGTGAATCTGTCTACCCCCCCCCCTTGTGATTTAGCAATCACATGACTCTAGGAAGCTGCAACCATCCTAAATATATGCTATTTGCCAAGTACCCAGATTTTGATCATGTGACCGTGGGGATACTGTGATAGTCATAAGTGTGAGGACAGATCATAAGTCATTTTATTATAACAATAATAATAATAAAGTTGGAAGGGACCTTGGAGGTCATCTAGTCCAACCCCCTGCTCAGGCAGGAAACCCTATACCATTTCAGACAAATGGCTGTTCAGTCTCTTCTTAAAAACTTCCAGTGTTGGAGCATTCACAGTTTCTGGAGTCAGGTTGTTCCACTGGTTAATTGTTCTGACTGTCAGGAAGTTTCTCCTTAGTTCTAGGTTGCTTCTTTCCTTGATTAGTTTCCACCCACTGCTTCTTCTCCTGCCTTCTGGTGCTTTGGAGAAGAGCTTGACTCCCTCTTCTTTGTGGCAGCCCCTGAGATACTGGAACACTGCTATCATGTCCCTCCTCATCCTTCTCTTCATTAAACTAGACATACCTAATTCCAGCAAGTGTTCCTTATGTGTTTTAGCCTCCAGTCCCCTAATCATCTTTGTTGCTCTTCTCTGTACTCTTTTTTTCAGTGCCACTGTAACTGGACAACAGCTAAATGAATAACTATAAGTCTGTGTACAGCAGTAGTATTTATGCTAACACAGTCATTTGGCATAATAAAAATGGATGGTTGGTAACCTGTAGCATTTTATATTGATTTCATTGTGACTGTCAGGTAGTCACTGGATGGCAGTAAAATTAAACTGGATTTCACTTCCCTGAGGTGGCTGTCTGGATTTTTGCAGCCAAGGTTTCCAACTTACGGTACTCTTTACACTTAAATCAGGATTATTCAAAATTATTGAAAATGATTAAAATCAAAATAGCAAGAACATAATTGAATCCTTGTTTGCATAAATTCAATTAAAGGTAAGAGTTGTTGTATTTGTCCTATTTAATTAGCTAGAATATATATTCTGATAAAGTGTCTCCAGGACACTTTAACCCAGTGTTTTTCAACCTGTGGGTCGGGACCCCATTTGGGGTCGAATGACCATTTCATGGGGGTCGCCAAACCACGCTGTCCGCCATTTTTTTCCCTTTTCCCTAGCTGTCCTACTCCCTCTTATTGGTGGCCACACCCACTTGGGGGTCACCACAACATAGGGAACTGTATTATGGGGTCACGGCATTAGAAAGGTTGAGAACCACTGCTTTAACCTAAAATGAAACATTATTTATTTATCAGAAGAATTTTCAAGAGAATTTTTAAAGAATGAATTAAATATTACTAGACTTTTTTTCCACGTAGTGAGATGATGGGCATATCATGTTTGCACATAATGGTAAGCCACAATATAACTTCCTGCAATCAAGGATATTGGGCAGATTCCTGAGGTGGACTACTATGCCCTCAGATATTTTGTTCTGTATCTCACCTGGCTTTTTAAGAGATTCTAGTAATACAAAGATGGCAGCATTGGCTGAAATCACCAAAATTATTCCTTTGCAGAAATGAGTTACAAAGCTCTATGCCATGGTATATCTTGGGTTACATTTATATTTGTGGTAGAATAGCTTACTGTGGTAGCCATTTTGTGAATAGGCAAGTCTCTTGTGATAGCCATTGTTGTGAGTATGCTTATCACATGCTCTCGAAGCCCCAAAGGTGCTCCTGATCCTTGTGAAATGAACTTAAATCTTGGCAGAATAACTTGGAGTAAGAGTTATAATATCATGCAATAGAAAGGGACTTGGACTAATTTATAAATGTAGATGTCTTAGTTTTGCAGATGCCTCATGGTGTGGTCATATAACACTTGACTGCTCTCTTTGAAGGGTTAGAGGTCACCGTGGCTTGTAATGTTTTGTTTGTTTGTGCTCTGCAGTATACTGATAAATGTTGGGGGTTTCCTTTCTAAAATGCTTTGGCTCACTTAAAGCCTTGATCTCAGTTTTCAGAGAGGGAGACCTCACCATGACCGAGAACGACGTTGACAATGAGCTGCTGGATTATGAAGATGATGAGGTGGAAAACCAAGCCGCTGGAGAAGGGGTGGATGTCCCATCTAAAAAAGACGTCAAGGGATCCTATGTCTCCATCCATAGTTCTGGCTTCCGTGATTTCCTATTGAAACCAGAACTCTTGCGTGCCATTGTTGATTGCGGCTTTGAGCACCCTTCAGAAGGTGAGTCAAGATGGCTGGTCCCGTGGGGAACGTGGGCTCGTCTGATCCCCGTGGCATCCGGTGTTAATCCTGTCCTTGTTCTCGATGCAGTACAACACGAGTGTATTCCACAAGCAATCTTGGGCATGGATGTCCTGTGCCAGGCCAAATCTGGCATGGGCAAGACTGCCGTCTTCGTTCTTGCTACGCTTCAGCAGTTGGAACCAATAACAGGACAGGTATGTGACTGAAATCCAGACTCTCCCCTCCCCCCCAAGATCAGGGGTAGGCAACCTTGGCTCTTTTATGACTCGTGGACTTCAATTCCCAGAATTCCTGAGCCACGAGTCATAAAAGAACCAAGGTTCCCTACCCCTGCCCTAGATGATAGATGGGCACAGGTGCTTGAAACCTGTGAGCTAAGAATAAGCAGGGGTGATTGGGAGAAATTACACATTATTTTTGCCCTCTTTCACAGGTTTCTGTGCTAGTGATGTGTCACACGCGTGAGCTGGCCTTCCAGATTAGTAAGGAATACGAACGGTTCTCCAAGTACATGCCCAGTGTCAAGGTGAGAGTCAGGAAGTTGTTTCTGTTCTGAATCAACAAGAATGCCCTTGTTTACCATCATGGGAGTGAGCCAAAGTCTAGATCAGTGACGGCGAACCTTTTAGAGACCCAATGCCCAAACTGCAACCCAAAACCCACTTATTTATCACCAGGTGCTGGGTGGGCATGGCAGACTCGGTGGGCGGGCCCAGGGCGGCGGGGGCCAGTCCCTTGCCATCTCCGGGGCACGGCACGAATGCCCACAGAGAGGGCTCTGAGTGCTGCCTCTGGCACGCCATAGGTTCACCACCACTGGTCTAGAGGATTATTTCTTTGTATATATTTATATGCCAACTCAGGTGATCCTAGGCAGCTCACAAAAGCCACGCGGCATGATTTTAATCCAAAACCAAAAAACCAAAACCCCACCTGGATTGCCCTTTAAAAGGCTTATTTTGTAGTGTCTTCCTTTTTAATTTCTCATAGTCTAGGGACTTTTGCCATTGAGTAGGAGGGCAGAATTTATCTGGGTGGAAAGGTAACAGACTTGCCTTAGTGAGATGGGTGGTATGGATTCTTGATAATTAAAAGAAAAAAAACATGAACCGTAAAAGAATGGGTGATAGTGGATTGAGCCTGAAGCTGGGTTGGTGTAGTTCCTGCAAAGCCAATGTTATTCTATACCAGTGATGGCGAACCTTTTATTATTATTTATTTTTATTATTTATGAGACTTATATACCGCTTTATGTGCAAGCACTCTCTAAGCGGTGTACACCAGTAAGCAATGTATATACATATATTTACATTGCCCCCAACAATCTGGGTCCTCATTTTACCTACTTCGGAAGGATGGAAGGCTGAGTCAACCTTGAGCCGGTGAGATTTGAACTGGTGACCTGCTGAACACAGTCAGCTAAAGTGGCCTGCAGTACTGCACTCTAACTGCTGCACCACCTCTCTCTTTTAGAGAGTGAGTGCCCAAACTGCAACCCAAAACCCACTTATGCATTGTCGAGTGCTGGGTGGGTGTGGCTCATTGGGTGGGCGTGGCTGCAGTGATAACAGCAGACTGTGTGGGACTAAAAAGTTCAATCAATCAATTCCAACTTTGCAAGATCTTTTTTTTCCGCGAGAAGTTGAAATTGATTGATTGAACCTTTTTTTCTTTTTTGCACATGGTCGCGGAGGCCTAAAGCAAAAAGGTTTTATAAAACCCAGCTGAAGGCATAGGACTGGGGCGACAGCGCGCGTGCCCACAGAGAGGGCTCTGAGTGCCGTCTCTGGCACCCGTGCCATAGGTTTGCCACCACTGTTCTATAGGGTGTGGACTACAGCAAGGGAGCAGCTATACTCAACTACCGTAACTTCTGCATTGTCTTCAAGAGCAGCCCTCAGCAGAACAGATTGCGGTGTCCAAGTGCACATTAAGGAGACATTACTGTTACATAGTCACCCAGTCTAGAAAAAGCTGCATTGTATAGCTCTTAGCACAATTACCGTGTGCTGTTCGGCCAGAAGGCGTAAGTCCTGAAGGACCCAAATTGTTAACCTCCTGTTCCAACAGTAGTATTAGCCTATCCAGAGTTGAAGAAACATTCCAGAAGCTGATGGATTCTAAACAAGCAGCACCTCCCTCTTGCTATGATCCATCCTCTGTCCCATCTCTTCTATTCTCTAGGCCAGTGGTTTTCAATCTTTTGTCTGTCGAGCCCTAGGGAGGGGGCGATGCAATGTTGTTGCAGGTGGTCTCCAAAGGCTTGAATTAGTGCTCTTTAAATTGAGTTAAGTCTTGAGGGACCATGGCCACAAAATGTATTTAAAAGAGGTCTGTGGTAAAGAAAAGTTTGAGAACCACTGCTTTAGGCACTGGGGCAAGACCAAACGTGCTCTAAAGCAAACAAATATTGGTCTAAGATTCATAGATGGCTGGAAAAGATGACGAAAATACAGATAGAATTTAAACTAGAATTGTTTTTGCTAGGAATATTAGGATCTAAAGAGAATGAATACTTAATATTACACGTTTTAACAGTTGCAAGAATAGTATTTGCCCAATTTTGGAAAAATAAAAATTTACCATCTGACCAGATTATAATCATTAAAATTTTAGATTGCGCAGAAATGGATAGATTAACTTTAGAGATCAAAGAGAAAGAAGATTCAATTCATTTTAAAACTTGGGAAAAAAATTATCAATGGTTAGTAATACGATAGAGGGAGAAAGGATTGTGAAATTAAATAGAATGAAATATATGTTTTAATTAAGCGTTATTTTTATGTTATCAATACAGTTATTAGTGATTTTAAGGATTAAGGATTATAATTAGTATTAGTTTGCACTTTATTAATTATGGTTATGTAGTTAGAGGAATCATAGTCAGTTATTAATCTTTAGGCTGATGATTATTTTTAACTTCATTTATTATTTGTATTATATACACTATGTTTATTCAATATGTATACACAGATGGTAGTTTGCTTGCAAAAACATGGGATTGTTGGGGGTAACCCCATCATCGTACTTACCCGTACCCCATTCCTAATCCCTTACCTTTACCCTTTCCACACTCGTTCCGACTCTATCCTTCCCTTACCTGTATAAAATCTAATAAAATGTTTAAAAAATGTATTTAAAAGAGGTCTGTGGTAAAGAAAAGTTTGAGAACCACTGCTTTAGGCACTGGGGCAAGACCAAACATCTCTTTCTTGGCCTGGAACAGATATATACAAATAGGAAAGGATTGAAAAGTTTCCTTGGGCTGTGTCAGATGTAGCATAATATTCTGCTTATTACCACCCCTGGAAACTCAGGTGGTTGCTAAGCAAACTCTAGCAACCATGCCAGACAATATTCCTTCATTCTTCCCTCCCATAGGTGGCAGTGTTCTTTGGGGGCCTGTCCATCAAGAAGGATGAAGAGGTTCTGAAGAAGAACTGCCCCCATATTGTGGTGGGGACCCCGGGCCGCATCCTGGCTTTGGCCCGCAACAAGAGCCTTAACCTCAAACATATCAAGCATTTCATCCTGGACGAATGTGACAAAATGCTTGAGCAGCTTGGTGAGTGTAGAGCAGGGGTGTCAAACTCAATTTCATTAAGGGCTGCATCAGCATTGCAGTTGCCCTCGGGGGAGGGTGCCAGGGTGGGTGCGGCCTATTGGGTGGGTGTGAAGGGAGTGGGTGTGGTCTACTGGGTGGGCATGGTCAGTCTACATTGTTTGCGTCAATTGTGCCTGTGGGGGCCTGGGCAGGAGTGGGACGGATCTGAGGGTCTCTGGCAGAAGGGGGTGGGACCGGGGCAAGCGCCAAGGCATAGTCCACTGGAGGAGCCTCACTGTTCCTCTCAGGCCATGTGGGGGGGGGGGCTGGATGGTGGTGTGGGCTGCCCGGAGCCCTGGGCAGCAGAGGTCAAATGCCCAGCCTGGCCCTCGAGCACCCGTGGCACCAAGCCCAGCCCCACTTCCCCAAGGGGGGGCCCAGCTGCACTTACCTCCTCCTCAAGTCTGCTGTGCTTGCTCTCTTTAGCCAGGTTGTTCATGATGGGTACCGGGGCAAAGTCAGAGGGAGACTGAATGCATTTCAGCATAGATGGCTACCACAAAATTGTACATTGGCCTGGGCCAAGGCCAAGGCAGTGGGGGCCGTTCCCTCACTGTTTCCAGGATGGCTTCGCGGGCCACATGATACCACTTTGCGGGCCGCATCCGGCCCATGGGCCTTGTGTTTGACATGTCTGCTGTAGAGGGTATTCTGGAATAGAAAGAAAAGTTAGAGCTTTATAGGAGCCAAAAATCTCCCTTGTGCCCTTTATAGACCGAGTTTGTATGAAGGCAAGGAAGAATCGGAAGATTCTCCCTTCTTGTCAGGCCACTAGCCATTAATGGGGATATTTGCTGACTTTGGCTGCTTCTCTTTTAAAATTGAGGTAATTCTGTATCTTTCAATATGATCTGTAGTGAAACTAAAACATACATTTCTTAATAGCAGTTGCACTTAGACATATACGGTTTCGTAATGCTTTACAACAATCTCTGAGCGGTTTACAAGAGTCAGCATATTGCCCCCTTGCCCCCCCCCAAACAATCTGGGTCCTCATATTACCGACCTCTAAAGCAGTGGTTCTCAACCTTTTTAATGCCGCAACCCCCAACCAGTCGTAAGTCGAGGACTACTCAACTGGTGCAGGACCGTTTGCAGAATGGGACTTTTGGCGGGCTCAGCAGGTCAGAGACAGCCTGGACAATTCCTATTGGCTTTCAAAAGCCAATAGAATAAAAGGGAGGAGCACAGCTAAGGAAAAGGGGGAAAAGGTGGACTGTGTTGTTTGGCGACCCCCGTGAAATGGTCGTTCGACCCCAAATGGGGTCCCGACCCACAAGTTGAGAACCACTGCTCTAAAGGATGGAAGGCTGAGTCAACCTTGAGCCATTCAGGATCGAACTCCTGGCAGTGGGGCAGAGTTAGCCTGCAATACTGCATTCTACCCATTGCGCCACCACAGTTCCTTTTTTCCCAAGGCTTTGAGATGCGTGGTATGTTTAACCCAAGTCAACGATTGTTAACCTGTTGGTTGTCCTTTTTCTCTCTCTCCCCCCCCCCGCCCGCCTCCCCTAGATATGCGTCGAGATGTCCAGGAGATCTTCCGCATGACCCTGCATGAAAAGCAGGTCATGATGTTCAGTGCTACTCTCGGCAAGGAAATCCGCCCCGTGTGCCGCAAATTCATGCAAGACGTAATTAAAACCCTTCTACCTTCTTTATCCACCTGGCCGGTCAGCCTACCTCTCTCCCTCCCTCTCCCCCGTCCAGGGAAGGAGAAGGGGGCCGGCACGGAGAACACGACCACTGTCTACAGTTCACTGGGCTGCACCCTTGCTGCCCCTCACCTAGCCAGTTCTGCTAAGGCATCCGTAGGAGACATACTTTCCGGAAGATCATTCGGGTTACTCTTAAGAGCCTCTTTGCACACACGAGCAACAGCACTTCTCCCACTAGGGTCAAAACAGCACTTCTGCTCCGATCTTGTTTTTGCCCCTCTGGCACACTTGTCTTAGAGATCATCTACATCTTAATTCAGGGCGGATCCATCCCAGAAGGATCCTCTTTATGCTTTACCCACCTGGCAAGTGGCGCAACATTGGCAGCGCTCCCTTGCTGCCTTAGTTCCCTCCCTCCTGCGTGGAATTTGCCTGCTTGGGTCAGCACCGTGCACAGAAGATCCCGGCCCACACACGCACCCACGTTCAGAAGATCCTGGCCCACACACCCCCAGGCAAGTGGTGGCCTTTTTTTTCTCTCACCCCCCCCTTGCCCCCCCTGCATTATCCTGATACACGCATTACGCACAAGACACAACCGCGGCCTGTACGTTGCTGTTCCTGCCCTTCTTGCCCTGCCCCTCCCTGCCCACGCATTCTGGAGACCTGCGGCGAAGGACTCCCCGAGGGATCCGAACAGTTGGAGGCTGCCCAGTGGAGCGGACGCCTGGTGACCCGGAGGAGACGTTTTATCCTTTTTTTGGAACTGGCAAAAAAAACAAAAAAAAAACCGTTGTGCCGTTTTATTTTCTGTTACCCTCTATTCTCCTTCTCCCCCCCCCCCCCGTGCCATGTGGAAAAGGGATTTGTTTGAGAGCTGCCACAGTGGGAGGGCAATAATCTTAGACATTTTCCTCAAATTCCGAGGCAGAAAAGTTACTCTTTAGAGCAGGGGTGGTGGGGAGCCGTGGCCCTTTTGTGACTTGTGGACTTCAGCTCCCCGGCTCGGGAATTCTGGGAGTTGAAACCCACAAGATGTCGTTTTTCCCCCACCTCTGCTTTAAAGAGTGTGTTAATAAGAATGTTAATTCACTCTGGAAAGAGTTGGCCAGGGACCTTTGTGTCCAAAGCCAGGCGATTTACTGGTCTTGATTACGAGCAGATCAGCAGTGATTGATGTCTCCTGCTCTTGTATGGAAGGAAAGGAATGGCACCGCCTTTTCTTTTGTTGCCCAAGTCTTGTTTACCTCCTTTAGGCCAAGCAGGTTTTGAGAATGGCAGCGAACTAAAATGTAAGCTTCTGCATGGTTAAATGTCGTAGGAAAGTGACTGGTAGTCATGATAGTTAAGGTAGCTGGAGTACGTAAGTAAACCCCTTTTTTCCCCTACAAGTGGGTGTTCGCCGTTTTCTTTTTTTAAATTTCAGGTAGTGAAAAGGGGAAACGTACTGAGAAAGACTGCAGAGTTTGACTCAAAAATTCTTTTAAGGCAGTGTTTCTCAACCCTGACAATTTTAAGGCATGTGGACTTCAACTCCCAGAATTCCACAGCCAGCATTGCTGGCTGTGGAATTCTGGGAGTTGAAGTCCACATGCCTTAAAATTGTCAAGGTTGAGAAATACTGTTTTAAGGCAACTATATATATATATAAAGATGAAAGAATGTTTTGCAGGATAATAAATACTTGGCTGAGAGAGGAGAATGCTGCTTCCCAGTGTGCATTGCTTACACGCATTTGGGCTTTTTTTTCGAGTGTTCTTGTTGGAAGGAGTTAGCCAGGGTTGGTTTCCTGGACCCATTCTAAGGGGCAGGACCCGTCGTCTCTGGTAGGGAGGGGGACAGTTGCTCCTGTGCAGATCTGCGCTTCTTGTCCTTCCCCCTTCCCTGTCCCCTCCAAGCCCAGGTCGGTCTTACCCTTGGTCTAACTGGCCCTGGATTTGCTTCTCAGCCTATGGAGATCTTCGTGGATGACGAGACCAAGCTGACGCTGCACGGTCTGCAGCAGTATTATGTCAAACTGAAAGACAACGAGAAGAACCGCAAGCTGTTTGACCTGCTTGATGTGCTGGAGTTCAACCAGGTGCTTTCTGGAAATAGAGCCTGTGGTGGGGGTGGGGGGAGTGGTGGATGCGGGAGAGGCCAGAGCTGGCTAAATCCAGTGCAGGTAGCCCTGTAGGAACACCTTACCCCCAGAAATCGTGGGCGCTCCATCACTGGAGATTTTTAAAAAGACTAGACATTCACCTGTCTGTGACGGTATAGGTTCTCCTGCTTGAGCAGGAGGCTGGATTGGAAGACCTCCAAGGTCCCTTCTAGCTTCTATTCTACTCTACTCTACTTTATTCTACTCTATATTCTATTCTATTGTACTGTAGTCTGTCCTATTCTGTTTCACTATTCTATTCTACTCTACTCTACTCTACATTCTATTCTACTGTACTGTACTCTGTCTTATTCTGTTCCACTATTCTACTCTATTCTATATTCTATTCTACTGTACTGTACTCTGTTCTATTCTGTTCCACTACTCTGTTCTATTCTGTTCCACTATTCTACTCTACTGTACTCTGTTCCACTATTCTGTTCTATTCTATTCTAAACTTATAACCCATTTGTTTAGCCAGCATTGAAAGTTATAATGGCACTGGGAAAAAAGTCATCTGGTCCTCATGCTTAACAACCGTTATAGTATCTCCACGGTCATGTGATCAAAACTCGGGGCACTTGGCAATCAGCCTGTCCAGGTAGTCCTCGACTTAACGACAGTTCGTTTAGTGACTGTCCAAAGTTACAGTGGCATCGAACAAAGTGACATGTGATTATTATTTTTTTCCACACTTTGCGTGCATTATGGTGTTCCCCAAGGTCACGGGATCAAAACGTGCCCTCTTGGCAACTGACTCGTATTTATGACGATTGCAGCCTCCCGCGGGTCGTGCAATCGGCTTTTGCGACGTCCCGACAAAGTCCATAGGGACGCCAGGTTCACTTAACAACCGTGTTACTAATTTAACAACTGCAGTGGTTCACTTAACAACTATAGTAAGAAAGGTTGTAAAATGAGGCGAAAGTCACTTAAATGTTTCACTTTGAACAGGGGTCCACAAACTTGGCCACTTTAAGACTTGTGGACTTCAACGCCTAGAATTCCCCAGCCAACCATTGCTGGCTGGGGAATTCTGGGAGTTGAAGTCCACAAGTCTTAAAAGTGGCCATGTTTGAGGGCCCCTGACTTAGAAAATTGAAACTTTGGGCTTAATTGTTCAAAGTCAACGACTGCCTGTATTGCAGCGTCCCTATATCATGTGATCCATTCGTGATCTTCCCAGCCTGCTTCCAACAAGCAAAGTTAATTGGGGAAACCAGAGTAGCTTAACAGCGGCGTGATTCACTTAACAACGGCAGTGATTTGCTTAACCGAGGCACAACTCATAAAAGCGGGTTTGATTCATTTAATAGCCATCGGCTAAGCAAGGAAAATTCTGACCCCGGTTGTGATCATAAGTCAAGAATTTCTGTTCATCTTTAAAGACAATTTGAGGTTCTTAATTGAACGCCGGGAGTTGGCCGATTCTGCTACAACTGTCGCATCTAAATTTTGGGCAAAAAAAAAAAAAGTAGCCTTGTCAAGACATGAGGTTTGCTTACATTGCTCTGAAGAGTAAAAGCTAAATGCCACTTTTGACAAACTCCGGAGTTGTCAGAGAGGCTTCCACACAATATAACTGAGCAAGGTTCACTGGTGTTCCTTATGAACTAGTGGGGTTGACTGTTCTCTTCCTTTGCCTAGGTGGTCATCTTTGTGAAGTCTGTGCAGCGTTGCATAGCTCTGGCCCAGCTCTTGGTGGAGCAGAACTTCCCAGCCATTGCCATCCATAGAGGCATGCCCCAGGAAGAGAGGTGAGGTTGTGGCGGGAAGGGGTTGTGAGTGCAGCTCCCTGCGGGGGTTCTCTTGCTGTGATGAATTTGCTCAGACTAGAGTCTCTGACTTCTTCGCTGATGATGCTTTAAGCCCTGAGCAATGGCCCCTGCAGTAGCTGTTGTAAATTCTCTTGCCAAAAAAGTTGATTTGTAGGAGATTTGACAAAGAAAGGGCCATCCTGGGAAAGAAAGCAATTTCTCATCTGAAATGTTTAGAAATAACTTGCTGTTTTAGCATACATTGCTTTTCAAATGTGCGTCGAGATGAGCAGTGTTAGATCCTGAATGTCCGGGGGGGGGGGTTGGAATCCACATTTTTAAGAAGTCTGGAATGTTGCATTTTCCGCTTTGGGGAGGCGGTTTGATGGTTTCCAGAAGTAGGTGCTCTGAACCAGAAGCAGATTGAGGTGTTCCACAGGTAGCCTGCTCCTGAAACAAGTGTTTTGTGTGGAATGCCATATCTGGGAAATTTCAGATCACCTCCAGAATATTCATAAATACTGAAGCTTTCCAGAGGAGATTTGAGATATTCCATTCTCAAATTAATGACTTTTACGCACCCTGCATTGTGCATGTGTGTAGAAAGAAGAAACGTCTCTGTGGGTTAGATCCCAGTAATGGAAGTTGAATATCTTATGAAGCAAGGGTTTAAAACAGTGGTTCTCAACCTTTTTAATGCCGCGACCCCCAACTGGTCGTAAGTCGAGGACTACTCAACTGGTGCAGCACTGTTTGCAGAATGGGACTTTTGGCGGGCTCAGCAGGGCAGAGACAGCCTGGATAATTCCTATTGGCGTTTGAAAGCCAATAGAATTAGACTCTATTCAAGAGAGACTATTCTTTCTATTGGCCTTCAAAAGCCAATAGAATAAAAGGGAGTAGCACAGCTAAGGAAAAGGGGGAAAAAATGGCGGACTGCATTGTTTGGCGACCCCAGTGAAATGGTCGTTCGACCCCAAATGGGGTCCTGACCCACAGGTTGAGAACCACTGGTTTAAAAAATGTAACCTGTGGATGGGGCATCACCAATATCACCATGATGGCACAGTGGTTAGAATGCTGTACTGCAGGCTACTTCTGCTGACTGCCATCTGCCAGCAGTTTGGCAGTTCGAGTTTCACCTGTTCACAGTTGACTCAGCCTTCCATCCTTCTGAGGTCGGTAAAATGAGGACCCAGGTTGTTGGAGGGGGCATTATGCTGACTCTGTAAACTGCTTAGAGAGGGCTGTGAAGCACTATAGAAGTCTAAGTGCTATTGCTATTGAACGGATGGGCCAAAAAAGTCCTATTTTAATTTTTTAGTTGGGAGAAGCTTAAGAGGCCAATAGGTTTCTTGTGAAGGTTATAGATAGCATTTCGCCTTATAAAAGATCTGGTGAATCTCAAATTGGGCTCCTGGTTCCACCTACTTTTTCAGCCTAGGCTTTGGAATGTCTCCCAAAGACCAACATAGCGTTCAAAATAATTTGATAAATAAAATAAAAATTAAAAATAAATAAATAAATGACAGACGTCCTCTGTCTCTGTTCTATGGCTGAAGTTTCATGGTGAAGAACATTACCATGTATTTGCTGTCTCGCAGATTGTCACGGTACCAGCAGTTCAAGGATTTCCAGCGTCGTATCTTGGTAGCCACCAATCTGTTTGGTCGTGGCATGGATATTGAGCGGGTCAACATTGCTTTCAACTATGATATGCCAGAGGATTCAGACACTTATTTGCACCGGGTAAGCCGAACTATCCAAAAACGCAACCTCCCAATTTCCTAGGACTGGGTGCCCAAATTGGGATGAAGACAAAAGTCCAAGGTGTAGTTGCAATGATGAATTGCTCAGACTAGAGTCTCTGACTTTTTCTGATGTCTCTTCAAGCCCTGAGTAAGTGCCCTTGGTTGAAACCACTTTGTTTTTAGTCCTCTACTGTCCTTTGCGGGTTTGAAATCCTATTTGGGGGTTCCTGTGCAATAATCCAGACCCATCTTCCCATTTCTGGATTCCAGGTGGCTCGTGCCGGTCGCTTTGGCACAAAGGGCCTGGCAATCACTTTCGTGTCAGATGAGAATGATGCTAAGATCCTAAATGAGGTGCAGGACCGCTTCGAAGTGAACATCAGTGAACTGCCTGATGAAATTGATATCTCCTCCTACAGTGAGTGTGTCTTATTGTGCTTTAGCTCAGCCCACCCCATCCTCACAAAAATAAGTATGCCAGAAGGAGAATGTGGGGCGAAACCCATGGCTGATGCATAATAGTATTGGCTGCTAAACATTTTGCAGAGTGGAACCTTATATTTTCCAGATGAAAATGGAAAGTTGATGTTAATAAATACAATACAAATATTCCCACTTTTGCCTATATAGAAGAGCCACCTTCAGTATACAGATAGTCCTTGACTTATGATCACAATTGAGGGCAACATTTATGTTGCTAAGCGAGACAGTTAAGTGAATTCTGCCTCATTTTACAACCTTTCTTGTCCACAGTGAAGTGAATCGTGGCAGTTATTAACCTGGTGCTTAAGTGAATCTGGCTTCCCCATTGACTTTGCTTGTCAGAATGTCGCAAAAGATGATCACATGATCCTGAGACACGGCAGCCGTCAGAAATATGAGCCGATTGCCCAGTGTCTGAATTTTCAGTCTGACCATGGGGATGCTTCAACAGTCATAAGTGTGAAAAATAATCATAAGTCACTTTTTTCGGGGCTGTTGTAACTTTGAATGGTCCCTAAACAAACTCATAAGTTAAGGCAGTGGTTCTCAACCTGTGGGTCGGGACCCCATTTGGGGTCGAACGACCATTTCACGGGGGTCGCCAAACAATGCAGCCCGCCATTTTTTCCCCCTTTTCCTTAGCTGTGCTACTCCCTTTTATTCTATTGGCTTTTGAAAGCCAATAGAATAGACTCTCTTGAATAGAGTCTAATTCTATTGGCTTTCAAAAGCCAATAGGAATTGTCCAGGCTGTCTCTGCCCTGCTGAGCCCGCCAAAAGTCCCATTCTGCAAATGGTGCTGCACCAGTTGAGTAGTCCTCAACTTACGACCGGTTGAGTAGTCCTCAGCTTACGATTGGTTGGGGGTCGCGACATTAAAAAGGTTGAGAACCACTGAGTTAAGGACTACCCATAGTCTCTTCAAAGCTTGGTTTAATTGTAAGGCTTACTTACATTCTAGTAATTTAATACTGTGGTTGGTGGATGAAAGAAGACGCCCTGTTGCATGTTGGTTCTTTAGCCGATTTTTTTGTTAATTTTAATCTTGACATTTATCATTTTAATGTTTTACATTATGCCTCTCGATTGATAGATGGGTGATATATACATTTAATAAACAAATGAAATAAACCAAGTTATTACTCCAGAGAAACATTTTTATGGCTTTTATCCACTTTATAAACGGGGAACAGAATGGCATTTGGCTTTGAGCGAACATAAGGAAGTTGAGATATCTTCGGGAGAGACATTGCAAAATGAGCGAGCGTAGGAAAGTGGGAATTGGATTTGTTTTGCTATAATGATGGGCCTTTTTCATTTAGTCAGGAACTTGCCCTGTTCTGCCTGACGCCTCTTCTTTTTTTTTTTTTTCCTCTTTTTCTTTTTCAGTTGAACAGACCCGATAAAAGGAGGCTTGCCTCTCCACGTTGACCTTGGTTTTAATTCCTGACCTCTGCCACTTTCCTGAAACTTCACATTTAATTTCACCTGATGGAGAAAGAAGTGACTGACTGTCTGGAATACGAACCCACCCCCAGTCCTGTGGCAGGGACAGAAGAGCATCTGTCACTTAACTAACGTGTAGTGGAAATGAGGCTGATCACAGCAAACCTCCATTGCTCAACGGGGGAGAGAGAGAGCCCTTGGGGTGGAAGTCTCATTGCTCGACCCGCACCAAGACGGAAGGAGCCACCCTCCTGTTGATGATGCTTTTACAAGAGACTTGATTTTTTTTCAGACGGATGTTCACTGCCTGCCTACCAGCAAGTTTTGGGGAGGAATTCCTCATGTTGCATTGCTCCACTGTGTTCTCCACTCAGCACCTCATCTTCCCCACTGCTCTTGACAGGAAATCACAAAAGAAAAGGGGGGAGGGAGCTGAGGTGGGGGTTGCTCTTAACGAATTTGTGGCATTCAAAAATGGTGTTTTTGTTTTAAATGGGGTGACTTCCTGGAATGGGAGAAACTAAGAAAACAAGCTTCCTTTTGTACACGCTCTCTCATACCATTTTAAACTCCACTTTATTTTTATTTTATTTTTTCTCCCCTCCCCTGCGTATTCCTCATGGTTTTCCACTTTGTCTGCATGTTAACATTACTTCCATCCCTGCTGGTATCTTCTGGCGGGTAAACTAGTAGTGAAAGCTAGTCATGTTTTAGCTGTGGCTTGTTCTCTCTCTCTCTCTCCCTCCCTCCCTCTGAGACCCTCTTAATTCTTATTTTTGGTAATAAAGGAGCCCAGCTCTTAAGGGTGACTGATTAAACTAGTCTTGTGAATAAACGTTTTGCTGATGTGTCATTTATTTTTTGTAGGACTGTGCTCCATTGTGCCTGTGATGTATTTATTCAGGTGGACGTAAAACCAGTAGTAAGACAGAGGACTAAGTTCAAAATTGGGTCGTCGCTTGTACGCCAAAGCCTGAGCGATTATAACTGGCCTTGTAATGGTAAATACTTGATTAATCACAGCTAAGGGATGATGTGACTGGATGGCGTGATTCATCTGGGCCCTGTACTGGTAGTCTTTGCCTTACGACCTTAATTGGAGCCTGTTCTTCACGGGTTGTATTTACAGTAGTCATTAAGCAAATCATCCTGGTTATTAAATGAACCCTGGTCATTAATGGCTTGCTATGGATTGCAATTTTGCCAAAACCTGGAAGTGCCAATTTTCAATAAAGCATTCGTGAAGTATAGTCATGGGACTACAGGACACTGGAAATTATAAATGTGACCATGTTGCAGAGTGCCTGGAATCTGGTCACGTCACCATCGGGGAGGGGGGGCAATTGTCAAAACTGAGTCATAAGTAGCCCCAAGGTAAGTGGTTGTAACTTCATGTAACCAGTCATAAATCAATTCCCTGTAGAGAGGCCTAATTTAATGGAATGTGTGAGATGACCAGTTTTATTTGGTGGTGGTTGTTACAAAGTCGTATCCGACCCATCGCGACCCCATGGATAACGTTCCTCCAGGCCTTCCTGTCCTCCACCATCTTCTGGAATCCCTTTAAGCTCACTCCTACTGCTTCAGTTACTCCATCCAGCCACCTCATTCTCTATCATCCCATTCTTCTATTGCCCTCAGTCTTTCCAGGATAGGATTTTGTGTCTGGTGAGAACATCTTCGTAAAGGTGACCCTTAATCCTCTCCCAGTTGAAGCTTGTCTGCCACATTTAAGAACTAACCTTTTGTTGAAAGTTCTCTTGTGTACAGTAAAAGATTAACAAAAGACACACCACAGGGTTGCAAAAGGCCGGAAGAAAGCTGCAATAGCAACAGCTGTTGTCTTCTCCCTATATTTTCTGCCTATACAGCAGCTCAGTTACAGGTAGTTGCCAGGGACCACAATTGACCCAAAATTTCTGTTGTTACGTGAGACATTGGTTAAGTTTTGTCCCATTTTACAATCTTTCTTGCTACGGCTGTTAGGTGAATCACTGTAGTTGATAAGTTAGTAACCTGGTTAAAGGAATCTGGCTTCCCCGTTGACTTTGCTTGTCAGAAGGTCACAAAAAAGTGATCACATGACCTTGGGACATGGCAAAAATCATAAATATGAACCAGTTGCTAAACATCTTGAGTTTTGTTCACATGATCTTGGAGATGCTGCAAAGGTCATAACCGAAAAAGTGCCTTCACATTTTTCAGTCCTGTTATAACTAAATGAACTATTTGTTGTAAGTTAACTACCTGTAATGCAGGCCCATGTTTGTAGTTGCCTGCAAGTTCCCTGGGTGCTTTAAACAGCTCTAAAAGTTATTAATCTGATATGCTGCCATGTTTAAGTTGGAAGTCTGCAATTAAGAGTGAGCAAACTGGGAATTTGCAAATCCTTAGATTCTCAACCTTTCTAATGCCGTGACCCCATAATACAGTTCCCCATGTTGTGGTGACCCCCAAGTGGGTGTGGCCACCAATAAGAGGGAGTAGGACAGCTAGGGAAAAGGGAAAAAAATGGCGGACAGCATGGTTTGGTGACCCCTGTGAAATGGTCATTCGACCCCAAATGGGGTCCCGACCCACAGGTTGAGAACCACTGCCTTAGACGCTGCCTTGCTATGTTAGCTGCTGGCTTCCTTGCATATTTATAAGCTTAGGGGAGAGACATTTAAGAAAAACCAGTCTTGCTTGTTAATGAAGCATTTTCCAAATCCCCTTCCATTTAACAGTGAAAAAAATCTTAGTGATCATTGTTGAAATGAAATCACTTCCTGCCATCACATATGAGGATAAAATCTATGTTGTAGCCTCACCCAGATCATCTTGGCGGAAACATAATCATGCCATTAATCATCACCAGCTGAAATAAAGCTTATCGGTGAAGAAAACAACCACTTATACATCCCCAATAGACAAGCATACATTATTTTTGTGTCCTAAACACACAGTCTAACTCGGGTAGGCAACCCTGGCTCTTTTGTGACTCGTGGACTTCAACTCCCAGAATTCCTGAGCCAGCATGGCTCAGCTTGGAAACATCTCCCTTTCCCCTCAGCATGGCTGGCTCAGGAATTCTGGGAGTTGAAGTCCACGAGTCATAAAAGAGCCAAGGTTGCCTACCCCTGGTCTAACTGATGCAGTTCGTGTTTCAGGGTTTTTTCCCTTTAAGAAGAGCTTGTGGTTGAGCTCGAGAGAGGCGTTGAGAAGGCTAATGCAGTGTTTCTCAACCTTGACAATTTTAAGGCATGTGGACTTCAACTCCCAGAATTCCACAGCCAGCAATTGCTGGCTGTGGAATTCTGGGAGTTGAAGTCCACATGCCTTAAAATTGTCAAGGTTGAGAAACACTGGGCTAATGTAACTTGAGTCTCATCCCTATTGATACTTTAAAGTCGGAGTCTGATCTGGAAGCCGGATACTTCCGCCTGGTAGCCAGGTTACCATACCTGCCTGCTTGCTTTTGGAGATACTGTAAACCTCAAAAGGTTTTCCTGCACGGGAGAGCCATTCATGCAGCACCTGTGATGGAAAGGCCCTTTCAAAACATTGTTTTTCGAACTTGGCCATTTTAAACCTAGATCCCAAACTCCAGTTGGCTGGAGAATTCTGGAACTTGAAAGTCTACCCAGCTTAAAGTCGCCAAGTTTGAAAAACGACCCCCTCTTTCTCTCTCAGAAACTAATCTTTTTTTTTTTCTTCAATCCCTAAAAAACCTATTTGTTCATTCTTTGCATTTGTATTATTAATCTACGCAACCGATAGCAATCATTCATAGTTGAACACAGGGGGAGTCAACCTTGGCTCTTTTATGACTCGTGGACTTCAATTCCCAGAATTCCTGAGCCAGCTTAGCTGGCTCAGGAATTCTGGGAATTGAAGTCCACGAGTCATAAAAGAGCCAAGGTTGACTATCCCTGGTTTAACACGTGCCTGTGGGTTTTTTTTTTTTTTAGTTTTTTCAACCTATATTTGAAACTTTGGCAACCACGGGGGAGGGGGCTTGATCCTAAAAAAAAAGCAATTCCAACTGTTTTGACAACGCGCTTTCATCGCCGCCCTTGAGAAAAACTCCCCTTCCTTGAAGACCCCCCACTCATCCCCTCCTCCCTTTGATTAGTTGGCGGTTAAGCAGGATCTTTTTCTGCTGCCCTGGACAATTTCGGCTGGGTCCGAATTTTATTTTTTTCTAGGGCGCCTCGAAAGGAGAGCCCAGCTAGGAGGTCGGGAGAAAGCAGAGGATCGGAAAAGAGCGACGCTCGTTGTTGCTAGGCCGAAGTACATCGTGCATCTCCGTCAAGGGCGCAAGCCAGAAACGCAACCCCACAAAACACACACACACACACATACACACACTAGTCCGAAGTACATCGTGCATCTCCGTCAAGGGCGCAAGCCACAAACGCAGCCCCACAAACACACACACACACACACACACACTAGTCCGAAGTACATCGTGCATCTCCGTCAAGGGCGCAAGCCACAAACGCAGCCCCACAAAACACACACACACACACACACACACACACTAGTCCGAAGTACATCGTGCATCTCCGTCAAGGGCGCAAGCCACAAACGCAGCCCCACAAAACACATACACACACACACACAATCAGGCCGATCTCGCCTCTCCGCTCGTCCCCGCCTCTCGCTTCGCAGCCCTCCCAAACTGCAAGCAGCTGCCGGTTGGGAACTGCAGCAAGCGAGGGAAATCCGCAAGCCGCTTGCAGAGCGCCCGGTTGGGGGGAAAAAGGCTCTGCGCCTTTCCGAATCCAGAGATTCCCGCTCCCGGGCTTCCTCTTCGACCTTGCCGGCCTTCTGCGCTTGATCGGAAACCTGCGATCCCCGGAGCGCGCCCAGCCCACCCTGCCAGATCCCCGATCGCTCCGCTTCCTGCGCCGGCCAGATCCAGAGCCTTTCCCGCCTCCCCTCCCCCCCCCAAAGCCTCCACCTCTTCGGGTGGCGCCTTTCCCAATCCGGTCCGGCCAGAAAAGCCAAAGAAGGAGGGAGCTCGTCTTCCCTCTCCTCCTCGCGCCTCCCCCTCTGCGTCGAGGGCTGGGCCGCTTCTGCCTCTTTCTTTCGTTTCTCTCGCTCTTTCTCTCCTTTCCTCCGGGGCTTGGCGAGTCCCGAGATTCCCGGGACTGGCTCCCGGCTTTCCCCTTCGCTTTTGCTGCTGCCACTGGGCGCATCAGGAAGCGCCGAGAAGGAGGCGAGGTTGCAAATTGCAAAGCTTCTCCCCCTCCCCGCCGCCGCCGCCCCAGTTTAGAAAGAAAGAGGGGGCCCCTCTCCCCCCCCCTTGAGAAGCAGAGTAAGCCCGGCGCGCCGCGGACGCGGGATCCGAAGGAGAAAAGTTGCTCGGGAACCCTTTGCGCGCAAGTGCGCGCTCCCGCCCGGCTGTGAGTGTTTGTGTGTGTCGATCAGGTGGGTCACAATACGATGCGGCCTCTTCTGGGGGGGGGGGGGATGTAGTGGATTGGGAGGGCGGAGGGGGTCAGTCTATTTGGGGGGGTGGGCGTGATCGAGGGTGCTTCGAGGGGTCTCGATCGTTTGATTCGATTCGATTCGTGGACCCAGGAAAGGGAGGTTGTTCCTTACAAGTTTGAATTGCGGGGAGAGGGAGGGGGGAATTGGAGAGGGGAGGCCAGAAACGGCCCCTCCGCCAAAGCTTGCTCGGGATGGGCAATTCAGGCCTGAAAAGGCAGTTCCAGCAAGTGCAGGATGCTATAAATAGATCATATAAAATCAGTCCGCCAGCACCCCCCACCCCACCCCCTTTTCCTTCATTGCTGAGCTGGATGCCTGTCTGAAACATTTTCTGCACTTGAAGTTTGGTATGCACATTGCAGGTAGGTTTTTTAAAATAATAATAATAATAATAACAACAACAACAACAAATAGAAATAGAAAGACTGGCAAAAGCAAGCAAGGGTAGTACTCAAGGTGTGGTCTTACTAAGGCTTTATAGAGTGGTATTAGTACTTCATGTTTTAATAATAATTATTATTATTATTATTATTATTATTTGGGATTGCACCCAATAACAATAGTCATAGGCGCCTTGGGTGCAATCCCAAAACAACTGGAGCACCACTTGAACACCATTGGCATTGACAAATTCGCTATTAGTCAATTGCAAAAGGCAGCCTTACTAGGAACTGCTTCCATCCTGCGACGATATCTGTAATACCATCAAACATTCACATCTGCCTATCCCAGGTCCTGGGCAAGGACTCGATAGGTAGACAAAATGCCAAATCCAGTCTGAACATCTGGCTGACTGTGCGATGATCCATAATTAATAATAATAATAACAACAACAACATCCACATCTGCCTATCCCAGGTCCTGGGTAAGGACTCGATAGGTAGACAAAATGCCAAATCCAGTCTGAACATCTGGCTGACTGTGCGATGATCCATAATTAATAATAATAATAACAACAACAACATCCACATCTGCCTATCCCAGGTCCTGGGTAAGGACTCGATAGGTAGACAAAATGCCAAATCCAGTCTGAATATCTGGCTGACTGCGATGATCCATAATTATAATAATAATAATAATAATAATACTTTGCAGAAGCCTGCAGGGATGGTTGCCTAGCTGGGCATATCCATCACAGACATATATAGACAATTGCTGCAGACTAGATTTTTTTTTCCCCCTCCATTTGAAAGGCCCACAATAGAAATAAGGAGTGCTTTGGAACAGATCTCATTGACCAGCTCTTTGTGCACCTTCAGGTAATGTTAAAATGATAAGGTAAGCATTGCAGCTCAGGTTTACTTATTTTAATTTACGTAGCTGCCTCGCTCTTGTAAGCAACTCTCCAATTTGGCCTCTTCGAAATTCCTTTCTGTGTGAAGTGGCTCTAAAATTCCTTTCTAGATGAGGTTGCTCTAGCAAAGCTTTTCCCTGTTGTTCAGGAAGAAATTAACAGCTGAAATTGACCAAAAGAGCTGAGGTGGAAGAGAGCAAAGTTCAGAGAGCCATCACTCTTTGTTAGCTTGGCTCTCAAAACATGCCGGTGCTATCTGATAATTGAAGTGATGTTTTGCGGTGGCTGTTTGCAGAGATACAGATATGAAAAACTATAAAATGGTGAGCCGAAAACTCAAGTGAAAGAGTTCAAGGTGAGCAAGGAGTTTTATAAATAGGTGAGATATCCCTTTGGATAAATATTTAAGGCAGCATTACTCAGTCTTGGCAACTTTAAGATTTGGACGTCAACTCCCAGAATTCCCTAGCCAGTGTGCACTTCAACCTCCAGAATTCTGCAGTCAGCATGCTGACTTGGGAATTCTGGGAGTTGAACTCCACATATCTTAAACTTGCCAAGGTTGAGAACCACTGGTTGAAGGAATACTTGCAGTGAGATCCCAAAGAGTCTTTTCCCTAATTTTAATGTAAGGGTGCACTTGGCAGGTTCTCCCTGGCAAAGAGAAAAGAATTTGCATCTGTTTGGAGCAGTGTTTCTCAACTTTGGTAACTTTAAGATCCAGCTTAAAGACTTCCAACTCTCAGAATTCTGGGAACTTGACTGGCTGGCTGAGCAATTCTGGGAACTGAAATCCACAGAGACTTGAGAAGCCCTGGCTTAGAAATAAATACTGCTTTTGTTATCTTTTCATGCATTCTCCTCTCCACTACCACCAAATTAGAGGTAGCTAAAATATACAACTGTTTCCCTTAGGGTAAATTCTATTTATCTCAGTGGGAGTTATTTTTGAATAAGGATGAGCACTCAAAATTTCACAAGCAGTTGTTATAGTTGTTACTCTTTCGGAATGGCGTTCTTGCATTTTAAGGATTGAAGCAATGGTTGGGGCAATCCAGTGATGCACAGCAAGACAGATTAAGCCTAAGATAAAAAAACAAACAGGTTTTGACTTGATTTCTTATGCTGTGAGATACTCCTTTGTGCCGTCAATCTTTAGCTCTCTATGTTCATGTCATATTTTGAGTTCACACCATTCCAAAAGAGTTATTCTGTCCCAAATTCAGCCTTTAATTATAAGGAAGAAAAAATTTGCAGACATAAAATAGCTTCTACAATTTTGGAACAACTTAGAAGTGGTGCTGAGTTCCCACAGGTGGCTAAATCATCGGGATTGTTAAACTATAATTTCTTGAGCAAATCATAGTAGCCAAATTTGCTTCTAATGCTAAATCAAAATAGATGGATTTACAGGCTATGTTAAATCAAAATCAAGACATCACATTAGGATTCAGTGGGAAAGGAGAAGAGCAAATATGCAAAATCAGCAAATCAACATGTAGGTTAAATTCTGAAAAATTAAAATACAGAAAAAAGACAGGAAGACAAATTCTTAATTCCAGACTTAGCCTAATCGCCCCTTTTTCTGTAAGGGGAAAATGTAATTTCATTATTTTTTGGGGGGGGGGAATAAGTGTGGGAATATTTGAACATTCTTCCCCCCTTCAAAATGTTTCTACTATTCAGAGATTAGGCTAAATAATTATCGAATTACAAGGTCTGTGTTCCTGTCCCTTTTTCTGTATCTCGGTGAATTCATAAATTCAACTCATAACCTGCATTCTGTAATGCATCCCAGGAAACACTAGATAAAATGGAAAGCTGACTGAGTAAATTGGATAGAAAAGAATTGATATGGGATGAGTGAAAAATGTATGGATTGGTTTTCAATATGCAGAATATTATAAAATATATTTGCCCTCACATCAAACTTGTTGGAGTAAGTCATTATTATTCCTGTTGTTGCAGCCCAAAGTAAAATAATGGGTCACAATAATTTAAGTGAATGTTTTTATTTTCACTAACTGCTTTCAGAGAACCAGTTGTGCCCACTATCCCATCACTTTTAAAATGTCAAAAACTCATTTAAGGTTTTCTCTTATATGTTTCTTAAAGTCGAGTCCAGTGGTTCTCAACCTTGGCAAACTTAAAAGATGACTGGACTTCAACCCTCAGAATTCCCCAGCTAGTATGAGCTGGTTGTGGAATTCTGGGAGTCAAAGTCCACCCATTTTAAGTTGCCAAGATTGAGAAACAATTGTTAAGTCCTTGCCACAACCCAACTCTTCCTCCCTTGCTCTCTTTTAGGCCATTAGTTCATCGATTTAAAACTGCCTCCTCAATGTTAGAAGGAGTCAAAAGCCCACTTTTGACTGGAATTAGCATGGAGTGATATTTTGGAGCTCCCGAATGATGGAGATACTGTGGGTTCTTTTTCCTATTGAAGCAACAATGTGCTTTAGTGTAAAAAACACAGAGGAGAAATTACTGTCTCCTGTTTTGTCCAGTTTGTCCGTAATGCTAGAACAGTGGTTCTCAACCTGTGGGTCGGGACCCCATTTGGGGTCGAACGACCATTTTATGGGGGTCGCCAAACAACGCAGTCTGCCATTTTTTTCCCCCTTTTCCTTAGCTGTGCTACTCCCTTTTATTCTATTGGCTTTTGAAAGCCAATAGGAATTGTCCAGGCTGTCTCTGCCCTGCTGAGCCCGCCAAAAGTCCCATTCTGTAAACGGTGCTGCACCAGTTGAGTAGTCCTCGACTTACGACTGGTTGGGGGTCGCAGCATTAAAAAGGTTGAGAACCACTGTGCTAGAAGAAGTTGTGTGATGTGGCAATCTGTTCTACTCGCCCTTAAGTAAAGTGCTACCCACCATCTCTATTTTTCCTGAACAGAGAAAATTATATTCCTGACAGCCAATATCCGGAATGACGGTAAGCCTGGAGGACCCTTAATTTATGGGCAAGCTTAATTGTGATTAGTTGAAGAATGAGTCAGCAACCTCAAGATTTGAAATACTACAAATCAAACTGAAAGTAGACACAGAGAAGACCACCAAGATAATCAGCATTCTTTGCAGTGGGGAGTCCTTTTGGGGAACATTTTCAGCCAAATTGACTCTTGGTCCTCACTTTTTACATTGTTGGTAAAATACCCATCCTGGGCTGGAGGCCTTCCTTGGTGATAAGCAGGATTTATTCCCTGTGCAATGTTCTTCTTAAACCGAGCCAAGTCGTGGCTCCCTAGACTGTCCTGGTGGAAAGGAAAGCAGGACTTCAACCAGGAGGAGATTTTGAAGGAAAAACCAGAGGTTTCTGTGAAATGCACGTTGCCTCCCAAGACAAGATGGTGGAGTGGCCGCCGTCTTTTGGAAATTATTGGATGGGGCCAAAGTTCAGCTGCTGGAGGGCACTCACTGTGTGCTGGAATACCTCAATATGTTGCACCTCACAAGCCATCAGTGGAGTCTCCAGAGCACTTCCAGATTTGCTTCAACTTCACTCGACACCTCTTTGATTTGTGCGTGGTGACACTGCTCTGTGCATCTTCTCCGGCTTTCCGGTTGGTTTTGGATATCTTGGGATTTGGAGGACCCTTGAAGGTTTGGCTCCATGGTTTGGCCTGTTTCTTGGTCAGCACCTATGGGATGTACTTGGTTCTTTGGCTGGTCCAGGAGTATCTGTTGCAATTTGCCTGCCTTTATGGATTTTTACAGACCCTGGTTTTGTGGGTCAGCATCCAGGCTGGATCGTTAGAGTCTCAAGAGGACAAACAAGCTGATGGGCTTGATGCAGATCGAGAAGAAGAACAGAAGAACAGTCATCAGCAAGAATCACCACTATGAGGAGGAAGATTGTGTTGAGCTACCTTTTGTATTAGGGTGGGGATTGAAGCCCAAGAGATTGACTGAAATAGGCCCTGGAGGATCAAAAGGAGTAACTTGTATCTTATATTTAAGATGGCTGGACAGAAATTGGAAGGAAAAAAAAAAGGTAATGAGGAGAAACAGTATTTCTCAAAACGAGTAATGACTCAAAATAAGCACTGCATTCACAGAACCTTCCCACATAGGTTGTTCCAAATTCCAGTTTTCAGTGGCTGAAAGGAAAGAAACTTAACAGATTGGATGTATAATCCATCCAGAATTATCATCATCATCTAGTGGAGCTCAGCAAAAATCATAGAGGAGAGATTTATCTACCTTAAAGACATAAACCAATCTGAGCCTGCTTTGGGTGTTATGGCTACCCCTAGAGGATTCTGGGAATTGTAGTTTTTGAGGGGAATGGGAGGCAGCAATTATGAAATCCCTTCTTGGGGTCCTTGTTGCGTGTCATCTTTACCTCTGGTTTAAACCTGTAGCGCCCGTGTAAAATATATTTTTTTAAAAAAGCAAATAAGCATCCAGAGTATAGCCAGTTCCTGCATATTTACAAGGGCCTATGATTTCTCCCGGCTTTGGCCTCTTATTGCTTTCTGGTGAAGGCCATCAAGAAAAGGCAGCTGAAAATAAAAGAACAGTATTGTTCCTATGTTTATGGTGTAGCCCAGGAGGCCTCCAAACTTGGCAGCATTAAGACTTGTGGACTACAGAGGTCCATGGCTTGCCGAGGAATGTTGGGAGTTGAAGTCCACAAGTCTTAAAGTTGCCAAATTTAGAGACTCCTGGTCTAGCCAGTAAGAACAAATAGATGCCTTTTAACAGGTTGAAAGGGCTAAAAACCATGGGTCCCATAAAAACCCAGGGAGAGCCAGTAGTTGAATCTTCTGGGGATAAAAATCCAGTTTATCCGAGCATCTCCCCTCTTCTGCCAGGCAGAAGTAAGAGAAGGCATAATTGTTCTATCCATCTGTGAGCCATAGAAGGTAAGTAGCCCAGTAGATGGGGAGGAGAGGTCTACCTTCCAGAGGATTGAGAAGTGGACATCTGAAAGGGAGAAGGCTTTAGTGCGGTTAGTGCAGAAGGGTAGAAGATCTACGTGGGTCCTAATCTGTGGGCAAGGGAATCCAGGAAGATGAAATGTCTGGCATCCCTTTGCAAGACAACCAGCAGAAATTTTAAAAAAAACACACCTTAAATCATTCCTGAGCTGGACCCATTCCTGCTTTTTATGTGGGCCCAGTTGGCCTTCCCCAGCTAATTCTAGTATAAATGTTGATGGGTGGGGATAGAAGTTAGAATAATACTCCGTTTCTTCTACTCCGTATCTCAGGGAGAAGCACTTCTGAGCCTACAATCTCAACGTCCCCAATTGCCCAGGGCTCCCCTTGCACCAGCAATCAGATTTTTGCCCAGTTTGGGGAAATTCTGACTCTTCTCATTTTCTTGACTCCTTTTTTTCTCTTTGGCAATATTTAGATCACTGAACCAGGGTCCACATCCCCTTATGGAAAAGAGCTGTTCTGAGCCAAAGACTCAATGGCTTATTTTTATATTGTCCATGTGGACATACAGAATCGTTGACTTGCGTGTGTCTCCCTTGGTTTTGTGGTCTCACCCAGTACAAAATAGTGAATGACAGCTACACTGTCTCCAGGATAACAAAGGTCCCTCACTGATATGTTTTTGTAACGTGGTTTTTTTTTGATGTCTTGAATTACCTTAGCTCAAAGCAAGTCACTCCCACATAGATCATTTCAACTACCCATGCACAGTTTGTCCTTAGAAGCAGGAAGAATAGAAAGTAGAAGTTGGACACAGCAGGAGGTAGAAGCCAACAGAGCAGTTAGGGGGCTGATATTTTGGGGAAAATCTGAATATGGGGGTGGGTGTTTTTGTTTTGAGGAATAATGGTAAGGAAGCTGATTCTGGTAAATTATGTAGATTCCTAATTGTAGAAGTTTGTTCTTCAATTAAGGCTGGCGTGTTTCACTTCCTTTGAAATGTTTTACAACAGGAAGCCCTCCTAGATATTTATGACCGTGATCTCCATGGGATTTGAAATCCAGAAAAAAAAACAGGTGGAGGGCATTAGGTTTTCTGCTCCTGATCCAGATTCTAGCACAAAGTCCATACCTTCATCTAAAACGGGGGTTACCAAAGTTGGCAACTTTAAGACTTGTGGACTTCAACTTTCAGAATTCCCCAGCCAGTGTGACTGGTTGAGGAATTCTGGGAGTTGAAGTCCACAAGTCTTAAAGTTGCTAAGTGTGGAGACCCTGATTTATATAAAAAGGATGGGCAACTTGTGTCCTTCCAGGAGATGATAAACTACAATTCTCATCATGGCCCACATTGCCTGGCATTGCTGAGGGTTGTCAGAGTCGGCATTCCTTTTCTATCAGCAAACCATCCCGAGAGAAAATTCAGCTTAGCCCAATGCAAATCCTTTTTATGATACATGATGTATCACTTCCATAGTCCCAGATGCTATAATGTCTTGACTCAAAGGAACGTGCCATTTGAGCAATGCTCATAAATTCATTTTCCCAGAGGCATCTGTTCTCCACTTCCTTCTGCAAATGGAATCCAGTCTTTCTCAGTGTCACCTTACCCTGTGCAGCATCCCTGGAGGACATTACTGGGGAAACCACGAGAATCTGGAGGATATCATTTCAAGTGCCGTGATGCCTCATGCAGTGTGGTGGCTGACAGTGTGCCGTTTCCAAACTAAATTTGGCATGCAAGAGCTGGGAGAGGGGAGGAGGCCTCCTGACACGTCAGCTAACCTTGGGCAAAAACAAGCAAGCAAACTCACTTCCCAGTCTCCCAGCTTTGGCAGCTGACTATTCCAATTGGGTTGCTAGAACAGTCGTATCCATAGAGCCTCTGGTGCCATGCCTTCAGATGACTCATTTAAAAAAAAAAAAAGATCCCTTTTGCAATACTGTGCAATACAAAAGAGCCCTTAACTTCTCCCTCTTTCTTTTTCTTCCACAATGCTCATCTGGAGCCCAGGGCAGCCGCTCAACCAGCACATCTTTGCTCCTTTCCCAAATAGCAAAACTGAAACATGGGTGGAACTATAATTTCAGTAGAAGGGCTTTACGGATCTAGGGCAAAATCACCAGCATCTTCCTCTTTTCTTGAGCACAAAGGTTTCATCTCCCAGCCCCAACCAAGTCCCCTCCAGAAATAGTGGACTACAATTCCATCACTCCCAGTGATGTACTGATGGCTGGGATTGATGCCCAGGGGTCTCCAACTGGGCAACATTAAGACTTGTGAACCTCAACTCCCAGAATTCCTCAGCTGTGCTGGCTGAGGAATTTGGGGAGTTAAAAGTCAACAAATCTTAAAAGTTGCCAAGTTTGCAGGTCCTTGGTCTAATAATCCAAAGACAGGTCAACCTAGAAAAAGGAGGGAAGAGAATTAAGCAAGATGTATCTTAAGAGTTCAGTGGCTTTTACTGTTTTTTTTTTCCCACACAATAACCTCTTCTCCTTTGGTTGGGAAAAAAACTCTTCCTTCCCCCCCCCCCCAATTTTTAAAAGACGAAAATCCAAGACCTGTTCTTCTTGAGAGGCATTTGAAGTGACCTGTGTTGATGGCAGGTAGAGAGAAGATTTGCACTTTTCTCCCACTGTTCCCCTCAAGCAGTAGAATTAATTGCCCCCCAAAAAGCCCTGTTAAAAAGAAACAAACTTGTTTTTCCTGCCCTTCTGATTCTCTCTTACATTTGTCATAACTTCACACCTGTAGAAGGAAATTATAAGATTATTTTCTTTCTTGATTACTCCCTCTGTACATAGAATATTTTTTAAAAATAAACTTTTTTATAGGATTATAGGAGTATTTACATGGGGAAACGATGACATCCTTACTCTTTGCCAAGCTCCCAAGTACATTTTTTTTAATTTATATAAGTAACACCTCCAAACGGTGTGTGTTGAAGCTGTTATAATTTTTTGTGACTTGCCAGGCATTAGCCAATAGGTACTGTGATATTCACACCAAAACATACCATTATACCAGATCTCTTGCAATACAGTATTGTTATGCTCCCCATTGGTGGGCTAGTAGGATTATACGCATACAATCCTGGCTCAATTATTAACAAAACTGTGAAAAAGCATTTGCCAATTGTGGAAGTGCAAAAGGGGGAAATAATACATGTGATAAAAAGGAATCTTCCTGTTCTCTCAAATCTGCCACCTCTACACACTCAGAGCTGAACTACACCTCATCCTGGTTCCTAATAATATTTGTGAACCACTCTAGGAGCCTAGGTGTTCTCTATGGGTTGGGTTTTTTTTTTTTTTTTTGGAG